CCATCCATTTGCAGCAAACAGTATACTTATTAAGTCCCATATCTGACCCCTAGCCTGCATGTTGGAACATCTGAATGTTACACAGAGTATGTAAAATACCAAGTTGGTAATTGTTATAACTATTTACTATAATAGGCGTTATAGGACGAAATTGCGGTGAACTAAACCGAGGAAGATGATATGATAACGAGTTACGAACGCGTATACCTCGATACTGTTGATTGAGTATACGATGTATGCATCCATCCCCCGAGGTAACATTGTACTGCATGAGGTTGCATTTGAAACGTGCATTGCATTTTTTTTTCTTCAGCACGAGGATTTGTACCTAGTACTTTGCCCGTCTTGTCTCGTCTTACCTTTCGGTTTCGTTCCTGCATACCTAGGTATCTACTTTTGTCAATAAGCGTCATTGACCACATACCGAAAATGGCGGAATTTTACAGATCGACTTCATGCAACTCGCGTATGATGGTATTACGAACTCGCGTCATGCCACGTGGAGTTCGCAGTCTGCAACGGCTCGCGGCAAGCTCTGTACAGGCCGTTCTGGCCTTCAATTGGTACCCCCCCATCAAATCGGCGGAATACCTATGGCGACCGGGGAGTATACTACCATTTAATTATATTCCGATGTCTCATGGTATCAATCTCGTGTGACTCACGGGTAACATCTCGTAAATGGCTTTTTTATAGCGAGCTGGAATCACAGCTTGCATGCGCTGCCTCGGCTGTGAATGTCTAGTGATGAACAGTAACAGCCAGCCCAGAATGCGGCAGCCTGGTATCGGGAGCTCATCATGTTACATGGTGGCTTAAGCCGTCCAGCTGTGCTACTATGGGGGTAAGAAGGCCGCACCTTGACGGGATCGAATCCGAGCCGCAATATAGATCCAGAAGGCTGAATCTCCACAATTACGCTACCTCAACAATGGACGTCCAACATAGCTGAATTGATGCAAGTGAAATTACTCCGCGGAGAAAAATATGGTCTTGGTCCATTTGTCCGGTTAGGAGGTCGGGCCCGAAAGACGAGCGGGCATGAGAATTTTTGGAGATTTTCGAGTAACACAGTACCGGACTTGCTACTATGCTGAAGAAATTAGATGGCGAGGACCCCTCCAGCCTTCCAAAAAGGATGCCGGTAAATTGCCAGGCTGCAGTGAAACGTCCAAAGTATGACCTGCACTTTGATTAGATTTAACAATAACAGCTGAGGATTCGTGGGGGACGACATCTCCTCAATTACTTCTTGGTGGTCCCAGGAATCCCTCTCAACTGGATTCGGAACCAGCAACTCGCCAAGTCTGGCGCTGGTACCAGGCGTGGAAGGATGCCTGTAGGGGCTGAGTTTCGAAATCTTCCGTTGGTACGGGTTGAAAAGCGAGTGCCGAGCCTGGTGTCCAATTGGAAATCCCCCCACCATGCCCCTATACCGATCTGTTAATGGACCAGGTATAGAGGTATATACCGCGATGGGGTCTAAATAGACTTGAATCGTTATAATAAGAGATTTTGAGCGACGAGTGGCAACATGATGAAACGAACGAACTTACCAGACATTAGGCAATTTGGGGGCGGAAAACAACTTGAAGAGAACTAACCTGATATTCATAATAACACACATAAATACCTAGTAGACTTGACGCCCTTAATTGGACATGATGATAATATTAGATGTTATATGTGGATTCGCGGAAAGTCCGGGGCCGCCTGACTCACCGTTAGTAGCAGTTGGGATGGCTCATTTTGAATCACAATGAATCGCAATTGAATCATTTTCTCGCAGATAAATGAAACGCCGATAAGCGTCGGAGTATACTGTAGGCAAAGACAGAGAGAGAGAGAGCGGTGGAACGGCTGTCGCCGAACTTGTATAATAAGAAACATGACTGCTTTTTGACTTATGTTGGTATAGTATATTCTCTTCTGATGGCAGCATGGCCCATCTGTGGTCATACCTGCAGAAGATCATCGAATTCTTACATAAAGGCTTGGGTATGCAGAAGAAAACAGTCAGTCATGGTAATGGAGGTGCATACAACAAGGCTTATCTCGTGGTAGGTGGGAAGAATGTGTACTAGGTAATGCGTAATAGGGTAACAGTATACGAAAGAAAAGTGGGATGCAGATACGTTTGATGCAATAAAAGTGGGATAGTAAAAGAGGATGTTGGAAGTCATCGAAAAGTCAATCAGTAATCTTGAATGTAGATGATACTATATCCAGTAGGTAGGTGCGTAGGCGGTAGGCAAGTTGAGAAGAATTTGATTTCCTTCCTGAGGCGGTGCGAATAAAAATGATGTTTTTGGAGGGATCGATTGGGTCACGAAGCGACTAAAACTTACTTGCATATACCACTAAAGTTAGCAAAAAAAACTTACTTTAGGTGGGTACATCTGTATCGGGGTAATTCGGTACCTCCACGTGTATTTAGTCGTGTATTTAGTAGGCTTTGATAAGAAGTCTTGTCGCCTGTCCCACGAATAGATACCAATAAATCACTAAGAATCTATTAATAGATGAAGCCTGTACTTATCCCACTTTAGCGGTTGGGATACTAAATACCTACCTTCTAGGTATGTAAGTAAGCACTAAAAAATAATACCCCCTACTAACTTTACACTACACAACCTCATTCACCTACAACTTACAGATATCCACAGGTTATCGGCTTATAACGTGCCTAATTCGTATAAGTGTCAAATGTTAGTGGTGTTCAAGGGTAATTACCCCTTGACGGCCTCGTGGTTCGACCCCTGTAAAGCATGCAAATCGAGAGATGATGTTTGTAGATTCCGAGATCAGATTGGCTCTTTGACGATTCTCTTGCATGTTCAGCTGTATCATAATAATTGCTTGTGACGTTGGATCTCAAGTTCGCGCGTCTGCCTGTTGCTGTTTCTGCTTCTGCCTCTGCAAGATAGATCATGTCTCATCTCGTCCGTTGATACGGCATTGATCCAAAAGTCCCGAGCCATTGTATTCGTCTTCATGTATGCACTGTACCTTGCATACCATAACATGCCGAACATACATAACTAATTAAGTATACACAAAAGAACATATCCATACGTAGGCAAGTACATAAACTAGACTGTTATGATATGTACAAATCCTACACTCTGCTTGGTGCGGATGAGCGGATGTTGGATTTGGATCATTGCTATACTGTATTTTTGAAATTCTTCGTACGACCGGAGATGAAGCAAGCCTCCGCGATATCTTCTCTATACTTCACGATTGGTCAAGCCCCCCCCGTCAATTTAGATGACTGACCTGGTTATGAGCTGAGTCACCGGCCAGCAGATGACAAATGACGATTTAGTAAGAATATATGGATAGAATACTAGAGAGTAAATAGGCGCATTGATTATTAAGGTATCGCAAGGTTGTGGGTTACGGGAGAGACCAAGAAATACACAAGAGTACCTAAGGTATGCGAAAGCCTTACATGTCTTACAAGCTTTGCACTGCTTCGGAATCGCCAGGTCATCTTCAAAATATATCTCCCATTCAAGTAAGGTGTAGATGTGATAATTCTGCAAAAAGAAAGCCCCTGTTACTCAGAATGCAACGAGATGGCATAAACGGCCCGTTGGAGGGGTACCTTGTACCTTGCAGCAGCAGGTAGAGAAAACTCGATGTGTGATGGGGTATGTACGAAATACCACGCAACAATTTTTGGGGAATGGGTAATGGATCAATCTAATAACTCGGATATTGTATGTTTAATTGGCTGAAAATAATCCAGGGGACGAAGGAGTCTAAGCGAAAGAGAGAAGACAGAGAAAAAAAAATGTTATAATTATTCTCATGATGTACCAATAAGATCCATGGACTAAAGATCCCTTTCTAAGCCCCCTTGTAACGGGTACTTATGTCTGGTAATACAGCAGTAATGCGGCACACCATTGGTCGGCATAAGACAAGGGAAGAACCATAAAAGAATAGCGTAAGAACAATTGAAGTAAATACATAGGTACCTACTTCCGAGTATCGAAGAATAACAATTTTTTCAGCCCTATGGGGTCGAAAGGGGACTAGCCCCGCCCCCAAAATTAGAAAATACATGGCTTCTATGCATTTCCGCTGATTGTTCTTCGCGCGTTCCATGCACGTTGATGTACCCTTGTTCCTAACTTAGCGTATGACTGATATTCCCAGCTGGATGGCGCCGCAACAACATAATGGACAAGCACACCCTACCATTAACACCCTCCTGTTCAGCAACCTTCGTTAAGGGGGGTGCCATTCAAAAGCCATCGAGCGTCATAGTTCCCAATTCAGCAACGAGAAACTCACATCTATGACCAAAAATGGCCTAAGTTGTTCCGAAAATCTCATCGCCTTCGAGAGGTGTTAGCTTACGTCGGGGGATATGCTGCTGACTCCCCCTAGTTGGTAGGGCTTGCAGGCTGCAAGGATTCGAAAAAAACGTGGCTCTCGCAGCTCTCGTAACATCGCATGGGTAATAGGTACACACCCTAACCTACAAACCCATCTGAGACCTATTCGGTACGGTTCCTAAAGCGTGACTACCATACGAGGCTGGGGGAGAACCGCAGCAACTTGTCTAGATGTACTTACAAGATGTACCACTGCTGCCGACAGACTGGTCACAGCCCGGGGTGGCCCTTGCTCCCACCCACAGATGGTTCCAGGGTCCGCCAGGAACGAGCCGCCGCGGACCACATAGTTCGCTCATCTTGGGACGGGACTAGCATGTCTATACGAACATAGCCCCGTTCAGTATATAAGTACTCATAGCTTCCCGGATTCTGAGGCATCATTCCTTCATCACCATCACAGAAACAACAATAACAACTATAATCTACTCTTCCTTTCATATAAACACTACCAATCCGCATCCAATTCTAACTATCTAACTGCATTTCAAACTACCTCATCCTTCCAACCACCTATATAAGCAATACTACAACATTCTCATATATCATCTTCCACTCTATCACTTCCTACCACCACATCAAATAATCGCAATGGCTGCTTTCGCTTTCGCCACAGTCTCTTCCATGGCCAACATGGGCCGAAGCGGATACAACAAGGACGGTGACAACGAGGACAACAAACGCAACTTTGGTCGCAGCGGCTACAACAAGGACGACGGCTCTGAGGATGACAAGAAGTGCTTCGGCCGCAGTGGATACAACAAGGACGGTGACGATGAGGACGACAGCCGGCACTTCAACTTCGGCCGAAGCGGGTACAACTAAAGCCCCAACCAACCGATGGCGATATGAAGAAGAGAGTCCAGACCAGAAGGTCATCAACTCCCCGGCCTTCTTTAATATCTCGCTTCGTGCCACAACCATCCCACCAACGCATCAGTCCACGTCGGACTGGGAGGGAACCATGTACCACTACCACACTTCGATTTCGGATTTCGGATTTCCTTTGTTCACTGCATTGCACCGGCGCTTGAAACACCACATCACATTCATCAGCATTTTCACCAACAATTGTACGGATAGACATGTATGAATACCACGGAAGCAAAAAAAACTATACACCATACCATAGAGGATAGATGCGCAAGCATTAACAACATGTACGATTAGCCATGCATTGGGAAACGGAACAACATAGATATGATAGACGGACTTGATGACGGAATACAAAAAGCATTTTAGATGGGGTTTGGCAACAAACACAAAACGGCGAAAGATAGGCGATTTGGATCTTTTCTTTTCTTTCTTGGGCTTGGCTTCTTCACATTAGTATTATTAGTTGTATTATTTATTTTGGAAATTCAATCTTTTCATTTTCCTACACAGAATCTGGTTTCTTGAATTAGTGGAAGTGACTTTGGGGTGGAGTGATATATGCCGGCACTTACTTCTCGAAAATAACGCCAAGAATTTCCTCCACGTCGCCTACCTCCCCGCGTCCAGTGATCCGTCCGAGGTTGTTGGCGGCGTATCGGAGGTGTTCGGCTGCCATAGTGATGTCTATGTCACCGCTTGAAATTTCGTCGGATTCATTTCTATCATCCGAAAATTCGCTACATCCTACGCTTTCGAGATAATCCTGTAAATGACCTCGGCATTGCACGAGAAGCTGTCGTTGACGCTCCGTAACGCCATGGAGGTCTTGCAACGTGGCAGGGAGCGATGTCATGCTGGCGAACGATGACACCAATTGATCGATCACACCCCTTATCCCCCCTGGGTCGATCTGGTCAGCACTTAGATCTTGCGCCTCCTTGCAGGATATAGGTATCGTCTGAACCGCCTCAAGACCCCCAATTTTGCTTAGGACTTCTTCGGCGAATTTCTCAATAAGGGTGCGTAGCTCGCTGTCAGAAACGGCGTCTCGCTTATTGACAACCACGAGGCGCTCCTTGCAATCTGCCGCTAGCCTGAGGGTCTCAGCGTCGAATCGAATCTCGTGTTCGCCACGCGGGCCCAGCTCAATGGATGCGAGAACGATGATGACATCAGATTGCGCGGCCCTGACCCTTGCTCGGCGGATTCCCTCTTCCTCAATAGCCCCTACCTTGGCCTCGGATCCACGAAATCCCGTTAGATCCTCCCCAACTGCGCTCCTGAAACCGGCAGTATCCGCAAAGGTGCATAGATACCCGCGGATGTCAAGATTGGCTTCGATGATATCGCGAGTAGTGCCCGATTCACCCGAAACAATAGACGCTTCCCTGCCGACAACCTGGTTCATAAAAGAACTCTTCCCGACATTTGGGGGTCCGACAAGGGCAATCTTGATCCCGTTTCGCAGGAGCTCACTTCGTTCGCTCGCCCCTTCGTGAATAACTATGCTCCGAAGTATATCTTTAACTTGATTTGTCACATTGCGAACAAGCGAATTAGGAGACTCGTCGAAATGCTGGTCTTCGGAGAAATCGATGAGGGCTTCCATTTCAGCTCGAGCTTGTAAGAGTTTTTGACGCCAGCTTTCATATGTTCGGCCTAAAGAGCCACTACTGCCGCGAACAGCTGCGCGTCGCTGCTGCTCAGTCTCAGCTGAGAGCGTTTCGCTTAGAGCTTCAACCTGTGCCAAGTCGAGGCGGTCATTCAGAAAAGCGCGCTTAGTAAACTCTCCAGGTTCTGCATAACGGATGATCCCTCCTGCAGCACATTTTGGTATAGCTGAGAGCACAGCTTTCACGGTCGCGCTACCCCCATGGACGTGTAACTCCAACACGTCATCACCGGTAACGGTCTTTGGGCTCGGGAAAAAGAGTACTAACGCTTCCGAATCAAGTATCTCCGAACCGTTAGATTCGGGATGATATAACGTTCTTATGGACGCATATCGAGGTTTCAAAGCGGGTATCCCTGGGCAGAGTGCATTATAAATCTTGGAAAAACGTCAGTATTGGGGCTAATATTTAGCATTGAGGAAGTCCTACGGAATTACTCAAAGGCCCCGAAATGCGAATTACCGCAATGCCGGCTTTACCTTCGGCTGTCGATAATGCATAGATGGTGTCATCCCCTTGTTGGAGTTGAGACCGAGTGTGAATCGGATGGTGTCCATGATTAGCTAAGTGGCGGTGGTCGGGGTATGCGAGAGCCTTCGGAGTAGCCAAGGATCGCCAGACCAAAGGAAAGGGCTTGTATTGTAGAGCGCTTCGAGGCCACCTGGAACAGGCGAGTAAACTTCTCCTAGCAGCGCGATACATGAGCTGAACCCCTCTTGACCCCCACTTAGGAGTTTTTGCTATATGGTGAAAACCATTAATTAAAAGTAATTTAACGAAGCAAATCCAACCTTTAAAGAAATTCGAATGATCAGATATATTGTTCAAATTGTGAATTGCTGATTGAGACGTTGCAACAGTGAACAATTAAGAAAGTGAAGATGGGAATAGTACTTCTTAGACGTACCTTCGAAAATTTAGCACGAACATTACACAATATCTGATTGGCCAAAACAGTGCCGCTAAGCCGGTTTTAGCTTGACCGCCTTCGAACCCATCGGCAGAGACCCGCTCCCGCGGCGGCAGAATTTTTTCAGAAAAGTTTCCCAACCTAATATTTTCTAAGTTCGATCGCTCGCCTCTTCAACCAAGGTTCAACTATTACTTTATCTTAATCACATCCCTCAACGGCTTGGATTAAATCAATAATCTGCCGAAGATGTCGGACGAAATCATTTGGCAGGTTATTGACAAACAGTTTTGCAGTTTCAAACTGAAGTAAGCTTTGCCTAGAAAAAAAAATCTGTGTCTTCGAACATGAAAGCTGACCTGCTGCTAGAACTACTAAAGAAAAGACATTTTGCCGAAATGAGTATGAAAAGAGGATATCGTGGCTATAGAATTATTCACTAACCAGATCCTAGATACAATGTTACAGGTCTTTGCAACAGACAGTCGTGCCCTCTGGCCAACTCTCGCTATGCCACCGTTCGAGCGCATCCCACAAAAGGCACCTTATACCTGTATATGAAGACAATTGTTGGTAGCCAAATGGTCTCTCTTTTTACCCCTACTAACTGGTTCTAGGAACGAGCGCATATGCCCTCGAAATTATGGCAAAAAATAAAGTTGTCGCAGAATTATGCTACCGCCCTAAAGCAAATCGACGAGCACCTCATCTATTGGCCCAAATTCCTACTTCACAAAGCGAAGCAACGAGTTACTCGACTTACACAAGTGGCGATAAGAATGAGGAGGCTCGCTAAGGAAGATGCGCGCTTAGGCGAGAAAATCGTACCAAAATTAGCACCAAAGATCAGACGGCGAGAAGAGACTCGAGAGCGTAAGGCAGAAGCGGCTGCTAAGTTAGAACGCACAATTGAGCGAGAGCTTATGCAAAGATTACGCGAGGGCGCATATGGCGACCAGCCGCTCAACGTTAGCGAAACCATCTGGAAGAAGGTGCTCAATGCTATGGAGCGCGAGGGTGAAGGTAAGAGAGATAAGGATCACGACAAGGGTATAGAAGACGAAGAAGGCGAAGAGGAAGAGGAGGAGGAAGAGGAGCTCGAATACGAACAAGAAGAGGATGAAGAGCCCGATGGAGCAGTCGAATATGTCAGCGACTTCGACGAAAGTGAGGACGATCTCGGAGATATCGAGGATTGGCTTGGAAGTGATGAGTCCGACAAGGAAGAAGAGTCGGAGAGCGAAGAGAGCGAGGAAGAATCGACGAAAAAGAATGCCGTTGGTGACAAGCGAAAGAGAGCGCGGGTTATTCGTGCGAAACCAAAAAAGGCAGCTCGGCGCGGAAAGGAAGTTGAGCATGAACACGAATTTGACCAGCGAAGACAGCAGCTTGCATTTTAGAGGGTATTACTGCATGGGATTGGGGCTCGGCTATACAGCATATTTGTTGCACGAAAAGTACCTATTTTGATACCCTTTCTTGGTACCTCCTACAGGTGCCCTGTGAACATAAAAATTGCAACCTTAGCTCTTGCGCATGCAAAAGTATTGGACAAATGAAGGTGTATTTGAAAAAGCATGTAACATTGCTAATGCTGTATGAAATTTATGTCGTACATATTATTTGTCAATGGGTGGTTTTCCGCATGGAGGACAAGTCATCATTGGCCTTTTACTCATAATTCAGGGGAAAAGGTGCCAGCTTGGCGGGGGCATCATCCACTAAAATTCCACTGAATTTTACCATTTACCCACTAAGAACGGGCGACTACGGGGCACCAGACTAGCCATCAGCATTAATCAATTCATCCATTGTCAATCAAGGGCAATCTTTCAATCATTCTGACCAAATCAAGTTCTTTTTTGAAACACATCATTCCTCACCAACCCTTTTATTCCTCTCTACTATAAAACATCTACGGAGAATTAATGTCAAATACCTAATTTCTGGTGTTTGCAAGACCAAGTTTCAATAATAATTTAACCCGAAACTTTTCTACATACACGCGAATAAGAACCAAGACTGATCGTACAAAGCCCGCGCCCCCAAAACCTCGGACGCATCTACCCGAGAAACTTGGTTGCACTCCCTAAGCTACCACAAAGGGCCAGTGGTCAGCAACAGCAGCGGCAACGGCAACGGCAGCATGTCGGCGTGGTATAGCAACCTCGTCGGTGCGACGACTTCGAAAATCTCGAATCTGCAACGGACGTTTCTCAGCAGCGAAGCCGACGGCGACACCGAAGACGACACCCACATCTGCCGCGTCCTACGATCATACTACACCGAAAAAGGGCGTCCATTTCCCGGATGGCTACCTCCCGATCCCAAAGCTCCTCCCCCTGTCGTCGCGGTATACTCCCAGCCCGGGTCGCAGGTCGGCTCACGGTACGGTGGGCTCGCCCAGCAACCACAAGGCGGCGGTCTGAGCTCGCTATGGGATAACAAAGCTCCCGTATCGCAACCTCAAGACGCGCAGAGCCTACGGCGAGGAAGGGGTGCGCCGCCCGCTATACGTAATAACGACCCGCGAAACAGTCCGTTCCGTAATTCTGATCCGATTGGCCCCGGTCGAGACGACATACCCGCGAGACCGTTGCCGAGCCAAAGAGCCGGTAGCTATCAGACACAAGGCGGTTTTGGCGGACGCGAGGCTGCGGGTACTGCGCCGCCGGGTGGTGGATCGGCACAGGATCGATTGAAACAGCGACTTTTTGGCGGGTCGAGGACGGCGAGTCCTGCTGGCAACGGCCCGTTTAATCCCCCACCGCAAAATAATTCTAGAGGTAACTACGGCGGAGGTGGTGGTGGGGACTACGAAGATAGATTTGCACCTGGGGGCATGTGTGATGCGGGTGCGAGGGGCGGTGGGAATCCTGGGGGCAGGAGGCCTGGCGGTTTACCTAGCGGACCCCGGATGAGATGAGATGATGCGATGCGATACTCGGTATTCTACCAACAGATGCGAAAAAACTATTACTTTGCATTCGGTCGAGTCCTTGTTGTGAGGCTTGGCTGAGATATTTGGAATTCAAGGGGAATCGCAGCATGAATGGGGCTCAGTGAAGCTATATTGGGGGCCAAAGCTATAGCAAATGGGCGTGGATCCAGAGTACATCTGTCGTTGTGGTGCTAACATTCGGTTTTGCTGGATGATACGGCTGACTGCGCCCCGATTTCTTCGGTTCTTGTCGACCTTCCTTTTCCGCAACTACGATTCGTCCCACATACGAGGAGCCAGCCAGCAAATGCCAACAAATACTACTATGTTTGGTCTTGTTAGTTACGAACACACAGTAGGAATAGAGGAGACGAGGCTATAAAGCTGCATTGGTCTTTTTGGTCTTTGGTTACCTCCGGGACCAGACCATTCAAGGAAAGGAATTAAGAACAGCATAGAAAGCATTGGATCATGGTGTTACGAGTATTTTGATCAAGAGTCTTGTGTACACTGGCAGTGTGTGTATCAAAGGGACATTTTTTATATTGTTGCCTATTTCTGTGTTGCGTGTTTCGCTGCGCGGCCCCATCGTGAATTCGTGTACTCGCCTCCCTACATTCTTATTTACACTTGGCATATAACATCCATATAATTAGGTACATACCCATTATAATGTGAACGGCGCAATAAATTCTTGGGGATATTGAGAATTATTATTTGTTAGTGATTTTATACATGTCTTTTCTATACTCAACAAACCGATAACAGAAAATGTCACGAGTATCAATTTGTCACGCAGACAGACTTTGGTGACCCTCCAGAACGGAACGCAGATGATGGGGTGAGCCACTGCAAGCTAATGCAACCAGTAGACCTTAGTGCCGAATTATTAGCTCTTTCCCGAGTATCCTAGCGGACGATTTCAGGTATCGATACCGTTAATAGAGTTACAGAGTCGATAGCGTTAGTAACTTTCCACTATACCCCTCTAAAACATGCATGTGGGTTAGCGGGTGGCGGGGCAATTAGCACCTGTTATCGTTGTCTTTAAGCAACAACCCTCCGACCCCGACCCTCCCTCCAAGCTTATTTTTCCCATACGTATTGTATTGTACATCACTGCTCACATGTTCCTCTTACAACAAATTTAGCTTCAGAGGAGCCGCAGAAAACGAAAATCACCACCCCCAGGGATCTGGATCCAGATTACCCGACTATCGCTCACGATCTTTTCCTCGTACCAACTCATAATTCCAAAAACATCAAGCTCCAGCTTATCCGGGCTGGATAAGTCCACACCCCGCCATGACATCAGATCCCCCACCAGGTCGAACGAGTTCGCCAACGGGTAGCTTCTACGCTATGAGCGACGACGAAGAAGGCGAATACGATACCATCACACATACCGAGAGTGGAAAAGGTGTCAAACTATTGTATTCCAAGAGCAAAGTTTACATCCATCCAACTCCTTCCGCCAAGGATAACATTCCAGGCTTTATCGCGCTATTACAACAAAAAGGTCCACGCGGCGAACGACCAACATCATCCTCTTCCGCAATCTCCAACTCGCCAGCATCTTCAGATCTTCTCCTAGCTTGGTTACCTGAATCTTCGCTCGGCGAAGCTGCGAGTATCTATGTTAAGGTAGATCTAACCGATGCCGAGTCCCCGCCGAAACAGAGCTATCTCGTACCACCACCTCCTACCGTAACCACCCACAAAGGCTCGATTGGTCACTATGCCTTCGCGATACCAGTCAGCGCGATATACTCTCTCCTAGTGCGCCCTCCAAGCTTAGGATGGTGGTTTGGCTCTCTTGTTATCAATACGAGAGCCGGGGATAGCTTCCCGGCTTTATTCTTTCACGACAGCGAATGTCAATCCACCATACTCCAGAAGAAAAAGCGAGCTAGGGATAACTTCGACCCCTTTGGCGAAAATGGCCAGATGTTCTGGGGAGGCGATGAAGTCCTCCGCTGGCTGAAACGCTACGTGCGGATCGAGAGGAGTGGGGCTGAGCCGAATATCTACCTAGTAGAACCCAGCAAGGAAGATAGTGAAGCCTTTGGTGGGAAGTTGACGTCCAGCACACCTTCGTCGATCGGCCGGCGAGATAGTTCTCAAGGGTTGTCCTCGCGGCGTGCTGCTGGGACTTCCGCGGCTGGGCCGAGTGGCCAAAATGACGGTGGCATGGATCCTGTTATGAAGTTCGTAAAGGAGACTGGGTGGAACCTCTTGGAGAAGTTTAGTAAAGTCACGACGTTCACGCGCAGGACCGCACAGGAAATTATAGATAACCCCAGAGTTCCGCCCCAAGTACGGAGGTTGATGAGAAATCCCGAAGTCCAGACGTTGCAGGATGAATTCGATGTCGCCAGGATATACCTTGCCAGATGGGCAATGGGAATGGCAGAGCAAAGCGAAAGGGAGCGAAGCCAGAGGATATGGACCGCCCGTGATGTCATGGAGTTGGAAGATACCGATGTTGGAGAATTCGAGCTGCTAGAAACAAGCTCCCTATCTCTGGAAGGACGAAGGAAAGCGGTTACACTTAAAGAGTGGAACACCTTCTTTGATCCTAGAACTGGACGCCTGGCTATTACTGTTGATGAAGTCAAGGAACGAGTGTTCCATGGTGGTCTTGACCCAGATGACGGAGTTCGCAAAGAAGCCTGGCTTTTCTTGCTCGGCGTATATGACTGGTATAGCACAGCTGAGGAACGAAAGGCGCAAGTTGCGTCCCTAAGGGACGAATACGTGAAATTGAAGGCTGCCTGGTGGGAAAGGCTGGTAGATCTTGGTGGTGAAGGGGAGGAAGGCGAATGGTGGCGAGAGCAAAGAGGGAGGATTGGTAAGTTTTACTATCCAAACTCGCAATTTAATTATACTAACATTGAATCTAGAGAAGGATGTACATCGGACTGATCGAACAGTCCCGATTTTCGCAGGGGAGGATATACCCCATCCCGATCCAGAGTCTCCCTTTGCCGAAGCCGGAACCAACGTTCATATGGAACAGATGAAGGATATGCTTCTCACTTACAACGAATACAACAAAGACCTTGGCTACGTTCAGGGCATGTCCGACTTGCTCGCACCGATATACGCTGTTATGCAAGACGATGCGATTGCTTTCTGGGGTTTCCAACATTTCATGGACCGAATGGAGCGAAATTTCCTGCGCGACCAATCCGGCATGCGAAATCAACTCCTCACTCTGGATCACTTGGTTCAATTCATGGACCCCAAGCTTTATGCTCATCTCCAATCTGCTGACAGCACTAACTTCTTCTTTTTCTTCCGCATGTTACTCGTATGGTATAAACGTGAGTTCATTTGGATGGACGTCTTGCACCTCTGGGAGATACTGTGGACAGACTATCTGAGCAGCAGCTTCCACTTGTTCGTCGCTCTGGCTATTCTAGAAAAGCACCGAGACGTGATAATGGTGCATTTGCGCCATTTTGATGAAGTGCTTAAATATGGTAAGTCGCACAGGATGTCTTCTAGATTATTCATTTCTAATCCATGTTCTAGTCAACGAACTTTCAAATACAATGGACCTTGAGTCTACATTAATCCGAGCAGAGGCTCTATTCCGTCGTTTCCATCGATTGATCGATGCGATAGACAAGAAACAGAATTTCCCTGCGCCAAGGACCCAGAAAGATTCGCCTCCGGGAAATTCTGCGTCTCCCTCTCGACCGCCGGCAACATCGCGCCAGTCAGAGGGTTCGAATGGCAAAGCACCGGAGGAACAGGCAAAGAAGACGATCACTCCCGAGCTGAGGAAGCTGCTGAGTAGAAATGTGGAAGTATTACCGCGAAAAGTAGTTCATAAGAAGGGCGATGGCATCACTGCCGAGACTGCGTAGGAAGTGGTTTAAGCAGCTGGTCGCACAAAGGTAGAATCTGATTTTGGCCGGGTGTACTTTTAACATTGGAGGAAACGCAGGATTGGGCGCATTGCGAGGCAAATAAGACTAGGCTTGAAGGGTATGGCGTTGGGTTTATGTAGTATCACGAATGGCGATAAAGAGGGCTACCGTACTCCTACAGCGCCATCATCATTCCTCTCAAGGTTAAACAGTCCACATAATTGATATTCGAAATTCCACAGCCGTTCACGTACATATATCGCTCGACAGGTTGATAAAATAGAGGCCACGTGACACTTAAAATAAATTCGATAATGCTCCGATAGATAACAACCTATGCCAACCCGATGGTAGCAGTAATAGTTCCCTTGCCTTCACTCCGATGAATTCGCACGGTAACGCATATATTACAACAGTACAAACTGCTTCCGCATTCCTCCTATTTCTTCCTCGCTCCCTCGTACATCGTCTTCGACCTTGGACACGAGCTCAGCTCGTTCTGGATTAGAATTCCTGCTCCTCTTGGAAGAACATGCCAAACGAGATGATAGTCCCGTAGATTAGCAGACCTCCGATGATGCACATAACCATGGCGGCGGTGTTGATCAGAGCTGCGTGTGCTAGGACGGCGGGGAGGGCTAGATTGTGAAATTATCGGTTAGCAAAATGATGCCTTCTACAGTATTCGTGCGTGTCGTATCATTATAGCCACGCGCTTAAATCACGCCAACACGCATATACTCCCCTCCCTCTCTTTCGAAAACGTAGAAGACTACTTAAATGTAGATAAGAAAACTCAAGGACCCTTACCAATCCCCATAACGACCATGAAACCTGTGCAGAAGCGACCAAGGTCCAAGATGCCATTTCCGGTGCTTTCAACGAAGTCGTCTGGGTTTGAGCAGCGCACGGCGATCCAGTTCGGTACGGGTGCTAACACGTAGGTGGCCACGACGAGTAACGGATAGTATACTTTGTATAGCGCGCACGAGAGGATGACGAGGAGGAAGCCGATCGCGAGTACGAACGACAGCGCAATTATCGTCTTGAGTCCGGCAGTCGCCATCGTGGGCGGTTTTACGACGAGCGAGAGGGTTGGAGGACGGTGTACGTATGCGCGACGGACTCGATTTCGGTTGCTTGCGGGATTGAAATGATAGGGAGATTGGAGTCGACTCGATGAAGTAAGAGACTCTGATTACTCTGATTTACCGACGGTCGCAAATCGGTTCCGGCTCGATTGGATTAAAGTATATGACAAAGAAAAAAGGCTCGCCGCGTCACCAGTTACGGGGGGAGATTAGTGGTGGTGATAGTGAGAGTGATAGGATAATAATGTTACAAGATGTTGTCGTCAGACTCAGCCTCGGGCAAGCGCCCGGCTTCCCTATCAAAGCTACAAGCCAGTTGGGGTCCGGAAGCTTGAGCCACAATTTCTAGGCTCCCCTGTAAATCATTGAGGTCTGGTTGGAGATGAATTGTTTTAGGTACTTCGCTACAAATATTACATAATAAAATTCTCCTGTCACTTTACATAAGCGTGAAGCTAGGGTACTCAGACTAGTCCTAAAAGAGAGGAGCAACGAAGCTCTTGAGCTGCCTTGCCGATTGCCTTTAACGTTCTGTAATTCGAGTAGCAGCGATAGCTACCAACCAGCCTTGCCTCTCCCTCCTACAATATCCAACCTGCGAATACCCTCCTAACGCATCCACGCCAATTTCACACTTCACACCGACTACAACCAAAGATACCTAAACTTCAATTACTGGCACGATGTTCCGAAACAATTACGACAACGATTCCGTCACATTGTAAGCTCCAAGAGACCGACTATGTAACCATTCCTCGTCGGTATTGCTAACTATACACAGCTCCCCGCAAGGGAGAATATTCCAAGTAGAATATGCCGCCGAGGCCGTGAAGCAAGGTTCCGTGGTGGTGGGTTTAACTAGCAAGACACATGCCGTTCTAGTCGCTATCAAGGTACGAAGACACCGACAACCAACCCACCAACCTAGACATTATAGTAAATAATACAACTAACACTGCACTTCTCTACTATAGCGAAACGCAGAAGAACTATCCTCCTACCAAAAGAAACTCTTCGCCGTAGACGAACACGTCGGCCTCGCCATCGCCGGCTTAACCTCCGACGCCCGCGTCCTCTCCAACTTCATGAAGCAGCAGTGTCTATCGCAGCGACTAACCTACGACCGTGCGATGCCTTTAGAGACGCTCGTCTCGCTAATCGGCGACAAGGCCCAGCTCAACACCCAGCACTACGGAAAGCGACCCTACGGTGTCGGTTTACTAGTTGCCGGTGTCGATGAGACGGGACCCCACCTATTCGAGTTCCAACCCTCGGGCCTGACCCAGGAGATGCTGGCGTGTGCCATCGGTGCCCGCTCCCAGATGGCGAGGACCTATCTCGAGAAGAACCTGGATAAGTTCCCAGCTTGCGGACGAGATGAGTTAGTTCGTCATGGTTTGAGGGCGCTCAAGGAGACGTTGGTCCAGGACCGTGAATTGACGCTGGAGAACACGAGTGTGGGTGTAGTCGGACTGAAGGAGCCCGGTAAGAAGGGCCTTGAGTTCTTTAAGGTGCATGATGGCCCCGAGGTTAAGGATTGGATTAACAGCGTAGCGGATGATGCTGAGGCAGGTGGTGAGGGTGAGAGTATGCAGGTGGATGAGTAGACAAGCACTTTACGTAAGTAAAGGTTCTCGGCTTGAACCAAGGAAATTCCACGGAAAATAATGAAGTTTCTACCGCGAAGGGGGACAGATTAGTGGACGTGGCCCGCCATGCTTGCTTGCATTTCACTCGGGCGTAAGGACTCGGGATGGATGCCCAATATTTGTCGCGGCATCGCCATCTAAATAGATGTATCAATAGACGACAAACAATGAGGAAAATCAAATCACGAAATAGCCCAACATAGAAGGGGGGCAAAATTGGAGTTTCATGATCCAAAATATGATATATTGCTATATTTCATCCTCTTCATCGTCAAAATCGTCTTCTCGCCCCATCTCATACAGAATTCGGCCACCCTCACCCGCACCGATATCCGTCTGCGCGTCGAAATACGGTAAGACTATACCCTCCCTATCTCTACGCTGCTTTTCCGTCAAGCCTAGGTTGAACGTAGTCTCCATCTCCCCATCACCTTCGCCTGCAGCCCCCTGCTCAGCATCATTCGGGCTCTTAAATGCGGGGTGATCAGAAAGCAAATAAAGCCTCGATGTCTCAACCTTCCCGTTTCCGTTCCCGTTCTCGATCTGGGCCGCCGTCCTCGGCACAAGCACAAACGTCTCAGCCACAGCCCGCCCACTCCGCCGGCGTAACTCCATCTCCAGCACAATCCCCGTACCCGCAGCGACTTTCTTCTCGCCACCAAGTCCAACAAGCACACCTTCCCGCCCCTCACCTAACCCCCACTCCGGCTCCTGCAGACTCCGGTCCCGCGCACGCTGGCGCTCGATCGCTTGGTACAAGCTCCCGACTCTTAACACGGCGGTAGCTAAATGGCATAGCGCGGCTAGGGGGTCAGGTTCATACTCACTACTTCCACCCGAAGGTCCATTTCGTCTAGGAGGTAGTGGTACATCCGCATGATACACGCCTAGCAACGAGACCGCCGGCGCTGCGGCTAGAGCTGAGAGGAAAAGAGCCAAGTCTGAGGGGGGAGTGGTGGAGGCTAGTCCGTTGAGCTCGTCGAATATGACGAGTACGCGGTGCGCGTGCCCCGCGGCGCCGGAGGGGTAGTGCGATGCTATTTCTGCGCGGAGGGCGTCGGGGGTTTTGTGACGCGCTTTTATGAATATGTCGACGTTGGCGGGTTTGTGGAGGGTGGAGAAGGATGTGAATATTGTTTTGCTTTTGGATGTCTGGGGGTTTGTTAGTGAGTGTATATAATTTGGAGTAGTGGGGTTAGGCAATGAGTGAGCGCTGAAAGTGAGTAACCCAACTTCACTGGTACAAAGGAAAAGGAGGGTTAACGAAGAGCGACTACCGACCTTGGCTCTACTGAGGAACTCTTGAACTACAGGTTTGCCATTCTGTTCAAGAGTATCGAGCACCAGTGTTAAAGGACTGGCATTATCTCGTAGGTTGAGTAATTTCTGCAGAAGTAAAAGCGCATGCGATCTAGCATGCGACTGAGTGGATGATGGCATATTGCTGCCGTCTCAACGAATATGGGTTGATGCGATAGCGTAATGCCTAGAATTCGACGAGGTATTATCGAATGATTATTACTTAAGACTGTCTCAGTCTAGAATTTATTGTATAAATACGAGTAAGTTCCTATAAAAGTTAAAACTTCCAAGGTTCACATCATGCAGGTACTGTGGATGAAGTTTGTTCGATTGCCGAGCTAGAGCTACCCTAGTTTATCCCCGCAGCCCTAATTGAGGAGCTGACTGGGCGGCTTATAGCGGGCTCCACTACCCTCATTTCCAGCAGGCAAGATCGGCTCGGGGTAGATCTACAGTTACTTTACGTTATTTTACAGCGCATCTCATCCCTAATTCAACCTCTCTCATTCCTTCTTCTATATTGCCTAATATACCTCACATTCAACAGCTTCTCCATGCAATACCACGCGACCTCGCTTAGACGTTGCTTTCGCATCTCACTAGACTCTAAACGAGAATAAGCTTATTATCTTAAAGTGAGAAAGTAGATGATCATCGAACTAGACGCTCATCCGCGGCTCAAAACTTCCGTTACTTCCGTCGCAATGAAGCAACTCACCGCGTCTATCACGGCTTCAATGCCCCAGCTTCGCGGGGATTTATTTTCGAATGCGTACAATTAATATACAAGCTTATTTTCTCTCCCTTGGCCCAATATGTCTACCGTTCCCCTCAAACCGGGGTCTGTACTATTGTATGGTTGAAGATGTACAAATAGAAATTGGGGTTCCTTTACGGAGCTCCTCCCAGCTGTTGGAAGTTTCAGTTTCCATACACAGCGGTAGTATCCGAGAATCTTGTTCTATCTTTGAGTAGCTGTCGTTGTTGTTGTTGTGCGTTCACTATGGTTAGTTCTGTGCTACAAGCCCTGGCGGGTGCTCTAGTTTTAGGGCTTAGCGCCGCTGCCCCCGTTGACCACATGCTGGAAACCCGGAACTTCGCTAGCAAAGCCGGTCTAGCTATCACCGATAGTTACCATACACTCGCAAGAATCCCGCGCCGGCCAGGTACCTCGCGAACTTATGATATGCTTCGACAGAACCAAAGGAACCGAGCGTTAATGGATGATGATGAGCCAGAAGGGTACGACAACCTCAGGCCTGAATCGCACCAGGTGGAATACATCATGGAAGTTGGCATTGGATCAGAGAAATTCTATATGATCCCCGACACTGGTAGCAGTGATACCTGGATTATTTCGGACGGGTTCAAGTGCTTGGACCCCTTCTATGGTCTGGATATACCCCAAGAGGAGTGTGGCTTCGGTCCGTTATTTAAGGGTGACTTCCCCGATGGCAAGATCGATAACCAGAATCTGAATATCTCGTACTTGAGTGGTGATTATCTAAATGGCCCCATGGGATTCGCAAAGTAAATATCCATCTATTACCCACCATGAATCCATCGCAAGCTAACTAGAAACCCTCAAGTATAACTGTGGCCAATGTCACTATCCCTAAGCAACAGTTCGCACTGGTAGATGTAGCTGCATTTGGTGGTGATGGTGTATCAAGTGGCATCCTCGGTCTCGGCTTGCGAGGGCTCACCGCGGCTTTCGCCGGCAATGATCCCCGAAACGACAGCCTAGACAACCTGCTAAACTATTCTCCTCTCGTCGAGACAATGGGCGCTAGCAAGGCAGCGGATCCAATTCTAAGTTTTGCTATGTCGCGTGACGTGAATCGATCCTATATTGCTTTTGGTGGTGTGCCTCCTGTCAAGACCGGAGAATACACTACAGTCCCAATTCAAAAGGTATGAATCACTCCCGCCAATATTAAGATCCAAGTGAATGTTAAAACTAACATCCAAACCTAAGGGAACTACGAACAGCGGCAAGACAGACTATTTCTATTATGACATCGCAATCGATTCAATCTCATGGAATAGTAGCACAATCAACCAGACAGCGACGAACCTACCGAATATGCTCGTAGACTCGGGAACTACAATCAACCTATTCCCAGATGTCGTAGCACAAGCCATCAATAACGCATACTCGCCCGCCGGACAGCAAGAGGATAGCATGGTATGGAGTGTACCATGCGATGCGATACCTCCAACGCTCGATATCGTGATTGGCGGCAAGGCTATTCGTACTCACCCCAGCAGTATGATACTACCCGAGACCGCAGCTGAGGGTTCTAACCGTTGCTTGTCTGGTATTGGTGCCGGCCAGCCTGGTTCGTTTATCCTGGGTGATACTTTCATGCAGGAGATTGTCGCTGTGTTCGACGTCTCGGATAAGAAGGAGCTTAAGTTTGCCCAGCGATTGGATTAAGCCATGCTAGGAGAGCTTCGATCTAAGGATAATAATGTTGATATTTCTTGTATTTACTATTAAGGGTACATACTATATTCTATTTCAGTAACCTGCGATATGTAGTAGACGAAACGAGTCGCTTACGTAAAAGAGAAATACGTCTGCGTCTAGGCTTGGTTGGCAAATATAGGCATATGAGTGCCTAATTGAAGGTCTTATTAACTGTGGAGTCAAAATATGCTTCACAACCCATACGCTATCAATCCAACTTTCGATATCTTTAAGTTTTAAAAGTATCAATCCTATTGCCTATGTCTTTAGAAGAGTGGAAGACTGGATGTGGAAGGGGCGCTGAGGAAAAGGGGTTGCTGCTGACTAATCATGCCCCTATTCCTCAACCTTGAGCCAACAATAACTGTTAGATTGACAAATAACCTCTTAGGGACTGGAATTGCGACTAAATAACTCACCGGGAAGTTCTTAAGGATTAATTATGAGCGGAACTCAATTCTACAACTACGGTTGTGCCTATGGCTCACTCGTGTGATTCCTACGAGCTACAGGATACTTCACTCACCACTCCCTCATACACCACATCTTCACTCCCCACACCAATTTACCTAGAGGATATTCTATTACGCCCCATGGTAAGGCATGGGAAGGTGGAAGGAGCCCTATTTGCGTTAAACTTTTGGGTTTGCTTTAGTAAAAGCCAGGAATCGAGGTCTTAAGTTTACGATTGAGTTCGTTGTTTAACTTACGCATGTCGCCGACATCGCTTCTTTACTTGTTTCTAGATAGCAAGAAGGAGCGTTTGATGTTTGGAGTCATGGGGCGTGCCATGGGAAGATAGCGTAGTATATACTTGGGTACAGACCTGATTCTCTAGGGTCTGGGTTTGTTTTTAGAGTGTACATACAAGAAATCCTCTCTAGGGGTATTTATTCCTGTTAGATTACGAAATAGAAATTGTCATTTATGGTTATAGCATTACCTTTCACGTATTTTGCGCTAATTTTCTGTCTCCTTGCCGTTGGTATGTTAGAACTTTTCGATGTGACTAGTGACTTTCGTTCTTTCCCTCTCCTTTCATAACTATCTCATGAGTAACTTGAGTTTAAAACAAGGGTCACAAGGCCTAGAAAAGTACGAAATTTCGGTGCGTTTGTGTGGAACCTTAAGTCACGTCAGAGAATGTCTATGTGGGAATTTCATAGGGAGGATAGTTTAGTGATTCAATAGAAGCGCTTTTCTATATAAGATAGGACTATGCCTCTTAGGGGGCTACGTGGGAATAGCCGTCTGATCTGTAGCCTAGAGAATACGCTACCTTCCAATTAGCATATAGATATTTCGGTGATACTTTCGCAAGTAATATGGCATAATCAAAGCGATTCATAGCCGAGGAGCGTACTCGACTAATCAGTACTTACCTAGGTGGAAAGCACACAAGCCAATAGCTGTAGTAGCTCAGTGGAGTCCAGTACCGCCCAGTACAGTGCCCCTGAGCATCTTCTTCACGAAGTCGCGACTACAGTTTCTTCGCAACCATAACCCTGTTAACCCCTGTTAGACACTGTTACGCCGACTCTCAAACTCGCAAATTTCGTAGGTAGTAACTTCCTCGTCCGTAAACACAGGAAAACATAGAAAAAGTGTGGCCCATGCATTTGTCGCTGGAGGGGTATTTAACAGTCCAAAACTTCACTCTCCCATTCTTTCTCCTCTCTTCTCACCTCCTAGTATCCTTTCCTTTTCCCAATTCACTTTCCATCTTCCCCATTCCTCTTTCTTAATTTCCAACCTAGGAACAACAATCAACACACCACGGGAACACTTCATAATCACCTATAAACCCTTTCCCTTTCCTACCCTCATTGTGGATTCACTCCTTTCGACCGGTCAGCCAGACGTCTAAGGAATCTCGTCATCGCACCAAAGCGTGGTTCACACAGACTGACGCAGAACCGTGGACGACTCTCTGTCCCCCAAGTTCAACAACCTTAGTGCCTTGCCACTGTTTTACGCCACTCGCGAGATGTCTATTCAAGTAGGACACCATTCCGTCAGTACGGAATCAGCATGCCGCCTCAATTATATCGTTTCGGGAACTAACCTCGACATCACGAGCAAGCTGGCGGACATGAACAATGCGCCTAGCGAAGTCTCAGTCGTTCAGTGCTACGCAATGATTGAAGCTGTCCTCCCTTGGGGACACAAAGACGAAAGTTCAATGTCTCGCCTTGAGTACATCGTTCACACGATCGCAAAGACGACGAAAGGCAAAGATAGCGGCTTGTCGCCGATCGAGCACTGTGCGGTCATGGAAGCGGAATCGACTTTCAAAGAGTCTCGAGGTAGTTATACGCCCCCTTTCTCTTCATACCAAAGTCTCAATTGACATTTTGTAGGCCTATACCAGAACGTAGGGCAGGTTTCTCATCGCCAGGACTCCTCTACCCAGACGGAATCCACTGGGACTGGGCTTGCCACCAGTAAGGCTCACATGGAGGAGAAACAACAAGCGACTAGCTCCAAGCCGGGTGCCCCCCACCAACCTGTAGAGCCTACTCCTAGCCTGCCCAAACCTGAGATTAGGCAGTTTGGAGGAATGGCTATCGCTGTCAACAACACCAAGGAGGCCTGCACGGCTGAGATGAAGAAACTTGGGTTAAAGGGTCTTGCGTCGTCGCGTTGGGCGTGAGCGCGCTGCCTCAGGTAAGTCCATAATGTCCTTCATGGTATCTACCTAATGCACAACGCATAACTAACATCTCTTTGGTGACAGATGGCCCTTTCTCTACTTCCATTGCCATATCATCTGGAACTGGACAAGCGAGATCGCCTTATGGCAATGGTTTTACGACATGCAGCTCGGTTTCCTCAACGCACTACCCCTCCAAAATTGGGGGTGGGTGGTCTTCCTTTCAATCAATTTTCACTACGTTGACAGCACTCCTACCGGCCTACGTGTCTGGTGAGGGGGTGGGCGGTCCCCAGGTTCCCCTTGAAGGTACCCCAGCCCCAACAACAGCAGCCCCGTGATTCTGTGCCTGGACCAGGTGGCCCCCGGCTTCGATGGAAATGCGGATTCGCATGCTCTTACTCTTACTCAAGCTCGTGGTAAGAATGACCTTGGTCCCCCCTCCATTCACTAATGGGCCATCTTCGTGGTCACATGTTCTGTGGCGACTCCAGACCTCTCAAGAAGTTAGCCAAAGAAGGGATGAAGGCAAGCGGCCTAGATGCCCCCAACTGTGGACGCCTCATACTTTGAGAGTTTGTTAGTGGCGTTGTGTACTGGGTTGCGAGGGCTTGACGTTTGGCGACTTTCAATGATCCTACCGCGAGAAGCCGTAGGTGGGGGTATGAGGTGCTATTGCTTGGTTAGGGGCCAACAGACCGCTCACGCGCTGGCGGAGGTAAATGCGTCAATTGCCCGAATTTGAGCTTAAGGCGAGGGGACAGTGGCCAATCCATAGTTTCTTAGTAAGGGCCAGGACGTTGATTTCACTAGCATGGCAGTTATCGTATTTCTTTTTTTCCTAGGTTCGATTTCTATATTGTGTCAATGGTGTATAGTATGAAACAAGCACCGGCCCTGAATATGATGTGATTATAGTCGTAACTATGAATTTGCCAACTGATGTTGACATCCCAAAAACTATTAATCGTTACGCGAAGGCGTGAAGATGTAAGTAGAAGGAAACTAAAATAACTTGAGATCTACTAGGTGTCATAAGGATATATATCTTACGGTGTGTGGTAAATGGATTGAGAAATATATCGGTACACCCATACATGGTCCGCCTTGCCTTATTTCATTGATAGCGTCGCCGGCGCAGTTATTTGATACCATATTCATCAGCTCCAGTGATTCATTTAGAGTCTTTGTTGGGATTGGCTTTAGAACATGAGTACTGGCTGTTACACGCGAAACACATACAAAGGCTCTTTACACAATACTGTACTGAGCCTATTGGGTTTTTTGTGATCGAGAAAACCGTAATTAAAATGTGACTTCGGCCTAGGTATGGTGAATGAAGACTGTAAATATTGTTAATATTGAAGTAGGTGGTAGCCTGGACGGGTGTACATCTCATAAGGATAGCGTGACAATTGTCAGGTCACTGGCTCACTAGGTAATCTGAATAAAGAGGCTGTATCGTTCATCTAATCTCCCATTGTGAGAAAGCGTGTCAATTGAGGTCTAACCAATAATCAAATTAGGGGTACCTAACCTTGGTCCCGTGGTTTGTACGCTCCTTCTGACGGCCCCACATCCGCAATTCCACGAATCGCGAATCAAGGTGGTAGTGTCAATCGTTCCGTTTATCCGCGTCGGCTCTATCGACTCGGACTCAACGGGCGGTTGAAACCACCGATACGGTTCATGTACTGTCGGTATTCGGTCTTCTTCTCCTTCCTCACGCCTCCAGCATTGTTCCCTGGTATGTGGGTGTTCTTTGTCGTGCCGAAGCCGCCAAATCCCATCATGGCTTGCATGGCGCTTAGGCCGTCGTCTTCTACCACCACATCATCACCATCGTCCTCGTCCTCGTCCTCGTCCATAGCATCTCCATCTTGTGAATTAGGTGTCTCAGTCTTTACCCGGCGGTCGGGTTCGTCCTCTGATCTGTTTCCTGTTTTCCCTTTGCCGTGTTTTGAGTCGTCGTCGTGCTTTCCTCCGACTTTGAATGATAGTGGTCCATGCTCTGATTTCATGGCACTGGGTCTTGGTCTTGTTGGGAGAGGTGAGTTGTGGTCTAGCCTGTCTAATGGGCTCTGAGCTGGTGATGCAGAACGTCGGGGATTTCGATCTCGGCCTGGTCCTGCTTTATGGTTAACTTTATGTCTACACACTGGGTAGGAAAGACCGATAGAGAACATACCTTTAGGTGGGGCTTCTTCTTTCTCGCGACGTTTGTCCCGTCCTGGTCTATCGCGACGATCATCTTCCTTAGGTCGCGCTCTATCGTTATTTCGGGGCCTATTTCTATCGGCATCGCGATCACGTTCACGTTCACGTTCATGTTCACGGTCGCGGTCCCTGTCTCTGTCTCGGCGATCGCGAGGCCTATCGCGGCGGTCTCTTCGAGGTGACCTTGATCTAGATCTATAGCGACGGTCTCGTTCTCTGTCCCGGTCGCGATTGCGCGGTGGTTCCTCTCGATCTCGATTGCGACTATCTGGTTTGTCGCGTACGTCGGGCTCGTGGCGATTGTGACGGTCGGATTCATCCCACATCTGCTTGCTGTCTGGGCGGTTTCGTCGTCGCCTAGGTTGGTCGGCCATGGCTGATAATCCCATAGATATAGTCGATTAATTGAATGTATAAGAGTAGGTTTCGGGGTAGGGCGTTATTAATGGCGAAGTTATGTAAAGAATAAAGAGAAAGCGCAGATAGAATTAAGGTTATCGTGAGGCTACGCTAAAAAGGGCGCCAAAAGAAAGCTACCTAAAATATTTACTGTCGGGTTTTAGGTGGGGTCTGCCCTGGAATAATGGGGGTACGTACCGACTTACTACACTCCAGGGCTAAAATAACAGGGGTGACAGGAGGCTGGGACCCTAGCGGTAGCTTCTCCAAATTCTAATACCGTGTTCACTTTCTTAAGCTGCGTAAGCTTTATAGGGCTGCTCAATTTATTTATTTCCACCTCATCATTGCGCCTTCTATTGTCTGAGAAGGAAAATATACTGCTTCGATGCCGTCATGGCATTATTAAGCCAATTGACAGCTTTGCTGTCTTTTCTTTTTCTTTCCTTATTTGCTTTGCCGTCATTCGGTGAAGCTCAGAACGAAGGTGTGCTCAATGCTGAGATCGGCCGCTTGAACAACCAAAGTCTACTATGGGGTCCTTACCGCCCTAATTTGTATTTTGGTGTGAGGCCTAGAGTACCCAAGAGCTTAACAACCGGTCTTATGTGGGCCAAAGTTGATAACTATGTTGATGTTCAGAATAGTAAGCCATATAAATCACAATATATTTGAATAAATTTAATGGATGATTATTTACTTATGTGTGTTTAGGCTTCCGTTACACTTGCGAGCAGAATGAGGGAATGGCCGGTTATGGATGGGATGAGTATGATACTCGAAAGGGTGGCGTCCAGCATGTTCACGATGCTGGAAACAAGATTGACATCACTACTGAGTTCGTCAAAATCCCTGGTGGTGGTCATGGTGGAAGTTGGGCCGCCCGCATCAAAGGTGAACCTCGAGAGGATGCTCCTTCAGACCTCAAGACCACTGTTCTATTCTACCTAGCTTCCGAGGCCCTTGGCGAAACTATTGAGGTCGTCAACGATGGAGATGACACCGGATTCAGTGATGACGTGGCCTTTATCGGCTCGTCTGTGGTTCTAGGGGACTACAAGTTAGTCATTACTAAGGGCAGAGGCGAACATCCCAACAGCGGTCACCCTATATCGAGTACGAGAGACCTCGACAAGACGATCGTACAATCGATAACTCTACCCGAAGAGCACTTATGGCAGGCCAAGCAATTGCTATTCCAGCAGCTCAAGGCGGGCGTCGACGAAATCATTCAGGAGTATGGAGCCGACAACGCGCCACCCCCGTGGCAAGTGTATCAGCTTGGAAACAAGCCCGGCATCGGTAACATACACTTTGTCCAGAAGGTATTCGAGGGAGCCTTCGAATTCGATATTCTATTTTCGAGTGGTTCAGCCAGCAAGGAAACTACTAGCGAGGATCTAACTCGAGAGATCAAGTCAACTACTGAAGCTTTTAACGAGCGATTCACCGACGTTTTCGCGCCACAAGCCCCGTTTAATAAGGATAAATATGGCAAGTTTGGACGAAGCATGCTTTCTAACCTTGCTGGAGGCATTGGATATTTCTACGGAAAGCACGTCGTTGACCGGTCGTACGCACCCGAATATGACGAAGAAAACGAAGGGTTCTGGGAAGAGACCGCCGAAGCTCGCGCTCGCAGACAGGAGCAGCTTGAGGGACCATACGAGTTGTTTTCGAGTATTCCGTCCAGGCCATTCTTCCCACGTGGATTTCTATGGGATGAAGGCTTCCATCTTCTTCCCATTGTCGACTGGGATATCGATCTGACTCTCGAAATTGTGAAGAGTTGGTACAATTTAATGGATGAAGATGGCTGGATTGCCCGAGAGCAGATTCTCGGTGAAGAAGCCCGAAGCAAGGTACCGCCTGAATTCCAGGTCCAGTACCCCCACTATGCCAACCCGCCGACGCTGTACCTAGTCCTTGAGCAATTCACGGAGAGATTACAAAAGACGAATGGAAGCCAGGTTGCGGGTAAAAAAGAACATTTGTCGCAAGATACCGTCCTTGGGAGCGCCCATGCGGATAACCCGGAACTAGGTATAGAGTACCTTCGCAACTTATATCCTCTGTTGCGACGACAGTTCCTGTGGTTCAAGAAGACCCAATTTGGTGATATCAAGGGGTATGATCGGGAGGCGTACTCGACAAAGGAAGGCTACCGATGGCGAGGACGATCCGTTCAGCACATTCTGACAAGTGGTCTTGATGACTACCCCCGTCCTCAACCACCGCATCCTGGTGAGCTACATGTCGACTTGATATCTTGGATAGGCATGATGGCACGAGCATTGGCGAAGATCGCCGACTTCGTTGGTCTTCCAGGAGATGTACAGGAGTACAACCATGTCTTAGACGGCATAACACATAACCTAGTTGACCTTCACTGGTCCGAATCCGCGGGCTGCTTCTGTGACGCTACCATCGACGAATTTGAGGAGCACTCTCTAGTGTGCCACAAGGGATACATCTCTCTATTCCCATTCCTCATGGGCCTATTACAGCCCGACGACCCCAAGCTTGGGAAGACTCTTGACCTCCTAGGAAACGAAGAGGAGCTCTTCAGTCCCCACGGTATCAGGAGTTTAAGCCAGAAGTCTGAATTCTATGGTACAGATGAGAACTACTGGAGAAGCCCCGTATGGATTAACATCAACTACCTTGCCATCGTGCAACTCCGAGTAAGTCATTACCTTCAAATTCCTATCCTAATTTTCCCTTGTTACAATATCTAGCATTCATTCGAGCATTACATAATATCTTTCTGCTTATATAATACTTATATCGCGAGAAAGCTCAAACCCCATATTTTTCGATTACTAAGATTACTAACACGCGATCGCAGAACTACGTTCTTCAACCAGGTCCCTACTCTCACAAAGCCAAGGACCTATACGTCAAACTACGCAAGAATATCGTCGAAACCGTATACCAGAGCTGGGAAGAGACTGGCTTCGCATGGGAGCAGTATAACCCAGAAACCGGTAAGGGCCAGCGAACGCAACACTTCACAGGTTGGACCAGTCTGGTTGTCAAGATCATGGCAATGGATGATTTGAGCTGGTGGACCGGTAGCCACGCGCGGGATGAGCTATGAATAGTACTCACAGGTTTGAGGTGTATAAATGAGGTTGAGGGGTAATTGGTGAAAAAGGGATCACTAAGATAGGTCCCCATGGTAATGTCCAGATTACGTAGATAACGCCAAAATGAATGAAAATTGATTCATGAATGACAATAGAAACGATGATTTATTTTGAAATACCATCTTCTTTCCGTGATATGCGTGGTATCCTGTAATGTTCTACTATTACACTCTATGATGAATTGAGTGGTGAGAACTCCTGTACCCCAACCCTAACCCCATTTATGCTGTTGAGATGCAAAACACCGCTCAAATATCGCGATCCTTTTATAACACAGTTAATCGCCATTTATTTCCCTCTAGTTGACATCATATCCACTTAAATAACACATAGATGTTGAAATATGCGTGTGTATAGATGAATATACATCACGTCTCCTCATCAAATACACCAAGCGGGCCCTTGAGCTTGGTAAACATCTCATCACGCTCGCCCTCAGCCGTACTGAGAGCAGTCACAGCGCCACCGGCTCCGATATGCCAGACTTCAAGTTCTTGTTGGTGGTCCGTCGGCGTAGAGAGATTTTCAATCTTTTCATCATCCCAACGGAATAAACTGCGAATTGTGACACTCCAATCGCCGTGTCCGGCTACATCCATATATCCAACAACACCGGAGTATAAACTGCGTTCCTGGTGTCCTTCAATCTCTTGCAAGATTTCGCAGCTACGTTTTTTAGGAGCGCCGGTCATACTTCCAGGGGGTAAACTTGCGGCTAAGACGTCGAGTCCCGTTTTCTTTTTTGTACCCTCTTCTTCTTGGGGTAACCTGCCTTCGACGACGCTGATCATCTGGAACACGCTAGCATATTCCTCTACAACGTTGAGCTTAGGAACAGCAACGCGACCGGCGCCGCATGCACCATGCAAGTCATGGCGCACCAGATCAACGATCATCAAGTTTTCGGCCTCTTCTTTTGGTATGTGAAGGAGGGCTTCAGCCTGCGCGAGAGTAGAGACCTCGCGCGACTTGCGCACCGTTCCTTTCATCGGGCGCATCGAACACAACCCATCGGCACTAAACTCGAGGAAACGTTCCGGCGAGCTACTAATTAGGGTTGCGCCCCCGAGCCGAATATACGACCCAAACGGCGCCGGCTGACGAGAGCGCAGAGATCGGTACAGTTGCCACGAAGTTTGGGGCGGTTTTCCGGGGTCTAGAGGTACTAGTAGAGACGTGTCTGTCTTAAGTCCTCGAGGTCGTGTGATGTGCGTCTGGTCCGTGAGGCATAATTCGTATGAATCTCCCGAGGCTATAAAATCTTGGCATTTCCGGACTTTCGCCTCGTACTCATCAGCATCTGGCGCGTTAATGTTCGCTTTCGAGGAAGCAAACTGAGGCGTCGGCGGAGGTGTTAGTTGGCTGAGTCGTGCCCGTTTAGCAAAATTCGCTCGAAGCCCATCCGACCAAATCGGCGAATTCGACAGCTTTACGGCGACCGAGTCCGCCCAGGTCTTCCCCTCCGATTCCGACGGGAAAAGATGCTGAATTCGTATCGTGCCTTTCGTATGGTCGATCGCAATGCTTTTAGTTACCCAGGCGAAACAGAGGTCTGGTCTATTGTGACCTCTTTCCTTATGTAGTCCGACGTCGATGCCTTCTAAGCCAAGTTCGTATGTGGTAAAACCCATAAAACCGCCTAAGAAAGGGGTTGATTCGTCATCCGCCTTTATTTTGCGCTCGGTCCAAAATCCAGCTAAAAATTGCCATATGGTTTGATGAGGACTGAAGTGAATCTTCGAAACTTCTGCTGGAGCTTTCTGTGAAATTGGATGGTGCGCTGTGACATGCTTGTCTCCGGTCCTGTATTCCAATCTCAATGCTTCATCAACATCCAAAGCGATAATGCTGTATCGCCCTCGCACATCGGCCCCGATCCTATTCGCTTTCGCGCTTGCCGAATCAAGGATGATAAAATCTCTTCTATCGCCTTGTAATATCTCCACAATATCAGGAACCTCGATATGAATGGGAAGTTTGATAGTCTTGGAATCATAGTGATAGCCTACTCCAAAGGACGCTAACTCGCTATTGGCCCATGGACGGGAATCTTTCGATTCGTAATCCATATTCTCTTGGGCATCATAGGTGTTGGCCTTTGGTAGTGTTGTGATAGCGCCAAGCGAAGCAACATTTGGGTTTGTTACACGGCCATTCGTGTGGTTCCATCGCATGGCCTCGTTGGACCAATTCTTGATGACAAAATGGCCCGTCGGCTCGGTGCATACAGATTCAGGGTGATATTGTAGACCCCAAAACGGTTTTGTTCTGTGCTTCACACCCATGAGGATGCGTTCTGTGTGATCACCCCGGTCCTCATATACCCACGCCAGGGGAACAATTTCTGGCAAATGAGCGGGGAAGGACCATTTTGATGTCTCCCAATCGTTAGTATTTATTAAGTTTTGCCCAATATCAGCATGAAGACTGTGATAGAGTGTGGCATTGAAAGTTGGGACACCACAAAAGATGTTTCCTTCCTGTGAGCTGGGCCATTGAGATGCATGGTCGATCTCTCGGATCATGCCGTGGAGCCCGGTCTTCAATTTCTTCACGACACCACCACAACTCACAACCAAACTTTGGAAACCCAGACATATCCCGAGTACTGGGACTAAATGGGCCGGTTCAAGGTCCCATATATATCTCATAAGTCCAACGTCTGGAGCCAAGTCAGGCGAGCCGGGTCCCGGGCCACAGACAACGGCATCATAATGACTCAGCAAGTCGGTCAATTTCTGAGCAAAATTCGGCTTTTGCGGATCAAGCTCCGGAAGATCGATGGGTAAAATATCGACATGAGCATCTAGTATCGTCGTTAAAAGCGAAACAATATTATTACTAAAAGAATCATAAGCGTCGATGAAGAGAATCCTTGGGGAGTTCATATTTGTATCTGTAACAAGGTGCTAGCCTCGAATTGCTCGAACATGGTGATTTTTTCGTTCTTATCTTCTGTCCGGCGAATTAATATATAATTATAATTTGCAAAGAAGAGGCATTTATTTCACTTGTTGAGGAATTGTCTTACAATCCTGTAAAGAATTTTCTCAAGGGAAGGGATGAGTTAAGACAGTGAGAATTGAGAGGTATATAATTTTTTGCCAGCTGACATCAGGAAGTTTAGTCTACTAACAGCGCTATTTTATTAAGCTTAAAATAGGGGAAATAAAGCACGGACAGTGGACCGAAGGGAGCCGACTTGAACCGGTCCCATCCCGGCATCGCTACTGCTTTTTTCTCACTTACTTTCCATTAGGTAAGTACCTGCTTCTATATTAATCCATCATTTTGAGATTCTAGGTTTGAAGTTAGAATCGCTTCTCCTAGTTACATGTAGGTTAACTAACTAGATACATAGTGTTGCGATTTTGTCTCTTCATTAGGAACTATCGGAGTAATGAATTGAACTTACGTCTTTCCGAATAGTGGCAATATCACTCATACCCCCAACCACAACAGACACTAAACAGTCATGATATGCCGAGCCCGAGACAGCTTCGTCAACTGTTGTCGCATAAGCATGTCTGTGAATACAACGCACCGGTTTTGTATCGCGTAACACGGGTGGAGTCATTTCGGTTGACGCAGACGGATCCCGCGCTATCTATACCAAGTTTATCGTATTTTTGTAGTAATGCTTCTAATACAATCATATCTTCATTCGCTTCCCCAGTTCAAGCCATACCGCGCGTCTGAAACCTTGTACTCCCGTAAAGCGGCCAGAGCACCCGCAGCATCTTCTGCCGTGACTACGATGTCGGCATTACCAGCTTTCACAAACCCCTCCTGGACGGCTGTCTTGATCCACTCTGTCAGACCGTTGTAGAAACCGTTTATGTTTAACAAGCAAACACCTTTGTTGTGGATGCCTAATTGGTTCCACGTTGCCGTCTCGAGAAGCTCTTCCATCGTGCCATAACCTCCGGGAAGTGCGATGAAGCCGCTGCCAGGGCCACCTTCGATTACTTCCCGCGCCATCATCTGTTTCCGTGTATGCATATCTTTCACAACTGTTGTCCGGCCGTATATCTGCTCCTCCGGTACGTGGTAGCCATTGGCGTCTTTAGTAGTCGAATACGTCGCATCGCGCTCCCATTTTACAAGGGCCTCGGGTATGATACCGTGGACTGCGTCAGGACCTGCTATAGATACTATGGTTTTGGCTACTTCCCCCATTAAGCCTACAGTACCGCCTCCGTACACTAGAAAAACAGATTAGTATGCTATTCAGGCATAGTGAATAAACCGGGGTCGGACTATATAGTGGGAAAAGGACGGACCTAAGGCGATATTATTTTCTGCCATGAGCTTCCCTAATTCCTGGGCTGCTTTTAGATATGCTGGGTTGTTGCCGGGGGATGAACCGCAGTAAACGCAGATCTTGGCCCGCGGCGCTGGCGTCGCATTGGAGTTCGGACCGGACGTCATGGTGGTAGGCGGTTCGGAATTTTTAATAATGGTGGGGTCTGTTGTTGTCGACGACCGAGGAGACGGAATGCGCCAACGGCTTAGAGAAAAACGAGGAATAGAAAAACGATCTACCGGTAACCAACTAGAAAGTCGAGCCAGGTTGGGCATAAAGTAGAATAAGTTCTGAGTGATAGGATGAAAGGGCGAGGGCAAAGAGTTTATGACTAAATAAAGCTAGGAAATGCTAACTGAGCACAAGCAACGGGTGATGGTGTTAGACGTAATGGTGGTAGCGGTAGTGGTAGTGGTAGCAGTACCTAGTGGTGGTTGTGTTGTTTCGATTGTTTCGGGAGGAATGCAGCGTGTTGACTTTAGAAATTCGCAAACAACTGTAAAAGTCTGAAAGGATAGCACCTAATGTCTGTGTGTAGCGGGAAACAACATTATGAAGTCTAAGTCAACATATATACACAGGATATACACAAGCAGAAAAGAATAAGAGGCCAAATTCACGAAACAAGATCTAAGGTGGGACTTGGGCGTTGAAGCATTGTCAGTGCTGCATTTTTTTGCTGCCCTTCTGCGCTTGCAAGACTTTTTTTTCTTCCTGCTAGACCGGAGTCACCCAGAAATTCTCACCAATAAATGACGTAGCATAGTTGACAGTACAGCTTGCCCTGTGTATGCAATGAGTGCATATGTATTGGGTCTCCATTTACTGGGACCAATTGTATAAAGAGCTGCTGATACTGCTGCATTATACATTCCCATAGATATTGAAGTGGGAAAGAATTGTCTTGGGCATCGTGGGCTGCAAAAGTCGCCTTCTAGCGAGTCATTCTAACAAAAAGATTGTAAGTCAGGCAATGATGAGGGGAAAAAAGAAATATAATTGGCTCTCCCCTTGCCAGCTGACAAGAGAAATGGGCTTACGCAGCTGCAAGGTGAGGCAAGGTTGAACTAAAATTGCAACTTGGACAGCCAGATAAGAAGTACATACAGTACAAGTCAGCAAAGGGTTATGAGGGGAAATTTAGCTGATTGAGGGGTCCCTCTAGGTACTCTTTCTTCATGTCGTGCACCATCATCGGATTTTGATTCGCCGATCTCCCCGCTGTCGGTCCGGTCCAGAGCCAGTCCAGGGCCAACCAGTGCTGGCTGGAACCCAAAAGACCGGGGGCTTTAGGTACTTTCTGGTACTAGTGCACAAATCTTATCAATACGTCTCACTGTATTTTATTCTACTTTTTAAATTATTTCCCGGCGACGTGTTACAAGGGCAATTTCTTGTCCCTCTCATCGCTGCGTCAGTCAGGCTCGGACGACATACGACCTATTGCCACGTTCGATTCGACTGACGGTCATTCATTGCGCGTCGCTCGGGTTTGTTTCATTGTCTGGCATCAGCATTGCGAGAGATGCCCGAAGGAAACGCTCCCCGTGCCGGGGATGCTCGTGAAGAGCAAAGCCAAGGCGTAAGTTGAACGCGTCGCAGAATCGGCAGATTCCCGAGACTAATGGCTAACTTCGCTCTATTTGTGGGAGTATAGCAATCAACTCTGTATAAAATTGTACAGGGTGTGGCCATATGGTTTGGTATGCAAATGTTGATGAAGCAATTCACTGGCGGCAACAAGGCGCAAACTGCTACCACTACCGATGCTTCTGGCAATGTCGTCCAGGTCCCTGCCAACACCGGCGAAATACCTGCCTACCAACTTCGACCGAGTAGTCTTGACGAGGGTGCTACCTGGAACCCCGTCCCCCAACGGCTTGCTCCTATCTGGGCATCCGATAGTTCCGTCGATATCATCGTTACACTCTCATCGTCCTTCGTTCCCGTCAAAATTTCCAGTGTGCCCGATGAATACGTAGCTTTGAAGGAGAAGAACTTCAAACTGGGAAATTCAAGTGATACCCGAATTGCCGAAACTACTTTCACTGTGCCATCATCTGTCCAAAACAATGGAACGCTATGGGGACACTTCTACGTTGGGCTGAAAGGTGCCAATCTTGACCCTAAGGAGCCGGGATTTGATCCGGCAACAGCCTTTCATTTCGTACACCCTCTGACGCAGTATATTCCAAAGAAGAAGGAGTCAAAGACCCGCAACCTGCTGGAGGATAGGCCTGAGGTGGAAGAGGAAGAACCTGAGGAGCAGAACACAGGGCCGATTATCGCAAATTACTACCATCCCAACACTAGCTTGGCATTCGTCCCCGACACTGGTGTCCTCACCTATCCTCAAACACACCCGGCTATACGTCAATTTATCCATTTAGAGGTAGGATCCCAGTTTCGTCAAAGATTAGTGCACGGATACTAACATATTGCCATAGCCCACTGGCGCCCGCGATGGTTCTGGCCAGAACACTTGGTACTGTACGCTTATCCCTACTGACCTCAGATTCTCTCGATCCGAACGGATGAATAGACTAACCTTAGCCTTAGATCCGGTCTTGTATGTCAATACATTTTGGCAAATGAAGAGCCACATGACACTACTGAATGAGACAGTCAAGACCCTCCCACTGCGTCTTGACTTGAGTAATATGGCCAACTGGAAGTTCAACATACTTGCTTCAGTCGATTTCAACACGAAGCAGCAAGCACTTCAAGCTGCTTATGGTGGTCCCCTACCAGGTGGTGGTGATGGAAGTGAGATCGAGATTGTTAAGGAGATGTTCCTTGACACAAACCCCTATCTTCTTGGTGTGACGGCAGTCGTGAGCATTGCGCATCTCCTCCTTGAAATGCTCGCTTTTGGATCCGACATTGCCCACTACCGTAAGAAGAAGGACAATGTTGGTATCTCAGTTCGCTCGATCTTAGCCAATGTCTTCATGCAGGCGGTTATTTTCCTCTACCTGATCGATAATTCCCAAAACACAAGCTGGATGATTCTTGGTTCACAAGGTATAGGTATCCTTATCGAATTCTGGAAGATCACTACCATCGTCGATGTTAGAGTACGACCAGCGCCTCCGGGATCTTTGATACCATATCGAATAGCATTTGAAGACAAGTACCAACTTAGCGAAACCGAAGAGAAGACCAAGGAGTATGATGAAATCGCATTCAAGTACATGTACATCGCTGCGGTTCCTCTACTCATCGGCTACGCTGTCTGGTCCTTGGTCTACGAATCGCACAAGTCGTGGTACTCATACATCCTCACTACCCTAGTAGGATCGGTCTACGCTTACGGTTTCTTGATGATGGTGCCTTCACTTTACATCAACTACCGTCTTAAGAGTGTTGCACACATGCCAGCCAAGGCAATGATGTATAAGTTCTTGAACACCTTCATCGACGATTTATTCGCCTTTACCATCAAGATGCCTTTCCTCTACCGTCTAGCTACGTTCCGAGACGACATCATCTTCTTTATCTACTTATACCAGCGTTGGGCGTATAGAATTGATTACACTCGTGTCAACGAGTTTGGTCAAGGTGGTGACGAAGAGCCTGAAGAGACCAAGGCAGAGCCCAAGTCATTGCCTAAGACTGATGCTGTTGCCGAGAAGATCGAGGGGAGTGCTAAGTCCAGTGGTGCAGACACGGGTGCAGCCAAGAAGAGGAAGTAGAACTCCGATTAATGGCATGGCCCAGGTCTTAGACTATATAGAGTTCTGAGTAGGTAGTCAGTAGATACGGATATAAATCTCCGTCTTAATTTAAAATCCTAATTGTTTATTCCAAGTGCTTGCCTATTTCAAAGCGAGAATCGCTTGTATTAATTTCCATTACATCCGAGTTTTATCGAGCCAACGTACCCCGTACTGTCTCCAATCATTGGACAAAGTAACAAAGTCCTAGGTATTCTTATAGCGCCTATCAGCCCTAAATCGACAGCGATTTCCCCGATATCCTAGCGCCTTTAGTTAGTACCTTAGCGCTAAGTTTAGTAGGATGGAATTCATTAAAAATACGCCACAATTACCAGGTACCAGGGATAGATATACCTAAGTAGGCCTCTCAATGTCTTGGCGGTAGGAGCGTATTACATTACATGTACTCCATATTCCTAGTACACGTAGCGAGTTTCAAATGAGAGTTACGTCTTTTCTCTTTCCCTTTCGATTTTTAACTTCTTTATCATTTCACGATCCCACTTTTAGTATACCCGATTTATAAGGGGGCATCAATTGAATAGCCTATTACATCATACTGTGCCGTGATACTACGCTCAGATACTTTACGCAAAAGTCCCGAGGTTTCGATAAGAGTTTCCTTATCAGCCATCCCATCCTGTCCCTTACATCGTCGGGAATCGGCACAACACCCATCTCCTTGCCTATTGTTACCGTCACTGCTACTGGAGCTTTAAGCTGAGGTAATAGACGCCACTCACGTATTTTAATTCACTTTCTACATTCCCTGTGAGACACACGGAGGAAGGGAGCCCGAAAACAGAACCCACAGACTAGCCCATCTTCATTCGGACCGGGCCTTCGTCCCCTTTACTCCATCTCACCCTCACCTTACTAGAGGAGTAGGGGGAGGAGAGGGTGGCGGTGGTATAGTGAAAAGCTCTATATACTATACCTTTTGCATTCACAAAGCGCAAGCGCCACTAATCGCGCCCCCCAAAACTCCCCACCACCAGAGGGGGAGACAAGTCAAGGGAGGCAGGGACATGAGCAACGAGACCGTGGGCTCGCTCCTGGCCGTTATCGCGAACTCCCTCAACGATGGCCTGCGCATCATGATGTTCGCTGACAAGCGAGCCTGGGGTTCCGACGAATTTGAGCAATTACGATTACTTGAGGAGACGCTAGATGAGGCTAAGAAGGACTTTCAGGAAATGCCTGCGCTGGTGAATGGGCGGTTTTATTACGAGCATGATCGAATAGGTACGCTTCTTCTCATATTCTCACCCCCCTCCCCTTTTCATTACTCATACCTCCTTTATATCACATGACCTACCTACCTACTATCACTATATATACTCCCTCGCTCGTTTTTTCCACCCTAAATCCTACCACATCCATCCCTTCGGAGTGCGAAAATTGACCCACCAAGCCTAACACAACACTTTGTCCCATCCCACAGGCGAGTCCCTCGAAGACCTGCGCGCGCTATGCACACGTTTCGAGCTACACGCGCGGTCCTTCAAAGACTGGGTTCGCAGCGGCTGCGGACCCATCGACCCTACATGGGCGCAAGAAACACTCACGCTCAAACAAGATTTGCACCGCGCGCAATGCCGTGCCGCGCGGCGCATTTTCGGCGCGCAACGCGTGGATCGCACAGATGGTGGAGCGAGGTGTCTAGGTGCTTTGCAAGTGTATCGCATACAGCAGCAACGGAAAAAACGGTATGTACCGGTGGAGGAAGAGAGACGGGCTTGCGCGCAGACAGGCAAGTTCCAGAGGTTGGGCGAGGCGGATGTTGCGTTTGTGTGTGATTTTTGTGATGGCTTTTTGGTTTGGGAGGACTTGCGTGCTGTTCCGACTACGAGGTTACAGCAGCAGTCGCCGACGCAGGGGAATGGGAGTGCGGGTGGGAGTGGGAACGAGGAACCTGCGTCTGCGGTGAGTACGACTTCGACGACGGGGTTGGCGCCGGATGGGAGCGTTCAGAGTAGTGGGGGGAATGATGCTACAGGTGCTAGTACGAATGCTCTTAAAAATACTACGACTACGGAAAGCGATGGTACCTACAGTATAGACTGGCAAGCCCGTGGAATTACGATGACGACTAGCGAGGCCAAGGTTGTGGTGTTCGCTCCAGACGCTATCGCGAACCACCTACCACCCGAGATAGGCGAGTGGCGATCACGAATCTTGTGCTCGCTTTGCGATGACTACTTTTACGAGGAACAAGGCGACGATGATATGGACCGGGTCCGGTATATGCAAGATGACCGTGGATTCGAAGATATCAAGACATTCCAAGAGCACCTCGAATGGACCCACGGGTCTATGGTACCGAGTACTTCGAGCTGTGAGATCATGTGAGAAGGGGAGGGGAGGGGAGGGGCGAGGAAGATGTGCTTAAAAACCCGGTTGGAATACTCATTATATATCGGCGTTTAGAGGGTGGTAGATTGATTTATACAATTTGGCGCCTAAGTAGCAGCCGTGGGTTAGCGAAAACAGAGCAACGGCGTTGGAGGCGTCCACCGCGAATAGGGAAACGAAGCTGAGAACGCCCGAATAGAGGAGCATAAGAGGTCGGGTATTTATCAAGGAGCATATGGAAACAGAGACAAACAGGTCCATGATTAATCTGGATATTATGACTATAACGCTTTGAGGGGGTGATACTGAAGTCTTCTCCCTTGATGCTGATGATACTTCCGCTACCACGCGAGTCCAAATACATAATACATTTCAAGATCGAACCCAATGCTTCCTCGCTCGTGATTATTATTCATGTTGGTTGGTAATACATGACATAGGTACATACACTTCACGTTGCAACGAAGCACGTTGTTTAATATTTTCCCCCTTTCTTCCCCATTACTCACTCATTGCCCTACCCCTTCACCAATAGCTGGCAGGTATCAGAAGAACCTAAACCAGATAAATAGTATAACAATCAAGACGAACACACCTATCGGCGCATACTGCTTAATCAACAAATCCCAATTGATTTTAACAGCCGCCTTGCGGTACTTGCGACTATCATCCCGTAACCGTGAACTCATCTCACCCATACGGTCTAAACTATCACCACGGTATAAAAGGTCCTCGATGTTCTTCGTCATGACCTTAGTCACGTCGCGTAGCTCATCGTTGAGTCGGTCGAGATTTTGCGTTGCGCGCGCATCGGCATATAGGGCCTTGGTCCGCGAGATGAAGGTGTCGAATTCCATAAATGCGTAAGGGCGGAGAGAGGGCGCGAGGAGTTGTTGAGGCGGGTAGGTTTGGGAGAATTCGGCGGAGAGGTCGGAGAGGTAGGTGAAGGCTAGTTTGCGTGGGTAGGAGCGCTCGCTTATGCAGATGTAGACTGCGTCGCCGTTGATGAGGTAGCTAGAGGGGAGAGTTAGTCGGCTGTATTATTTGGTGATTGGGGTATGTGGCGTACTGTAATGTGTAGTTGCCGCTCTCGATGCTGGCTTGTGGTTCGGCATTGCGATTTAATCTTCGTAGTATGATCTTGGTTTGCGACTTCACTTCGGAAAGGGAGGATTCTGTCTATCGATGAGTCAGTATGCAATTTCTAACCCGTTGTTTTAGGGGACGGTTTGTAGTCGTCGTACTTGTTCGTCATCAACCGATGCGCAAAGCATCAAGCCTACACCATTGTTATTTGAGAAGCAAGATATATAGCGTGTAAGTGCTACACACCATCGCCCAAGCGGGCTATTTGCGTTGACCTAATCATCTTTGAAAAGGATTTGTTTGCCTCTAGAAGGTTATGGATGTTGTTGAGTAACAAGTGGCGTTTAGAAATCGTCGTGTGCTTGGTAGATTAAAGGTGGTGATAATAGTGTACGTGTCTAAAATAAGACAACCGTCGATTATAAATATTCCAACACTATAAATAAATTAAGAGTACCACCTGTCGGCCTGTACCCTCTATCGGTTTCGCTGGTTATCTGGTACTCCCGGAACTACTTCTTACACCGGTTATAGATAATTACCACAGGAAAGATGTTTTAGTTCACGATAAGTCGTAATAAATGGTCTTGAATTAGAAAGATATTTGTCAAAGTCTAAAGTCAAAAAGTTGAATTGAAAGTTGGTAAATGCAACGTCAGGGGAATGACAGGGGTTCCTAGATGTGCTAGGGATTGGGGAATTCAGAGGTGGGGCCAGTGGGGCCAAGCTAAGCTTAGATCTCTTATCGATACGTTAGATACGTTAGATACGTCACGCTAGGAGTCTTAACAGCCAATCATAACCTATCATCTACCCCGACCTGCCGATATTTCCCTTTTAGGTTCATCGCGATATACTTGTACGCACTCGCTGCAGCTTCCCTCTTACAGCCTCATAGAAAAATATATGAATTTACAAGCACAAAGAGAGAAGAAATGTTTAATTTTTATTTCTTTTCTATGTACGACAAGTTTTCCTATCGATTAGGAATAACTTAGTTGATATGTCAGATATCGATTTATCGACAATAGTATGAATTTATAAGGTAGATAGGTGCATGCCACATCCACCTATCTACCTGTACATCGGTCTTGCCTATGCTGTTTGTTGCCAGTAACAACGACGCTTCCTCCAAGGCAGCAAATACACTTTCCTCTTTTACTATAAACGGCGCATTCGACCTACTCTCCTTTCCTTTTTAAAGACACATTCACATCATGCCTCGACGAAAGAAGAACAGCAGCGCGACCGCCGATAAACCTTCAGATCCGCCTAGAAGATCAACTAGGACATCAAGGAAAACCTCTTTTTTTGATGATGACCCTTTAGACAACGCCGCTACACAAAACCCTACCCATATTGAGAATCCTGATAAATCTATTGAAATGAAAGATTACCAGGAAGAAGAGAAATCCAATACCATCAATGTTCGCTCTACACCCGCCAAGTCGCCGATTGATGATAGTCCACCGACTACGGACAATGGTAACCTCCCTCAGAAACGCCGAGTTAAATTCATCTCCACCCCAAAGGAGTCAGAAGACGTAATCATGCGTGACGCCGGTCAAGATGGAGAAGCAGATGAACTTTCCAACGACAGACCTGCTTCAAAGAAAGCGAAGGGGGCAGTTAGGGAACCACAGAGAAAGGGCAAATCAAAATACGATAACCCTGAGGAAATGTTGACCAACCCCCGAGCCCCTCTAGCTAATGTCAATCTCCGAGTAAGTTCCAGTCCTCTCATACCCATCTCATAATACTTCACCAACCGTACCTTTTTTTTTTTTGTCTCTATTATCACAAGAAGTCGCTAATGCGTTATGCAGGATCTATTGTGCAGTCGCAAAGCATGGGAAATTCTAAGTCCAGAAGAGAAGGAACGAGTATTATCCAAATTCCCCACCGACGGGAAGGAGATCCTCGACAAAGGAACCGAGAACGCACGACCCAACATCCCGTCGCTGCAAAACAACGACAACTTCCGCAATGACATCAGCCAGTACCAGGAGCACCTACGCAAAGGATGGCACGACCCGGAATGGATCAGGCAAGCTCAGGCCGCTCATGCAAAGCACATCGTAGGTGCCTACAACGAATACCTCGATGCACGTTTCGAAGACGACTGGGGTATGCCGCCGCCGTTATCCGATGAGCAGACTCAAGAGCAGCCCGGAAGCACTATAGTTCCCCTCACAAAGGAAGGATTGGAGCAGGTGTTCGGCAAGAAGAAGAAGCGGCGAAAGGGTAAACTTCATCGGCGTGTTGAGCAAATGGACACGATCGCTGAGGAGGATGAAGCATCTCGTAACCATGAGCCCATGGAAGGAGTAGAGGGGGAAGCAGACCAGGCTGTCGCCGCGCCCGAGGAGGTCGTCCCGATGGAAAAGGCGAGTGACGACGACTCGTTAGTAGCTCATGATGGACATGGAAAAGACTCGACACCGTGAGGGGGCCATTTAGACATTATGGATCTGAGAAATGAGCCTATGAAATAAAACGCAATGTGTTCTAGGCGATAATGATGATCATAAAACGATATTCTCATGAATTTAGAGGTTCACGTATCTCCTTAGCTCGAGTCCACTGGAATGTGAAGTATGACTATGTAATTTTTGAAAGATCTCACGGTCAGCTAATATCTCTCATTTTGAAATTCTGATTTTGGTGTTTATACATCGACACCCTTCATCCCCCCCACCTAGCTAATCAGCCAGTTCATAATGCCACATTAACATCATCTACACCCTTCTACCCTCTATCCCTCACACAAACCAAATACGGCCTCCTCGAATGCCACACGCGTCTCTCCTTCGCACCAAGCACAGCATCCATCATAATCTCCGTCTCGGACCTCTCCCTCCTCGGCGGTGTCTGTTCAACATCCTTCCCATCTTTATCCTTCGCGCGAGTCCAAAGCCTAGTCTCCTCCACACTCGCCGAGATTTCGAAATCACCTCTACATAGCGCCGTCGCACCAAGCCTAACCTCAGTACTCGATTTCGCGTCAATGAGGGGCAACGTCTGCTGCAATGTACCATTCCACGCGAACTTCCGCGTAAAATCGAGTGCTACGTTAAGCGGGCGGTGGCATAGCGAGGGCATGAGGCGGAGTGTTGGGTATATAGGCTCGTCCATGCGATTCGTAACAACGACTTTGATCTGCGCGAACTCGTCTGTGAACACTGTGTTCGCCGTATTTTCTGCATCCGGGCTCTCAATGGAGATATCGATGCCGACTTCGTCAATCTTAATCGCTTCAATCATGCGAGGCGCGAGACGTAGACCACGGAGCTCAATGGTTCCTTCTCTAGCGGGGCCCGAGAGGGTCTTCCAGGTTCCTGAAAGTTTTCCAAGGATCTTCTCGCGGTACCAGAATGCTTCCCGGTTGCCTCGTTCGATATCTGGGGTGATTTTGCTGCTGCTTACAACGAATTGGCGTTGTCGGGACGGGTTTAGAGCTGGGATTGAGGCGTGGGGGTCGTCTATGTACACTCTTGGAACTGGGAGGATAACGCGGTTTGTATTGCCTGGTAGTATGTGCTCCTGGATCATGATGCCATCATCTGCCTTGAGAGAAACTTGCATATCGCTTGGCCAGGCATTCCGGAGGTCTAGCAACAAGAGACAGTGTTCTTCATCAGATAAGAATGATTCTTCCGTTTCCACTGGCTCGGCACCCAGACGTGTCCAGATAGGTCTAGGTACCTCGCCTTTGATAGGGAGAACATCCATTCTTGCAAGTTCCACACTAGCATTAACGGTGATTGTTAAATCAAGACAAACTTGACGAGTATGGAATTGGTCCTTTATTTCGGTTTGAGGAACGCCAAGGTGCGCGTAGTCAACTTGGATTGTCCCATTCGTGAGGCCAGGTTTCCCGAGAATCTCAAAATCGAAAGTAGCCGTGCTTCCCGGTGCTATATATCTCTTGGAGTCGTCGATCTTTCGAAGTCGTAACGCCTGTTTCCTCGCAAGAATAAGCTCGTATTCATAGAGCTCCGCCGGCGTCGCATCTCTGCTTGTTAAGGCAGTTTGTAAAGGGCCTTGCGTTGAATCTTGGAATGAGAAGAGCAAGAGATCAGCTGGTGTGGACGGTGATAGATTTTGAAGGGTGACGGAGAACACTTGTCGTTCTCCCTCTAGAATCATTACAGAGGACTGGAATAGGGAGGTGGATTTGATAACGACAACGGGCTGGGCGGAGATAACGCTCAATCCAATGCTGTCTGGTATCAAGGGCGGCCCAGGGAATGGTAATTTTTTATTTTGTTCCAATGCCCCTAATCCAATTCCCTTTATTTTCGTTTCTGTGTCCGGGGCCCATGGATGAGGAAATATGGGAAATCTCCTCTCACGACACCCGCGAACCTTCACTATCGCTCCAGTAATCTTCAAGGAACCCGCAGCTTTGGGCGTCGCGGTGAGCTTCAGAATTTGCGTACGATACGGTCCTATTATGGTGCTCGTTATTGAAGATTCGAACTCGGCCCCGTCCGCGTCTAATTTGATGTTTTCAATGTCCACATCGATCTCATAAGGATTTTGGAGCGTAATCCTGAAGACGGCTTCTTCTCCTGAAACAAGTGTCCTCTCCACTGCCGGCTTGTCTGATGCTCTTATAAATGGATTGTAGATGAAAGGATTCACATCTTGCGATGTGCGCGCGGTTGTTACACCTGGCAAAACGGTTTTGGAATGTGCTGTAGGTTGTCTCGTTGGTGGTAAAGGATCCAGCGTAATCCCCCGAACGAGAAATTCGTCCCAATATTCAGCAGCTAAATGTCCCAAACCCAATCTGTGCGACAAACTCGAGGTCTTCGCAATATTGTTTACCATCCTGATTTGTTCATCCCTCGTAATTATCGGAGCTGCATCTTCCCGACGTGGGCCTGGTGCGACACCACTTCCGGCAGTGCGCAATAAGTCACTTGAAAATTTCAACACTCCATTGAAGTCCGGTAAAGCCTCGGAGAAGTTGATGCAGGCTCGTAGAATATTGAGCTTGACATTGCTGATCCCGAAATGTCTAGCTAGGGATTGTTTCTGAATTCTTTTGATGACGTCTTCATTTGTGTCACTCACTCGTCGTGATTCGTCGGAAGATTCACGAGGGGCATCATTGAAGCTGACGATCCCGTAGACCTTGCATATCAGCCCAAGAAATGCATCAATCCCATGTTCTATGTCACCCTCACCGAGCTCAAGGGCTCCTGCACCATTACCGTGGCCATTAACGGCATTCAAAGCCACTAAGCCTGCCGCCGGATGAATTCCGACTTCAGCAGCGCCTCGCGTCCTTGCTTCTACCAACCCCCCGATTAATACCGATACTAGCTCTCGTACTACCATGGCTTTTTTCCTGTGAAACCCAAGCGAACCAAGGATAGAGGCAATCCCGCTCAGAATAATCGCACGATCAACAGTCGTGAGTAATTCAGGAGCGGATGATGGAAAAGCTTTAAATAACAAAGTTGTGACTTGAGAACGGGATGGTGAAATTATCAGACGAGGTGAGGTGGTGAGAGTTTTTGTAGGCAATTTGCCTTGGACTATTCGTCCCAGGGATTCCTTGCCGAGCTTCCCTTCACATAGATGGATAGATGTGAGTAGACTACATAATCTGATAATAGATTCTGAAAGGGGCAGTGGAGGAAGTTGCTCGCCAGATATCCTCGAGTACAACCCCACTATTCGTTCTAGCAATTCCGGCAGTAGGTTCTGGAGGTTTCGTAGGTGTTTTGGTTGATTCGGATCCCCTTCTTCAAGCTCCGGTCCTTTGGATATGCTACTAATAGCCTTATCATTTGCGGGAAGGCAGACTGTAGGGACTTGAAATTCAACGCCAATCCAGCCGAGCAACAGCAGACAGACTACGATGAGTTCCAGCGCTTTGCCATGCCATAAGTGATCGTTAATAGACTTTGCGACGGACGCACCCTCGATTAATTCCTTCAGCGCGTCCGTCCATCGGCCAGCCTGGAGATACATAGATCCCACCAATATTGTCACTCGTCCTCGACCTTTATTCCTCCACCTCTCATTTAAACCACCAGGTCCAAATCCTTGCACCGAGACCTTGTCCTGCTGGGATGGTTTTACGCCTCCGGCAGAGCCTGGTCGAGAAGTTCCCGGAGCTTCGGGGTTCGACAAGTCAGTACTGCTTCCATTCGCGCTTGCAATATCGTCGAACGTCGTTGGTGGGTTAGATAAACCGCTACGGACGGGAGTCGTCGGTCGTGGTGAGGGAGATGAGCTATTAGATCCAAAAGGAAGTGATTTGAAAGGCACCGGCATCGACATACGGGCCTGGCTCCTATCCGTGGTGCCGCTAGTCGATGCTGATCTCGTCACACTAGGTACAGCGTACTGTGAATTCCGCCTTGCCATCGGGTTCGCATCCTCTGATGTCCAAGCCGCTCCATTAAGTCCCGGTCTTGTAGGTGCTTGACCGGGGGAATCTATAGATGTCATTCCCTCGAATGATTTAGCGAGCGTCGTCATTTCCGCAAGTAATAACGAAGATATATCACACATTATTGTTTTTATCGTAGTCCTCTTCGAGTTTTCGACTGGTGGGATCGTCTTGAGTCCTTCGGGCATAGGAACAGTATGATCGGTTTGGGGCGCGTAATCGAATATTAACACTTGGTGCGTGAGTATTTTCGGATACGCATCCCTCAACTCTTCCAGCTCTTGATATAAAGTTCTAATGTTCCTCTCCGCCATGGTCGGCGCATAACCATTAGCTGACTGCCTCTTACTAAACGCCACATTTTCGAGTTCCTGTCCGTCGGCGATAGCAATGAGTGCTAGAGGTTCGCGAAATAGTTCGAACGGCGCTAGAGACAGATGGGACGGAGGAGGTACATAAGTTATTAGGTCGTAGAACATAGCGCCGTCGGGAAACGCGAGGGGGGAGAACATGTCTAGAAAGCAACTGGTAAGTCTTAAAAGTCCCGTATGTAATAGTTTAGGATGTATTTCTTACTCCGATTCGGTCGCCCGTCGACGCTGATATCGCGAAGGTGGACGACATGTTCCTCATTTAGTCTTTGGACGAAAGAGGAAAACCTATCACGTTTGATCTGACCGACGGGCAAGACTAATGCTCTTACCCTCGCCGGGGCGACGGGTAACATAGAGTCCAGGCTCATCCTAACATCTGCCTCGATTTCACACTGACATGACAGAACAACCGCATGCCTAACGAACCGTGGGTCGGAGGATCGAAGAGTCGTGCGATTCGTTCGATGCTTTTAGGATTCACGTTGCAAGCGTTAAGTATTCTTTTTAATGGGTGCTTAACATGTACGTATCCGGTCCTAATACGTGAAAGACTTGTAAGATGGCGGTCGGCGCAATTGAGCTCGAGATCATGGGTATATTCGGTAATATGCCACTATATTCTGACTGTAATGCTTTTTTCGAAAGAGGAATCGGGAATGACGATGCAAAGCCCAAGTTCCCAGCTCCTGAGCCTCGTGCGCCGCCATGAATTACTGGCCAATTAAAATAGAGTAAATAGACAGGGATAATCCAAAAAGAGCTAATCGCGTCTGGGGTTGATAGCTGTATGTACCTTAGCAAACCCACCTAAGTATAAATGACATGTACCTCTTCATTCACTTCAAACTAACGACAGTTCAACATTAATCTAATTTGAAAAGCACTATACTACAGGTTCCAGAGTGAAGTATCAGTATCTCTATACGAAAAGGATTAAATTGCAAAATTTTGGTGCTTTACAACTTGAAACGCAGGTATCCCCCGCTAGATACTACAATCTTAGAGCTAGAGCTCAATTGAGCGCTCTTCACCCCTAACTTAGTAGCTCTAGTCCCTAAGGTGCCCCCCTAACCTTGTTGGCATTTTCAGTCTTGAAATGCGAAAATATGGTATAAGATGGAAAACAAAAATCAACGCTATTCATTAACATCGTTATATCCATGATATCAAACCCTCTATATACAATTTTACTACGTTGATGTAGTACTCGCCGGACCTCCAGTTCCTTCAGGTTTTCCCTCGGGCTTTACTTTATTCCCTTGCGTAGCTTCACTCTTCAACTCTGACTCGAAAATATCGACCGCGATACTCGATTCAACGAAATCCTCCAACTCTTCAGTCACGGTCTTCAATTTCTCCTTCACAGCCTCAGCGCCCTCAAATCCCACGATATGGCGCGCTGGCGGGTTCTCGTGCCCACCAATTGCAGTAAGTGCATACACCGTTTCACCCACTAACCGGTCCATAGAAGAAGACGGTAGTTTCGGGTATCTCTGAATAATTTCCGTATCCGAGGGCTCGACAGCCGTTTCCGGATTCAAATTTAGTACATTCGTAAGCATATCCCTAACGCTAGGCGCTGGGTTATTCTCGCTATCATAATATGGCAACGACGGCGAGAGGATAATTTTGTTAGTTAGAGATTGGATCTCCTTGTGCGGCTGCACGATGGTTACTTTGATGTTGAAGGGTGCCACTTCATATGCCAGTGAGTCGCAAAACCCCTCAAGCGCCCAGGTCGCTGCTGTGTATATGGGCATTCCGGGTGTGCCTATGTGGCCCCCGATGCTAGTGAGGATCATGATGTGACCTGTATGTTGTGCGCGAAATGTCGGAAGTGAAGCTTTGATGAAGTTCACTTGAGAAAAGAATATAGTCTCGAATTGATCGCGTACTAGATTCTGTGTCGCTGGTGATGTAGATAGTTCCTCTACTGTTCCAACGATAGCTGTTCATTTATAGACATTTTGTAAGAATTCCGCTGTCTCGTATATGACGTATATATATGTGGATATAAATGTGAAATCACAATCTACACATAAGAAAAAGAGGAATTGCATACCTTCAGAAGTGCAGCACAATAAAATATCTATGCGACCAAAAACATGCTTGGCCTCGGCGACAGCAGCGCTACATTGGCCCATGACGCGGCCATCGCAACGTATACTCCGAATGCGATCCTTCCACCCCTCGCGGTCCTTTCGATTGCTCTTACACTCGTTGACCAGCTCACGGAACTCGGCGCTGCGATCGTCGTGCTCGATCTCCTGCGGCGGCAGACAGGCGACGACGTAATCACCATGGGTGAGCAATTGCCGAATCAGTCGCACCGCCAGAGGGGTCAGGGACGAGGTGAGGAACCATGTTCGCGGGGAATTGTGTGTCGCTACAATGCGATTCATTAGTCGGGATTCCGGCTGCGAACGAGCAACAACATCTAGCCCAGGAAATAGAAATTGGCATCTCAATGCGAAAAGGTAGTTCTAGATAGCTTGTAAAATGCAATTGAAATTTTTTTTTCTTTGCTTTTCGCACGGATGGAACCTCGGCTTAATTGTTTCGCGTAAAGTCGCGGCTTGCTTTGTCTTGCTTTGCTTGCTGTAGTGGTAGAAAAGCAGAAGGGGAAAAGGAAGCGATGAGAGCTTAGTAAGGGAGACAAGGAAGGTAATGGTAAAATAAAAAGGGTACAGAATAGGTAGCTTAGCTTGACGCACGGAAAGACGCTGCAGGGACAGAATGCGAGTGTCGTGCTGGGCCTGAAGACTCGGCGGCCTTCCTCTCCGACATTTCCACCTCTTGTTCGTCTCCTTCCTCTACTTTCTAATCCCCTTTTTCTCTCGCTGCGATAGGTAGTTCGTCCGTTCGTTCCAAGGCTCCGAGTGGATCAGCGAGTTATGTTAGAGCTAAGACGTCTCTGAGGACCGCCGAATCTACCAGCGATTCGACATACCACAATCACAATCGATCGTAACTGGGAAAAGAAAACTGAAGGCGGTTAAAAGTTGGTTTCTCTTTGGCTGTAGAGGTATTTTCACTTTCGACACCACAAGGGATGAAGGATCGCTTCACGTTGGAAGTTATCGAAGGAGGAGGATCGACGGATCTATAACAATTGAACCACCAACATGAACAGAATGATTAATACCTAGAACAGTTGAAGAGTACAGTTATAGTAGGTAGTCGTATTACACTAACAACTAACTGACTACACACAGATCTTTTTATCGGTGACGCCCTCCCTACCTTCTGCCTACCTAAGTATTGTATTGATCACTTTACCTCGCCTCTAACTCCCTTAATCGGTCTTTACCCTGTGCCTCTTCCGGCAGTTGACGGATCCCGAAAAGGTGCCAAAAAGAAACCCTAGGGACATAATTGACCCCACCGCGCGAGCTACAGCCGCCCCGATGAATGGCTATAAGAAGAAATAAAAAGAAAATGTCAATATGAAGGTCGAGAACGTAGGATGGACAGCTAGCTAGGCTCGGCATGGGCAAATTCCGTTTGTTACCAAAGATGAGGGATCAATGTGTCAATGTGCCAGGCACGCCCGTGTAGGGCCTGTAATGCCCTGTAATGCCTGAGTAATAATATTAAAGGGCTATTAAAGGACTCGTCGCTGCGACGCCACTGGACCTGTCGGGTGCTGTCCTTCCAGTTGGGGTTCTGCGGGATCTTCACTGCGCGCCGAGGTTGTAGTGTCAGGTCAATATTCGGCAGCCACCTCGGATCATCACTCGATGCAATGCAACGACAACCCCAATACATGAGTTAAAGATGATCGTATTTCCTTGTTGGCAGTACCCTCTTTTTCTTTAGTCGAATCTGGGGAAACCTTGGCTAACATCATTTTGTTCGGACACCAGTCGGGATTTTGTTAAGACCTTCCCCATCCACACTACCTAGGTATACTAGGTATAGGTAAGGAGGAGGGCACCTAAAGAGGGTGGGTAGTAAAAAGCACATGTTATTATGCAATGTAGGTATGCTTTGCGCAAGCAATTTATATACTCGTGGATCTATATTGAGGTTAAGTATGTCATGTATTTTAGATTGAATATTGGATACGCCGTCTAAATACGGAGGGTCATGACGGAGGAGTAGTAATATTGCCTATGTTAAAGCTTACGACGACAATGGATGGATGATGTTTCTTGTCAGGTGAAGAATTTAGTTGGACCCGCAAAATGTTTAGGACTCCGACTATTTCTACCAGACTAGCGGTTAGTAAGATGGGACAGCTACAGGTAGGCGTTGGGGAAGCGACAGCGCGATTTCTTTTCCCTCTCGGTCCTTCCGACCTCGGGGGAAAGATACGATCTATCTCGGAGCTGTCAGCTGCTCCCACTTGTAGATTTTCAGTTTAATTGACTCCGTCAGATTGACTTTGCCTGTACTTTAGCTTCAGACCTTTTCATCCAGTCAGACTTCAAAGTGACTCAGCCTTATAACCTTGAATATAATTCGTCCCATCCTTATCTTTGACATCTTAAACCTTGGTGTTACTTTGCACTTATCCTTTATCTCTTGAAGAATTTGCCATATCTATAAGTCCGTGAACATGCCCTCCCGGGCTGATATAACTTACTTCGGCGCCGGTCCGGCATTGCTCCCGACGGCCGTGCTTGAAAACGCCGCGAAAGCTCTCCTGAATTATAACGACACCGGACTAGGAATTGCTGAGCACTCACATCGTTCTCAGTATGCCGCCGATATAATTAACGGGGCAAAGGCCGATTTGGCCAATTATCTTGGCATTCCCGACAACTATGAGGTTCTCTTCATGCAAGGTGGTGGAAGTGGCGAGTTTTCCGCCACCGTCTACAACCTTGTTGGCGCTTGGGTAACCCGAAAAAAGGCTGAGATCCTGAAACAATCGGGTGCTCAGAGTGAGGAAGAAGCAAACCAGGATGAGCTTGTATCAGCACTGAAGAAAGCAGTTGATACTGAGCTGAAGCTAGACTACCTAGTAACAGGCGGTTGGTCTTTAAAGGCCTACCAAGAAGCTGGTCGCATATTGGGCCCGGAGTACGCCAATTTGGTGACGGATTCTCGAACTGTGAACCAGGGAAAATTTGGCAAGATTCCAGATGAGAGCACATGGAAGCTTTCTAAAAACCCCGCCATGGTTTACTACTGCGATAATGAGACAGTAGATGGTGTCGAATTTCCGAATTTTCCTGATGCTTTAGGCCCTGACTCGAATGGTGTTCGCCCTATCGTCGTCGCGGACATGTCATCAAACATCCTATCAAGGCGAATCCCGGTCGAAAACTTTTCGGCTATTTTCTTTGGCGCACAGAAAAACCTTGGCTCAACCGGAGTGACTGTAGTCATTATCAAAAAAGACTTACTTCCTCCAGCGTGCCCGCAACCCTCTCCAGCTTTACTGAGGAAACTCGGTCTTCCGGTTCCTCCTATCATCTTCTCTTACGAAACTATTGCTAAGAACAACAGCTTGTACAACACACTTAGCATATTTGAGTATGAATACCTACTTATAATTATTATGTATTTTGCCTAACATTATAATGCAGTGTATTCATTGCTGGCCAGGTCCTCAAGAAGCTACTTGTCACTTTCCCAGACAAGGTAGATGGCCAACAAGCGGTCGCCAACCAGAAAGCGGAACTCATTTACAAAGCCCTTGAGGCGCACCCCGATGTCTACAGAATCGTGCCAGATAAGTCGGTGCGCTCTAGGATGAATATCTGTTTCCGTGTCACAAAAGTGAGTACTTATTGATTTTTAACGTATGTCCTTGTGAAACCCCACTGACGTCAGCATTAGGGCGGTGATACGGACAGCGCAGAAGCCAATTTCCTAAAAAGCGCTACGGCCCAGGGACTTACTGGCCTGAAGGGCCACCGAAGTGTCGGAGGTATTCGCGCTTCCAATTATAATTCGATTCCACCCGAGGGAGCCCAGAAGCTTGCCGAATTTATAATTAAATTTGCCCAGTCATGAAAATGGACAGCCGCGGAACGGTAGTACACATTTCTCACTGTGCGATCTTAGTTCAATCACAAGCCTAAATAAAATGGGCATATTCCGTGGTAGCAGTAGTTATTCTGGCATGAAAGGTGTGGCGAACAGGTTTGATTTGGCGTTGGGTGCATCCATACCGTAGGGTATGGCAAAAGGGGGGAGTGCGTATACACAGCATTCAACATGGCGGTTAGATCGTCACATCAAAAAGAAAATTCAACTATAGAAATCTTACGCAGGTAGACAAAGTGATATATTATTCATCTAGGCATCAATATTTACAATCTCCCAATTTGCTGCAGTGATCGTTTTATCGTAATCCCCCTGAAGATAAAGCCTAGACTTCTATCTCAGCTTCCAACCAAGCTGGAATCTGTGGCGGTTTCTCCCACCCGTCAAGATAGCTCTGGCGCGGAATACCCTCGCCCTCGGGCTTCGCATAGATAGCGGAGACATACCACACAGTCTCACCTTTCTTAATCGTATGCTGCAGCGTCGGAATCACAGTCCGGCTCTCCACAAGATTCGAATTCGGATCCGCATTCACCAAATTCGCGGCACGCTGCACGCCCGTCTCTAACGCCTTAATCCCCACCGCACCCTTCGACGCCGCAAACGCGCCTTCATGGCCTTTAGACCAACCCTCAGGCGTCTCAAGATCATAATTCCCAATAATCCTTGGAAACGTGCCCTCCCCCGTCTTCGGATCATACGGATCCAAATACCGTCCATCTCTCGCCCTCTGATTACAAATCGCAAACGCGCCATCAGCCGTCATAACCTGTCTCCCAGCCTCAATTCTATGAACCCTTAGATGCCAATTCGGCGTCGTGGGGTCGGGTGGGATGAGTGTAGTTTTAACCACGACATCTGGGAACGGACGCCAGATTGAGACCAGCACAGGTGTTTTGGCGTCGCCGCGGTGTTCGAGACCTGCGTATTCGGACTTTCTACGTGTTTTCCAGTATTCCCCGCCGTCGTCAGAGAACCCGAGTTGAGAGGCTAGAGCGTATTGTTCTAGTGTGAAGAGCCCTGGGGGTACGGAGTATGCGTATGCGCTGCTGTATGCGAAACAGCCGTATTTGGCGTGGGTGCCTTTCATAGGGTAGCTACAGGCTTGGCCGGAGGAGAGGAGCATGCAGTGGTTGCCAAGATAGCTGGTGGATGGGATTAGTAATTTGTTAAAAAGGGATGGAGATGAGGGAGGCCTACCTTGCGATGTGACCTGGGTGTGGTAGTTCCTTGACCCTGGGGATTAGGTCACCAGGGAGCTGCTCTTCAGAGGTCCAGAATGGGTGGTCTGCGGGTACGGCGAGGCAGATAAACGCTAGACAAGCCCAGTACTTTGACGGCGGTTAGTTTATAGATGTAGCATAAAAAGGGGGGATAACATACCGGGCTACCAGGGCTGTTGTAATTCTCTGCCATCTAAGTTGTCGTGAGCGAAGTTTCCAAATTCGTATGAAGGGGTTCCATTTACTTACGTACATATTTGGGTAAGAATACCCAATGGTTAGTGTTCCACTTGGACTCCAGATGTCGGGTTGTGTCTGCCACCATCGTAGGTGACGAAGGACTATACCCTTAACTATTCCCCATGTAAGAGGTTCAGGAAGTTCGACTCCAGCGTAAGCTAGGGCACCCCAGAAGGATACCATCGCGAATCGGTAGCCCACACTACGACCGAAGGGGATAGAACGGCCTAATTGGAAGTGTTAGGATATGAAGTTTTTCGGTCGCATAGTGAGCTTACCTTCGTCATCATAATAGTGAATCAAGTCGAGGGCGACTGTCTGAGCACGCTTCTTGAATTCTTCAGCTCGTGCCGGTTCATCCTCACCGGCTAGTTTAGCGTAGAGCAGCTGCAGGAAGTGGATGGCGAAACTTGAGGAATAGTAGTCCATCTCTGCCAGATTTTGCGATCAGAGTCCTGTCTCTTTAATAGGAGGTGGGATTATAACTTACGGTGGATGCCCTCCGGCCCATCATTAGACCAACCACCGCCGCGGTAGAAAGTGTTGAGGTGCTCAATATCACGGTCTAGTCGCCCCTGGGAGAACTTCCCTCCGTTCTTTTTCAAACCAAGGTTGGCGAAGACACGAAACCAGAGCCAATTGGTATTGGGCATGCTATCCTACTATTAGTTCCATGCCTTCGGTAATACGTTGGAGTGTATTTACTTTTTTTCGTTGATAGAGTTACCCAACCAGTTCTCGACATTTTCTCGCTCCTTTTCATTTAGGGATTGCCAAATAGTAGGGGCGACGGCCAGTGCATAGCCTATTTACAGATAAGCTAACGTCTTATTTTTTGGTGTAGTATCGTACCAAGAGGGCACATTTCTACCATCCTCTGGTCGTTGTCTCTGGGATATCCCCAGTATTCGGGGTTTTCAGGGTCAGTGCCTGACTTGATCCCCTGAATCCACCATTCTGCTCCATGGTATTCGCCACCTCCTGCCAGAAGGCAAGCTAGACCCCAGAGTGGTCGACAGATACCTTCTACCTCTGAAGCAGTTTGGTCAAATCGGACGGCAGTGGCGCCAGGGCATTTTACTCTAGCTTTCTGTGGGGAGAAGAACGGTTCAAGAGGGTCGAGGAGGGCTTTCAGGAGCTCTTGGACGGAGGCACGATCGGTAATTTTCACCTTAGAAAAGGGGTGAATCCCATTGTAGCCTAGGACGAGGCCAGTCTTCGGCTCCATTGTGAATCCCGAAAGTGGACTAACAAGCCAAACAACCTAGTTTAAGGATAGAATGACAGGACTTGGAAAGAAGGAGAGTAGAAAAACGAGAATTCAACCTACTTTGTTCCTCGGCCTACTTCTGTTAACCTACCTACCTACCTACGTAGGTACGTGGGGTATCACTTCATCCATCTTCATGATGCGAATATGAGGGGTCCTTTGGGGTTTGTGGGGTGATAGAGCTCTCGCGGCTAATATCACAGATGAACTCCTCCTTAAAAACCCCACCAATAGACGTCTAAATCGCACAGAGCTAGCTAGGTGTGTAGGCTCTATACTTGAAGTATGTAGGGTACCTAGGAGGGTAGATCAATGATTTCACCGACTCGGTCTGGATTAATGCGACGAGCGCCCCACGGTTTAAACCACCAGCAAGCTTAGCAAATAGCTAGGCTCATCAGTACCTAGGTGAGACTCGCTGCTACATATTAAATTGACTTAGAGTTGGTAGTTAATTGTTAATGCGACATCATCGCGATACTGTTAGATACGAGTGTCACCCCAATTTTCGATCGCATTAGTATTCATTTGTTTTATAAGGGAACCTATATCTCCATTAATTAATGGTTAGCTAACACGGTGACAACTTACCTACACCTTTAGTTTTATAACCCGCGATAACTCCTCTCTTATCCAGGAAGAAAACTTACATGTCATTTTTTTTTCTCAAGTGAATGCTTGGGTGTATTCATAAGCTTCAAAGTATCATTTTATCTTTGATTATTCATTTGTTATTTACGGAGACCGGGAGAAGCATGATCTCGTCATAGATCCTTGAGTGAAGCATCCGAAGTGGACTCCCGATCATATTCTTAGTCGCACTGCATCCGGCGCCGTGTAGTATTTGATAGTAATGCCTGCTTACATCGTTTAGGAATCGACGTAAGAGGTGATACGGTCCCGAGGCATCCGTGCGTGTCCGTCAGTATCCAGATTAATTGAACAACTTTGCTGCAAGCCCAGTATGTCATGAAGGGTCCCCTCTGGTAGTGGGAAGAGATGGAGAGCTGAAAGAAGAGTTTAGCGCTAATAGGATGATAAGGGACAAGGTACTTCAAGTTTATACCGCGGCTTCCCACCTAAGAATGCGGAGTTTCTTGGGGGAAGTGCGGGGAGCTAGTAGGGTAGCAGGGTACCTATCCGGTGTCCGAGGCGCTAGCATTTACCTACCTGGGTAGTAGCTGGTGGCTGGCTGGCTGGCTGGCTACTCGCCCCCAAGAAGGGATGTGTTACTAAGCTTCCTTCTTGTATATGCACTCGAACGGCGCCGGTCAAGCCTCCTCATCACACCGGTTTTTGTCAATTTCTTAAAAGGTGACCTGGACAGATATAAATGGTAACGTACGTACTATAGCTTGTTGGTCGGAAATAATCATATTTCATCTTCAAGGAAACTCTTATTAATAAGTCTGTATCCTAAAAAGCCACCATATACGTTTTCGCGCTATTCTAAGCTGATTGATCTCTTTTATATTGTCAGAAGCTTAATCTAAACAGAGAACGAATAGAAATCCGCCAGTGACAAGATGGCGTCCATACCGAGGAAACTCTGGGAACATCCGAATCCCAAAAAGACACAGATGTACGAATTCATGCAAGTGCTAAACAAAAAGCACAATCTCGGTCTCAAGGTGAGAACGGACTTACTGGAATGGGCCTGACAGCGACACCGCTGACGTATTCCAAGACATTTCAAGATTTGTATCAGTATTCCATTGCTAAGCGTTCCGATTTTTACGCTGCTCTCTTCGATTACTTGAATATTATATATACTGGCTCTTATACGCAAGTAGTGGATGAAAGCAAACCGATTGACGCTATCCCGCGATGGTTCGAGGGCGTCCAAATTAATTGGGCCGAGAACATTTTATGGTCTCGGAGCTCCTCGGATTCTACCGATCACCACGGCCAAGTTGGAAAGGAAGATACCAAGATTGCTATAACAGAAGTCCGAGAGGGCGTATCAGAAGTCAGGCATGTTACATGGCTTACGCTTAGAAATCTTGCAGCCCTCTACGCTTCCACCTTATACAATGGTGGGGTGAGGCGAGGTGATCGAGTAGTCGTTGTTGGTTCCAATAGCGTTGAGACTCTTGTCATCTACCTCGCGACAACATGGCTAGGCGCTATCTTCAGCAGTAGCTCGACTGATATGGGTGTTCAGGGAATACTTCAGAGAACAGTCCAGGTCAATCCCAGGGTATGGCTAAATCCCTCCTTATTCTGTTATCAGCTTACTTACCAATGCTAGTATATCTTCATGGATGATGCGGCTCTTTATAATGGAAAACGGGTGGACCTACGCCAGAAGATGGCTGATGTCGTCTCTGGGATGAAAGACTGTGACCAATTCTTGGGTTTGGTCTCGATTCGCCGTTTCAAGGATGCATTGGACATCAGCAACATCCCCAAGAGTCAGACCTTAAATGCGTTCCTTGAAAAAGGGAACGCATCATCTCCCCCGCCAATCACTCGCATTGCTTTTCACGACCCGTTCCTCATTTGCTACTCCTCAGGAACCACTGGTATACCCAAAGCGATAGTTCATTCAGTAGGCGGAATTATTCTCAACTACGGCAAAGAAGGCCGTCTTCATGATGACGCTTCCTCCGATACCGTCTCACTCCAATATACCACGACGGGTTGGATCATGTACTTGGTATGCGTTGGCCAGCTACTATTCGGCGGGAGAGTAGTTTTATATGACGGGTCGCCCTTCCAACCCGATCTTCAGGCGTTCATCAAGTTGATTGGCGACCAAAAGGTCACCAAACTTGGGACAAGCCCTCGGTGGTTCTATGAAGTCTCCAGAGCGGGAATCTCGCCTAAACAGATCACAGACTTATCGAGCCTAGAAGCGGTAACAAGTACAGGCATGGTACTTCCTAACCAGCTATTCGAGTGGTTCTACGATAAGGGTTTCCCACCAAACGTCCGTTTGAGTAATATATCAGGTGGGACTGATATTGTAAGATTTGATCCATTCTGAAGTATTACTGACGGCTAACTTTATCCAAGGCTGGATGTTTTGGGATAGGCAACCCGCTGTCTCCTGTGTACGTAGGCGGCACGCAAGGGCCGTCTCTGGGGGTCGAAGTAGCCTTATATGACTCGCTCCTCCCCTCCGGTCCGGGAAAAGAGGTGCCAGATGGAACACCCGGAGAACTTGTGGCTACCGAGTCGTTCCCAAACGTGCCGGTCTTTCTATGGGGCGACAAGACGCCTCCAGCAGCGCCCGGGACGAAATTTCACTCCGCTTACTTTGCTAGATTCGATCACGTTTGGGCACACGGCGATTTCTGTGTATTCCATCCTGTTACTAAGAACCTTACCTTCCTTGGGAGGGCTGACGGTGTACTCAACCCCAGCGGAGTGCGCTTCGGCTCTGCGGAGATCTATTCGGTCCTTGAGAGGAATTTCGCCGATCAAATAGCCGATTCCATTTGTGTTGGACAGAGGCGACCTCATGACAACGATGAGAGTGTGATGCTATTCCTACTAATGCGGCCGGGTCATAAATTCGACAAAAAACTTGTTAACCAAGTGAAAGAAGCCATCAAGACCGAGACGACCAAGAGGCACGTGCCCAAATACGTATTTGAGACCCCCGAAATACCTGTAAGTGAAGGAATCTTTGAGAGTAGAGAATTTCCCGAAGCTGATATAAACATAGACTACGGTCAATCTCAAGAAAGTCGAGTTGCCAGTAAAGCAGATTGTATCGGGTCAAATCGTTAAGCCGAGTGGCACGTTGCTCAACCCGAAGAGCTTAGACTATTACTACCAGTTTGCTAAGGTAGAAGAACTTGTTACACCTAAAGAGAAATTGTAGATCAGAAAGGTACAAGGATTACTGTAGAGGCATTTAAATGGCGAGTCTTATGTACTTATCGTTTGCTTGATTATACAATTATAGGATCTACAAATAGGAGCATGTTATTTCTTTGGTAAACCGGTTCAATATCACGATATAGTGTCTGCCATAAAATCTTGTATTTTGGGCAAGGTGATATTACCTCACTGTTACTAGCCCCATTATATTGTCGAATTGTGTCTGTTGAAAGTGAAACAAAATATGCGAGTCTGGGAGGAAAATCCAGGAGATAAAGTACCTACGTACCCGACCTAGAGGCCCAAGTACATCGCTAGGTATGTACCTAGATAGGTAGGGACAAATCCGGAAAACAATGCGAATGAAAGAAACCCCTGAAGGGGAAAGTGATGGCGGGAGATCGATGGACACGTGCACATTTTGAACCAAGTCAGCTCTTCATGCGGGAAGTCAAGTTCCTTTTTTCAGCTCCAACCGAAACAGAAAAAGGAAAAGCCTCTTACATATAGGCGCCGCCCAGCTGTCATAAGTTACTTGATCTTATATACCCAGGTAGGTTTAGGTATATGTAGATACGTGTAAGTTATCGGCGCCTAGCATTGCATCCATGGATGTGGAGAGGGGACGGGATTAAGAACCTTGGAATGAGGAATGGGAGGGTTCAGTTACCTATCGTTATCACCGAGTTTACCCCTCCAGCCCTCCTAATTCGGGAGAGAATCTCTGCTTAATTAGGTCTTATCTTTAGAGTATTGCGCATTGTTTTTTGTGTCGATCGAAAGATATGTATGTATTAGCATGCGTAATACAAGCATCAGCTTGCCTTTTCTATTATGATACTTAGGTGTTTAGGTTTACTTTAATAAATGGTTGGCGGAAGATGTTGGAGTAGGTGTAGCATGGATTTAAAACGATAGGTACCGTGCTAGGAGTCTGAGAACCAATCAAAATCTATCCTCCCGATAGGGATAGCGCTCTTGCCGTACCTACAGTACGTAGCCCGAGGAAGCTTGCTGCATGCGTGACATCTTATCAGCTAAGTATTGGAAAATGCAATAGACATGTAACATTCATGGGTCCATGCAGTAACTAGGATCCACTTTCCCATCTACGTGTACCGTGTGGTACTTTAGCGCAAGTCGTTTCCCTCACTTTATGTAAAGTACCTAGGTAGCATTAGTACGGGCCTTTTTAGGGTCATCAGTACCTAGACTTATTTAAACTTGGGGGGTAGGCTAGGCGGACTAGGTACTTATGCATCCACTTGCGAGTAGTGGAAGCAGAGGTTAGTGGATCTTGTAGTGGATGCGCCGAGTGCATTCCCTTTCCACATTCATTCATTTCATTCATCAAATCCTTATGTATGGATTGCCACACATATACATTACCCTTACTACACAACGTATGTATGTACCTGGCCTACCTAACCTATTTACCTACTGCATGCCTACTACAACCTCTCTACCTTGGGGACATCTGGACCGTACTGTCGTCGTTGAAGACAAGCTCTTAGAAACGACGACCTTTCGACTCCGGCCCATCAAACTTCCTATGTATTGTCTAAACTCGAACCTGCCCCATATACAATCGATCTAGTTAGACTCGTGCCCGTTACCTTTCTCAAGCATACTAATCACGTCATATATGTGCTTCGATGTAGACATAATCCATCACTCGGACACAGGGAAACTTGGAGATACTCTTCTGGCAACTCCAGATCTCTAATAAACGTCTTCTCGATTAACCTAGCAGCTTAGGTTCCTTCTTAGGTTTATGGTCCACCTGACATGAGGTCAGCTATTTCGTCGGGACATCCATACCGAAAGCTGTCATTCAAGCTTAATAATAACCACCACGACTCTCAACCGCTCTTTTCTTATTCAAACTTACAACTACAATTACCTACCTTGCGCATACATCAACTTCGACATCGAAATCGACATCGTTATTTATTACCCTAGGTATTTATCTAACGACTGAAGGCTATATTCGAGTTCGATCCCGCGTAATCCCCATATCCCTCCCGCCGACTTCATTGTAACTTCCATCAGTTCCTTCTAGACTGCGGGTATTTCCAGCCCGCGGTGACGAGTAAGAAGTCGAAGTGGCAGACCAACACCCCCAGCGACTTCCATCCACCCCATCCACCTCCGACCACCCATCCATTCCGCAAAACCCTCGATCTTCTTCCAACACTGTTCTCTCAGCCCCCGCCGCAAGCCGACCCCTTGCGGATCAAACCAACCATAGTCCGCCGCCCGTCTCTGAGACCATACCTGCTACGTCTTCTACGCAACGCCAAGTTTTAGGACGGAGGCAAAGGGATTCGGAGGACGGCAACGACGACAGCGACCTCGCCGGCTCCTACTCGGAGCTTTCGGGGGGTCCTACTTCCCACATTGTCCCCTCTGATAATCCAAGAAGAAAACGCAGACGCGCCGATAGTACCATGTTAGCGGATACAGACCGGCAAGTAGCATCTAATGGCACTTCGAGGCCGTACGCCAATGGAAAATCACATCAACGACCCGCTGCGCCAGGCGCCGCAAATGGAACGGGAAAGTCAGTCAATGGCTCGAGGGCCAAGGTATTAGAGACATACCTTGGTCACGATCGTGAAGAAGTGACTAGATTATTAATACAAGCTCTTTCGGATATGGGCTATCAGTCTGCAGCGCAGAGTGTCAGCCAGGAGAGTGGGTATGAATTAGAAAGTCCGATGGTGGCTGCTTTCAGAAATGCTATACTCAAGGGAGACTGGTCCCAAGCAGAAGAGCTACTTGCGGGCGCAGCATCCTCATCTGGCGATCGGAATGGTGAAAACGGCAACGGGTTGGTGTTAGCGAATGGTGCAGACAGACAGATAATGAGGTTTTGGATACGGCAACAGAAATTCTTAGAGCTCCTGGAGCAACACGAAACTGCGCGTGCCTTACATACGCTCAGAACCGAACTCACCCCACTATATCAAGACACTCAAAAGCTTCATTTCCTCTCTAGCCTACTTATGTGCCAGAAGGCAGAGGATCTGAAATCCAAAGCGGAATGGGATGGAGCACACGGAGAGTCGAGACATATTTTACTGTCGCAACTATCAAGTGAGTTTGCGATTATATTTAATATGCCCATCTTAACTTGCACATTTTACTAATCTTCACATCTAGAATGCATCTCCCCATCAGTCATGCTTCCAGAGCACCGTCTGGCAATATTACTACACCAAGTTAAAGCGAATCAGATTGGGGGTTGTCTTTGGCATTCTAGCGCCACGTCTCCGTCCCTATACGCAGATCACGTGTGTGACCGACGACGATTTCCAACCGAAAACGTTACCGAACTCGACGAACATGACGATCAAGTCTGGCAAATTATGTTTTCCCACGACGGTAGAAAATTAGCAAGTTGTGGTCAAGGTAAACAGGTTATCATCTGGGATGTTCCAACCTTCAAGCCACTTCACGTTCTTAAAGATCATGAAAGTGGGGTTGGTAATGTAGCATGGAGCTGGGACGATTCTATGCTTGTTACATGTTGCCAAGACCGACACGCAAGACTCTGGGATGTGAATGTGAGTTTTTTTAAAAAATTTAAGTCCTTTGTAACCGTTGCTAATGAATGTAGACCGGCACTTGTCTACGGAAACTAGAACGATGTCAGGAGCCTGTCACTAGTTGTGTATGGGCAGCAGATAGTCAGACATTCGTCACCGGCGCACTTGATAAAAGTGATAGTCTCGTCCAGTGGAATCTTTCTGGCGAGAGAATATACGACTGGAATAACCAACACAGGGTTGAAGGCCTGGCTATTTCGCCAGATGGACACTGGCTTGTGGCTTCAGATGGAGGAAGCAATATTCACGTCTACAACTTTATCACTCGGGAACTGGAATATCAGATGAACTTACAGGTCAAGGTGACTTCGATCACCATTAGCCAGAACTCGCGGCACCTGCTGGTAAATCAAAGCACTGGCATCGCGCAGCTTATCGATTTAGTGCTACGCGAGCCAGTTCAGAGTTATACCGGCTTCACTAGCGAAAATTTCATGATCAGGAGTACGTTTGGAGGAGCCGATGAAAGCTTCGTAATTAGTGGTAGCGAAGGTAAGCATATTTCAATGAAGGCGCTAGATCGTGGCTAATCTGACTAACAGACGGTTCCATCAACATCTGGCACAAGACCAGTGCTCAACTCGTGGAGAAGCTTAACGGACACATTCCTGGGTGTAATTCTGTATCGTGGAGCCCGACAGACCCATGCTTGTTTGCCTCATGCGGTGATGATGGCAAAATTAAGATGTAAGTTTTATATGAAATACGATTTCTAATTTGGAGTATTAACTAGTTTTAGATGGTCAAATAACGACTGGATACGTTCTCACCGCGAGGTCAACCGGGGAGTTGGTGGTTCTGCTTCATGAAGCACAACTAGGTTATAATTCAAATTTCTGATTTTCCGGTACAGTACTTGCATGGACCCGGCGTACTTGGATGACGGTAGCATGGCGCTTCTCAGCTCCGGACTCGCGCGACTCCACATGGGCTAGGAGCGACTACATACAAGAGGCATAATCCTAGCGGCGTGTATAGTCGTATAATGAGTGTATTGATAGCACAGAATGGCTTCTGTCTTCAGAGACATGCAAGGGGGGTGTCTATTGTGTCCTTTTTTTGCCATTCATATCATAGAGCCGAGAGCCAGGAAATGGCCATTGTATATCCTTGGGGCTATGCGAAGATGTCTCTTCTCGTACTGAACCCATTGCAGCGAAGACTATAGCTTGCTTCCACGAGGTAATATATCCTGTTGACAGCAAAGCGAATAAGCCATTCAAATACAAACTACATCTTGCGTGCTTAGCTCCGTGATAATCCACTATACGGGCTTACGAGATACTAGTAAGGCATCTTTTAATTTGGCATTCCTCCCATGAATCAGTTGACCATAGATGGACTTAATTTTACTGGAAAATATGTAAATAAGCAAGCTGTCGTAATCTTGGGCAAAGAGCTGACGCACGCCTATCCAGGCAACAACATTAATATATGGCTCCTAATCGCTTGTAGATATCGTTAAATCATAGGTGTGGCTAGTAAGTATAGCTTAAGAGATGCGTGAGCCACAATTGGGTATAGCTCATTGGGCTGACGTTGGTCTAAGCTTGGGCCTAGTCACATGCTTCATGTGGCTCAATGGAACGGGGATAAGGCTAGGGGATAGTGGGTACTACGTAAGGTACCTAGGTACCTCTTGTACTGTAATGTACTCCTGTAAGGTTGCAGTCAAGTGCCACCGGCATTGCGCCTGGCCTGGCGATTTCGATAAATGAATTGTTTCTAGTTTCCTAACCTGAATACACCGAATTACAACCAACTTTTTTCTCCTACCCTTCTACAAAACACACGTGGACTGCGTTCACTTGTGATTTTAATAATACAACTACGACATATTCCGAAGACAGAAGGACTCGAAGGTTCTGTCTATTCTCGAGAAAGAACGAATAAACTGGGGAACCCAACCCTTGAAACCGTTTATCTCCCAAGTCGAGTCGGTCGAGACTCTCCTTACTAGGAACAAAGTGCAACTTGACGACATACACATTTCAATACTCGAAACAAAACGCGACTACTGAATACTGAAGATGGCCGACACGCTAAGTACACCGGGTGGTATCTCGGATCCCGCCCTCATCAAGTATGTTCTGTCTGCGCTATTCTCGTTTGTGCGCGCAACCGTTAATCTTGCTAACACCAAAACTCTAGACTCGTCAACAGGCTACAAGATGTTTTCTCCACCGTTGGTGTCAACAACCCGATCGATTTACCGCAAATAGTCGTCGTCGGAAGTCAGTCTAGCGGTAAGAGTTCCGTGCTCGAGAACATCGTCGGCCGAGACTTGTATGTCACCCCTCGTACCCCCCTGAGCTCTAGTAGCTCCACCTACACCGTCTTAAACTAACCCGCCGCTCTCGAATAGCTTACCTCGAGGATCCGGTATCGTAACGCGGCGACCTCTTATCCTACAACTTATCAACCGACCTGCGACGCATACAAATGGAGTCTCGGAAGAAGTCTCGAATTCTACCGACAAGGCGGCCAACGCAGACGAGTGGGGCGAGTTCTTGCACATCCCGGGACAGAAGTTCTACGATTTTAACAAAATTCGGGACGAGATCAGCAGGGAGACGGAAGCAAAGGTCGGTCGAAATGCCGGTATCTCGCCCGCACCGATTAACCTCCGAGTCTACTCCCCGAACGTCCTGACCCTAACATTGGTCGATTTGCCCGGTCTGACGAAAGTGCCCGTGGGTGACCAACCAAGGGATATCGAGCGACAAATCAAAGACATGGTCCTCAAATATATCCAAAAGTCGAATGCCATTATCCTAGCTGTCACCGCTGCCAACATTGATTTGGCTAACTCCGATGGTCTCAAACTTGCGAGAGAAGTTGATCCGGAAGGACAACGAACAATTGGTGTTTTGACAAAGGTAGATCTTATGGACGAGGGTACGGATGTAGTTGATATTCTTGCTGGACGTATTATTCCGTTGCGTCTCGGATACGTCCCAGTTGTGAACAGAGGACAACGGGATATTGACAACAAGAAGCCGATTTCCGCGTCCCTCGAATCTGAGAAGAACTACTTCGAAAACCACAGGGCGTACAAAAACAAGAGCACATACTGCGGTACACCATACTTGGCGAGGAAGTTGAATCTGATTTTGATGATGCACATTAAACAAACGCTACCCGATATCAAAGCGAGAATTGCTAGCTCGCTACAGAAATACTCCGCTGAGCTTGACAGTCTAGGTCCTTCAATGTTGGGTAACAGCGCAAATATTGTTTTGAACATCATCACAGAATTTGCGAATGAATGGCAAACCGTTTTGGACGGCCGACACGGCGAGTTATCTAGTATAGAACTATCTGGTGGTGCCCGTATCAGCTTTGTGTTCCACGAACTGTACTCCAACGGTGTCAAAGCGGTCGATCCATTCGATGTTGTGAAAGATGCTGATATCAGAACGATATTGGTCAACTCCTCCGGTCCTTCTCCGGCGCTTTTCGTCGGAACCACTGCTTTCGAAGTAATCGTTAAGCAACAAATTAAGCGACTAGAAGAGCCTAGTCTCAAGTGTGTTTCGCTCGTATACGACGAGTTAGTGCGAGTCTTAACACAACTCCTATCCAAAGCACTCTACAGGCGGTACCCGCAACTGAAGGAGAAGTTCCACAACGTGGTTATCGCTTTCTTCAAGAAGTCTATGGAGCCTACCAATAAGCTCGTTAAGGATCTTGTTTCCATGGAAGCTTGCTACATTAACACGGCCCATCCCGACTTCCTCAACGGTCACCGCGCTATGGCTATAGTGAACGAGCGGTATAATGCTGCTAAGCCCGTTCAGGTTGACCCTAAGACAGGAAAGCCTATGCCTGCGCCAACAACTCCGGCCCGTGCTGCTAGCCCGTCATTGGATAGCAACCTGGACAGCAACACGGGCTTCTTCGGAAGTTTCTTCGCCGCCAAGAACAAGAAGAAGGCCGCTGCTATGGATGCTCCTCCTCCCACCCTTAAAGCTTCCGGGGCTCTATCAGAGAGAGAGAATGTTGAGGTTGAAGTTATCAGTATGTTTAATGAAATAATTCTACCTGATTTATGACACTGACAAATTATTCTAGAGCTACTAATTTCCTCCTACTTCAACATCGTTAAGAGAACGATGATCGACATGGTCCCAAAGGCTATCATGCTAAACCTTGTCCAGTAAGCACAAAGTCCAACCTATCTCGGCGTATTATCAAGATTACTAATTCGAATAATAGATTTACAAAGGATGAGATGCAAAAAGAGCTCTTGGAGAACATGTACCGAAACGAGACCTTCGACGACCTACTAAAGGAGAGCGACTACACTATTCGCCGACGGAAGGAATGCCAGCAGATGGTCGAGTCATTGGGTAAGGCCAACGAGATTGTCAGCCAAGTGCAGTAAAAGTAAGGAGCGGCGGAATAGGTGTCTGTTAAACCCCAAGTGTCGGAAATAATTCTTGGCCGGGTAGGCAGGATGGGATGGGATGAGATGGTTACGGCGTCGAGCGGTCACGGAGAAACACAACCACCCCCATACCATATTATCGGTAGATTGTTGTCTTCGTTGAGCTAATGCTCTTCCCCCCCTCACCACCACCACCCCCTATCTCATCCTCCTTTACTCACTGGAACTTGGAACCCCCTTATTGTCCTAATTTTAAGGAACCTACCCTTTTTTAGTCAACGTCATACCCCCAAACCAATCAACACAATTCCCCCTTAGAATATGACCAATGTACGTCAGTCAGTCAGTTGGTAGTAGATGAGAAATATGATGAATATTGAGTGATAATGGGGTTGGGTGTGTTAATGTATGTACCCAAATGAAACCAGAAATTGATGTTTTGAATTTGTTTGTGTTTCTCCTCGGCCTTTCTCATAGGCCTCTTCGCATAATTTGTCCTTAGATCTACGTGATGCGTTGCTTGATATAGGATTCGGGATTTGAAGTGACCGGCGGTGAGGTGACCCGGAGGAGGCTGCCGGTGCATATGTCTATTTGACCGATGCGTTAGGGTGAGCCACAGGATTTTGTTACTCGGATAGTTACGTGGGATGTGGTTTTGATATACGTTCTTCATTTACGTTCGGAAACTTGTAACCGTGGGAGTATAGCTTGATCGACATGAGTAAGAGGACATGTCGGCTTGAGGCGTATACTTTTTCATGTCAAGGATTATATTCGCCGGTTTTGTAAATATCAGGATCGTCTACCTACCTAGATATTTGTGATCTATAATCTGGTCTTGGGAGCGGGGGGTTAGGGGTACGGCCTATTGTCTTACCCACGTGTGTGACCTATCTGGTATTATTATATTCGGCGACGCCGAGCGATAGTCACCGCTTCCCTTTGGGGGTGTCGGTGTCGGGATGGGATGGTAATAAAGAAAACGCGGAGGCCGGAGACGGAAGATTCCGTATCGCGGCCGTTGGTTCCGAGTTACCCGGCACAGGTTACGTGGGGAGGTTGGTAAGTACATTGGTAATAGGTACTTAAGTAGGTAATAGCGAGGCAGGCTTGAATACGAGTTTTCTTTATGATATCTGATAAGATTGGATATGTATGGCTCTTTTGTATGTTATATGTGTGTCCGATACGTAGTCAATACATCATCCCGCGTCAGCGCGTCTAGAATACCCCCTTTCTTTTCGTCTCCATAGAGTATCCGGGAGTATATCTAGCCGGGGTCTGGACTCGTCGTGCCACGGCCCGAACGCGGGATGCATGTATGCAGATATGTCGGTATGTAGGAAGGGTTCTATGTATATGGGGATAGATGGATATATGAGATCTGACGAACCTATTTTAAGGAGCGCATATGTGGGGGATCAGAGGTGAAAGGGGTGGGGAGAAGGTGAGCAGGGAAAGGGGAAAGGGGGAGGCGTCTGGTCTAGTTCCCCTTGGCCCGGATGTTTAAGACGCCACATAAGATTATCATCAGGGGCAGTATCTACCTACTGGTAGGTATAGCTCGGCGAATAAGACGGACATCTCTCCGTAGCCAAACGGCTCAGTCGGCTATGAACACGACTAGAAAGGAAAGGTAAAAATGTGAAGACGAAAAGAGAACGAAAGTGTCGTAGTTTGACCAGAGTGGGAATAGGGCGGGCGGCCCGCTGCCGCGCGCTTGGGGGCCACGGCTACGAGCACATATACTTGATGTATGGCGTAGTGCGTGTAAGCACGCTATTAACTTAACCTACACCGAGCCCGTAACCCAGTAATCTAATCCAACCCCTGACGGAAAAGATAGAGAAGACAAGAAAAAAAAAGGACTCGCCTTGCATGGATCAAGATGGCGGTCAAGCGGCTGTTTTTCCCTTATACGTAACAGCACATCGCATAACCAAGGGTAGAGGATACTTACACTAAATTAGCTATCGAACACGCAAGAGATTTATGTGTGGATGGTGACGAGTCGCATACATTGGCTAGTAAGTACATGCAAAAGCGGTGACACAAGATGGGAGAATGGTGCGATCTGGTCATCAAAAAATAATAATATGTATGTTGGTTCGGCGGCCAGCATAGCAGAGAGGTATATACATACCGCAAGTTACCCTCTTTCTTAGCAGCTTCTTAGAAGTCTTCAAACTCCTGAACAAGTCCATGGGGATCGTTGATCTGTGATTGTTAGTGTGGTATTCATAAGCTCATTAATTCGATACGCTAAAGGAAGCATCGCAACTCGCCACACCTTACTCTTTTCATCTGCTATTGGCGGCGAGTTTCTCCATAACAAAAATGGGTGATCAATCTAGAACCGACCCTCCGTCTCCTCCACCTCCACCGCCACCAAGCCCAAGTAAGGGATCTTCCTGAATTGGCCCCTGAATCAAGAATAGTCGTTTATACAATTTCGACCATTTTGGAGGTGAGATCTATGTCCTTCACAGGAATATCTCCCGGGCTAGACGAGCTCATAGTTGTAGTTTTTATACTACCTTGGCCATCCGAGCTAGGCTAGGCGAAAGGGAATAAGAGGAAATGGTCGAGGGAAGTCGGCACCGAATGACCTAACTATTGCCGTAAATTGAGGACAGCTAGGAATACTTTTGTTCGTGGTTTAACATTGGTTAATGCTCGATTAGAAGGGATTTTCGGTGGTAAAAAGGAAAAGGCGTAAAAGTGGGAGGTTATCATAATGTAAAATTCGACATATATTCGTCCTTGGGGTGGCACCGTTTACAACTTCGATTTGGTCTTCAACACAACAGCACCGTCTTTTACTTCAAAGTCCTTTCCTTTTGTCCAGCGGAACCAGTCACGGAGAGCTTCTTCGCCCCCTTGGTTCGGAGTAAGAATATCTCCGACGTAACCACGTCCGGGAACTCCCGGACCTTGACCATGAATACTAGGGTCGGTGCCTTTGTCATCAATCGCCAAGCATGGTGTGTCGCGCAACGCCACCGATGGTCTCTGGTCGCCCTCACGGCCGCCATCCGTTTCTAGTTCGGGATACTCTAATACGGGAGTACAACAGGCATCGGTGCCATCGAATATGGCCTCCCATTCTGAGCGTGTCTTGGACTTGAAAATCATTTCGAATAACTGTTTCATTTCTGGCCATGTTTCACGATCATTGCGTCGCGTCTCCCAGTTTTGGTTGCTCAAGCCTAGGCCTTTGATCAAGGCGGCATAAAATTGGGGCTCTAAAGCTCCGACCGCCATATATTTTCCGTCTTTTGTTTCATACGTATCGTAAAACGGACATCCACCGTCAAGTAGATTTTTCCCACGTGGTTGGTCGCCCGTCGGCGTCTTGAGAACCTGTCGAGGAAATGTTGCGAGATAGTTGGTACCATCGACCATATTAGCTTCGACAACTTGCCCCTTTCCAGTTGCCCCTCTAGCTATGACAGCGAGTAGAATCCCCTGAAAGAGCGTAGCACCACCACCCGCAAAATCACCAGCGAAATTGTAAGGTGCATACGGCTTATCACCACTTCTTCCTACTAGAGAAAGAAACCCGGATACGGCAAGATAGTTAATATCGTGACCGGCCATCAAGGCGTATTTCCCATCGCGACGAAAGCCTGCCATGCGGCCGTAGATAAGGCGAGGGTTTAAGCCACACAAGACATCCGGGCCAAGGCCAAGCTTTTCTAATACGCCTGGGCGGAAGGGGTCGATTGTGATATCGGCGGTTTTGGCTAGTTCTTTGATGAGTTCAACACCAGCTGGCGACTTTAAATCAACTGCTATAGAAGACTTGTGTCTTGTAAGCAGATCAGGCGCTGGGACTGAACCGCTAGGCGTATGGCGATCAATGCGGAGGACGTTTGCGCCGGCATCCGCAAGAAGTAAGCCAGCGAATGGTCCTGATTATATGTTAATTACGGGTTTCTGCATCTTAATCGGGGATGTCCTACCGGGCGCTAATCCAGCAAATTCAAGGACCTTGAGCCCCTGAAGCGGCGGTGGTCCAACCATTTTTAATGAGTCAAAACTCCTTAAATCCGATAAATTTCAACTTGGATATTTCCCGTTAGATTGGCCTCTATATAGAAATTACTTTGGGGGGTAAGAGTAGAAACGGGGTTTGATGAGTTGCTTGGTGTTAGTGACGGACAGTATGCGCCCCAAAGTCAGGGAGTTTATGAAAGGCGGAGAGCCGAGGTTTGTGTTACCACAGTACAAGATGGATTGCGATTAACACTGTTTGTCACATATATTTAACTCTTTCCTGCACCTTTCTTTTTGTTCGGGTTCTCAGAAACTAAACCGGCTTTGACAAATGCATCTCTTGCAGTTTGATTGATCAGAGCAAAACGACGAGGACCAAGTTTATGGCCTCCATACCATCGAGTCACAATCACCATCACGTTCCAAAGATCCATGAGCTGCATAAGATGTAACAGTCGACCTCCCGCGGCAGTTTCGCCGTCATCATTACAATCTTGGAATGTAGTGTTGTTGGGCCCTTTTATTCGCCAGGCTGTAATATTATGTGTAGCAGTCCGGACTTTTTTGTCGGTGGAGAGAAGATACTGGACGAATGCCTCAGCTTCTTCGGTGGATGTGACGGTAGCACACCGAGCAACAAATGTTGATTTCTGCTCAATAAAAGGGTCCGATATAATCCAGGGAGGTTCGCGGGTGTTGATATCCTTTGCGTCTACTGTAACTTGAGACGCAGGCTGGGTATCTGCGGTATTTTCTGGGGCAGTGGTATCCTCTTCCTGGGGTTCTTCTGGTACTGATAATTCGAGAAGCCGAGTTAACTCCTCTATGGCGTCGAAGAGACAAACGGCTCCTGGTTCGTAGGTAGTACTTAAGGCCTGACAGAATAAGGATAACTCTCGAGCAGCGTCACCACGCCTGCCATGCTCGCCGGTACTATTAGTACCTAGAACAACAGGGGGCACTGCAGGATAAGTAGGGGGGAACTCTATACGAAGAGATGAAGATTCTCCAGGTGGTGTTAAAATGTAAATGTTTTCTTCATTCGAGGGTACTAAGCAGCCATCACCATAGATTGAATTAATTGCTTCGAGCTCATCCCGAAGCTCTTCATTCATTCTTCAATATTGTTTCTGTGATAATGGTGGATGCGACAAAATGGAAAAGGCGATGGTTGAGCTTAAATGTATACCGGTAATTTGAAAATTAATTCTAGACTCTAGAAAGTCTCATGTATTGTGAAGGTATAGAATATTGTAAGACAGTGGAGTTAACAGCGGGAGCTGATCGAGACACCCCACCATTGTGTATAAAAAGCACAGTGCTTAATGCTATCGGGATAATTTTATGCAAGGAACAGTATATCTGATAAGAGACGGGATGGGGACCCATGTTGGTTTAAATCTATTAAATCACCTGCAGATGCCCGACTTCCAGGGATGCTTGTTTGTATTATAGTGGGTCATAGAAGGGTTCAGAACCCCACGCCGTTCGCCCCTCCATTTTCTTAGCCCTGGAGGTAATGCTCTAGGGCTGCTAGCAATATCCCTAAGCTCCGAGTCCCGACCAAACAATCGACTTTTGTTCGAGGACGCCGAAATCGAAGGCCGTTTCCAGTGACTTCAACCAACTTAAATCCTTGACTTGGGGAATTTAGGTACCAGAGCTATCCTATTTAATACATAGCTGCCTAAGCGGCGTATTATTTTCTACTTCGAAATTTATTTTTTACAATTATTCCTCTTCTCCAGCCTTCTTTTCAAAGCTTAGCCTTACTTCGATAATATTCTTTAATCGCCGTTTCTAGTCTCAGCTGCCTATCCGTGAGCCACCGTCGAAGATGGCGTCCGCCGTGGAGCAGGCTACGGCCTTCAAGAACGACGGCAACAAAGCTTTCGCCGCACACGACTGGCCCAAGGCGATCGAATTGTATACCAAAGCTATTGAATTGAATGATAAGGAACCTACATATTACACAAACAGAGCACAAGTCTGTCCTACCTCGTCCGGCCTTAAGCGCTCGCGTGACTGACCTCGACTTGAATTTTAGGCACATATCAAGTCAGAAGCTTTCGGATATGCTATCGCAGACGCTACAAAGGCGATTGAATTAAACCCAAAGCTCATAAAGGTGCGGACGCCGCTAAAATCTACCTCCGATGTGCATGCCAGGCGCTAACCTCGCCCAAAACTAGGCTTACTTTCGCCGAGCTGTTTCCTACGCTGCAATCCTCAAACCGAAAGACGCCGTAAAGGACTTCAAGAAATGTGTCGAACTCGATCCCGCGAACAAAGATGCCAAGCTCAAGCTTGCCGAGTGCCAGAAGATTGTCCGACAGCTGAATTTCTATGCGGCTATTGAAGTCGGAGATGAGCCATCCGCAGCCGAAGGTCTCGACATTGACTCTATCGTCGTCGAACCTGATTACGATGGTGTAGAACTCAAGGACCAGATGACACAGGAGTTTATTGATGACATGATTGAACGATTCAAGAATGGCAAGAAGATCCACAAGAAATATGTCTACCAGATTGTGATCGCGGTCAAGAATATTGTCTATGAGGAGGCGACAATGGTTGAGATGAAGATTCCGGATGATGTCAAACTCACAGTCTGTGGTGACACACATGGTAAGCCTAGGGATATCTTGTCTTATTCAAACATCGCTAACATTATTGTAGGTCAATATTTCGACTTAATGGAGCTCTTCAGATTGAACGGCCGACCGTCGGAGAAGCATTGGTACCTGTTCAATGGAGACTTCGTGGACCGAGGTTCTTGGTCATCCGAGATTGCTCTGTTGCTGTATGCCTACAAGTGGTTACGCCCTCATGGTATGTACCTCAACAGAGGCAACCACGAAACCGACGACATGAACAAGGTGTACGGATTCCAGGGCGAGTGCAAGGCGAAGTACAACGAAAGGTAACCCTTCTAATCGGTATTTCAAAATATTCCACCCGTTCTAACCGATTCTAGGGTCTTCAAACTATTCTCTGAGAGTTTCTCCGCGTTACCGCTAGCAACGCTCATCGGATCTAAGTATCTTGTCTTGCATGGTGGTCTATTCTCGGATGACAGCGTAACATTGGATGATATCCGAAAGGTGGATAGGCACGCTCAAAGACAACCGGGCCAATCCGGTCTGATGATGGAGATGTTGTGGACCGATCCCCAGAAGGCTCCTGGCCGAAGTCCCAACAAGAGAGGTGTGGGTATTCAGTTCGGACCGGATGTAACGAAGAAATTCTGTGAGAAGAACGGTCTAGACGCTATCATCCGAAGTCACGAGGTCCGTATGGACGGTTACGAGGAAGAGCACGACGGAAAGTGTATCACAGGTGAGTCGCTTTTATTTTCTTCTGATGGATCTTTTTTGCTAACTCGTCTCAAGTCTTCTCGGCACCAAAGTACTGTGACCAGACGGAGAATCGGGGTGCATACATCAACATTGGCCCTGACTACAAACTCAGCTTCAACCAATTTGATGCTGTTCCTCACCCGCCGATTAAGCCTATGGTAAGTTTTATTTCTTCCTTTCCATCCCAGCTGTGAAATAAACAAGATTGATCTGACCAATTCCAGGCGTATGCCAACAACTCGCTTATGTCGATGATGTAAAGGGGTGATTTGGTTTTTCATGTATTCCACATGCTGATCTTGCATCGAATGGTGGCTCAACATGGCATTCTTGCATATATACGGCGCTTCATCGTAAGGGGAAGCACTGGCGTTGAGGGGGTATCGGTGAGGAAATGGGAATTTATACCATACTGGCGGTACCAATGAAAAATGGCATACTGGATTGTGGTTTTTGCTTTCATGATGTGTGTATGTTGGTGATGGTTGATTTGAATTTAATTGTGTGATGAAATATCAGCCTGCCCAGAGTTTATCTTGTCCATCTCTACCGACTAAGGCACCAAGCCAGTCGGAACATCCTCGTATTCGAAGCGAAGAATGAATTCCATCTTGATATGAGCCCTGCCATGCTGTAATAGCTGCGGAAAAGGCACCTAGGTCGTCCCTTGGCATTCTTAACCAGCAATTCTTCCCTTCAACTTTGAGAATGTCTAAAGGAATACCGATGCCTGTAGTGCCTAGGAATTGCTTTAACGCGGATGTGCAGTAAGACCGTACTTGGAGGGCATCAAGCTCAGCAGGATCAGATGGATCACTGAAAAGTTCGAGATGTGCGTAGGAAAAACGTGGGGTTTTAATAGTAGCTGTGACTAGCTCATAGGTTTTTTTCACTTTGGTCGTAGCTGGGGCGTCTGTCATTGATATATCTGCTGGTTCTGGCATGATTCTTTGAGGTGTGCAGGTGCTTGACTGTTGCTGTAGGAGACAGACAGGTACATATACCTAAGAGGCAGTAAAATAGATTGACATGATAGGGCGAATTGGAATTGTCATGTACCTAGCAAGCTAAAATGGGGAGTTGTGATTGGACAAAGTGCATTCTCAAGATCATTAGGTAATCTTTACAGCAATATTTTGGTGGAGCTAATGATCCACCATGGCAGAAAGCTCACCGCTTTAAGCTCGGTTTAAAAGATAAATGCCCTTTTTTGCACCAATCCGAGTTTCTCCCACGCTAATTAATTTAACCATTATCAATAGCTATCTAGCGCCCCGACTTAAGCATCATGACTAGACCAACCAGAGCACAGATTTCCAGTGCCGCTAAGCACTACGGCCGAAACCCTGCGCGAGTAGCTCGACTTCATAGTCTCAACCCTCGTCTTTTCCCTCGTCTTAACGTCCCTTCTCAAAGCAATCCCTTTAATACTCACCCTCCTGAGCCTCCTCCGGTCTACACCACCGCTAAACTCACCGAGTTGATCCTTTACGAGCGTCTCGATCCCTTTGCACAGCACCCGGAGCTCCTTGTTAAGCCTGTCGAGATGGCCGACTCTCTTTACACCTGGCAGCCCATTCCTCCCAACCAGATGCGCTACGCTCGCGCGTGTATGGTCTGCTCTATCATCATGGTCCAATCTGTAAGTAATTCCTTCCATCCGCACTTCTTCGCTTTCCCGCCTACGCTCGATCCATTCACACTATCTAAGTAATTAAATGGACTAACGTAAACAAAACAGCGTTTCCGTTCTGAAGGTTGTCCCAACTGTCCCTTCCTCGACCTTAAGGGCTCGCCCGAAGCTGTCGAATCTTGCACCTCCAGCGTCTTCGAAGGAACCATGGCCATCGCCAGCCCCCGAACCTCATGGGTTGCACGTTGGAACCGTATCGACAACTACGTCCCCGGCACCTACGCCATTCAAGTGATGGGTTCGCTACCTGAGGACGTTAAGCAGGCTATGGAGGACGATGGTCACGTCTACATTCCGTAAGTTTTTCTTTGTTCTTGTTTATTTCTTTCCGCATTTGTTCTATATACTTCCTTTGGCAAGAATAGTTATCTAACATTGGTATTTTCACTCAACAGTCGAGACGGTTCCGCCACCGAGATTGAATAGGCTTCATCCGGTGCACCCGCAGCCATTCGTGGACTCAACAACGAGCAGCGCGATAGCCCCCAAACTCCCAAAGCCACCCGCCCCGTCGAAGAAGACCGTGACGCTCCGGCTAGTCAAGCTAACACCGACACTCAGTCCATTCGCGACGGTCAGAACACCCAGGAGCAGAGATCGGAGTCCACGCCTATCACTTCCAGTTCTCACATTTAGACGATCGATTTGTTTCCCCAGAGGTATCATCCAGGATTCACAAGGCGTTAATAGGAAAATGGTATACCCAAAAGATCGAGGCAGGAGTTCTTGTTATTTGCTTGATTTGCCGCTGATGCAATTTGCACGGCTGGTAGTTGCATTCGCATAGGACATGCGAGAAATCTAGAGGATCATGGATCGGTGCTGTCCCCATATGGTGGGCAGGCAAAAAAGTTACTTTCATGTACATCGCATCATATTGCATTTGCTTAGGCATCTATCCTTTTAGGGTAGTTGATCCTTAATTTGCCATGTTGCCATAATGCCATCACCACGTTGTTTTTACTAATTGTCTACCTGATTTCTTCTAATATCGTTTGCGATTTTCTCACTGTCTCTATTAAGACATTCTAGCTCTAGATAAATCCCCGTCGCTTCATCTCGATTTCCTCCGGTTCCCGCTCGAAAAACGACGACACGGTATCTGCCCTCTTCTGTTGACGTTCCGTTATCTTCATGCCGCCCTCAATCGTCGTGTAGCAATCAATAATATCATCGATTTCTTGGTATAACACAGTTTGTCGACCAGGTAGTGGTGCGGCCTTGTGTTTATTGTCCTCGAGGTGCCTTTCTTTATCCTCGAGGTGCCATTTAGGCGGGGAAACAATATCAAATTTGGGAAGATTCGAGAGCGCATCCTCGGAACTGTCATCGCTGTCGTTATCGCTGCATCGCAAATCGGTTGTCCATGAATCATCACTGCTTTTGCGGGATTCAGGACGTAGCAAGCCAGCGCCTATCCTACTATCATTGTTTTCTGCGCGAGGTTGCGGCTTGGGCTTTGGAGGTGGCGAGTACTTAACGGACGGCTCTTTTGGCGAAAGCGGAAACCATCGTACATCCTGAAATCCAATGTGCTTGTTGCGGCTTGAGGGAGGCGGTGATCTTACTACATCACGCCTGTTTTCGCTTTCATCGGAAGATCCTGGGGATCGTTGGCGTTTCCCTCTAGGCGCGGGCTGGAGTTTGAAGCTTGACGTGCTGAACTTGCTGTCGACGCGCGGGATCACCGTTCTCTTGCGGGTGGTGTGTTCTTGTGTACTTTTCTCTGCGGTCTCGGTGTTGGCTTTGGCGCGGGCACCGACGAGAGCCTGGAGGGATGCTAGCTCGGCGTCGCCTGCGGCGGGTGGTGCTTGTTCCTCGTTGGACCCGAAGAAGGCGCTTTCCCGGGGATACAATGTCTCGTGGCAGTCTGTGCAGAGGTTATCCTTCTTCTCTTCTTCTGTCCTTAGGATCGAATTGCATCCTGGCCACGGGCACCGCTGGGCCGGCTCCAGGGGCGGTGTAGGGAGACCTTTGTGGTTATTGTCCTTCGGTTTCGGCGAGCTGTAGATGTCTTTAGGGTAGGGGGATGTGGTAGAAGAGTTAAGAATGAGGCTAGGCGTTGTTGAATTTGGATCGTCACGAGTCGGCGTCTTTATGTCAACAAACCTAATAGACGTTCCCGTACTTCCTTGTCTCGACCCCTCTTGCGAGCTATGCCCCTTTTGAGAAGACTCGCTTGGGGCATACAGTTTATTCGATAGCAACTGAGCCCTCTGCTCGGACTCCTTCCTATACCGAATAATAGGTCCTCGATCTATACCACCAATGTCGCGATATACCTGTATCGTCACAGCCCCAGGAGATATAGGAGAACTCGGTGCCCGTCCTCTAGTACTGCCTTCTTTTGCGATTGGCCATTCCGTCCTGGAAAACTGCAATGACGGTCGTTCTTCGCTAGTGCTCCCCGAGGCCACAGACGAACGACCTTCGCTAAGCGTAGTACTCATTTCAAATGCCGTCCTACTTCTACCAATACCCCTGCCCCTGCTTTGACTCCGGTCGGCCGATGCATAAATCCTCTCATTCCGTTCCTGCATCCTCTGAAGCTTGCGGGCATACTCGTTATCAGACAGTTTTTCTCCCATCCGTCGATCGACCTGGGGCCGGTCCGGTGAATGTGAGCCCTGATAGTTAGCAATCCACAATCTTCGCTGCTGCAACTGTATCTCCGCTGGTGTCAACGGTTTCGGTTTATCTCGACGCCTGCGTCGAATACTCCCCAAAACCCTGGAGACGACTCCTCCATCACTATTACTAACACTGCTCCCGTCGCTGAGCCTCGGTTTGACGCTGGAGTCGTTCCGGCGGAGCGAGCCCGCCTCTCTTCGGTGATGATTTTCGTCTACCATCTGCTGTCTATTCTTGTCTATTATTTTCTCTTTTTTGGTCTAGTCTATCGTGCTGTTGAGCTTGTGTAACTTGAAATTAAGGATTTAAAATTAATGTAAAATAAAATCGCTATGCTTTAGAAATAAATATGCTATGTGTTCATGGATATCAAACCCTGTAGTCAGAAACGAATGTCATGAGTAGTGAAAAAAAGTCAAAAAAAGTAATTCTGGAACCAAACTCCTATGCATCGCGGATACAGGCAGCAAGTCATTGAAAAGTAGTGTGCTTTTTGTCAGTTATGTAAACTTCAGTGAATCAATCTTCCTTTGACCTGAGTCGGGCGTATGACGCTTTTCCTTCGTCACAAGCCAAACATTCTACCGCCATGTTATTGTGAGCCATGCGGGAGTCACAAGGGATTCTTTGTGCTTTGTTTCTCGGACGTGTCAATTAATGCATTGTGATTCTTAAAGAGTCAGGAACCGTTAAAGCCTCTCTTTAGACGTTGAATGGCTAGTTTGGAATTGATGTCATTGAGAAACAAGGATGTCAGTATCAATCCAGGGTCGTAACAACGCCGCCCTAGACGTATGCTTGACATATGTTATCTTCGTCCAATAGGCGGTAGCCGTCAGGCGTCGGTGTAAAGATCCAAAATGCTGTTTTCTGCCCTATTCATGTGTTAGTAAGGGGAACACCAAAATTTTCCATGCCTGGAACTTGGTGTCAAAAATCTATGTGTAAATCGTAGGTAGATATACTATTGCGTCTTGTAATCAAAGTGGTATCTTAGTGCGTGTATCCAAAAATATCAATGCCTATACAATCTTGACCCATATAATAATCCTTCTCTAACATTAGTCGGGCATGTGTTACAAGCTGACTGTCACAGTCATGTTATTACTTAAAACCAAAAGAACGGGCGGGAGTTCATGACAAAGCACTTCGATATCGGAGAGATATCTCACACTAGCCTCCTCACTCTTGCAGGTCCCCTCTTCGGGGATCGGAAGAGTCGTAAGTAGCACAGCCGTTTCGCTGCTGTGTTGACGCATGAGTTCATTAAGAATTAAATGTTGCGCCCGGCTAGGCAAATCATTAAACGATAGAGGTAGACTCTGTGTTGTGTATGTTGAGTGAGCATCATCGTCTAGTTGTTCGCCAGGATGATAAGATGCTAATAGCTCTGGTATATTGAGTTGTACTTCCGACGGTTTCTCCTTCCGGGATAATGAGCTCCTGCGTGATTTTGAGCTCCTTCGCGATTTCAATAGGGGCTCGGAGGTACTAGCTTCGGGCTCGGCGAACATAAGGCGCGGCCCAAAACCATCTTCGTGTTCGACTTTGGTCTCTGGAACGGGCCGGCTCGAATACGGACCAGCAGATGCATTTCGTGACAATGCTGGGCGCCTTGGCCGAGATGTCAATTCTTCCTCCTTAGAAAACATAATCCTTGGTCCCGTATCACCTTCGGCAAGGATTGTAGTTTCCGGTGTTGGTTTGCTAGTAAATCGGCTTGCCGATGAATTACGCGAAAGTGTCGGTCTCGAGGGGGCTTTTGCAGGCGCTGGGTCGCTTAGTTCTGATGTAGCGCTAAGGAGGCCAGTTGAGCTCTGCGTCCGTTTGACTGGAGAAATCGGTCTTATTGTCGGCGCTGTCGACGGTGTTATTGTGCCATAACCCGAAGAACTAGTTGTAGTCGAACGTCCTGATCGTTCTGTACGTAATTGTCCTATATTATCCAATCGTCCCACTCCGCGAGAGTCGTCTCCGTGACTTCTTCTTCGACCTGCGAAGGTTAATAGGTTAGGCCTTCGTAATGAAGTTGACTCTTGGACATCATCACTCGCTACACTAGCACCATCGTTAAAGTCAACGTCTGAAGATGCGATAGATTCAATGTCGTCATCGCTGTAGTCAGGCGTAGTACTGTTTGTTCGATGGCCTAGCGCTGAAGAGCTTAACTGTTGAGTGTGAATACCAAAGTTGACGCCGAATTTCGCCATGGTAGATACTGTCGGTTTCTTATATTTATCGAGCAACTCGCCGACATCCAGCCCCTTAGGCAAGCTATTATGGGCGTCGGATTTCGATACGGAACTGCCTCTGCGTCTTGTGACGCTTAGCATTTCTTCTATCGAAAGAAGCTCCTGCGATCGAGACAAGTTGTGAGCGTCGGTCCTTAGCTTCTGAAGCTCTTGCCACCATTCATCATCTTTTAGTAATTCGTTAACGACAAATCCGATTTCAGAGTCGTGGCCACGGCCGTTAACAATGGTCTCATAGCTTTGTAGATGCCCCGAAGCAAGCCAGAATACTCGGACTCTAGCGTCAATCCGTAGTTTTTCTAACAAAGCTTTTAGTCTCGCTTGTTCATCTTTAACTTCGCTCTCGTACTCGACGAATACTGAGACACGGAGTTTGAACGCCCTTTTCCATGCTGGGACACTTTGCAAGATATATCCAAGCTGTAAAATCAATGTGTCTTCATATTTATGTTAGCGATGCATTTCAGGTAATCTCATACCTACAGGGGACTTACAAGTGTCAAAATTAGTCGTCCACACGCTTGTATCACCATCAGTAATCTCAGCCGACATTTGAATAGGCCAAAGATCAATGTATTTTTTGATGTTGCCCCCACCGCGGCGCGGGGTTTCCAGTGCTTGGAATCCTTTGCCAATGGCAACATTGAGGCGATGACGGAGTGCGAGATCTTCTAGTATTGTTAGATAGTCTGTAACGGACATCATGCCCTCCGTTCGGATAGTGTCGGTTGGGAGGAAACCTTCGAGAAGACGAGCAGATGTGTCTCCACGCCGCCGCCTTGGCGCCTTCCCTTCGATCTTGGTTTCAATCCTTGCTTTAGTAGGCGTGTTGGGTACTTCAGGTATTCCAGATAGAGGCCGAGACTTCCGTAAATCATCCATGTTGTAAAAACCCAAGATAGCTATATTAGGTCGCATACCCCCTAGACCAGCAGAGAGGATTAGATTTCGCACGCCCCATACGATCGTCGGCGACATTGTTAACTGGACAAAAGCTTTAATTCGTGAGAATTCCGAGATATATCGAGTCCAAGCTGACTGCTGCAACTTTGCCTCTTGTATGCCCGAAGTAAAGTCATCGGTCACAATCACATGCCCTAAAATATATAAGGATCCCTTCTTCAAAGAGTTACAAAACTGTATAAGTCGCGTATGATGCCGAGGGTCATTAATCAGCAGTATTATCTGGGGTCTCCAGAATTTGATGTGTTCGGGCTTGAGCCGTAATAGGTACTTTCGAACTTGGTGGTAAATCAAATTTTGAGAGACGTCGCCCCAATGTTTCGGCGGAGTAGTATAGTGGATAATTAAAAAGAGAAATATGAGAACGCAAATAGCGCAAGCAGCATATGTCTCGTCTATGAAGAACATCGCGGCAGCAGAAAGAACGCTTCCCACGAAGGCTGTGTGCCAACCGAAGAATTTGAAAGCAGGGCGGAAATTAGGAGCTGATCCTATCTTCAGTAAGAAACAAGCTAGGTTCATAACAAAAAATGTCATCTACACTAGATGTTAGATATATGTAAAATGATGAATGGCGTGTTTTCTCACCTGATAGCCCATAGATATGAAAGTCGCGATTTGATTTAAGTCTGCGAATAGGGCGACCTGTGCGATGATATACGTAATGAGCACCGCAAGTATAGGATCATCACGTTTGTTGCCTTTACCAAATATAGATAGCCCCGGGAGGAGTTTATCGCGACCAAGAGCTTGAAGGAGTTTAGCACCACCGATAATTCCCATCAAAGCTGAGAAGAACGTAGTAGCACACTCTCCGGCGAGTACTATTGGGGGCCATAAGTTGGTCGTAGAGATGATATTCGTGTCTTGAAGGAAAGAACGGTGAGTGATGCTAGACGCTATCGACAAGATAACGACTACGTAGAGAACAAAGGTCCCTGCCATAGCCCATAATGTTCCTTTCGGGATTGCTTTACTTGGATTTGCCAAGTCCCCTGACATCGATGCTCCAGCGAAGATACCGGACGTAGCACTGAAGAGAATACCGAACAGCTCCCTAAACGTGTCGACGCCTCGATACGCGGGATTCGCTCTGTGAGGATAAAGATTAGAAATCATCGTATCAAGGCTTACCCCGGTGAATTCAACTCCAAGTATATCATTCTTGAACGGACTTCCTGCGATACTCGAAATAGGAATGCTGATAATCGCAAAAATGAGTACAATGAAGAGGACACCACTGGCTTGAACAAATATGGCACGCCCGGCGAGACTCAAAGCTGTGCAGAACACAAGAGCTACTGTCTGCATAGCATAACTCTCCCAATAGCCGTGAGGTATCGAAGGGCCCAGATTTAGCTTTAGACAGTCTATGAGACCAACGATATTGAGTGATGTGTTTACAACCTGAGCAAGGTAAAACAGAACGCCTATGGAGCCGCCGAACTCAGGGCCGAGTGATCTTGAAATCAGGTAATAGGCGCCACCTCCTTTAACCTCCCCATTAGAAGCTATGGCGGAGAGAGACAGAGTAGTGATAAAATCGACGATATAGGCAATAACGAGTAGACCTGCGTGGATGCACACATGTAAGGTGCCGAAATATTGTACGATATTAGTGAAACCTACCAAGCATTCCAAGTAGACCAATCCGACCCATGATGGAACCGAATCGGAGGAACATAAGAATACTAATGATGTTGTTCACGACGGGAACGAAGACTCCAGCGATAAGGCCAAGCTTCGCCTTCTTACTCGGCTGAGCCGAGCCGGCGCTCGTTTCATCACCTCGAGATTCTGGAGGCATCGTGTTGGTCTTGGTCGTTTGTTTGACTTCTACCTATCGTTACGCAACGTGGTGACACCAGCTAACGATTCGAATAGCGAGCTATGAAAGGTTGTGCTTCTGCTGCCTTCTGCCTTAAATTTGGGTAGGAAAAGAAGGTTGCACGGCAGGGAACCCCGCGATCATATCATTGAGAATTGAATGCTTTGTCCATTGTGCAGACAATAACCCCGCCTGAGGTCGATCCCATGGGTAAGATGATCCCTCGAACCAGGAAACTGGGGATGCAATACGACGAGCATAGAAGGACCAGCTAGACTTATTGCGGATTAGTTTGGTTCTCTACAAAATTTGTCGCGAATCTTGAGTCGAGATTTATCCAATGACGTCGGGCAGCCGATCCAAAAGGAGACATCCGATTGGGATTTGTTGGTCGGCAGGTCGGTAATAGTAGCTACCATTTTGGTAATATGATAAATTAAAGTCAGGCTCGCACGTTGGATGTAGTCAGAAAGTGAGGTGTAGAAAATGAGTCAATTGACTATGTAGATTGAATTTGTTTAAGATTTGACAAATATTTAGACTTGAATTTCTTCAGAGTGGAATATAGAACGACTTTAAAAAGCAAAATTCGTCAAGTGTTGCCTGAAAATCAAAAGCAAGATGAACCGTATGTATGGAAAAACTGTATACTGTGGATCGGTCATGTATTATGAGCCGAGATAGTACTTGGGTACTTGGGTACAATCAGCACCGGCGATAATCGGAGTATTCCTAATTGGCTGAGAAATCAAGGAGCAAGCTGGACCGTCCCGTGCAAAGGTCTTGGGGGTCCAAAGTGCCCCAAAGTGCCCCAAAATATGATGCAGCTGACCAACTTGGGTTAATTCTTCAGGGTCTGACTGATAACAGTATCACGAGGGTCTTGCCTTACTTCAGACTGCCTACCTGCTGTAATTTACCTATTCATATTCCAGTCAGGTAGGAAGTTGTTTTTAAGAAGGTTCTCTCCTTCATTTAGCCAATTCTTCCCCGGATCCTATTTTCTTCATCTTCTGGTACGTTTAAGACAATTTTTGTTTACGAGTAAAGCTTTCATCGTGTTTTGCTTCGTCTTATTAATTCCGATATCCTGTATTATTAGCCTTGCAATTGACTTTATCCTCTTTGCACTAGTTTCAAATAACTTCGAAACGTCTTACTCCAAGTTCCCTCGAACCTCGATGATTCCCTCGTAACACGCGTAGTTACCTACCTACCTCGGACAGCACGATGACGAACCCGGATCAAGAAAGAAGCACAACACCGCAGCCTGGAAACCCTTTCGAAGTACCGATATCTTCCTCTCCAGGCTCGTTGCGAGGCCGCACATTCTCGACTTCATTGCCTCGCGCCGATGTCACTGCTCGCCTAGCTTCCCCCGTGCCATCCCATGCATTTGGCACTTCGCCGACACTGAGAGCCTCGGTACCGAACCGAGATAGCGATGAGAACATTGATAATTCGGGACCTCTTGCTGGTGCCGGCCAGAGTACAGCGGGCCCCGGAGTATCTGCTCTTGCTGCCGCTCTTTCTAACTCAATAGGGACGTCACCGCCAAGGTTCGGCACTCCGCCAATAAGGTCTTCATCGCCAGCAGGTACAGCTTCGGGACTACAGCCATCCATAACACCGACAAATTACGGCTCATTTGAAGCCAGGTCGAGACATTTGCAGGCTGGCGGCTCTGGGGCATACGAAGACCCCGAAATTGTTAAACGGCATTTGGTCCAGCCTACAGATGCTGGAGAGACTGGGTCTAACAATGGAGACCATTCGAAGGGTAAACAGGTCGGCGAATCTGTAGACCCAGGGCAAGATGGCGATGAATTCTCTAGTCTTAAGTTGCAAGGAGGTGATATAACACGTCAGATCTACAGGTGGACTGAAGATGCTGAAGGCCGCAGTCGTCATCAGCGCAGCAAGAGTTTCAGCCACGCTAGGGATGATCCGGAGAGCGATGTTCTCGACATAAACACTATTAAGATTCCCGGTGGGTTTAGACGAAACTACATTCGAAGAGCCGCGCGAAGCCCGCCGTTGGATCCCCAGGAACTAGAAGCGGGCGAAGGCACCTCAAGAGGCAGACGAGATCCTCAGCTGTTCACCAACAGCTTCCTGGAGTTTCTATCTATTTATGGCCACTTCGCAGGCGAGGAACTTGAAGAGGATGATGAAGTCTTGGGCCCTGGCGAATACTTCTCTTCTGGCGAAAGCGATGATTTCTACGACAGTGAAGAGGAGAGGGAACCAATGGAAGATAGCACTCTGCTAACGCCGTCAAAACGTAAGAGGAGACGTAAGGTCCGAGGTGGCAGCGGAAACAACAGCCCCTTTAACGCAGCTTTGCTTCTCTTGAAATCATTCGTGGGCACAGGTGTCTTGTTCCTCCCCCGTGCCTACTTCAATGGCGGTATGCTTTTTAGCAACTTGGTTCTTCTTTTCGTGGCGGCACTCAGCTACTACTGCTTCGTACTATTAGTCACCACACGACTAAAAGTTGATGGATCATTCGGCGATATTGGTGGAATCCTGTATGGCGACTGGATGAGAACCTTGATCCTATTCTCAATCGTCATCAGTCAGATCGGATTCGTCGCAGCGTATATCGTATTCACCGCGGAAAACCTGCAAGCTTTTATTCTTGCCGTTTCCAACTGCAACGCACACATTCAGATCACCTGGTTGATCGTGATGCAGATGATCATATTCTTACCATTTTCTCTATTCCGAGATATCGGCAAGCTCGGGTTTACGGCTTTGATTGCTGATGCTTTCATCGTTATTGGGCTTGCGTACCTTTTCTACTACGATATCCTCACCCTTAACACCAACGGTCTCGCAGATATCATTCAGTTTAACCAAAAGGATTGGACGCTCTTCATTGGCACAGCTATCTTCACCTTTGAGGGTATTGGCCTTATCATCCCTATCCAAGAATCGATGAAGTCGCCATCCAAGTTCCCTAAGGTCATGTTCTATGTCATGATTATTATTTCGGTTCTCTTCATCACTATGGGCGCAGTATCTTATGCGGCGTATGGATCGAAGACCGAGACTGTTGTCCTTCTCAACCTACCTCAAGACAATAAACTCGTCAACGGTGTACAATTTCTCTACTCGCTGGCCATTCTACTTTCGACACCTTTGCAGATTTTCCCTGCAATTCGTATCACAGAAAATGCTCTATTCACGAGAAGCGGCAAGTATAATCCCTACATCAAGTGGCAGAAGAACTTGTTCCGTTTCCTCATCGTCTTCCTATGTGCTCTCATCGCCTGGGGAGGTGCAGATGACTTGGACAAGTTTGTTGCTCTTGTTGGTAACTTTGCCTGCATTCCTCTCGTGTACATCTACCCGGTAAGTCCTTTCATCAACTTGTGGCACATATCAATAAATCATGCTAATCTTTTTATAGCCCCTACTTCACTACAAGGGCGTAGCGAGATCCAGAGTTCGAAAAGTCACAGACATTCTTCTGTGCATCTTTGGATTTGTGGCTATGGCGTATACCACGAGTTTGACAGTGATCAGCTGGGCCAGCGGCCCCTCTGGTCCGAGCTTACCGAAACATTGTGATCCCAACAAGTTTTGAAGTCACAAGATAACATCAACAGAGTTGGTTGTTACAATTGTATAATATTTTTATCAGTAGCATCGGCATCAAGATCAAAAGATGCGAGACAGAATTTAGAACATTTCTTGTCAGAGGGGAATGGAACGAAGCCCACGAAGAGATAGAATTTGCAGAGGAAATATTGTGGCTTTTCAACATTGGGGCGGACTGTGTTTTGAGAGTAGGTACATGAGTAGATGCCTATAGGTTGTCAAACTGATGTAGGATAGCGTATATAAGGTACATGTAGCTATGGCGAACTTTTAATGATAGGGACCTAGTATTCCCAAGACATGCTGTATTTTCTGTTTCTAAGCTGTTCTTGGCTGCACGGGTCCACTGTACAATACGGGTAGGTACATACTCTAGTTCTGCATGGCGCTAACCCCTGTTCGGGTTACAATGTATGGACGGACCACCTAATGACAGTGAATTTTCTATGTGTTATGTAAGTCACTGCACTGTCCCAGTGTTTCGCCGATTGGCTAGATAAACTCCTTTCATTGAAGTTAGTATTTGGGCGGCGGCACTGTGCTCATTCATTTATATCTTTTGCCTTTTGCAAACATCAGTTCAAAATAAACCAACCTTTTCGCATTACATATTTTCGCATTGGAATATTTCGCCGCCGGCTTCAGTTCTCTAGCTTCTGTTTTGCCAAAAATTGGAAGCATTTCTAATCGCCGTCGTTTTTGAATCTCACGCGTCGCCATTTCCCTTATTGAATCAGAATAAGCAATCTGGTGATCAATTAACATGAACGCTCCAGATAGGTAAGTGTCGTTAATTTTCCGCATTTCTCTCTACGCTCTTCCCTATTTTGCACCTGGATGCCCCGGGACGCCGAGGGGTATTGGAACAATCAACAACGTGATGGGAAGGAGCAGGCCAGTTTTAAGGTTACGGGGGTTGTTGCCGGCGATAGCTGTCTCGCGCCTGCACATCACGACGATGGATTATTTCTAGGGATTTCACTTTACCTATGTCCGCGGCGTCTTGCACTTCCAATTTTTCTCATTTTCTTCATTATCACCGTCGTCGTCTTGGGCTTTCACATTTGTCTTTTACTTCAATCTCTCCTATCATCATTCAAGATGAGTTGCCACACAGAGTGCAACTCCATCGGAGCGTCAGATTTATTTGTTTACCTCCATTGTGTGGATATATGCTAATTATTTTCTAGATTCGATCTCTTCCTTCTCAATGATGGCGAGAAGAAGATCACCGAGAAGCCCTTCGCTGGTGAGCATAAGTCAATAAAAATTCAATGGTACTAGCATTCTAACGAACTTCAAGGCATGTCGAACACCTCGGACTTCATCATCATGAAGGAAGACCACACCGTCGGCAATCTTCTTGCTGAGCACTTCAAGCAGCACCCCCACGTCATGATGGCTGGATACAAAGGTAAATTCAATATTCTGTATCGCCTTGGAGCCAAATATTCTAATCATTACCTAGTTGCTCATCCTAACGTGCCCGAGCTGCTCATCCGCCTCCAAACAGACGGCACCGCCACCCCTCGTGAAATTTTCGTCGAGGTCTGCAAGCAACTTGTTGCGTCCCTCGGACAGCTCGCACAGAACTTCACCCGAGAGTACGAGCTACGTCGCATGGCTACTGCGGGAGAGCAAGACAGTAACGGCCCTAACGGCAGACCGTAAAAGTTCTTTGTTACGATGGCATGGCGCGGCATTTCACGATCAATTAAGGGAAGAGGGTTCGGACATCTGAGATACCTGGCGTTACGGCATCGCTTTGCATTGATTTCTGTGAACTTAAGGCATAAAATTCGGTAGTTTAGTGGCGGAATTCGTCTAGATTAACAAATGACCCCAAAATAGCCGTCACTTCTGTGACTCGGTGGTCATCATAATTCACGGGATACTCGCTCCCTAATTCCGAGCCTAATATCCTCTTATTCTGCTTAGCTATGATACCCTAGTGATTGTGAAACCTCTTCTCATCTCATATCTATCGTAATCATGTGGCTACAGGGCCTTCACCTCCCGGTATTAACTAGCAAAAAATAAGCATGTAATTCTATATATGGTAAGTCAATACGTACCATGCAGATATTGTTGCCGTTCAGTAGGATCTTGGAGAGTTTTGTGTGGTTTCCGGAGTAGTCGCTATGCATCGTTAGAAACCGCTCAAACATCATATCGTGAATGTGCATACAATTCAGTCACATCTTCTAGAACCATGTCTGTAAATGTGATTAGCTTCTAATGTAAAATCCAGAGTTAATGTGCATATACTTACTGACGTAGTCGTCAAAACCTAAGAGTGTTCCGCTGAATTCTAGTGGTGTAACCATCATCAGTCATCCATCGCCTTAGTCCTTCAAATTTTGGGAATGCGCATACCCTTGTCACCCTTCATGATGACCCATATTCTCGAGCCGACACACTTGTCGATGAGTTCTATAATTTGTCAGTGTGACTGTTCTTATTCGTACCGTATCCTTCAGATTATACATACCTAGAGGAAGGAGTTGAGACGCCATCTTAGTGGGTTGGCTTGCCTTCGTAGATGATTGTCGCAAGTCGTCGAAGAAAGTACAAAGTCTTTTGGGGATCGAGAGGTGAATTATGAATTATGTAATCGGGCATTAGTCCCGCCTTACCTAATCATAGCTTTTGATGACTCAGCTAGCCTCCATCAGCATTACCCGCTCATAGTGGACCATTGGACCCTGAACCAATCTTCACTAAACCTTGGCAACTTACAACAATTCCCACATTCACTTTTGTCATAGCGACGCGTCTGCCTAACGAGCACCCGCGATCCGCACTAGCTTCATAGTCATCATGGAGCAGTGCTCTGATTGCATATCTATTCACTACCAATGATGTTCTTTGGGAGCTCGGAGATCGCTGGCAATGTCCTGAGGTCTTCTAAGGCGTTGCGTGCATCACTAGCCTTGCGGTTCGTTTTATCTTGAAGTATCTACTTTTACAAGGTCAATATTTTCGGATATATATTGACATTTGCCAATTGATTTTACAGCCATTGGGTAGTACGAAGCTTTAGGATGACAACTACGCCGACGAAACACCAATTATGGCACCCAAAACGGGGTATATCGTTCTCGCCTGCCACGCGATCTCCGAATTTTCATCCTCAAGATCGCCAGGCTTGGAATGAGAATGCGATTGCGACGAATCAAGCGCGGGGGTTCACGTCTGAATCCGATACACTGGACTCCGCCTCGTTATATCCAAAACTCGAAGAGCTATCGCTATCGACTTCGGAGAACGGCACGCCGAAAACGAATGGAGCTACGTTTGAAGCCGGAGCCGCGGATAAGAGCGCAGCTTCTCCTCCTGCGGAAAAGCAAGATGCGTCCTCAGAGACGAACAACCTTGCCGAACCGCCCGTCTCTGTACTACCATTCAAAATGGTAGACTCCCTATTCTATGCTGCTAAGAAGGCTCCCGTTGGATCTAAAGAGTCGTTTTGGTCTTACAACCAATACCGAGGAACCGTGGAAGATGGCACCGAGCAGAAAGTAAAAGTGCATTACTGTCGAAGCAAGCATACAATGGAACAAGTCTGCCAAAAATACTTCATGAATGAGAAAGTACTGGGCTTCGATCTAGAATGGGTCGAAAATTCGATGAAGCACCACAGTGCAAAGAGGAATGTCTCATTGATTCAATTAGCGAGTCCAAGTCGGATTGGGCTTTTTCACGTCGCCCTTTTCAATGGTACAGGCAGCCTTATCGGTCCTTCATTCAAGGCTATCATGGAAGATTCCAGTATTACCAAAGTTGGCGTTGCTATTAAAGGCGACGCAACTAGGTTGCGGAATTTCTTAGGGGTTGATTCGAAAGGGTTACTGGAGCTCAGCCATCTATACAGGCTGGTTAAATATCTTCCCAGGGGAGAGTACAAAGAGATCAACAGGAAAGTCGTTACCCTCGCAACCCAAGTAGGAGAATTTTTGCATCTACCCCTTTTCAAGGGGTTGGATGTCCGAGCAAGTGATTGGACGAAAGCTCTGAACATGGAGCAAGTTATATGTAAGTCACTTCGTCTTATCAGAACTATTCTCTTAAGCTTACATTGTTGTAGATTCGGCATCGGACGCCTACGCTGGATTACAACTCTATGCAATTCTCGAGTATCATAGAAAACAGCTCGATCCATGTCCGCCCACTCCTTACCACGCGGAACTCAATCGGCCTATCCGTATAGCGGGTGGAGAAGAGCTGGCTACGAGCGATGACCCCACTGTCGATGCGATCGAGGAAACGGAGCTAGAAGCTTCTGCGAATTCTAAGCCGAAAAGCGTCTCACCTAAACGTCCTTCAGGTCCTAAAGATTCCCGGGTCGAAATTGCTGAGGATCGTGTAGCCTGCTATAAACTTGCGCATCCAGACGCACGCGCGAACGTTCCCCAGCTTCGCGCATATTATTTGTGGCATGATCAGGGTCTTGATCCGCAGACTATTGCGCAAGTACTACGAGACCCACCGCTTAAGATGAGCACGGTTACCAGCTACATCCTGGGAGCAGTTCAGCATGAGAAATTGCCAATAGATGTGGAGAGGATGCGTCAAGAGGTCGCGTGTATGGTTGAAAAGGAAAACTTACTTCGCTCGCGGTGGCCTTCCGTAGCTGATGCGATTGCGGTTCAGGATGAGTGATATTTATGAAATTCGTTGATAACATTGCATTTATATACCCCGTTGCGATGTACATGAGGTCGGTATCTATTTATCACGGCGTTTTGGGGAGAAATATCAAGAATCTAGCCTTTAATGCCTTGGTTGAAGGTCGAGACAGACGGACGTCTGACTAATTAATGGTACCATGGATACATTGCGGTCCGTCGAATCTTTAAACCGCTCGTCCACTTACACCTTTTAACGTCGACCGCCTAAGTCTTGGTCTTCCGGAAGGAGCTAGCAGATGTGGAAAGGGGTTTGGACATCGAATTGTTTAACTGGATATCTTGCTGGATGCTAATATCTAGGTGGTATGTGTTGAGCTCATCGTACATAGAATAGAGCCGTCGCTGTATACTACCGCACAACTACTCAGAAAACATATGTAGTGTCCTACATGAGATCATTATCTCCAAGTGAAATATGATTGTATCTGCTTTGAAGAAATTGCAAGCATTGAGAGGTTCCTCAGGAATTAATACTTTCAATATTTGGCTTTCAACATTAATTCAGTATGGTCTATATGTTTAAAAAGTAGGGTCATATATATCACCCAGGCATACATAAAGCAACGCACATAAACATCAGATCCAATAGGGGTATATTCACCATATTTTCTCTATAACCACCACCTCACCTCTATCAACATTCTCTCCCTCTCTACTCTGCAGCGAGCAAATCCCTCCCGCGATTAACCTGTACCATCTTATCCTCACCCGCACTCACGATCCCCCAACTTTTATCCCACGCGACACCAAATACCTTCGCGCCACGTCCAGGTACGTCGCTCTTCGCGCTCTTATTACTCTTCAAGCTCTCCCGCTCAATCACATACACACTCTCACCAACTGCACCTCCACCCTCGGCTTTCGTCCCTGCGCGCGCGCTTCGTAAGTCCCATACTCTTGCTGTACCGTCGTGGGAGCCGGAGACTAGACTGTAATCATCGTGTGGTGAGGCGGCGACACAGGAGACCATATTCCGGTGGCCGCGTAACGTCATTACGGATGTAGTTGCGGCGTTAACACGCGGGTCTGCGAGGGTTACGTGGCGCGCTGATGTACCGGCTGCTAGAAGGGTACCGCTGCTGCGCTTTACAGCGCAGAGCGAGAGGAGGGGGTGTGATGTCGTAATTACACTTTCCACACGCCCAGTTGTTAGGTCGATGGTGCGAATTGTATGGTCTTGCGACGCGGAGTATGCGACTGTGGCATCGGCAGGATCGAAGATTGCGGCGGAGGCGGAGGAGGTATGGGGTTGGAGAAGAGAAAGGGATCCACGTTGAGGTACGGTAGAGGCGATTTTGCGCTTTTTGGAGGCGGATGCGTTGGCACCTGGGAGTAAGCTCGCGGGTGCGGCGGGCGCGGTGGATTTAGAGGTTGTCCATAAGCCGATGCTGCCGTCGGCACCGGCACTCAGGACGCGCCCTGTTGGTCCGTGAACGTCGAGGGATTCGATACCGGCTTTATGGCCGTAAAGCTCGAGGGTTGGTTTTATGGTACCGGAGAGGTGGTCGTCGGATTCGGTGTACTTCCATATCCGGACCGTGCGATCGAGACCGGCGGATGCGATTTGCGATGAGGATAGAAATTTAGCAGATTTAACGCTGGCACTATGGCCGCCTAAACTGCTGGAGGCTGAGGTAGAGATAACGTTGCCTGAGTTGTTCCATATTCTTAAAAGACCATCGTATGATGCAGATAGAATTCTGTCTTGGCCCGTAGCGAACTTGTCGCCGGACCAGAGACCAGCGCGCGAGGCTTCGGATAATACATCGATATCGCTAACCCAATCGTCGTGTTCGAAACTGGCTTGATATACGGGCGGTATCAAACTTCGGACGTATTGTACTGTTATGGTGGTTTCGGCGGAAAGCCCATTGGCTTTAAGATAGTCTTCTAATGAGGTTCGGAGGAAACTTCCATTGATGAGGAAGTCGAAAGGAATGGGAGATGTAGTGTTGAGCATGGACTCGGAGTTAAGAACTCTAGAAAGACCATATCGTTTTATATCTGAAGTACTATTAGCTCAAGTCTTAATAATAATAAGAAAAAACCCATGCTAACCTGCTGGAACGAGTAATTGTGTTCGGCCTTCTGGTAATTGAAGATCTGGAGATGTCGTCGTGAAGTTGACCCGAATCTGTTGAGGTTCGGCCGGGCCCGCCTGGCCCATTGTTACATCCATGTTGCTTATTCAAGAGTAATTATCTTAGAATGAAAGTAAATTCGTTCGTTCCTGGGTATAAATGAGGATTATTACGCTCGTTGCTCAGAATAACTGGCAAGATCAATTTTCGAGATGGAATTTTAGTTGCAAAGTTGATTGAACTTTTTTTCTTATCGATAGCGCCGATTAAAAACTCCCTACCAGCCTTCTGGGTTTCGCATGTATACTTTACCCCGCGATTCCAGGGTCCACAGCCAATCAAAATAAGCAAATGACATATAGTTCAAGCCACAGATTGAGGGACATAGCACAGCCACTTTCAATTAACGCCAAAACGCGTCGTCGTTCTTGCAAACGCGTCTCCCGTGAATCTCTTTTTAAGCCTTAGTTGTAACAAATCTTCACAATTCTATTCAAGGATGCTTATGATAAACCTTCAACATGACTGCCCTCGATGATATACCCGGAAATCTTCTCCGGAAGCCTTCGTAAGTCTGGGAATGTCTACAAATGGAAGCACTACACAAATACTAACATTTCATAGGGGCAAACCGGAAGATGAGCTTGAACGGGCACCTTCAAACTACAAACCACTACACTCCTTCAAGTTAGATAAGGAAAAGTCGTATCAGCAACAGTTTGCTGATATGTATTTCCTACGGCTAACCAAGATCAAACCCGCTGTGGAACAGCTCGCGGCTGCTGATTGGGAGGGCGCTGTCATTGGCGATGAGCCCGTGAAGAAGGTCGAGCGAGTGCTAGATATCCGACAGGGTGAGCTATGTTGGGTATCGGGAACCGTCTACATGGATATGTCCCTAAAACCCAATATTCTCGAGGATGTCTCCAAAGATGTATGTCATTTTCTAGTCAGAATTCTGCTATATCGGACTTGATTTCCTGATATACGATATTTAGCGATGGCTCTCAGCACCCATATCGGATAAGAAATACTACTCAGAAGACGGTACCGACGCCGTCACCCTCGAAGACGAGTCCGGTCGTATACGTCTCGTAGGCGACGCCCTAAATTCCGTGATCCTCGTCACCGGGTGCATCATCGCTGTTATGGGCACCGAGAATGTAAACGGCGAGCTCGAAGTAATCGACCTAAAATTCCCCGACCTTCCCCCACAACCCGACCGCTGGGCCCTCTCTAAACCCATAACTACAAACGGTAGCTCCAAGAACGCTAAAGTGAAGAAAGACGAAGACTCCGAAATGACAGACTCTCAATCCCGCGGCAGCGGTAGCAAACTCGCCATCGTCTCCGGGCTGGGGTTTTCCGGAAACGATGCCTCGCACGCGATTGAACTCTCCCTCCTCCTCGAATACCTCCTCGGCGAATCCCTCGACCCGTCAGCGCAGCAAGAGCTGTCTCAAATAAGCAGATTGATCATCGCGGGGAATTCGATATCTTTAGAAGAGCGTCGGGCGACGGACGAAGATATGACGGAGAAGAAGGCGAATAAGAAATACGGATACGACAGCAGCGCATATAACGCTCTTCCCTCGCAGCTATTCGACGAGTTTTTGTCAACGCTGTTACCCACAATGCCGGTTACCCTGCTTCCAGGCGCTCAGGACCCGGCGAATACGAGTTATCCGCAGCAACCGATCCACCCGGCCATGTTTCCGCATTCGCGACCCTATACAATGCCACCCTCAACATCAAGTGATGCAACTGAGGGTTGGCTTGATACTGTGACGAATCCCTGGGAAGCCGAGGTCGAGGGATGGCGAGTACTGGGCACGGGAGGCCAAAATGTTGACGATATCTTCAAATACGTCGGTAGCGACGATCGCCTCGGCATGATGGAAGCCATGTGTCGGTGGCGGTGCTGCGCTCCGACGGCACCGGATACTCTATGTAAGCCTTACCCCTATTTCTTCCCAGACACAGCGCTAATCATATAATCTATAGGGAGTTACCCATTCCAAGATGACGACCCCTTCGTCATGCAAACATGCCCACATCTATACTTCGTCGGGTGCCAACCCGAATTCGGCACCAAAGTCGTCCAAGGCCCCGAGGGCCAAACCGTGCGATTAATCGCCGTACCGTCCTTCGCAGCTACCCAAGAATTGGTTCTGGTAGATACCGAGACCTTAGAAGTTTCAAAAGTCAAGATTACTGCAGGTTAAAACTGCAGCGAAAACTATGGTATATATAAAAGTAGCATAGCATAGGAGTTTAAATGGCCCCGGAAATAAAAGTTTGCGTCGATAGGCAACTTACGACTAACCTTGACAGGGGGGGAAGCTAGTTTTGAGCATCATAAGATGGAAATCATGGATTCTCGGCTGTTGACTCGTTGGGAGCAACGTGAGCGCAAAGATACCTATCTATCAAATAATACTGTTGGTTTGAAATCTACGCATGCAAGTAAAGCAATCAACAGCTATGCACAGCGCATATTGCCGTATGTGTATGAAGTCCCTCATAATCAAATCAATCACTCTCAGCAGTCCTGAAAGTCTTCATCCCCCTTTAGCCCCTCAAGCAATTCCCAGCACGGCCTCCAGAGTTCGGTGGAACTCTTCATCCCTTTCCTCGTAGCCTCCCATCTCTTGGTAATCTCTTTGATAATCTCTCTGGAAATCACCCTCTTGGTAACCTTCCTGCTCATATGCTCCTTCCTCTGCGTAGTCTTGTACAAAGAGTTGCTCCTCATCATCTTCTTCCGCATGCCCCAAGATAAGATCCTCAAAGGTTCCTTCGCCAAGATCCATGTCAAAGTCCTGTACCTCCGGCGCTTCACTGAACAGTGATGGTGGAGCCGGAGTGGGCGTGACTTCAGTCATATAGTCGGACGGTAACGATTGGGCCTCTGTTTCGTCAAGACGTCGCTCCCTTTCTTGTTTTCCGGCGTACTTCCAGTAATCTCCCATGTAGTTCGCTCCGGGTAGGCCAAGCGTTGCTAGCTCGTAGAGACGGACAGGAATATTGGATATTCTTGCCTTTGCTTTCTCAACTTGCCGTTGGAAATGCTCCATTGCACCCTCAGCATCGCTGCTAGCGATTTCGCCTCGCTTGTACGCCAGCTGTGCTTGTCTATATTTGTAGTAGTATCGAAGGTTAATCGTATGCTCGAATATATCGCCATCTTTATTCATAGCTAGGATGCGGATAAACTGTACGTTGAGACGAAGAAGTATCTTCCTAGTTCTAGAACTTTGATCAACGAATTTGAGAATTGGTACAGAATCAGGATGTTCAAGCCATCCAGACCCCTCGAGGTCTTCTAATCGGAATACAGGCAGATTGAGAGTCAGCGTATGAATGCTAGCTGTCTCGAAAAGGCCACCACCTGGAAGGAATTTCTGGATGGCGTTGGTAAACTTAGGGACATTATCGAGGTTAAGGCGGTTTGCGGGGACCTCGACTGTAATATGGCGAATCAAATGTCCATACTTATTGATGGGTACCATATAGTCCGCGAAAACGCGGTTCATAACTGGGTTGGTAGCAGCTAAATGAGTTGCTGGGTCGCGGATGTCGTATAGGAACGTATTCTCGCCGAATAGAATTCGAATTCCTTGCTTGTAAAGAAGTTTGCATGTGGAAAGGATGGTGAGATCTAGCTTAGGCTTAGAGCGAGGGTACACCCGTGACCAACCCCTAAACACACGGATATCATGAGGACAGATTAGGAGATATCTTAAGATCTCCTCGCGTATCTCTGCAGGCAGCATTCCGAATTGACCCATAGCCGCCATTGGATTCAGACAGAGATACGAAATCCCAATACCGAGGTCGAGGGGTGAAGGCGGTTGTTCGAGTTCCTTATCCTTTTCCCAAGGAGTGAGCATAGGACGTTTGATTCCATCTCTATCATCAAAAGCCATATTGGCAGACCGCTTGCGTGCTGTTTGGGTGAAGAGTAGGATAGCACGATCATCGTCGGGGTGGGTTGGAGCCTCGATTTTCGCTGCTTCCCGTTGAAGTCTACGCTTTTCTTGCTGGCGGGCAGCCTCCTTCTTTCTGGCTGTCTCTGCTCTTTTTGCGGCTCGTTTCGCTTGTGTAATAGCCTTAGATTGCTTAATCCTAGTGCGACGAGAGCCAGAAACACCCTCTCCGGCAGCTCTGGCCGCTCGAGGAGGCATGCTAATTACTGTTAGTAATTAAATCGCTTATGATAGTTGCAATCCCCGTATCAGTAATGAACTTACGTGTGAGATGTATTCCGTTTTCAGTTCTTAGTCGACTGGTTTGGGGGGATGGGTCTTGGGGAAGCTGGCGCCTCGGGGATGACGGTATGAAGATGGAATGAAAGGTCGGAAATGTTAGGTAGTCCCCACCGAAACACAATGATAACTGTATCGCCTTATGTAGAAGAGCAACTTATTCCCCTGGGAAAGGAGAGCGAGTCTCTAATATGATGCAGCTGATATGATTTGAAGATCGTTTCGATGACAATAGGGAATAGATAGGGGATATTAGTATTAATAAGACCAATATGAAGCATGAGATATCGAGGTATGAATATTTGAAGAAAGCTATAGGGAGTTCCCAGCTTTAAATAGGGTTAGAAGTGAAGCACGTAAGGAAAGGGGTAAGAGCGTAGGAACGACCACAGGAAAGTCAACAACCCCCTGAAGAAAGTTAACCTGACCTGAGATAGGTATAACAGTGGCAGGAGCGAAGTTCGATCTTACCCACACAATATCATCTGCCAATATCGTAGAAGGTACGATTCCGACTTACATATACATAGGTTAGGAATAGGTTGAACTCGATTCGCCAATTCCATATTAGACTCGCCTCTAAAACCTTTGATCCTGAGTGGCAGCTTCTACCCAGACACATGTGACTACATATTGATGGGCGTAGAGGGTCAATCCATGAATAGTAGGTATCCAAGAACAGCACGATGGGATATTCGTCCCAGCTTCGGTCACCTCCTATATCATATATCCAAGATACCCGAGATGTAAACCATTCTTTACCAACAAAACGCAGAACATATTAGGTAGATAAGGGTACTTGGTTCCTGAATACTCATGATATTCTGGTATTCTTCGATTGTCCCGAAATGTTCACAAATTATCATGTCTTCTTAACTTGTTGCAATAGCACACGGATTAGGTTTGACAGAATAATTGTTCTAATAAAATTTCTCACAATTTTGGTAGTATATAGTAACAGCCATACAATGGCGTGTTTGAATCCTGGAGAGTGAATATTGAAGATGTAGGGGATGTCCGGATACCTATGTGGGTCCATATGGGTGGGGTAGAGCAAACAGCTATCCGTGGATCCCTGGCGATAAGATAACGGTGCCTGTAACTTTTTTCTTTCCCTTCTAAACCTTCATTCATCGCGAGTTCCGCGAAGTCACCTTCAACTACCAATGTTAATACTGTACCGGCGTACCTTTACTCTTATTCGCCGGTCCCCCAATTCACACGTCTTTTTCCACTTCTCTTCCAGAACACCAAAAAATCCAACGTTTCGTCTACTTGACTCGCTCGAAATGGCTAAAGAGAGAGCGGAAAAAAAGAAGGCCGAAAAGGCCGCTGAGAAGAAGGTCTCCGAGGACAAAGTGAAGAAGCACAAGAAGGATAAGCCCGAAAAGAAGTCGAAAAGAGTCGAATCTTCGGACGTCTCCGATAGCGAACCTTCCCAATTGCAGGATCTAGGATTTCCAGAATTAGAGAATGCAATTAAGAGACAAAAGAAAGAGAAAAAGTCACCCAAGGTGGTAACACAGTCCATTTCCGCCCCCAAGAAGCAACAAGAAGAGTCCGATTCCGATTCCGATTCCGATTCTAGCAATGAGAGCGCCGCACCTCTCTTCGCAATTGACACGAACCCCACCCCCGTTGACCTTAACGCTATCCCCGCCCAGGCAGATGCCCCAGCAGATTATTACCCGCCTGGCACACAGCCACCCCCCAGCGGTCTCAAACGAAAAGTTCGCCGTCGCATACAATTGATCGAGAAGCAGCGTCCGAAGATCCAGCAAGAGATCGCTAAGAAGTATCCAGAGCTTAGCGACGCCGACAAGGAGGAAAAGGTGCAGCAAGCCTTGGAAAAGTGGACACAGAACTTTGACGACAAGGCGGCCGTTCGCGAAGCGAAGAAGCGCGAGCGCAAGGAGAAGGAGGCTAGACGCATCAAGAACAAGAAGGGCAAAGTACTTACGGGGCGCCGCCTCAAGGAGCGCACGAAGCAACTGAACAAGATGGAGAAAAAGGTTTCGAGGAAAGAGTCAGGCATTAGTGCATAGTCTTGCGTTGTATCTTTTCTCTTCGGAATGGGGTCTTCGAGGGCGTTGGAGGCGTAGAAACGATATTATACTTGCTTTAAGCAACATTCGCATGTTTTATGCCCTTTTCAGGCAGGCACCACAGGTAGTCTCAAGTCCATAGGCCTTTTGGAATGGACCAAATTATGCCAATTCGTCCACAGCTAGGTATCTAGGCAATCAAATATCAATTGGTCTCAACAACACCAAACGTAAACTTAGAAGAGACTGGTATTTTGGCGTGAAACTACACATCGTATACATGTTCCCGAACCATGATAACTCCAGTCCAGTATGCTCCAGTATATGCAAATCCGGCCGACCTACTCCATAAACCCGAGATTGATATCACGATTTCTTCTGCTCACTCGTCTTATCCTTGTATTTCTCCTTTCCCTCTCCATCATCCTTCTTCTTCCCACTCCAAACCTCCGAGATCTGATCAACAATCAACCCCCAATACCCCCCTCCACCCTCACTCAAAGCCTCCTTCTCCCGCTGTTCCCTCTTCTCCTTCCAATCATCCCCACTATCACCCATCCACACCTTCTCCAGCAACCCCCTATCCTCCTTATTCTTCCCCGTCCCTCCATCCTCCCTTTTCTTTCTTTGCTCCTCAATCATCCTCCTCTGCTCCACCGTCAACCCATCATTCGTAATTCCCTCTTGTAACAACCGCCTCCGTTCCCGCTCCGCGCGAAGCTTAATCTGTGTCTCACGCGCTTTCTCCGGTAACTCCGTCCCCGCGAAGGAACCGACCTGGTGTTGCAGGCGTTGAAAAGTAGAGGTCCCGCTGTAGTCGTAGACGAGTTGGTTTGTGCCCCAGAGCGCGGTGCCGCCTAGGATGAGGGTGCGCGCGTCGAGACGGCGGGGGGGGAGGAAGAGGGCGAGGAGGGCGAGGGGGGTTACGCCTAGGGCTACGTTGTGGATGTAGGGGTTTTGGTTCTGAGGGGGTTGTTGTTGTTGTGCTGGAGTTGGCGGTGGAGGGGTAGAGGGGGAGGAGGCGTTGGGTGACGCCATAATTGGTGGTTGTGGGTGGTGACCGATTGGTTGTGCGGGCGCGGGACGGGTCGAAGAGATGAGATGAAACGAAGTAGGGGATGTTTCGGGTCCAATTGCTAGAATACGGCGGATGTGTTTCGGATGTCTATTTCGATTTGCGATGGAATATATTCCGGTGCCCCGTAGATATTTCCTTGTTCCTCTGCCGTGTATACGGCGTATAGAGGATCGAATGGTGGACAGTAAAACAATGTTTCAATGGGCTCGACTTTTTTTTTCTGCAGGGGTAGATTGCTTAAGCTTAGTGGGTCATGCCTGCTGGAAGATCCCGAAAAGAAGGGAAGATCCACTTCGCGGGGCTATTGCTTCAATTGGTTTACAGCTTTATAGTGGCTTCTTATGGCGTAAACTCAATCTCAATTTGTATATATCTTTATAGTTAGTGATGGCGGCTTCTACGAGATCCAATCGAATAATAAGACATACATGAATTGACTGAGACAGCAATACTACATACCTATCCACGAGTAAATAGGATACGACAAAGAAAGGTGAAACTGCCTACAAGTTTGCCTAGTTTAGAGCCCGTTGATATCCATTCAACTATTTGATCGCGGTATCTTGCCGTGGTTTGATGAATTGTCCTACATCATCCACATATAGACGTCGGTGAACGGAGGACTGTCTAATGTTTCTGCGTATCTCGATTGCGATATGTGTCTTGGGTTTCATACATATGATATCAAACAAATATCGTCTATCCCGTGCCTAGGTAATTACTCATTCGGGATGCAGCAATATCACAAAGTACAATACCTTTTGGCATAGCCGCAACATGTATTCATTGTACTTGCGGGATATGGGGTTGTGTTACATTCGTAGATACGCGAATAGATAGCAATATTGACTGGATTGGGAGGTAGATGATGTAGTTTGTTGGCGAAAACAACATGCAACTATCGCAAGGCAGATTCTGAAAATTAAGTGATGGCGCGTCATGATGTGCACATGTGGTATATATGTGTCACTTATTCAATCCATCGTGACTGAAATCAAGGTTAAGCCTAATCTTCTCCGAGGCGACCGCATACCCTAGTATGCTCATTCCTCGGCCATGTCCGGAATGGCTGCTGCGCCTTGCTAAGCAAAACCTTAATCTACCTGCCGGCTCGGTGATCCACCGACCGTTCTACCGTTAACTTCCGCCTGTAAGGGCACAAAAAGTCGGTCACAGCTGCTTGGTGCCAAGGGCCTAAGCCAACCAAAATTCCACGGCAAAAAGTGGAGGCCCGCCATTGTTTCCTTCTGCTCCCACCACACTATTCATCTCCTCTAGGGCTAGCTCTTAGGTACCTGTAGGCTGCTAGTCACCTACATTAGCTACTACTGCACCGAACTTTTTAGCACATCATAGCGAAGAGGCTGAGTCGGAAATACGCATTAGGTATTCATCTTCCTCGGCTCCAAATCAACATCCTACAAGGGTAAGTTGAAGCTATCTCCGATGTCATCACAATAATTCTATGAGCATCTTCCATCATCGTACACGCATCGCTTCATTCTTTCCGGTCGTATACGCCGTATTAAATCTACCGAGCCAACCAGTTGGATCATTAATTCGTAGGCCGAAAGTCATTCTCTTTGTGTAAAGAGAATCCGTAAACCTTTACGTGGATTTATCGTCAAACATACCTGATCTCTTTCTGCCTAGGTAGGTAGGCAGCCGATGGTACTAGTGACGATGGCAGGCGATCGCATATCGCACCAATACTTGGAGTCGTGAGCCCTAAGATGTGTGGGCAGCTCTACCGGGATTGCACTACCGGGATTGCACTACCGGCGCATGGTCGATTGCATCTCAATGCAATACTATGTTGATAGCCTATCTGAGTCAGACCAAGAGAACCCTCTTAGCCACCCCCTACCTAGAAAATTATGTAGTGTGAGTCCCCCAGCATGTACAATAGGTACATTCGAAAGAGTATGTAAACGGAAACATTTCATGCGGGGTGTTCTAGTAGTGTACCTAAAGGGCCGAAACAGCGGATTTAGTGGCGTCGTCTAGTGGTACACAACAGCGCATAGGGAATGCTACCGCATCATGTCGACAAATTCATAGAACTCAGAATGCTTGTGTTGTCCCTCGCCAGTAAACAACATGCCCGCGGACCGTTGAACCACAAGAGTTACGAATATTCTCGCATCATCTTTTAAGACCTACATGCCTGTTAGCTATAATTTTGCGATGTTACACTGCGAATTTGAATACGTGGGGGCCTAGGTACGCGATAGTTGTCCGTGTCCATGGTTAACCATCGGAACTTTGTCGCTCGCGCCGAGGTCATCTAAAATAATTAAGTGACATTATTCTAAGCCCTAAGAAAGCGATGCCACGATGTTAATGGAGGGCGATTTCAAAAGTTGGTATCGTTTATTGGTTGATTGATAGATAAATAGGTGACTTTGATACGGCTAATCGAAAGACTGTCGGTAGAAAATCTAGAACAAGATGGTTCGATAGATACCTGGATACACTCCGCACTTTGGTTAACGGAACGGTGTCGGTTGATAAGTACTAGTCGGGCCAGCCATTCGGCCGACGGTCCATTTCAATGTAGAATTGACCCTCGAAACCTGCGATTCCCAAACAGTTGGGGCCTACCTGCTTCCTTGGCATTATTTTGGTTGGAGAAGTGGTATGAATCATTGTACAGCAATCACTACCCAATCCCCATGGCACGGCCATGTGGCTGGAGCACTGTCCAATTCGTCGCATCCCTCGGGAAGGTAATGTTGCATGGGACGTAAGAATTGGTGATTAGTCGAAGTGTGTCGATCTGGTAGTCTAAGTAGATGGCGGCCTCCCCCTGGTGCGTTTTGGGACTAATGCAGTCGTGTGTAGGGGATTCGAACAAATCAAAATACCTAGCTAGGTTACACTATAGGGCTGACGGATCAAGAATGAGGAAGATGGACCAGATCTATTTCCTGGATTCTCTGTATTGGTTATTGGTTATTGGGTGTGGTATATTAGACGTTATTCATAACGTGCATGTGCGATTCTTGGCAACGACGGATTTGGTGGAGCACCATTGGTCTGAGAGTTACCAGAGTTTCTCGTAGGGCTGAATTGGTGGGTACGTGTATAGTACCTTGGGCACTTGGGCAGAACCGAATCATTGTCGGAGCTCTTGAATAAAAATAAATAAAAAACTTTTCGATAGGCGTAACGGCGGCTCGGTTCCGTTAGCGAATTTGTGATATCGGAATGTCCTAAGACGTTTAGTATATAGCAGTGATCATCCAATACGTTGTAGTGTCAATTACCTAACCGGAGCTGGTTTGCTTACGAAATTACCGGGCGGCTAACACAAGAGGGTCTAGAATATGTTAATTAGATCAGACAAAGAAGTGGGATGATGATGATCCCCGAGAGGGACCCCGGCATATAGTAAGATCGAAGTCCTTAGCTATCCTAAGCATCCTCTAGTGTATAGCAGAATTGAGGGAGTTCGATATGCGATGTTAGAAGATGATGGTAAGATTGCATCTAGTGTGTTTGGGGAAAGAAAGAAAATACTAGAGGACAGAGTAAATAATTCGGTGGAATCCGAGTAGTCGCATAACCCCTGTCTACATGTGGGAACAGTTACAACGGAAGGAACAAAGGATCGAACTTCAGATATCTAAGCCTAAAGTTAAATGCTTCCTAACTAAAAGAAGGAGCATTCGATCCCTCCCGAAAGTTTATCAGCTGAAGATCGCCAACGTCCGGTACCTGACACCTCCCTGTTAGATATTCAATGTTCATAACGACTTCAACTTACGGCTTGCCGAATGACGCATTCGGGGGCTTTAAAGCGTTGTACCATATCACAAGAGTCGGATACGAAAGAGAGTAAAGTAGTTGGTGACACCAGCATTAAAATGCGTTAGCTAGGTACGACTAGAATCTGAGTTTCCTAGATGGAATTGAGGGAGAAATAAAATCCTTTATTACGAAGCAATCAATCAAATCCCACCTTCAGCCAGCCGCCTTTCAGCCAAGCTATGTTGTGATATCGGAATTGGGAAAACTTAGATAATTCACTCACCACTTACCTGCTGACATATACCTACATATGTGTATTTTCGGTACGAAGCCTACCTACATCCGCATGTATATATCTATTCAATTATGATATTCCTAAGAGAGAAAAAACCTATAGGGGGTATGATTCAAATCGGCACTTACAAGGGATGCCTACATGTAATTGTCTTGTGCATTGGAACGCCTTCTTACAGGTGCACTTACCGAGCACCAATACCGGTAAGTCAATGACTAGAGGTACGTAGAGGTTATTGTGTAACACGAGATGGATACCTGTCTGTATACATCATGCATGTCTAAACTATGTAAATCTGTACCGAGGTAGGTATCTTAACAAGCTTTGAAGCCTACATCGATGTGCAGATGCATAGAGTTTAGTACAGCATTTGACATATCGCACTCTGAACTATATTACTGCGGGTACTTACTATCTACGTACATCATACCCATGCATGCCTGTCTGGGCCAATATGTATATGCAGGGTACATTATGTATGTAGGTCATTGGTCGCCTTCCTAGGCGTTCGCTCTCCCGTACTATACCACATAGGAGGTAGCGGAAAGGTATATACATAAGCCGTGCCGCAATCTAAGCCCCCAACTTTTCCCATCCGGATCACCCTACTACTACTACCCTGCTGCCCTGCTAAGAACCCAGGACCTGCTGCCAGTCCCCCATAAACCCCTGCCCCTCCAACTGATAATAGTTGGCATAGTAAAACTACAAAATAACCATCCCATCCGCCGCCGTCAGATCGTACAAGACGCCCGAAAACCTCAAAGGAAGCAAACATCGCTTTCCCCTTCCCTTCCTTCCAATCCCATATCGCGCATTTCTTTTCCTTATTCCCTCCCTCGGTATTCTCAATCTTGTCTTTTTCTTCCCGCTGGTCATACAAAAGGAATTGTTTGATACCCCTTTACACAAGACGAGTCTGCTTGGTCAACTCGAAAAAAAAGTGTACATATTTTGTTAATCTCGGCATCTTCGCCACATTTGCTTTATCCGTTCCTACGTACACAAGACCGGTCAGTTAATCCCAGCCTCTGCTTATTTGAACTACCTGAGCTCAACAATTGCCAGTTTACTTATTTCCGAGTCCAAGCGAGCGCTCAAATATATGAATTAAAGGGACAGAAAAAAAAGGAGCGTCTTCATTTCCACCCGCTAGTCGCATTATAGATTTGAATTGGCTCCTCTCTGCTTGAGCTTTTGTCATGAAAATAATCATACTGGGTCTCACTCTGTAATGATTGAAAGTCCGTAAATATGATGAGCACAAGCAACCCTTCGCATGCGCATGCTGTATCAGCAGCTCAATCACGACCAAGGAGAGTCCGTACTAGCAAACCAAAGGTCAAGACAGGCTGCAACAATTGCAAGTACGTACTTATTATTTTTAACTAGTTCATGAAGTGATGCCATTCCCCGTCCACATTGTCGCTGAGGATACCGCAGCCGCGATGCTAATAATTGCGCCGCAACTCACAGGCAACGGCGTATAAAATGCGACGAATTGCGACCAAGCTGTACTAATTGCCGTCGCTCCAAGAAAGAATGCTCTGGTTATCCACCTCCACCACGAGCCAAAGTCTTTGAAGAGGTTAGGATTGCGCCCAAACCCGGTGCCGGACATATTTCCCCGATTTCACCAGCGAATGACTCTGGCCGGCTCCTCCGGCCCCAATCTCTTCCGCGGCCAGATGTTGCGCGGTTAGAACCCCATCAAGTGCCTGCAAGACGTCTCACACCTCCACAAACGCCGATAGAAAGCTCATCGTTGACCATTCATCGACCATCCATGCTCTCTTTTGACCTTAACGAAGGCCCGTATTTCCAACTCTTCAGAGAACGCACAGCTAGCGAACTGTCGGGATTTTTCGACTCCTCTTTCTGGACCCGAAGTGTCCTACAAGAATGTCACTCGGAAGAAGCCATTCGGCATTCCGTCGTCGCCCTAGGTGCTCTTTACAAGACACTAGAAAAAATGTCGGAATCACCACCAAGTTCACCATCTGCTGTCGTGGATGTATCAGATAATGCGTTCCGACATTGGGGGGTCGCTTTCAAAAGTTATTCCTCGGCATTGGCATCCATGAGGACATCGACTTCTCAAGATCAAAAGTCGCAACGGATAAGCCTCATGGCAACTGTTTTATTAGCTTGCTTTGATTCCTTCATTGGGGACCATACGCAGGCGATTACACAAATTCAAAGCGGCCTCCGACTCCTAGAGACGTTGCGCGCCCAGCGTAGAAACGCCTTCCTCCCCAAACTCGAGGAACCGGTTGAACGAGACCTGGTCCAGATGTTCACCCGCCTAGCAATTCAAGCCAAGTCTTATGACATGGCTTTCCATTTCCCCGAACCAAACGTCATACGCCTCTCTCCTCAAGATACCAACGACCATCTTGCGTCCCCCTCTTCAGATGGGGCGTCGCCGATGTCGACAATCCAAGCACAGCTACCAGAAATATTCCAGTCTCTATTTGATGCGAGATTGGCATGGGATAACCTATGCGAGCAAATGATGCGATTTAATGAAAATATGTTCACATTTACCACTTCGATGAGTCCCATGGGCGTGCTTCCAAATTCGCTGAAACAGTACGGCACTGGGTTCGGTGAAAAGTTGACTGCCTGGTCCAAGGCTTTTGACCCGATACTGATGTCTCGTTCAGCACCTGCAAAGAGCAGCCAGGAGAAGACAGCAATTGCTGTACTCAAAATGAACCAGATTATGGGTGAAATCCTATTTTATATGACATTTAGTGATACCGAGCTCCAATTCGACGCATACGTGCCACACTTCAAACAAATCGTCACCTTGGCCATGGAAGTGGTAGGAGACGAAGAGCGCAGGGCCGCCGCAAAACGGTGCCCAAATCCGCAATTTTGCCACCACCAACCTATCCACGCAGATGTTTTTGGCGGTGGGCAAAACACAGCTCGACATATTAAACCAAGTTTTAGCGCCGATTTGGGTATCGTACCTCCGCTTTTTGTCGTTGCTACGAAGTGTCGAGAACCGATGACGAGGCTCCAAGCAATCCAGCTCTTGCAAACCAGCTCACGGAGGGAAGGTATGTGGGATAGCGAACTCGCAGCTCGTATAGGCAAGTGGGTTATGGAGATAGAAGAAGAAGATGATGGTACCGATGACTTGGGACGCCCTACATCTAGTTCAACTGATGCAATGGGCTTTTCCACAGGAAGTCCCAGCAACCGATCGACTAGTTCACCTGTCTTTGGAGACGATGTTCCCCTCGGTCCCGGCGGCAACGCTCGTTGGGGTGGCCGGGGGGAGAGCGTCCCATTCTCGCCTTTTAGCAGGAGAACTATACCGGAAGAGAAGCGTGTTATGGTGCGGTCCGTTGAGTTTGATCTTCGTGACCATGTAGCAACGATCACATGTGGCACACGAGGGTTAATCCCCGGCATGCGGGACCCACGGACACGCAACACTACCATTCGTTGGTGATTCCTTGCTCCGCGGTTTGATTTCTCACGATAATGCCACAAAATAATTAAAAAGCTGGTCTAGTTGGTGTGTAATTACACCCCCCACCACCCTAGATGGGATTCACTTCGATTTGAACATTTTGGATTTACCTGGCAGGGCCGTCATTAAAATCTATAAAGCTGGCTATGAGAAAAAGTGTAACGAATAATGTTGGGAATTGGAGGCAATAAAGAGAAGAAAAAAACGATAACGTTTCTCAGGTATGAATGTTTTATTATATCACTGATGCAATAGTTTGGACCCAACCCGCTGGGGGGCTCCCTTTGAATGTTTAGGTAGCGACCTATGATACCATTAAGAAGAACAGAGTTGTTGGTGATAGTATAACGCGGTATTTCTTGCCTTGTGAAGAATGACAATGTGCCAAGAGGCGGGATATGTTACCTGATTCGTTTTTATTTGGCATATGATTCAATCCGGATCCCCGTGAAGATCATCGTGCCGTCTTGCATAAACGATGAATCAGTGCCCAAAAATATAGAGGACTAGATGACGCCGGAGTTAACAAGGACCTCGATGGCAAACGGAGTTGTAAGGACATAAGCCATTCTTGGTGTTTGTCAGGCAGCGATCTGAAGTCGTCATCTAGATGATGTTACGTCCAGGTCAAAAATGAATCAACTGAATGACGGATATCATTTAGTAAATGATCGATCCTATTATGATACTCAATTATACATTCCATTTTGATATTATTTTATATAGATAAATATAATTCGAGAATATTATAATGTTCACTGTTGCTTTAGTATTACGTCTCTTGTTACATGTAACTATTGCAAACCACAACTGAATAGTATAGTGACCTACTTAGGTACCTGGGCTAACCGAATTAGTCGTCGTTGTGGGCCTATCCCACGCATCGCCCAGCGGCTCAGCATCTGCTACTTCCGTTTCGTCTTCAACATTATTATCACGAGACTCCTCCATACCTCCTTTTTATTAAATATAAGAGAATTCGCAGCTGGAACTAAGGCATTTTTCAGGCGTCTCACATAACATATTTTGCGCATTTTATGCACTTTGTGGACTTCACGCACAGAAGACACCGGGGAAGAACAAGAATAAACGACGAAATCATGCAGAGCGACAGCCCCAATGGTTCGGGCAGTAGCGGCGCTGAGCAGCCGCCAGCTGAGGCCTCAATAGGAAATGGCCCCTCGAAGCGGACACGAGTCCTGTTGAGCTGCGCGCCGTGCCGTAACTCTAAGCTAAAATGCGACCGGGCTACGCCGTGCGGTCAGTGCCTCCGGAAAGGCAAGCCGGATAATTGTCTCTATGCGCCTCGACCCGAGAAGAAGAGGCCGGCTAAGAGTATGGCTGCGCGTTTGAAGAGGCTTGAAGGAAGTATGTATACTGTTTATCTGAAGCGACATATGTTTCCATATGTTTCACGTTACGAATTTAAGAATAAATTTACTAAATGGAATCGTAGTGGTCCGTGGGATGATCGACTTGGATACTTCTATACAAATGCCACCCGTGGATAATCTGACGAAACAGGGGCAAAGTGCTGGTCTCCTGGTTCAGAGTGAGAAAGCTACGAGTTACATTGGGGCTACACACTCTATGGCCATCCTAGAGGACGTAAGTACTTCACGGTGTTACACGAGAGTACCCGTTGGCGAATGAGTAACTGAATATGTACCCAGATTGAGGATCTCAAGAGCTACTTCGAAGATGCGGATGAAGACGATGAAGAGGCCGAAAATCCGCACGAAAACATCGGACCACCTGAGTTGCTCTTAAATTCACGAGGAGTTCCCAGGAATAAAGAAGGGTTACTCGCTCTCCTCCCAGATAAACCTGTTGTTATTCGGCTTATGAATCGCTACTTCAATTCAAACAGCCCTTCTCAACGTAGGTCACTCCTAAATACATTTCATTCCTCTATCTAGACTTATGCTCCGTCGTGATCTTATTGCTCACTTTTGAAAAAGATATCGTTCATGTTCCTACATTCTTAAAGGAGTATAACGATTTCTGTAAAGACCCCGCTGGGACATCTTTACACTGGATAGCGTTGCTCTATATGATATTAGCACTCGGCGTCTTTTTCTCCTCGTTTAGCGCGCCGCATGAACTGGTAAAAGATTCCAATATGCCAGCAATGGACAGGTTCAAACAATACAGGGGTGCTTGCGGATGGGCTCTGATATGGGGCAAATATTCCCAACCAAGTCATTACACCATACAAGCATTTTTGCTATATCTTGAAGGGGATTTCGTTACCAATCGCGAAAACCGGATGAACTGCTATTTACTCTCCGCTGTCCTACTCAGGCTCATGCTAAAGATGGGCCTCCATCGCGACCCTAGCAAATTGCCAAACATTACCCCTTATCACGGCGAGATGCGACGACGCATTTGGAATCTGGCAATCCAGCTCGACCTACTCATTTCATTTAACCTAGGACTCCCCTGTATGACACATGCTATCGAGAGTGATACGGAACTCCCAACACATCTTATGGATTCGGATTTCGATAAAGACACTAAGGTGTTACCACCAGCTCGCCCTAGCTCAGAATACACACCGCTCACCTACCCGATTAACAAAGCGGCCGTAAGCCGCGCATTCTTCTTGGTCGTCCAGCAAGCGCATGCTCTAAGTATCCCGACGTATTCGGAGGTGATGAAAATCGATGCGCGCATCCAAGAAGCATGGGAGAAGGTACCCGAAATCATGAAGATGAGACCAATGGATGAAAGCGTGATGGATCCACCTATTCTGGTTTTCCAGCGGTTTGGTCTAGTATCAATACACCTGAAAAGTCGTTGCATCCTTCACCGACGGTATCTCGTCGACGCCGAGCCAAAGAGGGAACACGACTTCTCCCGCAAGACGTGCCTGGACGCAGCGTTGGGTTTGCTCGAATACCAGAAGACAATGCACGAAGCCTCTCGGCCCGGTGGCATGCTGAGCCAAAATGGTTGGTTCGTCGCTGCACCTATCCATGACTTCCTCTTAGCAGATATGGTTGTGGCTCTAGTGATTCAGAACGACAAATACTGGGAGACGGACGGAGAGTTCAATTGGATTGCTCGATGCATGCCGACAATTACTAGAGAAGGCCTTTTCCATGATCTCAAGACATCGTATACTATCTGGGGGGCCGTTTCAGGTGAGCTACCAGAATTCAAGAAAGCGGAAGAGGCTATGGGCACCATGATCCGCAGAATTGAAAGGCAGCTTGGGTTTGGTACCGAGGATATTGAGATGTCTAGCGAAAGGACGAACGGAAGTGGTGAAACAGCATCAATGGCAAACTTGTCGATTGGTTACAGTGGGCCTTCGACGGCATCCAGCAGCAATGAACCCACGGCAGAAGATTTCGCAGGTTTCAACATGGCAGGGCCGAATATGATCATGCCCGATGCTATCCCTGACCAAATGGGTTCAGACGGCCCTTGGGCGGCGCAAGACGGTTACGGCTGGGTGAGTTATTTCCAATGCTGTTTTTCGTCCGAATCGCATGATAATTGCTAACAATCCTACCTACGTGAAATAGAACTATTTTGACGCCATGGCGCATAGTGGCCAATTTATGGAGCCGACCACGCGGGTGACCCGAGAGGCTTGGGCGGATGAGAAGACGATGGAAGGCTTCACGCATTTCTTGGGTTCCGATCCATGGAATTTCGCCCCATCTTGATAGTCCAATGCAAGCAATCGGTTTTTCGATAGAAACCCTGGCGTTCCCCGGACATTCGCTCCTGAAAACAACCTGTTCAGCGTCATTTTTTTGCAATATACCGCAAAATGCGAAACCAAATCTTCTACCGCCAACACAGACATACAGGTTCGTTCAATGACACATGAATTCTTGAATCCACAGCCGTGATAGCCGTATGAATTCCCAGGGTTGTTGAGACCAGCGGAAACGGCCGATCCGCCTTTGATAAGGTATCAAGCCGTCAGGGTTACAGATTCGTAGCAACCCAGCTTTTCCAAAGCGAGAAATCCTGGGCTGACCATTAGAGGGTGTGGAGAAGTTCAAACAGGACCATGAGCGATTCGCGGGGTATTCTTTTCAACCCCGCATAATCGCTTATTGGTTGGCCCTGCGAGGTTGATGCTGTCTCGTGGGTTTCTCGATTCTCGCGAACGCTATACACTTTTTGGTGTTGGTTCCATATTCCCATCTTAACCCAAAAAGAAACAGCGTTAACAAAGCGGGTGACGACTTCATAAAACTACTGAGACCAGTTAAGAAGAAAAAAATTAAGTAGTGCGCCCGCGGAAATGCTGGTTCAGCCTAGGAGGGGGCATCCTTGGCGCTAGAATGGCCTCGCTGAGATGATGACGGCAATGTGGTGATTGAGCCTCCAAGAAGGATGTTCGCTTGACTGTTTTGTACGTAATAGCACGCAACATTCGGCAGGACTATTTGGTAAAGCGGCCGTTTTGACAGCTGGGCAAAAATTCAATTCCATGTTACAAGGGGAAAAGAGTGAAGAGAAAAAAAAAATTAGCTGCCAGGGCCGTAAAAACGTGCTCGATTGCATCAATGCGACCCATACCTTTCTATTTACTAAAATATACCTAATGCCAAGATATCGTCGCCATCGGATTCCACACTGGTATAACAACAACTCCATCACAATCCATCGCCTGCGTTGGTCTCGATTCTCGATGCGACGGGGGTATTAACCTGGATGTCAAAGCTCACTTAGAGCTAGTTAGCTTTACTTACGTACATACATAGTATACATTTTCAGCGACGGGTCGGATCGATACACTCGAATTGGCATAATGGGGAAATTCCCATTCCCCAATCGTACGAAATGCTTCGATAATTGGTTTCACAGCGTAGACCGGTCTGGTCTTCGCCCGGGCTCTAGATCGGGGGATTCGGGGAAGCAGAAGCGAATAAGGAATAACGAATAGCAAATATCACACATACTACATGGCTTCGGAAGTACCTACCTAAACCAATATAGGCCTCACAACACCAGCCAGAAACCTAGGGCGATGTGTATTAGCGAGCTAATAGAAGGAGAGCAGTGAGTGATAGATAGGGTAGCCTGACTATCCAGGGGCTTTTGCTCCCGCTCCCGCGTTGTTCCAATGCGCTGCACAGCCTTTTTTTCACTGTAACAACATGCAAGATCCATCCTCCAACAGTGATCCGGAGGCAACGTTCACGTGCATTTACGATTTGCCCAGTACTTTCGAAAAACAGTAGGCGATTACGAAATTAGGAGTAATGCCTATATGTATGTCCTTTACCCAAGGTGTATTATAACCGAATTGTAATAGCACGAGTCTTTGTGAACTGTTAAGACTGGTTTCCGTCTTGTGGCGCAAAAAGGGTCGACTCCAAAGATCAGGTTAGGGCAGATACTTGCCTGAGATGGCCTGTGATGGGGGCATCCACAGCTGTTACGGCACTGCGGATTTACGCGCTATCTCGTTACCGGACAGGGGTTTTCAACATCTTGACCTGCTAACTAGGCCTCTTCATTGGTCAGACGGTTTATCTGTCGATCCTTTTTGGAGGGGAAGAAGGGCACTGTAACTCCCTGTGTCCATTCTCATCCCCCCATCCCATCCCATTCTTGCGGCTTAACCAGGGCGCTTGATACTATCTATGGCATGCATTACAGCACATAGTTGTCCCATCGCAACCCGTCTGTGCGATTCCGTCATGTCAACCATGTGGTTTTATGTGTAATTGAAACCAGGTAGCTCTCCACAATAGCGCAACGGGCCTTTGACCCGACCCTACCAATTACCCTAGAACGTTCTCAATTCTCATGGATGGCTCTCTTTTCTCTCTCGTCAGTCGAATCCACTATATCGTACGTACCATACCAAGAAACAAAACCAGGTACCTAGGCACCTAAATGTAAGTAAGGTATAATGCCTGATATATGATGATGATTTAGATCTGATTAGGTTGGGTATGAGTGAGCGTCCCCCTGTTTTTCTAGATATAGGTACCTAAATAATTATATAATGCTAGGTTCTCGTATCCCTTATATCAGATATACGGATTAGGCGCTCTGGAAGATGACGGATCCTTCTCCGGGGTAGGACAAAACTTGGAACTCATTTGGACATTTACACATATGTTGGGTACCTAAATGTATAATAAGTAGAAGACTGAATGAAAATATTTAAAGGGGGTACTTCCATCGGTCAGTATTATGGGATTGCGATGGATCAATAACAGACTGTTATGTAACGATGTCCTTAGATGCATAGCCGACCAACCGCACTCGATCTTTTTACATAATAATCTTGATCCCGTGCCGGTACCTAATCCAAGTTTGCTAGCTCCTCAATCTACAAAAGGGTAAGAAAAAAAGAGAGAGCAAGAAAATTTTTTTTCTTGATAAGCTGTTCCGTCATGAAACCAGAACCAGGTCCAAGTATCCAAAGTACCGGACCATAACCAAACCGGCTTGTTACCTCCATCCAAGTGGCACTTATCCAGAACCAAGCTTGATGAGAATTGGGCGCCGGACAAAACTTTTAGAAGTAGAAAAATAAGGGCGAGCAAGAAAAAAAAAACGTGATTAACACCTGTCATATAAATGGATCTAAGCAATTCCTATTAGCTAACTTCTACGAGGTTGTCTCCATCCTTCTAAGTAACATCAGGTACATACCTCAATTCATTCATTTCAATTGTATGATTGTCTGATGGATGTACGCACGCACCTATAGCGCATGTGCTCTATACAATAGGTAATAATATTTTACCCCTCGGGGCTTGCGCCCAGGCACCGTACCGCACCTTGCACAACGATTGATAGTGGGCAATGGGAAAATTGGATGGGTACCATGATGTTCGGTCAGGCTCCGATCTCGTTGTATTCCAGAATCAGACCGCATGATTTATTAAACCAATCAACAACGACCGTCGTCCTGGTTTGAGTTATTGCTTCTGATACCGCATGCGATCAATCACGTATCAGATCGCCGGAAATAAAAAATGCGATAAGAAGAAGAAAAATAAAAAAGCTTAGGACTATTTTGATTGATCGGGGAAAGGACTCCAAAGTTTATTCTAATATCTACTTCATTACTTCCTTCATATATACTTTTTTATATGTTACACGCGACAAAGCCAGCATGCACCAAATAGAATAGATTAGGTACATCCTCAGGTACATTAACCTACACAACCCTCCTAATTTATACACGATTACTTAATTTATTATCCTCTTTCCAGTATAAACATACTATAATTAGGTAATAAACACCCGTTTTTCACCGCTCTCCACCACATCGGCCATGCGCATCACTTTCTAATTTCCCAATTCCAGTATCGAGTGTCAAATTAGCAACACATGGTGTAAGTAGAGGATAACAAGTATAGATGTACATACGACAATCGGAGCATGTTGGGCACTTACATATGTACATACATGATGTATCTATCCCCTTACCTTCCTAAGTCACCTTTCCTGACCTATCTTAGTCTGAGCCGCTTTCCCGACTCAATTATTAATAAGTTAAATTCGTACTGTATTAGACTTTGATCTCAATCCACCAGCCCACGCACCAGCCTACCGTATCCTCATTGGGTTAATTTGTGCAACCGGACCTAATCATCGAGATGTACCTAGGTATCTAGGTAGATACTTCCATGTACCTAGGAACTTAAACACAATTGCCGTCAGCCTCTCTCCCTGTCTCCCTGTTAAGCTTACCGTTCAATCAATCTTACATACATTACTCCCTATGTAGGTCTTGGTGGTCGTTGATATACGCGCATATATTCACACGTGTCTCTATAAACTTTAGATAAGAAAAATTGAAGATTAAACATCATCCACCTACGTAACATCCAACACATTATACCAGATACCAGAGATATACAACTTGATAAAGATACTTTTCAACACAGTAAAGTTTCTTAGTCTCCGTTTTGTGTACCCGACTAATTCTAGCGCCACTTTATTTTTCATTCTACTTTTTTTCCCTCTTCCTCCTCTAGAAAGTACCCTCCCTACCTACAACCCACCTAAAGTATACATGTACCTAATGGGCGCAAATCCGCTTCAGTTAGGGTCCATTTAGATCAATGTGCTGGTGGCAGTTCCCCGGATTTCATAACGAGCCCCCGGTTACCCATCATAGTGTAGTCCGCTCGCTCGCTCGTCATACCCTCCATGTCGTTTTTTTTTCTTCTCTTTACATCCATCTGATGGAGCCTACATCCAAGTCTCTATGGTACATTATGTACCTACCATGGGTTGTTCTGGCTGCGTGATATGTACATCTATGTTTCTGTATCTATGTATTTCTGTACATATCCCTCCCTTTCTTGAACATACCTACATAATAATAATATGTGGTGTATGTAATATTTCTGTTTCTCCTTGATAGGATTTTATCGATCCACCGGGACTTGCCTACAATCAGTTCTTATCATAAAGCCCCGGACGTGTGCGTATATCAAATCTTTAAGTCGAAACTTCCTCGTCCCCTCGAGTCAACTTTAAAAGAGAGAAGTGTCTATCTACTATCTATTATCTATTTTCGCACTAGACCCTGGATTTTGGTTTATACACCAAAGGCGTTCGTTCTTTCTCCCTCTTTCTCTCTTTCTCTCTTAGGTACATCTCTATACTATATCTGCCCAAAGGGTACCTCCGTCAAGGTCCTCAATTCGGGATTTTGCAGATCTTCAAAATTTCCCATCCGTAGTATATCCACTTTTCAGACTTCCAGATAGTCTACGTACTAAGATATTGCGTGCCTGGCTGCTTCCCTCCCAGGTTCTGCCGGGTCCTGTTACGGCACCCTACCGCCGGCAAAATTACCTCCATACCTCTTTCTGTGTTTTGTTTGATTTTCTGTACTTCTTTCTCATCTAATAGTCCTAAAAAGGAGTCACCTGAGCTAGAAATTCCACGCTATCTACCTTGCCTTGTCTGCTTTCATTACCCACTTCTCAACACTCATACCATATTACATGCTACATACTACATACCACATCCACATCCACATCCACATACATACTACATAGTACTTGGGCCACCACCTGGACAAACTATCGTCAACCCTACCTTAGACACAGCTTCGGACCCATTGACCCTTACCTTTACCTTTGCCTCCGTCCCACACACCGCAAGCTCTTCTCACCATTAACAACCTCCTCAATGGACGTACCAGCTCACCCTCCTCTTCCCTAAGTTGCGGCCTTGGTCACTTCGCTTCTTCTTGCATCATCTAGACGTCACGCGCCCGTCTAGTTCTTCTTATTCGTCTCTACTGTCAACAACGACATTGACGATCTCCCGTTGGGGAACTTGTCGTTTCTAAAAACAGAAAGGCCCTCAAGTGTCTACATCCTAGGTTGGAACCTATTAGGTTTACCTACGTCGTCATGCCTTCTACTAACCCCATTCCCATTCGAACTGATTTGGCTTTTCGGCCGGCTCCTAGTGAGAGCGGTAATGTTTCTTCTCCTAAATCATCATCAGCGGCACAGAGTACAAGGCACAAGCACACACGATCTTCGTACTCGGAAAGCTCACCTCTTACGGCCATGTCTAGGAACAATTCGTTAACCTACCGCCCTTTAAAACGGTCCACACCGTCGCCAGATAAAACTATTGCCATTATAAATGCAAGTGGCCGCCAAGCTGCCTCCTTAATTCGGATAGCCACCGCCGTCGGCTACCGGGTTCGCGCGCAACTGCGCAACATGGAGGGCGTTATAGCGACTGAAGTTGCGATGAATCCGAATGTTTCTGTCTACGTTGGAGAACTTTACCTCCGAAAAGAATCGGATGATAAGAGAGATGTCACAATCCATGAACACCTTCCAGGGATTTTGGTAAACCGCCCTTTAATTTCCCAGCTCTTCAACGGCGCTCAACTAGCCTTTATAAATACGACATTTTACGGTAATGAAGTGCAGATTGGGGAAGCGATTGCGGACGCCGCAAAATTGGCGGGTGTCCAACACTACGTCTATTCGTCCATGCCCGACCATGCAGCTTATAACCCCGAATGGCCTTCGTTACCTCTATGGGCAGCCAAGCATGAAGTGGAAAAATATGTCCGTAAAATAGGGTTACCAGCTACCTTCGTTTATACCGGCATATACAACAACAATTTTACCTCGCTCCGGTACCCCTTATTTTGTATGGAGTTAATGCCGGACGGCTCCTTCGAATGGCAAGCCCCGTTCCACCCAGAAGCTAAACTCCCTTGGCTAGATGCCGAACACGATGTCGGACCGGCAATCATTCAACTCTTCAAGGACGGCCCTAGTAAATGGAACGGAAAACGTATAGCCCTGGCATACGAATACCTGACGCCCTTAGAAGTCTGCCAAGCGTTCGAACGAGGACTTGGTAGACGCGTACGTTATAAGCATGGGCCTATCGAGTTAAGAGTGAAGATTCCAGAGGGCTATCGAGAACAACTGGAGGCTTTAGAAAAGCTCTTCTCCCCAAATAATAAGGATCCCAAGAAACAACCACCATATTTTGGGGACCTGGAGCTCGAGAAGAGGTGCCCCGAAGATGCCTTAGCGTTGTGGGAAGGTCCAAGGGGAATGGAGGAATATGCCCGAGAGATTTTCCCGTTAGAAGAAGAGGCGAACGGGATGGACTGGATGTTTGAAGGCGAAAATGTGGTCGAAGAAACTGAGGATGTAGTGGACGACGCGGGGGATAATGAGGACGGCGAGGGTGGTGACGACGAGTCACTGGATGAAGGGTTAATAATGGTAAGAAACCCTAGGTATCTAACATTCAAACCCCCTATTACTTTGGTAGTGGGATACGTACCCGAATCTCCCATATTGGGTTTTCTTTAGATTTGGAGCAATTTATCTCTTTAGAGTATCGATACTAACCACAAATGTCACAGAGAGGACTAAAGAGAGACGAAGAGTCATGGCTGGCATAATTAACGAATCCATTACACGACATTATTGCCCTCGGCACTCTGTGGGAATTCACGAGAATAAATCATACTTAGAAGAAGGTGGGTTTCGGAACTTGACGTTGAAATTCGACATCCTTACACGGAAAATTTCTGGAGCATTTTGCATAGATCTGGCTGATTTCGCGGGTTTTCCACTTGGTGGATGTCATTTAGACAACACTAGTGGAGCCATAGAAACGCATTTTCAGTTGAGGTGACTTTAACGGGCATCGCATCATTGGGGCAGTAGCGTCCGGTCGTCACTCATGCCTTAGTTCTTGGAGACGATATATTCACAATTAGAGCGACTCATTCGACGACACCCGGGGGATTATCACTGAACTATCTATTTGGCGTTTGGATTATAAAAAGCTATTGATCATGACAACACATGACAACTAAATTTTGGGAGCATCGAGATGATGTGGAACGGCGGCGTTGGCGGGGTTATTCATTAACCGGACTACAGGACGAGGATGAGACGGGATTTCCAAAGGACGAAGTGGACTTAATTCAAAAAGCAACTTCTCAACTCAAACTACGAGAAGATAAAATGGCTCCGTATGTTAAGTTTTCTGCGGTAGAATCTATAAAGGATGTGTAGAACTTATTGATTCACCGCGGTGCGTCGATTTAAGGGGAGGGTGATGGATATACCAACTACTCACGTTAAAAAAGAAGGCAAAATACCCAATTGAAAGAAAGAAATAAAAATGAAAAACTTTATAACTCGTGGGAACCAAGTGCGAATGCTTCCCGCGGGTTATACTCATCGTCGCTATCAGCTCCGCTCACCACCACATAATGACGATATCTTGAGCACGAGGACTAACTAGGTACATGTTACAATCGGGTTTGTACTGACCATAATCAATCTAGCATACAAGTAGAACTACGATTTTTATATCTAGAAAATCTAAGAATATAATCATACTATCTCAAAGAAATTGATGTACATTCCGCTTTCGACAGCCCCCCTGAATCTGGGTAATTGGCGCGGGAAATGCACCTTCGTAATAATACTACCATTAGAATGAACCATGAATGAGCATTAATACCTCGATTCATTTTTTGAAACTATATTCGGTATACATAAATCTGACTATATCGTAAGATCGTACCATTGAGATCCTAACCCTCGTGTAACATGTACCCCCCACGACCTCCACGTTGGGGTTACACTTACACCTTTCAACCCCGACCCCAACCCTAACCCGAGCCCCTAATATTTCTACCTACCCTTTTCAATCAGTTCCAAAATCATTACTTCCTCTCTGCCTTCCCATCATCCCCGTACATCTGCAGATACGTAGCCCGCAACCTCATCTGCAGATGCTCAAGCGCAGTCAGGACTTTAGGTTCGGCATACGGATTGCTATTACTACCACCGTTAATCTTAGCCATTGCGGCTGCTTTCACGCGCTCACTCGGCACAGGCGCAAGCGGAGTGTCGTTCGCCGGGTGACAGAAATACACCACCGAGTACCGCGGTTCTGTGGCGGTTTCACCAGGTGCTATCATGTTAGGATCAGGGGAAAAGGCTACGCGGTGCACGGTACTGCGAAGGAGGCCGCCGGTCCAGTAAGATAATAAGTCACCGATGTTGACGAGGATTGGGGGAGAGGGGTCGGTGGATGTTCCTGGGGGAGAGACGGGAACTGGGGACCATGATTCTGAGGTTGATGTTGAGGTGGTGGGGTTTAGGATCTCGAGGCCGGCTTGTCCGCGTAGACGGAAGAGGAGCGTTACTGATCCGTAGTCCGAGTGTGCGCCGGCGCGCACGTCGTCAGGTGAGGCGTCGGGGGTGCTGCTTGGGGGTGGGTAGTAGAGGAAGCGGAGGATGGAGCCTGAGGGTGCGGTGGGGGAGTGGGCGGTTGTGAAGAATGATGGAGGGTTTACCTGTGGATGTTAGAAGATAAGGGGAAAAAGGATGTATTGGGTGAGAATTCATACGCCTAGACCAATACCAAATAATAGGAGTAGCTTTCGGCAGAGTTCATGACAGGCCTCCCGGAAGGCGGAAAGTTGCTCCTGGTAAGGCTCTATAGATTGCGGAATAGGTTGGGTGGCTTTGCCATTCGCGAAGGGGCCGAAATTGAAACCCCTTATAATTTCCAGTTAGCCCATAATCTTCATGGCTGATTTTTACGCATTTGAGTCAGGGCTGGTTACTCTTTAAAATCGCCTACCTGTATAATTAGATTAGTGCTGGGCGTTTTTGTTTAGGGGGTGGGTTGTGGCGGCTTACTCGCTGCGTTTTAGGGTCCAATGTCTCGGTGTGCATTCCGGACCAGCCTTGATTGTTCTTTTCAATCTTACATCTTTGCTTGTCTTCGGGTGGGGATTTGAATAAGATACGAGACTATAAATGGTGCAACTGGTGAGATGAGCTATATCTATTTTGCGTTCGAAACATATGGCGTGGTATATGACATGAAATTTTATAAGATGACCCCTATCTTCGCCGACTCTTGTAGTGACGGAGGTACAGGCTACCTACCACATTGAATGCGTTCTCTATTTGTTTAATTGATATTTCTCGACCGGCATTTTTGATATAAACGAAACCATATTCGACGGCGGCGTCTACCAACTCCTTGGCGACTTGTTCCTGGTTTACTCCATCGGCCGATATGTCGATGATAGGTATCGTAGCAGTTGTAGCCATAATGAGGATTTTTATCTGCTTGGAGACGAATATGAGATAAATTGATTTCGTATTCGTTGATTGATTCTAAAGATAAGTAATAATATTACATGACTCTACAATTAGAAAGAAAAGAAACATTACTTCACAACTCTGGAAGATTGAAAGCGATGTTAAATATACTTTACGGAGCTACATTGGTGCAATAGATAAGGATGGTGGCCTGTCTTTCTAGCTTTAAGGTTACTGAAAGTCCTTAGTCATCGGCACTTTCCCGCAGTTTTTAGCTGCTAAAAAGAAGGGAAATAATGTGCTGTACTCCCGAACCTTAGGACAAGCATCGAATGTCTTAACACGGCTTCTTGTTCTATACTACAGTTTAAATAACTTGAAAGGACTTGGTTTCCAATATCTATAACTGATACACATGTATTTATCATAGTTACGCATTCATTAGGTGATTAGATGAAAATGTAGAGCTACTTAGGTACTTAGATAGGTAGGTACTTGTATAAGATGTTAGGTAGGTGCACCCAGCTGCCCGGTTACATAAACAGAGCTACCCCTCGTTGACTGGGCAGGTACCAACCAAAAAAATTTAGTGCCCATTAATTTTCCAGGGGTCCATCTACGCAGGCAGGCACGCCGCCCAGCCGCTAATCCCTAACCCTTGTACTACCTGCCGCGAGGCTTTGATCTTAATCGTGCCTCACCTCACACCTTCACCAATTCATCTACGCACCTACCTCCATACATATCCTTCTAACAATAGTATGAGAGAAAGGTGCGACTCTCTTCTTCCTTCTTCCTTCTACCTTGCCGCTCCCCCCTCCTAATTCTCGCCTCCATTTCCATCGCCAATTCACCGGCCGTCTTTTTTAACCATCTGTCAACTTCTATCTGCTTCCCATCTGCGATTTTGAATCGTGAAGTATAGCTTCTTCTCAGTTGGCGCAGAGTGCGTGATATTCCCTCCAAGATGCCGAGTAAGTACCATGATTTCTTTTCTATGATACTTTGACGGGATGCTTTTACTCCTGGAGCTACTACCGCTACGATCGTATCCGACCACCCTACGCATCTTTGCCGACGGCTCGACGACCTTGAATCATCGTTACCTGTTCCACGCATTTATTATTACCTCTCCTTCGGCCGATGCGATGCGACTCAAAACTTGCGACAGGTCGGCTCTTGATGTGCCATGGGGAGTTCGCGAATTTCTATTGCTTGAGGAGCGAAACACATTGGATCGTTACGTTGTTTCGTTGGGAACTGTTTCTTCCGATTATTGCTGGAGGCCGCCTCGTGGTCTCGATTAAGACTCCGCTTCCCACGCTTGACGGGTAACCACGAAGGGGTCTACATGGCGCTTTGGCGCTTCAAACTCCGATTACTCCGCTGCTTTGACGCTTCATAGCGACTACTCGGGTACTTCTGAACCTCGTTGCTAACATTGTCAAATAGGCTCATTCGAAGATCACTGGATCAACGAGCAGGCTGTGTAAGCCAATACATTCTCTACTATATTAATAACACAAATGCTGACGATATTTTAGGACTGCCGACCTCGGCCAGCTCGAGGATACCGCCACTGCGGTCGATGCGTCGTATTACTTGCAGTTATTCCTCGACAACCCACCCTATCATGAGCCACTACTCCCGGCTCTCGGTGGCCTAACCGGCATACAGTCGCACATCGAGCACGACCTTGACAGCTGGGCCGCAAATAAGACCACTCCTTTCTTCGTATTCAACGGACAATCCATTGAAGGTGAAGACGATGTGTCTGTTCAGAGGGGAAAGAGAGCGATCACGGGCACTGATGAAGCTTGGACCTTGTACTTCCAGAGTCAGGCTAATGAAGCTGTTTCAGCTTTTGGCTCTCACAGAGGTATGACTGCCAGCCTGCCCTGTTATCTTAGGCATATGGCTGATTTTATGCAGGGGCATACCCTATTCATCACTTGTTCCCACTGCTCCAGGGCATTCTCAAGCGCCGGGGACTGCACTTCTTGGTGCCTCCTTTCAACGCTTCCGCGCAAGTAAGTCGCGCATTAGCCAACTTCATCCCCCTGTAGCTGACGAGTATGAAGCTGGCCTATTTTGACTTGATCGATTCGGACCAATGTTCGGCCATTATGGGCTCCCAAGAACTACTGCTATATCCCATCAAGGATTATGTAATCCGATTCATTGATTGGGATAATAACAATTTCAGCGCCATTTCCAAGAAGAGCATCATCAGGACTCTAGGTGTAACCGAGCCCTTATTCATCGACGCATTATTGATGGCGGGGACAACTTTCCTATCTACATTCCCACCATTAAAGGAACCACAGATCACTGCTCGTCAGCCTCCTTCCGTTCAGGACGCCGTTAATATGTTGCGTACATCGGAAAAGTCGGTCGCGAATGCCTGCAACTCCTTCAACGACATCCTTAGTAAGAGCAGAGATCCAAATTGGCTACAGAAATACCGCAAGGCTAGGATGACCATCGATCACTTCGTCTACATAGACGAGTCTGGAGAGATCAAAGTTCATAACTTTGATACACTAACCCAAGATAACTGGGAATATCTTGGTTATCAACTACCGGCCGAGCTTTTCCATTATCTGAACACAGGCCTCATCGGAGCACGTATGCTCAGCTGGATTTCTCATGGTCAAATTGTCATCTATCCAACTCTCGACGGAGTTAAGTCGGATGAATACAGGCGCTTAGTGGCCACCCAACTCATGCCCCTGAGAGAGGCTGCTCTTAGCCTTCTACTCCCTAGATTGCACAGAGGTATACAATATAAGCCGATTGGTGTGAAGGTGTGGTACGATGAAAAATATTCCCACAAAATCGAATACCGCCCGCAAGAAAACCAAACCTCAGCCCGAGTTCACACTTGGAACCTGGACAGCGCTGTTGCGCAGAAGTTCTACCCCAATGCCAAGCATGGCTCTATCTTTTATGAAGTGACGGCATTGAAGAACCCTGAATTCGCAAAGAGGACAATCGCCAAGGATAAGGTTAAGGGAATTGCCTCTGCGGATCTAATCTCCTCAATTACTATTTGGCGTTTCCTTCACCTACGTGGCTATGTAGACGACAAGCATCAACTTACACCCTGGGGTGAGGCCTTGGCAACGTCTCTAGAGGCACTTGAGCCTACAGTCACTAAGAACAACGAGGTCCCCGGCTTATTTGAGGCCATCCTTTTAGCTTATGAATTGCTCAGATTCGACCTCTTGAACACCCGTAACCAGCACCCCGAATTGAACGGCCTTCCTATGAATGGTAGTGAAGACGACAAGGCGAGCTTGCTGCTTATTAGTCGGTGTTCGATCCTATTGAAGTTGCGCCACCAGGCTAATGGTTACACCGGCCCACTGAGCAAAAACTTCCTATGCTTCCGATCTTTATCCTCGTCTATTCGCGAAGCCGGTAGAGATCTTATCGAAGCGATTGTGGCTTCTATGTTTCTGTTTGCGCAAACGGACCGAGAGCGAAGTGACTATTTGGAGATAGGCCAGAAGTATGTTGTCGCGATCAATTGATATTTACGGACTTGTTATGTGCTAACACTATCTAGGCTACCTTTCCTAAACGATACGGACGTTGCTCTTGGTATTGCCATTAAGACGCTACTTGACGACATCCATCCCCAGGAGAGTGAAGTAGAGAGAAATAAGAAGAAGGCCAGCTTCCCTGGTACATTCGTTCCCTACGCAACTCATTTCTTCGAAGACATGGGAATAGCCTTTGATTTCTTCGACGCGATTCATGCAGGTGTCAAGACGTTAAAGACATCGAATGACATCTCGGTCGATAAGGATGCATGGGAGAAAGCTGCCGCATACCTCAAGCTGCGGCGATAGGCTCGCGAACCACCAATGATAGAGCCGAAGAAAAAGGAATTACCGATGATTAACCTCGAAGATGTTCCTCTGTGGTGCAAGATCGGTGTCTTCAATGGTGGCGCGGCTACGTGTGCGAGTGGCATTCCCTAGCTAAGACCTCTTGGCATTAGTCATACGACGAGGAAACTGATTATCATGCACATTTATTCCGACAGATGATTGAGTCCTTATAGTACTCGGCTAGTTGGTTGTATGTGCTATTCAGCTCATGAGGCTGCCTTTCATCCCGACTTTGCATCGATCTATCCTGGGTTGGTCTGATTAACTCAGGTGATATCTATACTCTTGAAACCGTTCATCTCACCTTTGCGGAACAATAGTACTCCGAGGCCCCTTTATGATTCCACGAGGCGTTTGGGTCGGGAAAAAAAGGGACAGGACCTATGGCTTCCGAGTTGCTTTGTCGCTAGCGTTCGGTTGCAAGTTTTCATTTGCCTATCCGCAGGTTTAGTAGAGGAAATTCGGCGGGTAGGAGATCACGAACGGACGAATGAACAAACAAATGTGAAAAATTAACGAACAATTCTGCTTACTATTACTATATCTACTAGTTCAGCTCTAGTACTAGGTAGTAATTAGTTGGCACCTAACTCATATCTTGTGTTCTAATTCTGGTGATATGTGACATTTACACGTTGAAAATGACTGATATATGAAACTACCTCTGAACCCATACGCCTAGTTATCAATACGGTATAGTTCCGCCGTGCTCATTGGCTCTCTTTTCATGAGTTTGAATATATCTGAATATTAAAATAATGGAAAATAGTGAGGCAAGAATAGAGAATAAATAGACGTAATATGCTAAGTCCTTTCTCTAGAGTATGCGATGTTTTCATGATACTGTGTACTAAGCAAGGCTCTATTTATCTTTTATTTGCTTATTTTCAGGCTATGTGACCCTGAAGCTTAACCATATACAGTGGTCTTCCAGAGTTTGAGCTCCAATTCTTAATAGCCAACCACCCGTCTTCAACCTCAAATGTAAAATGCTAATAACGCCTTGTAAGTATAATAATGGGTATCATCCATCCATCATGACCATCGTCGCCAATCCGTTTACCGAAAAAGAGAGAAGTTTAAATGGGCCCCGTGTTACTGAAAGAAGAGTTAGGCCTAGATTAGGAGACCGCGTTTAATGGGCTGAGGTAGGATCTCGCCGTTAAGTCGTACCTCACCACGCTTTTGTGTTTTATCTCCTATGCTGCGAATCTTTGCTAGGAGGTGACTGCAAACACTGTTAGTTTACGTTCGATTGTGAAGTGATATTTAGCAGGGGAAGGGCTATTTTGGGGTAAAGTTAGAGCGCAAGTGTACCTAGGTACGTATCCGCATAGACCCATGGGTTCAACGATGCTCGGACATTGCTGGGTTATGTTGTACAACGAGGGGTAATCAAGAATAGAGGGAAATATGACGTACTCAATGGGGAGATGCCCCCTTTGTGACTCTTGGAGAGCTAGACCTTCAAGATTGGATTGACTAGCCGCATTTCGTTCGGCCTCTTCTTGCGCATCCTTCTCGTGAGCCTCGAAATGTTGATTAATGAGGGCTTGACCCTCTTCCTGGTCGGCAGCTCGAACAACGTAACCACAATCAGGTTCTTCGCAAGTCCATGTCTGGTCCGGACCTGTAGGTGTGGTAGATGGTAGTTTTTCGGCGCGGATTACTACTCTGGCAAGTTGAGCGTCGCCTTCGTTTTCGACGTCCTCATCGTCGCTGACTGCAGATGAGTCTGTATCATTCTCGTCTTCGTCATGCTCATCCAGCTGCTCGTCTCCAAAATATTTCGACTTCTTAGATGTCTTATATATCCCATCTTCATCAATGTCCATTTCATCTGCGTCAGACGTTTCGTGACGTAGACGCTTTTTGCCGCCGGTAGAAAGACGTAGTCCCGCTACTTTGCCGCTAGGACGACCTCTTCTAGGGAGACGTCTACCGGACGCTTGTTGTTCCCCAACTTTCGTAGTGGGTTCTGGTTCTTGTGTGGGCGTGTGGGTGTCTTCGTGAGAGGCCTTACCCTTCTTCTTCCGTCTTACGATTTGCTTCATATCTTCCTCCGAGATCAATTCAAACTTGGGCTTGGTGTTGATATTTTCTTTGAGCCATTGGTAGAACTGGCTGTTGTGCCACTCTGGTGAGAGTAATTGTACAAGGTCTGACGCAAAATATTCACAGACCTCAGGTAGCGCTTTAGGGTTCTTAATGCTCAACTCAAGATAGAGCTTATTGCACCAACCTTTATAATTGATTTCGTCGGGGTGTTTCTTCTGCTTCCCTTGGTCGAATAGTTCCGATATGTCTCGACGAATATCTAGTAAGACCTCGAGCAAAACAGATAGAGAAGACCCGGCGTCCGAAGGAGCTCCTGTATTATGTCCTTTGATTTGCTGCGGGCTCAACCGGGCCGTGTCGTCTTCAATGGATACCTGGGGGGCATCGCGCATCACCACATCAGAACGATGTGACTTTTTCCTAGGCCTACCAGGCTTAGCATGCCTACGGTCGTCGCTCGGCACGTTGACCACTCCCGGACTGGAGGCTTCGCTGCTGCGCAGCGTCTTCGGTGCTGAGTTTCGCGATGAAGTTTTACCCCTACTATCGGCGACCTCAAGAAAATTAGACTTATCCGCGGGATTATACGGTTTTGCAGTCAAGGGGCCGGAATCCGCCTTTGAAGCATTTTTAGGATCATTAGAATCCTTTCCGGCAAGTTTCTTTGAAATGTCCTACACCTCACGTTAAGTCGCTATCTCCTAGTCTGGGGATAAGTCAATCTTACAGGAAACTTTTTAGTCATCCACTGATAGAAGCGGGTGTCCTTGGGGAAATGTGAAAGTAGGAATATGGCATGATCGCTAATTCGTTGTAGTGCTTCCGGAAAAGTAACGCCATCACCGACAGTCACAGCATACTGCGTATTTCATTAGGTACAATTTAACAAACACGGCCTTTGGCGTAAATGGGGTAGAGGGATATACATACTTTGAAAAGGAAGATTTCTTCACGAAATTTGACATCGCCAATTGTTTTAGTCTTCTTAATCTTCTTTTCCTTCTTTTTTTGCTCCTCTTGAAGCTCTTCGAGAGCAGCTTCGAATGCATCCAATAAAGCATAATGCAGAGATATGCCTTGGTACATGTTGTCGCATATTTCTCGATATGCGTCTGAAGGGATGATTTCGAACCAGCCTGCTAGGCCGCTAGCCCAAAGTACTGGCATTGGTAGTCCGTCATCCTTCAAGCCGATCGAGAATGATAAGCTGTTCTGTATTTGGATCCAAGGTGAGTGGCCCTTCAGATTCTTATGCACTAAGTGTCTTTCTTGGTCTTTTTCTATCTCGAGTCTTCCACGAACAATCAACGGCCCTTCTAGATCAACATGCAATAGGTTCGCTAATGTACCGTCTTGGTGGTATATGGTCGCATCGGCGAGGAGAAAGCACGGCCAATCGTCGGTGTGCACTCGGACAGAGGCGGGTTTTAGTATTGATTCCTCTGTGAAATATGGTATGGCAGATTCGTCTATAGTTGCGACTGTCGAGGTTGACGCCGCCCTACGTCGACGTCCAACCATGATGGCGAGAAAGCAAAACCGAATTGGAGAGAGGTGAATCGATTTCGTACGTTCGCATGAAAGTGGGCTATCGTGTCTTTGTCTTGTATGATGGTATTTGTATATTTGGGTTAGAGAGGGATGAATGTGGTATTTGGTAGAATAGACCACAGATTTTATCTTTTCTGTAAGGTGAAAAGAAAGAACGAAAAGATGTTGAAAGGAAAAATGAATTGTGAGTTTGTTAACTGTTAGGAAGGAAATGGTGGAACGCGCTCCAGTCGGCGTCGGCAAGTAGTACGCGCGCACTATAAATTGCTACCTATTTTGGTTAATATGTCGGCAACAAACTTCAATGGTTACCCGCTGGCATGGACCCGAATCGATCCCATCTAGGTGGGCTAAATGAGACCTATCCAATGACATCCCGCCCGAACAAAGTATATTTATGGAGGGGTTTAAGTTTAGAATAGCTCCAGGGCTACCGTTGCACTGAAGCTAGTACCTAACTAATCGATAAGACCCGCTAATTCTTCGATTAACCATGTCGATTAACCGCATCCTCCAACAAGCTTCTAGGTAGAACTTTTTTTTTTCTTAGCCCATCAAATCCAAATCCAAATTTGAATTCTCCCCAAACTCTTACCTCTTCCTTCTAATCAATTCAACTATAAGTATTCTTACACCTCGATACAGATACGCCTTACGACAAATATCGAGGCAAACTAACCTATAGGTTATACTGCGGGGGATTAATTTATTAGTAAGACGGTAGAATCCAACTTTACTGCATGGCCGTAAGATCTCGCTGAAGCTCCCCTCTTGCGAATGAAGGCCGGCAGATTCATTAAAATGGCAGCTTCCAGCTCCGTCCTTGACGGTGTTTTTGGTATGAAACCTCTATTCTAATCTTCCTCAATGCCATCCCACTTTAACCTATCTCGGCGCTGACTGTTGCTTTCTTTCTTCGCACAGGCATTAATAAGCCAATGGGGATGAGTTCCGCTCAAGTTATCCGGGACTGCCAACATCACTTCAACCCCTCCACATTCTTCAAACCTATGATAGACCAAGAGACGGCCAACAGATCACTAGAGTCTAATACTAGAAGAAGACGGCGTGGATTTGGCAAAAATGACATTCGAGTTAAGATGGGCCACGGCGGTACACTTGACCCTCTGGCTACTGGTGTGTTGATCTTGGGTGTCGGAAAAGGTACAAAAGCTCTTCAGTCATTTTTGGACTGCACCAAGACGTATGAGACCGTGGTGCTTTTTGGTGCTAGTACCGATACATACGATAGGGTTGGCAAGATCCTGAAAAAGGCGTGCTATGACCATATCACTCGACCCATGGTTGAGGAGGCTCTCGGTTCTTTCCGAGGCAAGTACCAACAGATGCCGCCCTTGTATTCGGCGTTAAAAATGGAGGGGAAGCCTTTATATGAATATGCGAGAGAAGGAAAACCGATCCCGCGAGAGATTGCGACGAGGGAAGTAGAAGTTACTGAACTTGAGATGGTAGAGTGGTATGAACCCGGTGAACATTCTCATCGCTGGCCTGCTGAGGAGGCCACCACATTTGAGCGCAATTTCGCCGAGCAAGTTTGGAAGATTGAAAAACAGCAGATGACAAACAAGAAACTTACCCCGGAAGAAGAGGAAGAAGAGTCAAAAGCACTCAAGGAGCATGAAAATTTTAAGCGGAAGGCCGATGAAAGTGTCGATGCACTTGTCTACGACCGCGTTAATAAGCGCAGGAGGCCGCCACAACAACCGCCGCTAATGTCAGGAGCGTTGGGTGATCTTCCCCCAGCATCTCCGCGACCGGGAAAGGGATCAAATCTCATCCCCACATCGCCAGATCCGAACACACCTCCTCCCTGGGAGGGCAAAGGTCCATCCGCTGCGAGGATACGAATGACCGTAACCTCCGGTTTCTATGTCAGAAGCTTTTGCCACGACCTTGGCGCAAAGGTTGGGTCCGCAGGTATGATGGCGGAGCTTTGCAGAAGTCGTCAAGGTGATTTTGTCTTAGGGACTTCCAACTGTTTGGAATTCTCGGACTTGGAAAAGGGCGAACCTGTATGGGCACCTCAGATAAAGGACATGCTAGCGCAGTGGAACAGTAAGCCACGCAGTAAACCCTCCGAGGCTCCGCACAGGGCCGAGCGGAACCAATCTCGAAATGACTATGGAAAGCCAACGCGAAGCTCATCCCCAAAGAAGTCGAAAGAATCAGAAGACACCGGAATCTCTAAAAGCAATCCGGATGTTGAAATTGAGGCGTCGGATTCTAAGTCGCAAGTCAAGACAGATGGCAGTTCTACAAAGGCGACACAAGATCCCGCTCCCGCAACTATCTTAGCATCTCGAGAAGTAGCTAGATCGGATGCCAAGGGCAAAGAGGTTGATGAAATGTCCTGGAATGGGTTTCCCGACACACCCGCTGATCAAAAGTTGTAGATGCATCTCAACTATTTGAGATTGTTACCTGGTTTTATCGAAACTATATAGGTACCTACTTTCGTAAGAGTAGGGGCATCTACGGAATATGAAAAGCGGCGCATTATCGTTCACGAGAGACGTATTGGTGCATTAGCTTGGCGTTGGTTTGTTTACATGCATATAAAGAAGCGTTTATACCGTTTCCCAGTTAGAAATGTGTACATGTCTAGGTAGTTGTTGAACACGTAGCTTAACATAGACTTGATGGATCACTCCAATGACACTTTCAAATTCGATATAGCTTAAGCGTCGTACCTGGATATCTGTTCACAGTTTAGAGGATTAATTGATAGTAGCCATGCTTGGTGTGTAACCTTAACAAATATGTAAGTGATGAGTTTGGAGATTGACTAATCTGCCTACTTTTCTATAACAATTTAGTCCAGTTTGCGCATCAAAAAACCAGATATCTTATGCGAAATAGGTAGATATGATTTATAAATATATTTTGGGTATATGCGCCTAGATATGAGAATGTAAATGTTGACAACGCAAACGAGTCTATTTCGTTCTACATTATCATCTCTATCATGAGCGGTCGTGATCATTACTATTACTTAAAACAAAAATTTCGTCGTCGCCGACTTCGATTCAATTCCCTTCCCCTTTCCTTTCGATCCTTTCGATCTCAAACCATTCAATTCAAACAATCAACCCATCTTCTAAGCGCCAGGCATCTAGAGGTATCGAGAACCAAAAAACTGATGCTGGTGCGTCGTATAATCCAGAAGTCCTGACCTCGACCAAAAAATGTAATATGTAATAATCTCGCGCTGGCACGAACCCGTATCTTTCTTTTTTAATGCAATATGTAGAATGCAAACATTATTTTATAAATTTGGAGCGGCGTTAATGTTTTCGTTTCGAATACCATATCTCCCTCAAATACTCTTGAAATTCATTCCGCAAATATCTCGGCTCGTAGGACACTACATTAAGGGGTGGTTTCGAACGAAGCCGACTCTGCGGGGGGTGACAAGCTCTTCTCCCACTCCTTAAGTAAGGTCGAGGTGGGGTTCTTAAAATTGGTAGGTGTAAGACGGTTTAGAATAGCTTGGGGCAGCTCTTCAAGCTTGCTGGGAGTCGGTGGAGAAGGTGAGCGTAGCTCGCTTCGGGATTGCTTACGTCTCCTATTGTTGATAGGTTAGAACCACGTTGCATAATATGTATTGAATGGGCTCGGTAGGGCGGTAGATAGGGTGTGCCTTGCACGGGTATCTGGGCTCAGGGGATGGTCGTCTTACAGTGTCCCCTCATTTTCGGTGGTCCTTTCAGGGATCGCACTGATGATATCCCCGTTCACCGTGCTACCACTCCATCGCGATGTCTTCACGTTGGGTGACTCCCAGTTTGACCAGTCATCATCATCGAAGCTGTCAAATGTGAGTGGCGTCCAAGAGAACCGCTTCTTCTCCTTAGGCTCTGGCTTCGACATGGTGCGCCTGTGTTGGAAACGGTCGCTGAAGCTACCGGTGGATTGCCTGCTTGGAGTCTCCATCCCCGAATCCGATTCAGGATCAAATGGGATTCGGCCGCGGTTGACTGCAGATGTAGATGCTCGGATGGTGTCCTGATCGTTTTCCATTCTGCTTAGTCGCGAAACCATATCGCTAGTCCTATGCGTAGTCCCAGAAATTGCCTCGTCGCCCACAGTGGCTTGCCTTAGGTCTTCAACAAACGTCCAGAGACCTTGCCTAAGCTCATTTGCCATTTGCTTCATGCCATGTGTTGTTGGTTGGCTTTGGCGAGGAGCCCATGTTGCACGCTTATTGAGAGGAGTGGGACTAAAGATGGGTTCAGGTTTGGTGTACGGGTCGGCTGATCGAAGCACATTGTCCCCATTAGTGGGCTGCGTCGGTGAGAGTAGTGATAGAGTACGTGTGTGTCCGCCGCGTATGACTGTTCTCTTAGTCTCCCGAGGAGTTGCTTGGGCTCCTTGGCTTTGTGCACGAAGGATTGCTTTCCTCCGCTCCAATTCACTATTAAATCTCATATTCGCATTTTCATCTTGTCCATCGGTCGATGTCATAGCCTGGAGTGGCTCAATATTTCTGTTAGCTGCCCGCTTCCTGTAAGCAGCAGAGCTCGTCCACTGTTTCTTTAGCCTTCTTAGCTCCATTTCGGCCCGTCCTAGCTCTTCGCGGAGCTCCAGGACTCGACGCTCTTGAGCAGCAATAGCAACGATAAAATCATTTGGATCGGTAGGTGAGCCCAATGCCGGCGTATCGATAGGAGTAGGGGGTACTGATGAGCTGGGTGTGGGTCTGGAAGGAATGCTGTTTGGTGGTGCGATGGGTAATGTTAAGGAGAGTCGGTTGGAATTTCGAGAGGTTGTCGAGGTAGAACGAGCGGACCGCGTTTGTGATGTCTCACTTAGGGGCGGTGGAGAAGACAACAAGCTCAAAGTCGCGTCCTTATCCGACTCGTTGTCTCTAACGCTGTCCGTATGGTAGGCACGTGGCGACATTGGAGCAGCGGAGGTTGGACCCGGGTCGGTGGTTGAACCCGCACGACTAGCCATCTCGGCGCCTGAAGTAACGATCGCATCAAGCGAAATGGCGGAATCTTGTAAACCGCGGGTCCGGCGCTGGTCAACTGCCATATTTGCCCAAACAAATGGTTTAACGACTTTGCGTAGTGAACGGGACTGTAAAAAATCTGTGGAAAGGGTTTGGGCTGACCGCCGTTTCTGTAAAGGAGTGGCTGGGGCGTTGTTGGCACGACGGCGCCGGTTCCTCCCACTAAAAGATCGTCTAGAATATAGCGTCCTCGTAATAAGGTGATTGTATCTCCTATCTGTTAAAAGAGTGTTGTTGTTGAAAAAACTACCAGTAATCAAGCAAATTTGTAAAAGTTGAACGGATTTCATGGACATAAAAGGGACATAAAAAACAAAATAAATCAACCACCGGCGAAGCAGATGGCGATCAAAATTCAGGGCGAAGACTGGGGCTCTCGCTTGAGCGAGCTGGGAAATTGGGGGGGTACGCCAGACTGGAAAATTGATATAATAGGAGGGCCAAGTAACCAGTTTAATGGCCCGGCCGGGGTATAGTAGCTTGGGAACCTTGTTAGGCGACGAATGATAAGAGAATGTGCTGGGGTCGAAGAAGGTCAAGGGGGCCCATATCTTCTTCCAGAATAATAACAATAATAATAAGTAGTACTTGTATGTAGGTACTGTATAACTTTGTGGTATGTCGTACAATAAATGCTGTTGATGTTTTGAAATTTCCAAAAAGGAGAGGAGAAAAGAAAAGGAAAAAAAGGAGAGAGATTAATTGGCTGATGAATTTTTTAATATTTCTTGGAGAAAAAAAAATCCTGATCTCGATACCTAACGAAGGATGCTCTTCATGCTTGTGAGGAGTATGTAGTAAGATGGCAAGTAAGATGCAGGGAAATTGATTAAACAAAAACAGAGTTAAAGAGACTCGAGCCTTCAGTTTGCTTTAATTTCATTTCGTCTGTCTTTATTTTTTATTATCTTAGTTGATTGTTTTCCCTTCGATCCCTGGTCAACCAAACGGAGCACTCCACAAAACCAATCGTGCGCTCATCTCAAGGCTGCATGGGCTGTTTTGTGCATTCAGGGGCAAGCCACGGAGGATGTTGGCTCGGGATGGTGTTAAGGGTGTTCGGGCGTTTGTCTGGTGTGTGTGTATGTATTTCTTACGGAAAATTGCTTGGTTTCTGATTGGGAAGATGTTTTCCGTCCGGGAGTTTGTTCCCTGCAAGTTCTAAATGACGTTCCTGCTACTTTCTCGACGGTGGAGAATTAGAACGGACCTTAACCTTAGCCCCCCTGCACTAAAATACTAAAATGACACTAGCTGACGAGTTCGTGGCTAGCCCTGGCAGCTAGCTTTTGTTACACTACCGGAGGCTTGGCACCATTGTACCTAAGTACCTACGGATGTCGCACACTGCCTTCGTTGCGTGTGTAATGTAAGTGCAGAAACCGGATGTATCACGTGAACACCCGTAGGCTCCGTCGCGTCCCGCACACGTGGGCAAGAATCCCAGGCTAAACACCAAACAAACGTAATCGGGTCTTTATTCTAGAATTTAGGGTTAAAGTTAAACAATAAATTCAAAGCCTTAGGCATTTTGTAAAACTTCAATTAGGCATTATTCCTTCTTACACTGTCATAAGACAATGGATCGGTATTTGTTGCCTACGTCTCGCCAGATGTGATCATGGAGATGCAAATATCTTCATTTTTCCTTAATTTCCTTAACTCCCCATAAATTTTTTTTGCATCGATCGGAGCTTTCTTGAAAGTTCGGTTTCTATTTTTGTTCATCTTTTTTTTTTTGCCCACTTCCAAATACCCCCGACCCCACTGCAATGCCGTTTCCATACAGATACGTATGCGATCTTCTTCAACAACTTAATGATGAATCCCACAAACGAGAAAATAAGCAAAGGCCTGCAAGGGTCTTAATTGAGACTTGGTTTCGTGAGCATCGTGCTCATCTCAATGCGGATGGAAATGATGCAAGTGCTATATTGTCCACCTTACTGCCTGAGAGAAGGACAGACCGGGTCTACTACATCCAAGTTTCACGGCTCGAAAGCATTTTCGGCAAAGCTCTGCTTCTCGGAGCTTCAAGAGTGCAAGAGCTGCGGAGGTATACCACTCCTGGTCTAGGTGTAGACCTGGCTGATTGCATTGAAGGAATTTTGACGCGCACCGTAAGCTTCCCTCCTTTACACATATCGTCAGCACAGCTAACTCTCAAAGCCCAATCCCTCACAAAGTAACAATGAACTTACAGTAGAGGAAATTGACGAGACTTTAAGCTCTATCGCAGCAACCTGCCGATTTAGCTCGCCCTCAGTGAGGGCATTACGGAAGTCTCAAGATACCAGCCGGAATCAACCCCTAATTGATATCTACAGACGGCTCAGCCCTCGCGATGCAAAATGGTTCACAAGATTGGTCCTGAAGAATTATCAACCGGTGGCCATAAATGAACATTCCGTTTTTCGATTCTACCACCCCCTTTTATCTCAGATGATAAAGGTTAGAGATGATCTCACTATAGCTACCCCTTTCTTGCGGCAGATCAACCGGTCGCCCCACGATCAGAGCGCCATTGCAAAAATTCTGAAGCCATCTATTGGGACAAAGATTGGAAGGCAAGTATGGCTCAAGGGGAGAAGCATTAAACATTGCCTAGATATGGGTAGAGGGAGGGAAATAAGCTGCGAACAAAAGATTGACGGTGAATACTGTCAAATACATATTGATCTCAGCAAGCGTCATTCTCCTATTCAGATATTCTCCAAGAGCGGAAAAGATAGTACTGAAGACCGTGTCAACCTTCATCAGTAAGGATTTTTCTTTTACCCCTTTTTTCGATTCCCCCACTGATTGGTTCAACAGACCAATAAAAGATTCGCTCAGATTAGATACACCCGACTGCCCATTTAATGTTGGATGTATTCTAGAGGGAGAACTGGTTGTATATAGCGCGAAGGTATTGTTGCGTCGTCCTTGACCTTGATGAAACAAAGCTGATGACAACGGCAGGATAATAAGATCCTACCGTTCCATAAGATACGCAAGCACGTCTCAAGATCTGGTTCTTACATTGGAACCTACTATGACTCCCAGTGGGATATTGCTCATTAAATAAATTGACACGACCGACTAATTTGTGGCAGGCCCCATGCTTATGAGCATTTAATGATTATTTATTACGACGTGTTGATGATTGATGATGAATCACTCTTAGGAACCCGACAGTCCGAACGTTTCAGACGCTTAAGTGAACTCATAACTCCCCGAAAGGGGTATGCAGAGTTAGTACAACGTGAAACGATCTCTTTCACGGGACCATCTGCCGCACTGAAACTACGTGAAGCCTTCGCAAAATGTATTGTTTCTCGTGGCGAAGGCCTAGTCTTGAAGCCCGATGAACCATACATTGACTTCAGCTCAACGTACAAACCGTACAGCTGCTGTAATATCAAGCTGAAAAAAGAGTATGTCCAGGGATGGGGCGACGTCGGAGACTTTGCCGTCGTTGGTGCCTCCTATGATGCAACAAAAGCAAAGGAGTACAAGAGACCCCATGTCAAATGGACACATTTCTTTATTGGGTGTCTAGACAATAGGGAGAAAGCGCGGGCAGGAGTTGAGAAACTCCGGTTTATAATTACCAACGTCGTGGAATTGTCCGAGACCCTCTTATTGACTGTCATGACTCAATGTTTCCCATCTCCGGAAAAATTCGACGCAAACCAATCTATGGTTTTAGACTTCAGTCGGGGGCATTTGGAAAAGCGGCCAACGGATGTGTTCTTGGATCCGTTGGTGTTCGATATGCGTTGTTTTTCATTCAGCAAAGACTACAACACGAATTTTTGGGCTATGAGATTCCCTATGGTCTCCAAAATACATCATGACAGGTCATATTGGGATACTATCACTTTTTCTGAGCTCCAGGAGGTTGCCGCAACGGCGGTTGAGGCGCCCGAAGCTGAAGATAGCCAGGAGATGCGACAATGGATAGCAGCATTGGAAAAGGCAGATCCACGTGGAATTGCAGTTGACGTTATGACCCAAGAAAGCGTCCCTACAGAAAAGAGGCCATCTATCATGGCATCTTGTGATGGCTGCCAGGAAAAAGCCGACCGACCTGGTTTAAGGACGGATCCTCATAGCGAAGGATGCTCTGCAAATGAGTCTTTTCCACCATGTCGCGGTGCAGATGAATCGGCTTGGAAACCATATATTGGTTCAAGATCACCGGCTATCAAAAGCTTACAACATAAAGCCCCTTCCAATTTCTCATCCGCATCTCAGAAAACTTCAATGTGCCAGAAACGGCCTGCCCCAGATACGGTGGTAACTACTAAAAAGCGGCGGAAATCTTCCGATACACCTTCTAGTCAGTCTCGTTCAATGGTGAGATCGGCCGGGTTGCCATCGAGTCCTCAATGGAGTAGAAAACCGCTCAGTCAGATCGACGCAAATTCGCAGCCCCGGTCTTCCGAAATTTTAGTGATTGATCTAACAACGCCCGTCGCTACACAATCTCAGACTAGAAATGACGTCGTGCCTCCGCTTGATGAATCTAATATGCTGGTTGATGCGGCGCCGAATTCCGCAAGGACACAAGATATGTCTAAGCAACATAATTCGTCCAAATGCTCTTTGGTAGAGAAGAAATGCCTGCTCAGGAATTGCTCGATTTTATTGTCGCCATGTATATCTAAATACGCATGGGTCACCGATCTATTGCAAAAGCATGGCATCGATAACTTTGTGGTTGACCCTGAGTCGTGGGTTCAGGGAGATGCACCAGCAGGATCTACAACGAAGGAAGATGCTCCTTCACAGAAGACTCAAAAGCAGAAGGCACGCAAGATCTGTCTCGTTGAGTCTAGGCGCCGGGAAGCTACATTATCGTTTTATGGGAAGATAGAAGCAGCTGGCTTGAAGAAAAAGAATGGTGAGCGTGAATGGGTGGGTGTCTATGATTGGCGGATTCTAGAGGATATCTCGGATATGGAATCTGGGAAACGTTTGCCGGAGGGGATGGACCCTTGGAGGAAGCATCACATTGGAATTGCATAGAGATAGAGGTTGGCATTATGGGCGTTAGAGAGGCGTCGCATTTACGGGGCATTGCGATTATGATATACCCATTGCTTTATGATTTAGATCAATAGAAATAGACATTCTGGTTGATCATTAGAGAAAATATGCTTATTTCTAAGGTTACGGACGAATTCCCTACGATCTACCCCTTTTCTTTATGTGGAGAAATGTATCTCAGTAAGGACCACGCATGACTTAGTAAGAAAATACCACAGCGAACATCCGTAAGGTGCCAAAGATACTAAATGATGAGCACCTAATTTTTAGGCTTGAAACTGGATATCAGGTTCGACATATTGAGGGATATCGCATTCGCAATACTTGTCCTCTTCTAATATATTCATCCGACCTTTTGTATATCAGGTCAGACCTCCTATATAGCTAAATTATCATTATGCGCAGCGCGACGAGTTATCTCCCCTCTAGCTTGACACTCTAAATAGTGGCATTCCTAGATCTAACAGGACATTTTCTAAATACAACTCTTACACGTCTAGCAGACAGAATCCGTCTAGATCTTTCCAATCAAGAGGTTGGCAATCATCTCACGGCCGGTGACGACGACGGTGCGGTATAGGGTTTGCACGTCGAGGGTGCTGAAAACGCCGTCGGCGAAACCGAAGAATAGCATAGGGGGGATCCAGCCGCGGGCGTACTCAAGCGCGAAGCAGTCGTTGGGCATCTTGTATTGCTTGACGGTGCCGCGGTGCATGTGGTTCATGGCGCCCGCGGGGTAGACTTCGCGTGTAAAGTTACCTGGGACGTAGGCCCATTGCTCGCCGCTTAGGATGTAGAAGTAGTCGTCGGCGGTGTGTCGTCCCGAGTGGCCTTCGGTGCCGACGGCTGTGCCGAAGATGATTAGGTACTCTGTGATGCCTGTATGGTGATGTGTTGGTCAGCCCGTTCGGATATGTTATGCTTATGTGTATTTGTGTTTGTGTATGTATAAGGGGATGGGAGAGCTAGGACGTTATCTGTGACTTACTCGAGTGGATAATGTACATGCCACCCATGGCACCGCCGGCGTTGTTAAAGAACCATTCTTCCGGAACGTTCCACTTAGGGTTAACGTGTCGGGGGTACTTCTCGTGAAGTTCGGCGACGATGTACTCGACGATTTTGCCGGTGTCGTTGCCATATTTCTCGATACCGCGCGAAGACACGTCTTTCAAGTGGTCGAGCTCGAAAATGTAGAATTTCTCTAGGTTGCGCTCGAGTATGTAGTAGATGGGGAAGAATAATCCGATCAACGCGCCGATGATCGTGAGCACTTTAGTGAGACTACAGCTGCACCCTCCACCGGATGAGGCCTTTGACTTATTGGGCGCCATGGCGACACAGCTTCCTTCCGATCCGAGACAGCGGATGAGGGATGGGATAACGACTCGAATAAATGAAAAGGAGTGTGAGAAGAGCCGAATTGACAAATAGAACGCACACGCACAACAGACGCTATGCAGACGCTGGACCTCGCTATGGAAAGAAGGAGTGACGAAGACCTAGCTTCTGGAAATTGAAGCGGAATGTCGACGATAGAAGTAATATCTGACTTCCCCGTACAAAATCCAACTTTTTTTTTTTCTTTTTTGTTATTCCCAATGAGAATATGTTCATGGGAGGTACGTACCTGTCAAATGATTGGAATAAGGGGTCCAGCTCTACTCCGTAGCACAGCTCTAAATTGTCTAAATTGGTTGGTCTGGTTGGTTGATGAGTGGACCCACTCGGCAGACCAGACAGCCGGATCGCACCATCTACTTAGGTACTTCGTACTCGTACCTGCGCAAGATCCGCTCTAATTCTAATAAGGTTAGATCTTGGCTCGTCCGACCTATGCATATCGGAGCATCAGAGATCCGACCCGATTCCCGCTACACCTGGCGCAGCCGACCAAAATTGCATCATACAGAAAATCAGAACATTTTCAATCACCCAATCACAACCACGATCATTTCAAATCAACCAACTTCGCCGCCTCGGTTCGCTAACCCGCAAACCCCATATCGCAATCTAACATCCCTTCAACCCACGATGGCACAGGCGGTCGCCATCCCCGGCCAACTACTGGGACCAGCCGACAAGTACGTCGCAGGCGCAGGGACGCATATCCACGAGTCGAACCTATACTCCTCTCTCCTTGGAACAGTATCCGTCATCACACAGCAACAACAACAAGCTTCCGAAGCGATAGAATCAGAGAAACAGAAACAAGCGGGTCCCGCGAAACGATTAACAAGGATCGAGGCCTTGGCTCCGAAGCAGAGCGGTAGTAACAATCATAGCGGAGGTAACGGCAGTACTCTACCTACAATCTCCGTGTCGCGGGCCGCGGGCACCGAGGAGGGAGGGAAGGACAAGAAACGTGAGGTGCTACCTGAGGTTGGTAATACAGTGTTGTGCCGTGTCACGCGCATTACGCCTAAGCAGGCCGCCGTCGCGATACTTGTTGTGGGCGATACTGTGCTAGAGGCGGAGTGGCAGGGCTTGATACGGGTGCAGGATGTTAGGGCTACAGAGAAAGATCGTGTCAAGATATATGAGAGCTTTCGCCCGGGTGATATTGTGAGGGCGCAGGTGGTGAGTATTTCTGCATCTACTTTTCTAATTGTGACAGGCACTAATGCTGTGGTTTGTTACAGATCTCGTTGGGTGACCAAGCCAATTATTACCTCTCGACTGCGAGCAACGAACTTGGCGTTATTATGGCTACAAGCGAAGCTGGGAACACTATGTATCCCGTCAGTTGGAAAGAGTATAAGGATCCCGAGACTGGACTTAGCGAGCCGAGGAAGGTGGCCAAGCCGTTCTGAGCTTGTCGATTGCTATCGATATGAGAATTGAATTATGTATGATTCTAAGCTCAGGGTCTACCTGCCACGAACCCATGGCTGGCGCGGTACTCTACATCAAGGAATGCGGTTTCTTCTATGGTGAGACCTATCATTGCCACCCATATACCGAAAACCCGGCAGATATTTATGGCGGTCAAAAAATTGAGCTACCAAGCGTGGGGAATCACTCGACAGAGCTTCACCGGGTTCAGAAGATATGAAGTACAAAATAATCTATATGTATCTTCTCAGCGTGCATATGCGAAAGCACGAAACGAAGATTAAACCATGGAGCCGACAGAGTCGGAAAAGTTGAGAGGTCGTTGCAACTTCGGCTGATAGCCTTGCTCTGAAAAGGGTTTATACAATCCTATCACATCAAAGCAGATAGTCGCCTGCCAAAACATCTACCGAGAACATTACAAGTAAAAAACGCAGCTATATAATGTATGCGCGCTTGTATCGGCATCTACGAATTACATAAGCCAATGAATAAAAATCTATTTTCACAGTATTGGAAGCTCATCACATGAAACGTGGGGTACTTTGACAGCTCAGTGTTTCCATATCGATAAACAACCTTGAGTTTTCCCCTCGGCGTTTTAATACTTAGCAGGATCACTATGACTCCCTGCTTAGGCTTAAAAACTTCGGTTTTGTTTTAAAGCGTTTCATAGCGGCTGCGAATGTCAAACCCGGTACCCCCGTCCTAGGACGACGCCACAGTAGAAGGGAATGTGCATGTGAATCAAAGTTGACCGCTGCGCCACTCATACTGAGGTGAGCCACGTCTTCCATGTTGCTCTCATCCATCGTAAACCTTTCAAAAATATATACTAAAATAAAGGAAATATTTAGTTAGATTTGTATATAAATACCGACGATAATAGGAAATTAAACTTGTTTAATTCGGCCGAGTTGACAGCACGAGATGGGAAAGAGCTAAGAGAAACACGCGTGAGAAAAAGTACCCACCTCCTAAATTACACGCGTAAGATACAAGACGAATATAGCGAGGCGCAGTACGTTGCAAGTTCCCGAATTCAGGGTCTATTCGGTATACCCCGGGCGATAGCGGACCCCGCCACCACAAATAACTTGGCTTCTTATTGGTCAGACCTGGGGTTTCTGTACCTGGCATACCTGATGTACATACATTACATACTGCTACTGAGACCTAATTGCTTGCAGATTTGGATTTGGAATCGTCAAGAGAGAATTCAAGGAAAAGAATGTCTCTGATCTAAAATCCAACCACCGAATTATTTACATTATTCCAAGACTTTAGTTGTTGTCGTTGAAGCTTTATTTACTTTTGTAAACATTTGATTATTCCCATCCAACAGACGTAGTTTTATACTTTTATTATACCGTTTATACCTTGTTTAATACGTTCTGACAGTACTTACTGCTGCGTGTCAACTTAACCAATTTCAACCTAAGCGAATTCATTTCAACCTTCTGCCCAATACCATTTTACCATATTAAATCCGGGGGGCAAACACGTTTCCATCTATACATTTACCACCAAAACGATTAATACCCAACGAACGTCCGGACGAGCGAACAAACGAACAAGTCATCGCAATCGAGTCGGGCGAAATTCACACATATATACAAAAACAGAGGCCAGCCATGTCGGCAACGATGACACTGGCCTTCCCACCAATACCAACAGCATCAATAACAACCATGACAGCCACGACCACTACAACAACATCCTGCTGTCCGAACTGCGGACTTTCCCTCCCCTCGCCGTCGGAATCACAAATAGCGCTCGAGCAAGCACAAAAACAAATCGAAGACTTACAAGCACAAGTGCGCCTCCTAAACCAGAAAGCCGCGGCGGCAGTCGATCGATGGGCCGATTACGAAGACGAACTTTCACGCTTGAGGGCTGCGAGTACTACGTCGGTTGCTACGAGTAACGGTAGTCCGCGGTCCTCGTTTTTACCGTCTGGCGCTGCGGCGCGCATCTCGCAGCTCTTGTCCCCGAGGAAGTCGGCGCCGAATTTGGCGGCGCAGGCTAGGACTCGGGGGTCGGTGTCGTCGAATTCGTCGACGCCTAGGGTGCCTTATGCGGGAGGACAGGGGAATGGGCATCCACGGCCGAATACTAGTGATGTCGGGAGCAATCGTGGACATAGTCCTACGCCGAGTACGGATGATTTGCTGGAGGCGTTGTCACGGGAGAAAGAGCTGAGGGCGGCGGCGGAGGGGAAGTTGAATGATACGAGTAAAGAGGTTGAGGAGTTGAGTGCGACGTTGTTCGAGCAGGCGAATGAAATGGTGGCGTCGGAGCGGAGGGCGAGGGCGAAGCTTGAGGAGAGGGTTAGTGTGCTTGAGAGGAGGGATGTGGAGAAGAGGGATAGGTTGGAGAGATTGGAGGGGGCGATGGGGAGGTTGGAGAGGGTTAGGACGTTGCTTGAGGGGAAGTAATGTTTTAAGTCGAGGGCGTTCCTGGACTAATGAAGACTAATAATGTCTTCGACACGCGTGGGTCAGGGTGGATTGAGCCGGCTCAGGTACCGGCACCCACCGCGATCTTCTCGAGTCATGACATACCCATAACGCAAGTGGCTGTGAGAGGGAAAGGCGTTGATCGGTTATGGGTCACGAGTTTTCTTATTGCATGAGGGTACAGCGGGGCGTCGTGGAATCATGGGGACTATATATAATGCTCTATGATCTCCCGGATAATATGGTGTTTTGGGTGGTCGTATTTGCATATAACATCGATATCTGTTTTTCAGGCCTTTTGCTAATAGGCTTGCATGAGGATTATATAAAAGGACGGGATCGTCATATTTAGGGCTTAGGTGGGCAAAAAGGATGTATGAACCATTAAGACTGAGGCATATCAGTGGGTGGCATAGCTATTATAATGAGAACAACAATAGTTGCTTCATATGGGGGACGCTTAATATACTCAAAATGACAAATTGCGATGAATAGAGGTAACGGCTTTTTTATTTAATATAACTATCATGGTTAGTGAGTACCGTGCACAGGCGTGCGTCAGCATCGTATAGGTTACATGAAGTAATGACCCCACGATGAATTGCTGTCGCCATTTCTAGAACCCCTATCTCCGATAACCTTTCTTATTGCTTAGACTATACGAAGACTTTACTCGTAAAGGGAATGATAGTTCGTTGTGCTTTTGTCAACTGTGCCTCATTAGCATCAACAACTACGCCTTATACCATTATAAATGGCTCCATCTTATTCGTTACCGACCCATGATCGACGACATCCTGGTTTGCTGAAGAACTCTGAACCTCGGCCACTAGAATTCGGGGCCATGTCAGCTCTTCCAAGTGGATAACGCACCTACGCATATAACACCCCCAGGCTGCAAATCCATTTATCGAAATATTTCATTTCTTGTTCATCCATTTTCTCTATTTGCAAATGACCTAATTATGGCAATAGAGGAGACCTTATCCCGCCCGGGCGTCCTCGCCCCGGTGCTATTAGTGATCGGATATGTGCTATACCAGCTCTTCCGGCCTTCCCGGCTACCGAATTTGCCTGTTGCTGGTGCGAGACCCGGCGAGTGGTTCTCGCTTCAGCGGGCGGCATGGCGGAACGCCATGGATATGAAGACAGCGACCCAGGTGGCGTATGACCAGTATCGAAACCAAGCCTGCATTATGCCCGTCCTTGGAGGCCAGAACTATGTCGTCTTACCGGCCTCTGAGCTCCAGTGGCTTGTCGATCAGCCAGACACGGATATTGACATCCATGAAGACTTACTCGACGTCTTCCAATTCAACTATACTCTGATGGACCCAAATATCTACCACCAACCGGCCCACCACAAGATCATCTCTACCACGTTGACCAGAGAAACCGGCAACCTAGTCCCAGTCCTGCTTGATGAGATCAAGCATAGTGTTGAACGCTACTGGGGCACGGATACCGAAAACTATCGTGAGGTCGGTGTGTACGAAACCCTACGTCGGATTATCGGACACGTCACGAACCGCGTCTTCGTTGGTCTCCCGTTATGTCGTAACGACGAGCTCCTCGATGCTGGAGTCGCCTACGCGAAGGATATCCCTATGTCCGGCATGGCGCTACGCTTCACATGGAAACCGCTTCGCCCTCTTGTTGCCCCGCTTGTGACTCTTCCAAACCGTATTCACACACGCCAGTTCTACCGCTTGATACGGCCTTTGGTGGACCAACGGCTACGTGACTATGAAGCTCGTCGCGCTGACCCCGAGACCAAGGCTGCCGACAAGGAACCTAATGACTTTCTGCAGTGGTTGATCCGCCAGGCCAAGACATCCGGTGACCCGTACTTAAGCAAGCCTGATACCTTGGCTGGTCGTATTCTCATTATCAACTTCGCTTCTATCCATACGTCCTCGTTCGCCATGACCCACGTTGTCCTGGACATTGCTAGCCGCATGCGGCCCGAGGATCTCGAAGAACTTCGCACTGAGATAAAGGACGTCCTGGCCCAACATGGCGGTGAATGGAATAAACGTGCTCTAGCAGCCATGGAAAAACTTGACAGTACGATGCGTGAGTCCCAGCGTCTCAACTCCGCCGTCCCTATTGCTACCTCTCGCTTCGTCGTCAAGAAAGGCGGTATCGTAACGCCTTCCGGAGTCCGAGTTCCCGAGGGCGCGGTCGTATGTGCTCCATCGTACCCTGTATTCCACGATCCAGCTATCTATCCGGAGCCGTACGAATTCCGACCGTTCCGGTTCGCTGAGAAACGTGCCGGTGCTGGGGAGAAGGACGAGGGAAATGAGAAACCGTCATACGTGCAGAAAGCTCGTCAGGCGTACGCTACAACGAGTCCGGAGTACGTGGCTTTCGGTCATGGAAGGCATGCTTGCCCTGGACGTTTCTTCGCGTCGAGTGAGTTGAAGTTGATGCTGGCTTATGTCATTATGCACTACGATATCGAGCCGCAGAAGACGCGACCGGAGAACGTGTGGATTGGTACGACTAGAATGCCTCCGATGAAGGCACCAATTCGAGTGAAGAGAAGAAAGGATGCTGATGTTTAGAAGATTGTAGAATTGAGTGGAAAATGTCGGTTGTACAGCGGACTTCGGGGTAGTTGTAGGTGCTCAGCTGCCCCGCTGGTGGCTTGCTTTAGGGTGCTTTTGTGAGGGATATACGCCGTATTTCTAGTGATCATCGCAGCTTAGGACTTTACATAAGAAAATATCGGGCTCTTCAATCTTACTCTATAGAAAGCTCGTCACATTGAAATACAACTAGAGACAACGGCACATAGCGAACATTGCCGTCGAGTGCTTGTCGAGACCTATTTTGTCGTATACTTTATTCGATCGATTCGAGAAGTTCTCACTTACCTAGGTGATGGCCTAGAGACGACGGACATCCCCTCGGAATAGTGACTTAGCGTCCGAGATTGCCTTTTCTGATACCCCCTTCCGATGATTCCGATACCAATTAGGTAGAATATCCAGCTCTTCTAGGGCATCTCTTCCTTTCCCTATGGCGATGCCATCACAGATACGGCCAGCATGGCGCCCGGATCAAATTGGTTCACGTAAGCAAAGAGACCAAATCGGACTTTTGGAAAGCCGTCTACAACGAATCGACGGAATCAATCCCCAGTCCTGGAGAGATAATCGCTGGTGAGACTCGATTCAAACTACGCGCCGTTGCGTTATAGCTTGTCAACCCTCCGACCGACAGCGGGTATCGGTAGCCCTTCTTTTCTCCTTTCTAGTCCTACGGAAAAGAGAAGGTTGAGGAATCCATTACCAGCCCCTATTCAACACATGGCTAATGACAACTCTGTATACTTATCGTTGTAGGGGATCACAGGGATATGAACCTCGTTCTCCGGAGCCTTGATGTTTGTATACTCGAAAATCTTCAACATCTCTAAGTGACGCACGATAGGACGGAGACGCGCTCGTTTATTTATAATATAACGTATTCAAAACCGGTCCGTTAGAAATGATTTATGGAGGTAGAGCAGTCCCGCGAGCAGGAATCCCTCGCTTGCTGTTCAGGATGCGTTCACGTCTCTCGATTCGGCTTGATTTCTGTCACGGTCGTTTACACAGCCTACGGGACCGATACGTTTGTACTTTGGGCTATTGCGCGGCCAACTTGCCTTTAAAACGGATCATCGCAATAACTCGATATTATTCGAGATTACTCGCGTCAAACTGCATAAAGATTTGTTAGTAGAGGCAGCATAAGAGGGGGTTTGACGTTTGCTATTGACCAACTTCGCTGCAGAGGAATTTCCCAACACCAGTGTTCTGTTAGATACATAACACGCACATATTTACGCAGCAGGGTTGGTCTCCTGAAAAGTTGAAACTACAATACACGGTAGCAAGCGTACGCATCTCGGGAAGGGGGAGATGGAAACAACACTCGGTCACTTAACTTTAGGACATGTTGCATAAGTTTCCTATATGGTAAAGGGGTTCTGGAACCATTATGGAAGAAAACTACTCACCGTATGCATGAGACGAAGGAATGGGGGGTGGTAGATGTGCTCCAGGGGGGAAGCAGAGGGTACTCGCAAGGTACCTTAGGTCTGCATCAGCTACAATCGTACCCAGAAAAGGCGACCATAGCAGGGAGTGCTAATAATCCGACTCCCACAGTATGGTACGGCATTTGTCGAATACAGGGGCTATCTTCCTGCTGCCCTTCACGTATCAAGATGCCGTCGTGCGTTGTGACCCCCGTCCGGCGTATCGAAATCTTCGAGAACAGAGAAAATAATTGGCAGGTAACACTCGTGAAAACTCATTCCGCTCTTTTTAACATACGAGAAAGCTACTTAGAGGTTATCAACGTCTTTCTCACTTCTCGGGTGAGAATTCAGAATGCCAAGAGCGGATATACGCCCGGATGTCGTCCTATTAGCCATGCAGCAAGGCCCTTAGTTATCAGCTTTAGGCTTAGACCTCGACACAGTATCGGCACTAGGAAAAATAATACAAGACAGTATTACGGTATCTCAAAGGTTTTTTCGTAGGATCATAACGCAGTAACCCCCATCCTTTTTCCGAACTACCTACACTCCCCACCCTTTAGGACCCTACACTACAAGGTTAGGTAGGTTATACTCTTTCCGACAGCCGCAGTAACGAGAAGGGACTTATTTCCCTACCAATGGAACGCAGGAATTTCTTCTCTTTGGGCTTAGGGGGGCACCCTCGGAGCGGAGCCCACTGCCTTGCTTGCTTTGGGATTGACAGGGGCCGTTGGCGTGATGGGGCTAGCGAATACGAGATTCTGGTCACCACCAGAGATCGTCGGCGGAGGCTGGGGGTTGGGCGAGTAACAAGCGACAAGAACGCGAATTGTACATGTTTTCTTGCATTTTATGTTTATTTTCTTGTTATTGTGTGGAATCTGCGGTAGATTGAAGATTTTAAGCGAATATTGGAGACTTATGAAGATAGTACTCTGATAAACCCCCTACTTTACCCTCAATCGCCAGGAACTCTGCTAACTAAATATAAAAATTACTTAACAGGCCATGTACTACAATATAGTCCGTATTAGGCTTATAGGGATATGCATTACAAGCCTGCAAGCTTGGAGCGGCGTCACATCGACGATGTCCTCGGAGTGACAAGGGGTGATCATGCAGGACTAGGTAAACTTGTAGATATCGGTACTTACACAATAGATATAGGTTACCCAGATAGTTACCCATAGTGTGGTTATATGTTGTTCCATTTACTGTTAACAGGTTAGCTTCTCGTGTGTCTTCAACTGCCTCTCTTGTTTAGTTCTCCGCTATATTTCTAGTAAGAAGTTTATCGCTGATCGCAGTAGAACCCCACTAAGCCCTGTACCCAGCCACGAATATCTGACCTAGATGCCGAATCGAATCGCTCTAAGTTAAAGGGGTAGGTAAGAGATAAGACGTGGGTGCTAAGATGCCATACATCAGCCCCTGAACGATGCCCCAGGAAGCCTCACCTAGGGTGTCAGGTAGTAGCTCTAGTAGTAGAAATCGAACGATATCAACCCGTAGATCACCATAAGGAGTTTATTGTGAGAGGTGCGGCAAAGAGAAAAAACAGTGGTCATAGAAACACTACTGCATGGACGGACTGCGTAGCCGTTTCGAGGCCTAGTAAGAAGTCACAGCAGACGATGATCCTTCACAGTGTGCCCGAAGTAGGAAGAATATCGCGAGACATATTGAGCTACTTGAGGTACGTGAGGTTCTAGAGTATTCCCAGATATGTACCTACTTCATGCACCTCGGAGCAAAGCAACCGAACGACTTCGAGCCCGCATAAAGCCCATAGGCATGTACACAGTTTGACATCTAGAAGACTTCATCCCACGCTCTCGATGCCCCCTAACTTTAGGGGGTTCGATATTCCACGGGGCCTTATCCGAGTGAGGTATAGACTCCTACCCAATGGGAAAACTCAACCAAGATTCGATGTACTGTAAAGACACGCCCTCCACCTGGGCCCTGCAGGAGGGCTGCTTTGAACCTAGAACTATGCATGTCTGGATGTACTCTTGGCCTTTGTACACCTCGTACAGTGCCCGTAAGTCGGTATACTTGCGGACGGTGGAGTATACAACGTAGGTGGCTTCTGCAACTTAGTAATAACCCACTTACGCCGATGAGGTCCTCTTTATGTTGGGAATCCAACGTAACATGCCCATACCCGGCCAGAATAATTCCGTACGATTATGGGCCGTAAGACCTTCCGGAGCGCTGGCCTCCGAGACGGTCTCGACTCGTCCCTTTCCGCCGCCTAACCTCGGTGACGCTATAACGGCGACACAACACACGATATCACAAGCCCCGGCTTCCGCGGTCACCTAGAATTGTAGGCCGTACGACAGGCGCCACCGCCATTAACATCCGGTAGACCTAAGTATGCTGTGCTTCCCCATTGTAGCACGCCGCCCCTGCGGCGACTCGTACCTGGGCGCCAACCAAAGATCAACGACAGCGAATTAACCCTAACTTGCTCACTCACTAGAGTGTAACGTCTCATAAGGCTGTATAGCCTATGCTAAGACATGAACCTGACGATCTATCCATTGTCCACCTAACCACTCACTCATCACCAATGGACCTTGTGACATAATGAGACAACACCACACAACACAACACAATACAATACAATACAATACAATACGCCGTAACTCCTAGCCTAGCTGAAAACAAACCCAACCACCAATTCAAAGCTTCCCCGTCCCAATCGGCGGTACTCAAAAGCCAAAAACCAAAAAACCGCAATCGTAAACGCAAATGCAAAAGGAAATCTAAAAATAGAAACATATATAGCCTCGCGGTAGCAAAACCTCGTATACAGCGAACCACGGCTGACCCTGGTCGCGGGACCTGATTGGTCGCTTAGTGTGTATTAAACCGCCCTATTAATGATCCGGGGGGCACCTAACTTAGGAGCCCGTCTTTGTAGGTAGGGTCTAAGCCCCATTATCCCGTGGTGAAGTAGAAAAGCTCATGATAGGACACACCCCGTGACCGAAAAGAGGCGCGCTTAGATTATCAGGATATCTTGAATTGCTCACCTGACCATTCTCAAAAGCAGCATTATGTTATTATTTCGCCTCTTATAATTCTAAGTAGTTCTATTTCTTTGTTAATAATCAAGGCGAATGATGTGTGACTACTTATCTCAATTGGACCCTTTTCGGCGGTTGGTCTCCCGAACAATGAATGCGGCTGGGAAAGAAAAACGCCGCTGCAACGCCGTGACGAAATTCCTCGTAAGAGTAAGCAAAGGAAAGGCCCGAGGCTGACCCCATCCCATCTAAGACAAAGCGCGGGTCGTCCCGATCTAAATGACGAGGTTACATTTCTAGGGCTCGGTAGCTGAATATGTGTAGCGATTCAGGGAGAGGGTAAAAGCCCTTGGGGTAAAATAACTTAGCTGCTTAGATCTTGGGAGGCGATGCTTAGCCCCCGAGAATATTGCTAATAATTGTGGATGGCGTCGATATTGGTGAAACTAGAACACTTGATGAAGTAGACACTTATGAACACAAGTAAATGAAGTTATTCGTAGAGGAACCGCGATTCATTATATTAAAATTAAGATTAAGTTATCCGCAAGTTGGCGAGACCAGCTGCGTCGCCGTCTGCAAGCATCCGATCCAAGTAAGATGATTCGGTTTGTTGCTGTCAGTATTAACCCTCATGCCCTCCTAGCAATGGAGCAACAAGCGATAACTATGCGCCCCTGTTTCAATCGTGACTCTTTCTCCTCTCCTCTCCTGGACGCTGTTTTTGCTTCGATCCAAAAATCCAATTAAAGCGACTCCAATAACTCCCAGAGTTCCCTTTTTGAGCAACAGCCACAAAGGCCATCCGTTGCTACAATGCCACTCCAAAAACCCACAGCGTCCACTATTGAGATCATTATAACCCATCTCTCCTCTATTCCAACAATTAAATCAAAAATCAAAACATATAACAGGTAAATCAGATTAAAAATCAAATAACGCCGTCCCAATGCATTTGACAGACCGCCCGCGAGGTCGTCAGAATTTTGTGTTCCCGGATCAAGAGGCGTAAACAGTCGCTATGCAATTTGGTGGATGGTGGTTGGGGTATCTTAATGATTCAAAAACAATGCAAATCCAAAAAGGAGCGGCTGAGATTCTATTCCAAAATTGTATAGATATCATCGTAAGTCGTAAGGAGCGTTCATGGTCGGTCTATAATTATGCAATATCTTGCGAAAGGAGCGTCTAGTTGGGTATCTTCGATAGTATGTCGTAAAGGAGCGTCATAAGCTTGTTCATTATGCAATACGTATTATGCGTTTGGTGTAACAAAAAGGATCGTGGGTATCATTGTGTCGATAGCGGACATGTCGGTGTAAATCTTCAAATCCTGTCAAAGGAGTGTGGTATACAATTGCGTCTGTGGAGGTCGAAAAAGGCGGTATTAAAACTGTGATGGGAAAAGTCGGGCTTGATGCGGTGCGGGTGAGAATCGTATAGGGTATGCGTATCACTCTTCATCTTCTCTCTTGAATGGAACAGGTGCTGACGAGACCGAAGAGTTCTGTCGATGGTGGTGGTGCTGAAACATTTGAGACGACAAGAAGCTGGGCGATGGTGCCGACAGAGAAAGGGGTGTGGTCGATTCCTGGGGAAGGCCGTGCCATTGCTCGGGGTTGAGAAATGGCGAAGGCGCATTGCGAAAAGCCGAAGACGATAGAGCCATTGGGTCCTGTTGTAGTGGCTCAAGCGGAAGAAAATTGGAAGACGAAGATGCTGGATGCTGGGCGTTGGTGTTCCTGAGTGGCATGGTCAATCACTTTATCCTTTTTTCCACTTCAGGACGGGGAGCCGATGTGGTACTTTTAACAGCTTAAATCCACACGGTCTGGATTGGAGAGACGAACCCGACACCAAAGTTGTTAGGCCCAGCAGAGCCAAGAGGCGGATAGGCCATCATCCCAGAGTCCCATGGGCCAAAATCATCATGATCGCTATACGCCACAGATCCCTCTCCGAAGGTGGAAGAAACCGGACTGTAGCCTCCGTACGACGGCGATGGAATGTTGAGATACTGCTGGCTCGGATATGGCGACGAGATAGCCAAGGGGCTGACCGCATTGCCAGATTCCTGCTCCGGTGCTAGCACAGAAAGATCTTCGGTGCTCCAGCTGAATGCCGGGTTGTCTCCGTATGGCAGATATGAAGTCGTCGTAGGTGGAGTACCGGTCGGTCCCGTCTCGCTCATGTAGAAGTTGGGTGGATCGAACTGTGGGAAGGATGGCGTACGAGTCGGGTGCACCCAACCCATGCGAGATCGGAATTCGTTGACAGTGTCAATGGGGAATTCCATGAGCGTGAGCGGCGTCTGCGAATCTCCATCAAGGCTTCCAGAAACATTGATCGAGAGCAGGCGTCGGGCAATCTCTTCCACCGGTCCAATTGCAAGGCTACCAAAGTAAGCAGCACCAATCTCAGGGAAAAGTCGTTCCATCATGATCGCAGCAGTGTAGTAGTGCGCGACAACCACCAGAGCGCTAGGGGATGTGCCGTTCTGCTTGAAGCACATCACGGGAAGCCAGAAAAGCCAGGTGCGGAGGGGACGAAGTCGGTCAAACTGGTCCTCAATCGACTGGATCGGGCTGACCTTGCGGGCACCCTTCAAGAAGCACACCAGCTGGGTAGCCAGCTGGGGGTCCTCCTTGTTCTGCTTCAAATGAGCCTCAACCTTGGTAATCTGGTTGATGGTGCGCTGGAACGCATCGAGATCCTCCTTGCGCGGCTGGTGAGGCTTGTGATCCGGAGTTGGGGAGGGGGGCGCTGTAGGGAACGTGCTGCTTTCAGCAATGAATTCTCCGAATTGGGACTCGTGCTTCCACGGTTCCATGGCGTCGATAACCTTTTGCAACATTACGTTAATATAATTCATCTCAGGCAAACCAGGGATGTACTTACCGACGAGGTCCCTTGCATCAGCTGGGTCCAGCTTCGCCTATCATTTTCGTCGGGTTAGCCAAGGCCTCTCGGATACCTGCATTTTTATTGCTTACCAATCTGTGGCCTGCCACGAGAGCACAAGCGAGGCAGCCAGGACGGCATCTGAATTTTCACGCGAGAACGATCCGATGGCTTCCTGCAATCCCTTAAGCGCAATCCCGCGGTGTTCGTAAGCCATGCTGCCCACGTGGGGGCAGTTGGTTAGGAAGGCAATGTGCTCCGCGGAGAAAGCGAGCAAAGCGTGCATGACGTATCCATGAGTAGCACCAATCTTGAGAATCCTAAATTATAGTTAGTGTGACATGTCCACAAATTAGTGAAACAAGACAATACATACGTAGGGATCTGGCGGGTCCAAAGGGTGAACCCATTGGCGTCCATGGCGCTCATCTCATTGCAGATGGCAGCAACATGGAAGATCAACCTAAGATCCTCAACCGAAAAGTACTGGGGAACCGGCGCCGGATAGATGTTAAGGCTCGGGAACGGGAAAATCCCAGTTCGTTGCCATTGCTCAACGGCGGCCTCGATCTCAGGAGTCCACATCAGATCGGGCTTGTCGGGGGTTGCGGCCCTCTCATCAGGGACGGGCACATCGTTGTAAGGGCATCGGACCTTATGCTTGGTGCAGTTACGGCTACAAACGGAGTTAGCAAGTCCTGCGTACGTTGCCATTGGTATGTGGGTACAAACCATTGCGGGAAGTTCTCGTCGCATCGAATGTGTCGACGTTTGCTGCAAATCAGTTAGTTCCCGTTCCAATATTGTGAGTATCCAGAGGCCACGCGTACCAGTTATCACAGCCCTTGCGCGACTTGGTGTGACTATATATAATAATTAGTACACCGAGCATAAAGTTTTAGTTTGCTAGGGGAAACAAACCTGCGTCGGGGAGGACCACCGCCTGGGCCAGCCATTGTAAATGCTGTAGAAGAATGAAGTTGAACGAAAGAACTAAGACCCAAGCTATATTAGTACCCTAATACCGAGGCTCCGTATATGGTAGGCGACTCGTGTAAAGTGTAGGATGAGTCGATAACCGGATAGAGGTGTCAACTTACGTGAATTGGGACACGAAAATAGCTCCGTGTCAAGTAAAGCGAGCGAATGTGTGGGGGAAAGGTTGAGGTAGTTATATTACCAGACCTTCCTTAACGATAGCTATATTATAGATGTCGAGGCGCCTCCTTCTTTTGGGTGCGTTTGACCGAGGTGGGGTTACAATAGTTGTACCTATATCAGAACATAAGCAAAGATGGGATTGTTGCTTTGCGTTGTCTTGAGTGATAGTCAAGACGTCCGGTGGTCCTTGGATTGTTCGGCCGGGTTTACACACGCAGCACAAAGGCAAGATGCTGACGTCGTTGATAATAAGTGATTTCTTGTTGGATGTTCCCTCCCAGGTGTTTTAAGCGATTGAATATCTTTCTCGGGACTCGTAGTACTAGTCAAAAGGATGTGGGCAGACTCTCTTCTAAGATGTGGTGCGATGTCAAATGGTAGGTTGATTATAATCGTGGTGGTTCTTGATATTGATCTTGTTCTTTGGTATCTTTTTTTTTCTTCTTCTTCTTGACACAAGCGAGAGAGCAAGTTCGGATTCACGGGGTAGTTTAGTTGACGAGAGAGGATCCTTCGAGTACAAAAATCTCCAAACACACAAAAAAAGGAAAAAGCGAATGACAGGAGCCAACGAGGACTTCCTAAAGGGGAGTGAGGTAAAAGCGAGTGTGTGGTTGAGGATAGAGCGAAGCTCAGGCTTGAAAATGTGGTGATATGGTAGAACTAATAGAATGGGGAAAATCAATGGGGGACCGAAGGGTTGTTAAATAACTACCCGAGGCGCTGGTGATGGTTGGGCTGGGCTTTGTAAGGTGCATGTGTGTGCTAACTATGCTAAGTACTAAGTATGCGTGTGTATGTGTATGTGTGTGTGGATGTACCTGCCGTGGTTCCATTGTACACTGTGTATTCCGGCTACCCTCACTCAACTCGTTCGCTCATTCACTAATCGACTTTCCGCAAGGGGAAGATACAGTACAACTAGGTAGTAGTGTACGGGGGTGTAGGGTGTACCTCCAGCAGCTATTGCCAACATTGAAATGTTGTACATACGCACATCCACTAGCGGGTACCTAGATAGGTACCTATCCATCCACTGACGGACGGACTTGCTATGGTGGGGGGCGGGCGGGAGGCTGGTTGGTAATGGAACACTTCCGCCCGACTACCTACCCTAGCAGGTATGTACCTGAGGAAGTACCTACAGTATCGTACCTACCCTGACGATACGGAGCCATCGTCACCTAACCTGGTACTGTGGGGGAAGCGACAGGGGGTTCAGGTACATCCCATTCAACATTCAACAGGTGCGTTTTCCTCTATAGCAACAACAAAGGTTCAAGTACCTTACCTCCCTGATGACATGGATAATTGTACTTGATGTAGCTACGTAGGCTTACGTTATTGACATGTATAGATCCATGGTCCATGGTCCATGGATAGATTGATTCATTGATGTATGTACTGGGTATAGAAGAGAGAGCACTTGAGCGCATTGAAAGACGAGAACCAATCCAAGTGCAGGCTTCCATTTATCGAACGATGCGATGCAACTGCGTTGTTACCAGCAAGGAGCCCGGCGTCTTGGATGTTCGGTGGTTGGGCATTTTCTGACTTGATTCGATTTTTATGTACAAATGAGAATTACAAACTGTGCGCGTACATAATTCGAAGTAGGTAGCTGAATAGGTAGCCTATGTATGTTTGATATTTGTACCTAAGATTATACCTAAAATGCTGTAATAGTTGCATGTGTTGCACTTATTTTAGCATATTACAGCAAGTGTCTAGGAGGCAGGGAGGTCGGGTTAGGCGACTTGAACCTTACTTTACAGTCCTACGCAGCAAGAATAAGGTACCTAACCTCCCCTTCTACAAGAACACGCACAATAAATGGAAACACGTAATTGGATAATAGGGAAAAGCACCTAAGGTGGTAATGGTATAGTTTTACCTGCTACCTACGTACATACATACTACAGTTTTGATTGGTACATACACACTGTATTATCGTCCTTGTTACATCTTTTAGGTAGTTCCGGCACTGACGCGGGCGTGTGCGATGCGAATCATTCAAAAATGTTGTCAATCAAGGAGTGTGGGTTCAATGGTTTATTTTTTTGGAGGAGCAGCACTGGGTGTGAAAGGACCTAAAGACCCAGAGTAGTATCGCCTACGTTCGCTACCTACCCTTTCACCGTTCCATGATCTCTCAAGTCTACTGATCCCTGTCTCCCTGCCAATGGGGCATCAAGGGACATGCTAGGTACAGTAGATACAGTACGGTAGGTACATGATAGTATGCTCTCACTAAACCTTTTCAGGCTTAGGGGCCACAGAGGCGAAGCCAACTGCTCGGCCCCATCGGACTGGATCCTCCAGCTCAATGGACAGTGGGCCATTCTTCACAATCCATTTTCTTTTGTGACTTTTCCAGGGCATATCCTGCGTGCATATTTTGGACTTTTGGGCTGGGGTTGGCATCGTCCCATCCCATCCCATCCACATTCATTCAGTCATACATTCATACACACATACATCCGTCCCGCTTTCGAAGGCGAAACTAATGTTTGTATACCCTGTATTTCCTGTATATATTTGTATTTGTATTTGTATATGTAAGGTAAGTACACAGATTGGTAGGGCGGCGACCGACGGCGAAAGAACAAGCCTGGACGGGCCAAACAGATACATTCTTACACGTGTAATCCCTCGAACGGCGTCTAATATTTTAAGATTGTTCCTGTCATACCATCGGAGCATTTTTCTCGTCGATTCTGTGCTGGACATTACCATTACAACGTGAACTGGATATAAGCCCGAAGCCACCAACTCGCCGTTGGACATGTCAGCGCGGCGGGGCTGTGAAAGAAGCTCCGACTCCACTGGGATTGCAAAATGACCATGGATATGTTGGACAAGATATTGTTATCATGCAGAGATACCTTTCCGGTCAGTTTGAATGGTCCAATGCTCTACAGATCTCGTGGGAAAAGAACAAGGGCATAATCAAACGTGGCCGACAACGATCGATTAGTTACTTAGTTAGTAGCCGACACAAGACAAGGAAGAAGGAATGCGGGATGTCTCAACCCCAATCGCCTCTCTCTCCCATCAGCATCATCAGTCATCCAGTAATCACAAGACGACCTTGACGGTAGGTGTTCTAACCCCTATCAGCATGGTGTGGTAGCATGCATCGATACCGGACTATAGTGAGGCCTAGATACATACATACACCCATAGTATTAGTCTGTAAGAATCAATCCATAGGTGCAGAAACTAAGATCCATACAGTAGATGGTCCCTAACTGGGTTGTGTCGTGTCTCTATGCCACATGCATGCTTCAGATCCTCTTGAGGGTCGAACCACTCATTCGGCACACTCTCAATTATGCATTGAAAGCAAAGACCACGATACCTGACACAGTAGGCTACTATAATGTTTGAAAAGACAGCTAGAAGGAAAATAACCATATTCTCATACTAAACTTTGTCGCACCATCCAAACGGTTTGAGCAAGAGTATTCTACCTCAAAATGGATATTCTGAAGATGTTCATTTAGAGGCCCACTTACGAGAGATAGTTGTCACACGGTAGAGAATTCCGAGATTTGTCGGATTCCCTTTTACCCCTTTAGATGGTCACATATAGAACAACAAAGAAGCTGAAGCTCTTTCATCGCCGGAATAGTACAGACTCAAAACCTGGTGACTCAAACATATCTTACATACGTGTGTATCAACTAAACATGACGGAAATTCTGCCAAGAGACATTTTTCCTAGAAAAATGGCTTCATAAAGGGCCAGCGGTTTCAGGTGGGAGAACGGACATCTGAGCCTCAGTTGCGGCTGGGGGATTTGTTTCGAGTAGTGGCTAAAAATCTGCATTCCGAGGTCCCCGTTCGCATGAGCACGGAGACTAGTAGTAGGTCGGTATAATTTTAAGGACCCGAACCCGAAAGGTAGAAGAGAAAAAAAAAAAAATTAAGAAAAAAAATAACAAGGCTCCGATTTCGTCGCATAGCCCGTCATAATAGCATAATTGAAGCCACATTATTCCTATCCATGTCCCAGCAAGAAGTAATAACAAACCGGCACCGTTCCTGGGCAAACAAATATTATGTAGGTACTATGTAAGGAAAAAGGGCAAGGAGCAAACCGCCTGCTGTACCGGGTATGTCCATGGTCAGATAATCGGATAGCATTGTTCCAACGTCATAACTAAATTCTACTTTCTTGAAAAGTAGAAAAATCCGGTGCTAGGTCCACAAGGCAACAATATTTTTCCCATGCGCGCAACGCTGAGTTACACCTGTCCAAATTGGATAGGAGCCCCGAGGGGCACGTACCAAATAGCTAAGACGGCGGTAGTATTTGTTAGTTGAATCCCCTCAAGTGCCAAAAAGGTGTCAATGTCAAAGCCAAAGGAGAAATCAAGCTCCGTTCGCCTTTCTTTTTTCCTTCTTTCCTAGCTCGACCCATAATTTTTAAGCTTGGAATTTCTTAGGCTATAAGTTGACAATTAATAAGACGACTATAATATGGATATCCTAAAGAGCATTGATCCCTACTAGGTATCTGCGGAGTACATTCCCGAATATCCAGGGGTCCCGCTCCGGGCGGAGCATCCACAAATATCGGGGACGGGGGTTGTCCCTACATAAACCTTGGAAGCTATTTATCTTTGCCAAGATGTTGTTGACAATATTTTTCTTATTATTTTTCGTTAACGATTTAGTAAGGCCTCGGCAGGCTAAAAAAGTTTTTCGGAGATTGTATCGTGATGCAATACTTACTGCTCTTGGAAACCTTCAAGAAGGTCAACTACCGACTAGTTATGCTAGGTGTTTAGCGAGATCCCTATTACAGTAGTTGCGGAGTAGCTAAGGTAGCTAGGTAACAAAAGAGCCAGGTAGGTAGGTAAAGTAACTGTAAGATATAAAGCACTTATAGTAAGCCCCTATAAGAATTACCTATTTAGGCGAGCCAGAGGCTTTTCTTGCATGGCATTCCTAGAAAAGGCACGTCGGCTATCGTGGGTTTCTTATGACGGATGGGCAATCTCGCAGGGGCATTCTGCAATCCTCGATCTCAAAAAAAACCACTGAGGATCCTACCGACTCTCTCAACGTGGTTGGCTGAAACAGCAGTTTCTCGTGTCCATTTTTGGAGCGCATCTGAAGTGGGTTGCATGGCCGGTCAACCCAGATAGGCTCGTCGCGGAACGTGTGAACTGACCAGGACCCCTGGCTCTGCCGCCCTCTATAACCCCTGCCTGCCCCGGAGCCCTGAGTCCCTGACGTTTTTCTGTGTCCTTGACGTAACATGGGATTGCTTGGGATTTGTAGTAGCCTATTCCGAAGAGGAAAGAGATTCATCGAGTACTAACTAGCAAGCTAAAAGCCGTCTCTCGGTCAGCGGTGAAGGCATTGAACCATAATCACCGTTGGTTTGTTTAAACAAGTATCCACCGGTCTACTCCGGGAGTCTCTCATGCTTAATAATTGATTGGTGAACTACCGCGTTCCCTTCATTAGCATAGCCCCCATCTTTCGCGCTTCACGGTCCATCACAGGACCCTGAAAAAGACCGTTTCGCAGACTATGCAAGAACCATCAACATTCAATATCGCCGGCGCTTCTAGAGGACACTAGCATTAGAAGACAGATAGATAGACAACTGTAAGTAGTAGTGTATGTATTAGGTCCGGCAACTGAGATTGGCGTCAAGCCCCCCAGGATGCCGAGTCCCGACATCAGCAAGCAGCACATGTGCAGCGACCCCATAATCGTCGATCCTCAGACAATCCTAGGGCTCAGATCATCAAGCTTCCCATGCATTTCTGCTGTTCTGCCACTGGACTGGCTGTTTACTGCTAACCACACTCATCACACTTACCACACTTACGCATGTAATTGCATATAGCCGAGCAGTGTTTGCGCGGCCTTCAATGTTGTTGTTACTTTGTTGAATCCCGTCCAAGTTTTTCCTGTCTCACCCCAAGCATGTAACATAGGGACATCATAGGCCGCATCAACAAAATGAACTCCTTTTTTTGTCGCGGCTCAGCCACAGAAAAGGTGCCGCGGCAGCTAGAGCCGAACAGGTGGGTTTTTTGTAGAAAATTGGATATTAAGGGGGTTCTCTCACCAATCACCCATATTTTTATCTAATTAGTATAAATGTTTATTGTTTTCCGAGATCGCTTCATTTCACATGTAATTCTTTTCTGTATATAAAATAAACTAGGAGTGGATAATAAAAATAAAAATCGAAGCATTTATGTTTCTTAGTGCATGTGTATATGTGCTATGGGTGCTATGTGTGCTGTATGTAGGTAGATGTGCAAATAAATATGTACAATACTTCGCTTGTTCAAGTACTTACGGTGCTTAAAGCACTGTATAATGTCATCAGTATCCTGCACCTGATCTGCAGCTACCTGCCAGCCGGTTAAGCACTGACCTTACCGCATCTGTACTAGTTTGTTTCTATTGATAGCAACGTCCGTCCAAGAGATCCCTGACTCGGGCAAAGATTTCTGCGAGAGTCTCTCATCTTTCATCACACAAAAGGTTATTCGCTAGCTGTTGCGCCGGTACTATGTATCTACGTAGGTACCCTAAAAGATAGGCTAAGCCAGGCTAGGCTAGCATTACGCTTGTGTTAGTAGTCGAATGATCACTGAGCGCCTGTCATAACCCGGCACAGAGTACTAGCAGTGCTAAGTAATGTACCTAACGCTTGAACCATCTTTCGCCCTGACGGTTTTTTACATCATCCAGCTGCGGCAAGTCATCTGTCTATCTGATTAACATCTTCCCATCTGAGATCCGATCCTCTTTTAATACAACGTTTCATGATCTTCGCAGCTTCGCCTTCGCAGACTCCCTCTGAATTAATACATACCTACGTATATACACGGGATGTCATAGCACCACTACAGCCATCCATTGGTCAGCTCAATCTCAACAAGTTCGATCCTCATCGTACTATCACACATGCTACACTAAGACATTCATTCAGTCAATTAATCAATCTTTTTTTTCTCTTCCTACCTTACTTTGCTCATCAACTAGCTCAATACCCTAGTCGGCTGCCGCTTTATCCTACCTACGTACTTATTCGCCGTATATATTAGGCTTGGTCATAGCTTCAACACCAAATCCCGCCAAAAGTCCGCTCTATCGGACGAGAACCCGTCGCGCGGTTCTGACCTACTACCTAGTCTAGCGTGGTGCGACTCCATCGACTTCGGACACGGCAAAGACCCCGATAGTCTTCCGGTCATCTCATGAGGTTCCATCGGAAGACTATCCATTTTACTCGCCTCCCAGTCCCTGAATCGCGACATAACAGATATATCTTACTTCTCGGCGAGTCACTGCGAGCGTCTGATCACGGCACGACAGGAGCCATGAATATCTACTCGGGCCATGTGGCTAGTTGAGATGCTCTATTTTTACATTCTTTCTTTTTTTTCTCACCTCGACTCCTCGCCTAAGGTTACTTAGTTCCTCACGCCACGTATCTTGGATTCATGCCATCTCGAAAGGATTGGCAGATGCTGCTGCGTCCCGTCAGTTATTTGAGCACATGAGTGGCGGTGAGTAATTAATTACCTGCAGGATGAATGTGTATGAATTGAATTGTCGGTTGCCTTGGATCTATTGGGGTCTAGGTTACAACCTTTTTTGCATTCTTGTTTTTTTTTTTTTTTCGCCCTTATCTGCTTGTCGCTACAAAGTTGTAGGGTGCAAGGGTTCTCCTACCAGACTTCCTCACAGTCCAATCATGTTCTTATTTCCTTTCCCTGCTTTTGAACTTGTACGTCTCTGCATGCATATGTACAACCAAACCTTCCCAATTCTAAATTTTCAAGGCAGTTCGTCCTATCAGCGACGAGTACACTAGAAGCATGCCAAGAGTCAAAATTATTAACTAGTACATACCTAGGTACCTAGGTATATAAGTAGAGAAGATAAGAGGAAGGGAAGAGGAAAAAAAAAAGACTCGGCCAAAGTATTTCCACGCGAGGGGGTGTCGGTCGCTCTTGTCATGCACCGCATCGAACAAACTCCCCCTAAAGCGCATCAGATCATACCCACAGGCCGCAGTGGGACCGAGGTGGAGTACCGTAGAAGGTCTAAAGAAGGACTAGAAAAACATCGTCAAAGTCTAAAAATTACTAACTTTATGCCCGCCTGCCCGCCTATGGTTCCCCTCCGTTCCCCTCTCCTGCGAGTTTGCCATGACGACACCGACGCAAGAAGCCGATTCGCCCGTTTAGTTCGGCGCGACTATAATTAGATGCATTTCCTAGTGTGGCCAGCCCACGGGTAACTGTCAACTTAAACTAATCCTTATTTGCTTTTATTTTTCTATTTTTTATGGGGTACAAACTCGTCTCTTGACTATTCCCGCCAGCCGCCCAAACTCTTTTCGGAATCGACTCTGGACATTTACACATTTACACAGCAATGATGCTGTAATGGAGTGAACTCACCTGAGAGAGAGCACTATCGTTACCTCATGAGTGCATTTTTTCCAATCACCTCCACAGAAATTTCTAAATATTTCAATTTCGATTGGCGAGAAAAGGCAATATTTGTCTTTTTATTAAGTTATCGCAATTCCTCCGGAACCCGCGGAAGCCCTCTTTAACTATAGGTAAGCTCACCAATGACTTGCGTCTAACTTGTTACTCCCAATCTTGAGCACCGGCGGATTTGAAATCGTTCCTCGGCGTATCAAGAATGATACGATACGATACGATAATAATATAAAACCAAGCTTACACATATAACCCCAAGGTATGTTTGTACAAGTCCCTCGGTCCCTTAAGTCACTATTATAGTAATGATACCTTAGCACCGAAAAGGGGTTAGGCTCTGGAACATAGTGATAAGACTAAGTGGGAATATCAAGCGTAAAACCGCATAGAAACGGCTGACGATTCTATCACTAAGCACGATCTATCGGGAGCCGGCACAGGTTTGGACTAGCTATGCACTTTTTGACATATCAATACTCTGTAAGGCTAGAGTTCCCCATACACTAGCATACGGGCGTACTTCGTTAATAGCCACCGACAACATGTTAACGGAACTTGGACCCTTCGCACAGACAGAAAGTTATCTTCGTCGGCTTTTTATTAGGTACATTTTCTTCCATTATTCAGAATTTCTCCTATTTTTTTTTTTTTTCTTTTCAACTCCGATACTCCACCCTTTGTGTGATCCAGGGGAATGGTATTAGAGCGGTGCCTGACATGTCCTTAGTTCTACACACATACGCCCAGCGTCACGATACAGCTAGTATGTTGTGTGATGTGGAGGACGTCCCAGCGGAATCTATTTCCTTACCAACCCCTAGTTTTCCTAGCCAAGAAAACAAGAAAAAACCTGAGTTCGGTGGTTGCCCAACATCTCGCGGTACCCGGTGACCGATCTAGCGACGGCTGGATGCTTCTATACATTGCCTTCTCGATCATAGCTGGCAGTCCTTCAATCTCCTGTGGTTTTCGCATTTATGCAGTTGAGCTGAGTTGGCCGTAACACTACAACGCACTGCCTTACAAGGCAAGCGGGTCAAGGAGGCGTTGACGCGATCCTACCCATTAAGGGAACTTGTCTCGCTGCGTCACGCTACCGACGGTTTGTTTGTCTCTGAAGCATCGCGTCCATGCATCGCGCTGAGGTCAGATGCTGTCCTCAGTAATATATTAGTATCACGACGGTAATTGTTGTGTTCGAAGGTTCTTCACCGCTTCACAAAAAGCCTTCGGAAATAAGGATATATTATCCGGTTCGAGAAAACCTTCCCTTATGTCGGGACCTCTTAGGTAAGTGAAGGCATCATCAAGTCAGGAGGCCCAATTCATCAAACCTGATGTAACTATAACACACTAATCTACGGTCCCTTCTCAGATGAATACTACTTTGCCCAGAAGTAATGTATCATATTTGAGTGGTCAATTGAGATGTGCTCGTTGCAATGGGCTTAGAAACGTACGAGGAGCACCAATCCTTTACCGCCCGCAATATGGATCGTATGAGGTGAATCTAGACCTCCAATCCCCAAATATGCTCATGCCTTCACATTGTCACCAATAATATGTTATATCACTGATTACCATTGACGCCAAACCCCGATCCCGAATGCCGTTGGTGACCCGGGATTCCATGGCCGTTATAACCAGTAAGAAGCGATCAATTCCTAGGTCTTCGAGAACTAGTAGTACCAAGGAATTGTATAGGTGAACTAAGAAAAACACCAAAAGTTACGTAACTACACTCGTTCTCGATTTCGGGGTCGCTTAATTTGACCTGCTTGGTCCAAGACTTGGCAAAGATGACTGCATTATCCAGTAGAGTTAATGGTACAGCAACAAGTGTTTCAACAAGTACTAACATGCTGATTCTAGCCATAGTCCTGGGTGTGATCGCCCTTATTGGCCGAATGTTTCATACTATTATCCGTGGAAGGCAAGATAGACTTCTACTCAGTTTCAGTTAGGTGTTATTATGTTAGTGAGCTTTGGGAGTAATATGTTGGCGTTTGAGACAGAGGGGCGTGGAGGATCATCACAACCCCACGTTTGTCCTCATTAGGACTTTCATCGCGAGTCAGTGATATAACTAATTGAATTTCTAAGGTATGCTCGCAACCAAACAAATACCATGTCTAAATACACTGCTAATGCCCGAAGGATCAAGCTCTAGGTTAGCTCTGTGCCGGTGACTCACTACATGCATTGGTAAAAGGATTATCGCCGGTTTCCTATGGTGCGCAAACCGCGAACATTCGACCTTAAAGCTCTACCTAATAGAGAAGATGATGCCATCAACCAATTACCTAGCAAACCCAGATAATTCAACATGCTGACGGCCGTACCAGTTTGAGCTGTCGGGTTGCACGACAACTCCGTCGGCATTTCTAATCGATTTACTAACTCCTGCGGGAGTTTCTCGCTCGCTTAGCCCAATGTGTTGGGAAAGGGAGTCACGGGGAGTTTAGTCCTAGACGTTGTTAGTCGAAGACAAGTTTCATACCGAGTCAGCATTCGTACGATACATACCTATCTAGGTATACACCTAAGCTTCGCAGCAACTAAAGAATCTAGCAATATATTTAGAATCTGACAGCATAAGCGACAAGCGAGATGTCGCCTTCCGTCGAGATTCGCTCCACACCCTAATACCTAGTTGGGGTTTTTTATTCTAGAAAATAACTAGAAAGAAAAGAAATAAGACAACCCGCGAAACCAAGTCCACCACCCCCATATTACCTGGTAGCCGTGTGGTGGAGATATACGATGAGCTCAGTGCCGAGCCATATGTTATGCAGGATGACGGGGCAGGGAAAGTAAGAGAGACAAGAAAAAACAAAGTCCCTTTCTTCCCCGGCCGGCAGCTGATCGACACGACCATGTGTTATTTTCTTACCGTTCTTACCATTCCCGGGTACCACCTTACTGCGAGGTGCAGGAGATAGGGAGAGAGCCGCAGTTTCGACTACTACTTGAAACCAGATACTTTCAATCGCAACATACCTTACTTAGTGTAGGTAAGCAAATGATAGACAGCGCGACGTGACGTGACAAGACGAGATGAGCGCTTATTACTTAGGGATCGCGAAAAAAATAAAGAAGGGTCTAAGCCCTCCCGTCTTACGTATCCCTCCGATCGCATTGCGCGCCGTAATTGGACGCCATAGCAAGGGATGGGTTGGTATGTGCGATCTTTACCTACCTACGCATATATATCTATCCTGCTTTGAAGCCAAAGCCACACCGACGAAGAACCGACCGAAGCTTCCTAACTAACCCAGTGTTTGATTACCTATTGGGCGTGGGATACGTTGAGAGCTTGGGTTTATGTCAGCAGGTCAGGGTTTCTAATAGCCGGCTATGAGACAATCGATTAGTGACAATACCCGCTTACGTGATGCGACGAGGGATGGAACATACCTAGTGTTCTCTACGTTATCCCAAGGGGTTTTTTTTTTCGGCTGGGATTTTCCAGTACCAAGGATTCACTTCAGTAAGAAGGATCTGACACCCGCATTGACGGGGCGGCCAGCGGGTTTCTCACGGGTTTTTTGGCTAACCGGGGGTGAAGTCCCATAATCAGCACGGCCGCAATTGGGGGTCCCATCCCCTGACCAGTCTTAACTCTCCCCGTTATTAAGTCAATCAATATGAATGTCTTATAACTGGGAAGGAAACTCCGCCGATCACTTACCCTAATCCAACGTTACTTGGACTTCGCCTCAGCCACGAAGGACGATGGCGTTCAACTGTGTAGTAGTAATAGAAGTGAGAGGTGGTAGTGTTCTATACGCCTCAATTCGGCCCCATTAGGGACGATAGCGCGATCCACGACCTATACCGAGCGGAGCGTCGAGACTTTCGTTGCTGCCTAAACGCGTTAAGTCGCATTAGCATTGACGCGCCTTCAATCCTTCCGCAGTTGCAGTACCATTAACCGCGTTCATTATTGCTTCAGGTAGGCTACGGACGCGACATCTTGAGTGTGAATAATTCTTGAATGGTAATATGGAAATTGACCGGACGAAAAAAAACCAATTAGAATGGCATACTTGTTTGTCCAATATCGCGGTTTGGGAATTCAAAGCGGCGCAAAAATCTAATAGCCTACTTCCCCTGACGGTTGCATTATGCAGACGCATTCTCTCCAATCTCAATTTCAACCTCACGTAGACCGCTGATCTAGATCCAATAGGCGGTATTGGGCACAATAGAATACCCAATCTCATTAGCTAAGTCCACAATAGGGCCTATTGAAACCTCGCAAATAGTTGTCTTCTGTGTCTTGTGTTATTAGTCATATTTTGGGTAGTATGGAAAGGAATGATGGAAGAATTCAGCTCTCGGGACTTTGTAAAGTAGAGCAAATTGATGATATGAATTGGACCGTCGAATTAACCCGGAAGATTCCGATCGGTGTTTGAATAAGCTAACAAAGGGACAAGTAAGATGGATTGACACTCAGGTGATGAGAAAAGGTTTCCTGTAGCTTTCGCGAATAGTATCCAAAACTTGACGACGATAATTTAAGTTCTTACTCTGAGTCCCGACTGATTAAACGAGAGAGGGAGGACATTCGTACATCTTTGGTTCGCCCTGTCTGGGAGGCTACTATAGGAGATACCGTCGATGGGGTCCATAATGGTTGAAACTTGGGGGTCTTTCATGCTGGTCCGTTGGGTTAATGACGAGGAGACCTGTGAAGACACAAACCACCACCGGTTTCGCGTCAAGTTTCGAGATACTTACTGTAGCAGCTCTAATAAATCTAGCCAAGTATGTTAGGATTAAGTAACTTATATAGCAATTGTTGTTGAGAAGTGCAGAAGCTTTGATGGATTGATCGACCAAGAGGTTGAGTAAAACCGTTTAACTTTCCATTCTAAATTTTTGTTCGGATCTAAGTCGTGAGGAGGGCTATTATTCTCACTCTCCAAGGCCGTTAATATGGTCCTGCTGTCTTTTTTTATTCGATACTTAGCCTATAGTATTCTTCCGGCTTCTAGTCCTTGTATTAGATGTGATGGTTATCGTTGAAGCCAAAATTCGTTATGATATGACCCTTTGTCTTGTGTGTACAGAGAGAAAAGGCTGTCGTCTTAAAATGTATAATCTATATCATCTTTGGGTCCTTTTACTCGCCTACGAATCCCCTATTCCTCGTAAAGAAGACTTCTAGTTCTCGAAATAACCTATTTTGTTAGAGTTTATACTCGAGTCGATTATGACACGTGTAGCGGTCTAATATCATGATACTAATGCCTTCCGTAGGGAAATTCCCGAGTATTTGAGTTTAAAATCTCTAGGGAGCTTCAGTACAAATTCAAACGTGGCTCCAGATAACATACTGCCTTACCTGTGTCCTCGGGTGGTTACAGTAAACACCACGAGAGCTCGACACATTAGATATGTCCGTTCCGAGCTATTTCATGAATAGCCGACACCAGGCTCGGGAGGACATGAAACATCCGTTCCATTTGTTTTCGCAATTTCGTGCCATGTCATCTACCCTTGCCGGTACGATTGGTTTGAATCGATTTTATCAGTAAGGAACGACCGAAAATTCCTTATAGGCTTGCGTACAGAGGGGTTGTTATGCTTTAAATATAGGGCAACGAGGCGATACTCGTACAACCCTTATATCAAATTCAAGAGCGCTAGTATCGTGTATGTCATTATAAGATATGACATCGTGAGAGAAGCTGGTGAAGGAGCAAGCAGATTATGTTTTCTATTGGTAGTATCCGGAAATTCGTTAACAAAAGAAAAACCGAGGTAGCAGATTTCTACGCTGGGTCTGCGGCAGTGGGTATCTCTTATAATGTTTGAGGTAAAGATCGTGGTTCCTGGCCTCCGAGGGTCATCTAGGTACGTGAAGAAGGCTAACGCGGGACCCGGGGGGGAGGGAGCGGGGGTTGATCCGTTTTAAGTAGGTAGCTTTTAAAGCCATTGGCTTCGTAGAGTTCAGCTAATGGAGGAACATGCGATATTCTTTCGTCGTCACTATAGAACCTACCCGCGTCAGGGAGGCTGAATGGATCGACTAAATCAAGATCTACTCAACTTTTATGAGAAAATCCCCAGGAAAATAAGGGACGTGGTACCCCAATGAAGATAGCCATCATTTGACGACCGGGTAGACACGTCCTTCGAATTTCTTGTGACAAAGGTCGCAGGAAGTCATTCCGCCCATATGAGAGTTCCTCAGATCTTATGAATGCGTACTAAGTTTCCTCGGACCAAAATGAAACCATGATGGCGGTCCCGATCCGTCAGGCCTGCCCACCATATCGGCATCGCTTCGACTCAAATCGACAGCAGAAGGGGGCCGAAACATCTCGACTCGGAAGTGTGACATCCAAAGCGAAAACCGAGGGACCCGTCATGTTCTGTGCCATGGATGGCCAGAGAAGCATCGCTGCTGACAATTCCTACCTATACAAGTTGGAGAATGCATCTCCATCGGCGCAGCGACCAGCTCAGGCGACAAGTGTCACTGAGTCCCAGAACAATACAATTATTCTTGCCGGGAAGGAAAATCCCGTTTCGATGGAATCGTCCTGATGGCATCTCAAGTTGGTATGAGCCTGGCAGTTCACTGGCTACCACACTAGCTGCTGGTCCTGCCAGCCTATATATGTACTGTAACCGAGCCGAGATGCAGACTAATCAAGCTAAGACGAATATGAATACATTATTCCGGAGACTTTCCTAAGCTTCTAGAAATGCTAAATTCCCACGCGTCGGTATCTGGCTAGTAACCAAATTTGAGCAAACGAGCCGATTGGACTCAATGAATACACCACGTCGACGGGATAGTACTATGAATGGTGATGCTTCGGGAGCGTCCTCATGGATCTGCCATGGAATGAAGCGTTGAGGGCTGCGCTAGAGAAGCTTCCTAAGGAAATGGCCGAATCTCATTGATATTTTGCTGGATCGTTGCTTCCTTGAATGGACTTACGCCGGCTTATCTCAATCTTAAAATGAACATACCTAGGTACTGTAGGACGAACCCCGCTCGGACGGGCTCGCTCCTCGGGCTTCTTCGGGTCTCGGAGATGAGATACGTATATTATATATATAGGTACAGCCTTCATTTAAACCAAGATTGACGAAGTACGAAACCGGCATATCTAATAAGCTTCTATTGGAATCAGGCGGCATATTCAATTCGTCTAGATGAGTGTTTCCTAAACGAGTCTAACAGTCTTCTTTCTGTTCTTGGTTTGGTTCCACGCGTTTTCATGTATCATTCCAACCGCCAGACGTTCTGCTGTATCTCCTCTCCATCTAACCACCAAAAAATGTACCATACATGGTACCGTCCGGCCCAGAACGGGAAAGGCCGTCGTACTGAAGTAGTCAGGGTGAATTTTTATACTACTGGGGACGGGTGTGGAAGTAGATATCATCACCAACTTTAATTTTCCGGCACCTTTTAAGATTTCCCTTATAATTTCATGATTGTCGATGATTACACCACAATGCTTTTCATGCAGGGTCAGTTCAGTCTCACGAACGATACCTGAGGCCGAGGGACGAAAATCAAATCCCTTTATACTTGCTATTGTAGCGCGAAACATGATTTTTATCGTATCTTCAATGGACGGATCGCCGACAAGCTTGACCTTACCCATGCGGGAGGATAAGCTGGCGAATGTTGGGTGATTGATCGCATGATAATTTATTGCCTCATCCCAAGCAGCCCAAGACCATGTTGGGAGTTGAATTCCCTCCCTTCGATTTAGGACAGGGCGAGGCTTGCGCGACTCGCTCGGTGCCCAGAGAAGGGCCCGTTCCAGGGCGTCAGTCGGTATACCGCATATAAATCGTGTTTGGTGATAGCGTCCTAAAGCGGACGAGATACCTGAAAAAGCGTTCAATATATCCTCTTCCCATGATAGGTGGCGCCTTGTATATTCCTCCACCAATTTGGTATATCTTTCGAACATCTGGATAGTGCCGTTCAAACTGACATTTGGCCTAATCCCATGTAGAGGTCGATACCCTATGGTGCGCTATTGTATTCTGATTGGATACTGGTATGACACTGAAAGTAGGCCTGCCAGTTACAGAGGTATACACATCGAGGAGATAAAATTCGTTCTTGGAAGGTCCATCCCCGAGAGTCATAAGGCGAGGCAGCTAATATCTGCCGGAGATCAGGCGGTTGTGCTAGAAGCCTATTTCCATTCACTTCCACAGTTAAATCTAGGGGCCGTCTTGAGCCCGGTCGGATGCCAGGTAAGCCACAGTTCAAGTCTGTTCCTGAGACGGACACTATAGTCAGGATTGCTTGACTATAGATAATATCCATACTCATAATTTGATCGTGTTTCGATACTGCGTCGTCTTGGACGATGCAAAGGCAATCAGCCCAAAGGAACTTTTCATTTATGGATTTTGCTAGTGTAATGGCATCTTGCACAACTTTTGCAATGTTTGGCCTATAGGTCTCGTTGAGCGCATCGGGGGCTAAGGCGTTTTCTTTGCGAAGTCGGGTGGTGTTTTTTGTCGTAAGTTGAAGGCTAGGTTGGCCACCGACAACGTAACTTAGCGCTATATATCGAGCAGACGTGAAGTCGCTGATTATACAGAGACGATCTACGTCAATGAGGTTGATTTTAACTATCCTGGAACTCGGGGCGGCGTTGCAACTCGTATGCTGGCTTTCGCACTTTGCCAGCCAGCCACGGACTAAATCTGGCGATAAGGGTTCGGAGCCAATGATTGATGGTGTAAATCTGATTCTGGTGGGGTTATGTTCATCAGAATAAATCGAAGCCTGCTCCCTTTCTCCGATCCTTAAGGTATACTCAGAAGGTGCTGCATCTAGTACTGCGTATTCGTTGGTGGGTATTCGCTCGTAGAGTTTAGGTTCTATATTTGACATACGAAAGATGTATTGGCAGAAGAAACATCTGCGAGTGGCTAATTTGTCGACTGGGTGGAATCGAGCGGAGTCGAAATGGCTCGTGGAATAGATTTGGGAGCATCGTCGGCATAGTTTATTTTCCCTTATATTCGGTGGGATCGTGGGATCACCTAAGTGAAGATTCAAGACATCAAGTTCGGAGTCATCATCGTCAGTGGTAGTTGGAGAATCAGTGTCGGAGGTGTATGTAAACTGCGCCATCTGAAACAAGTTGACTTGGAGTCGCGGGTATCACTCTTCAGTCGATGAAACGTTGTAGTTTATAAAACAGCTAGCTTATGGGAATATAGGAATCGGAAGGTTTGTCTTCAGTTGTTCACACGACGGAATCCAGCCCCTCTCATTCTAGGCCTATTACCGCAAGCCATTTTAAGCCACATTACGAGGTTGCCACCTGAATTTCCCTCCCAGCTGTGCAATTCGCACTAACTCAAGGCCTTGAACGCAGGTAATCTTCAAACCCTGTTGGCTAATTAGAGACTAGCTAATAACTATTAGAAGGTATTGCGCTGTTAGATGATTTTGCTGTGAAGTGCTATTGGGGGGTAGTTGGTTAGGCTCCCATACCCATTAGGATATATTTTAATGGAGTAGTAACATTCACGAGGATGTACTTAACCAAGAGTCGGGGACCTTGAGTGTGGGACTGCAGCCTGCACCCTCACGTATATATAAATATATATCATATAAATATATATCGCAATCATAGCCCTGGGGTGGGCGGGTGGCGCGTAGATACTTGATCTGGTACCCCTTAAACCCCTGAATTACCAAACAAGTTCTACATATCACAGCCCACCAAAAACACAAAGTCGCAGGTAGGTATAAATTTTATATCGACCGTGAAGTATGTATATGACATAGCAGGTATCTCCAACTCCTCAAATCGGGAGCAGTCCAGCCCTGGTATTTCTCTTTTTCTTTAATCCTTTCTTTCGAGAAAAGCCTGATGGTGATTGTGAGTGTCCTACCTCCCTTAGCCGTCCTTCCTCCATGCCGCTAAACAATGCGAAAAAAAGACTTTCTCTTGAGGTATCATGTAACAAAGTATCACCTGACCCAATGCCAATGTTTGTCGTAGTCCAAAAAAAATGTGTGTGGGCGTTAAAAGCCAAATGACAAGTCTGTTCCCTTTCCTGACCGTAAACTCCCCGTTCCATGATGAGTGTATAAAAGCAAGTTTTCTTTTCGCTGTTCGTGAACTACATATAGACAGTGGTAGCACACGCAAACCGGTGTACTTGGTTGGCGGTTGCTAAAGTTGATTTAATTGCCACTCCATCTAGGCATGGCGCTATCGCTCCGGCTCCTGTCCCTACCAGCGCCTTGACGAATAGCGTCACTATAGCTAGGAATTGGCGGATTGTTCGGTCTTATGGTAGCTGCGGAAGCACCACGGCTCCGTACAGCTCTGATTAACGGGACTCGGTCACTATCGCTACCAGAACTTTCTTCATCCGAGTGTTCCGGACTGGTATACTCGGGTGGAGGATGCGATGCCTCATGAAGACCCAACCCTACAACATCAACAACATGGTCACCGGGGGCGTTACCGGTGTTGCTTGCTTCGCCCACTTCCTCTGAAGGAACCAGCTGTGCAAGGGAAATATCAGTAGGACTCCTTTGTGGTCCTGGACTCGTGGGCGGAATTACTCTGAAGTTGCCACTCCTTGTCCGCCCGTGTCCTGGATCTAAAGTCGGGCCGGTATTAGTGTACCTCTGGACGGATTGTGTATATCCGTGATTTCCAGCAGGTGACCCTGAATACTCATCCTTCCTTCGTCCCGTCTCAAGTAGAATGCTTCCTTGCTCGCTTCCATAAGGTGGCGGCGGTGCCAGACTGCCGGTTATCGGGGCCAGCCCCCATTTCTTCACATTCGCTTCAATGAATACAAAACCTGCTTGACCAAAGTTGACGTGTACGGTACATGGTCCGTTTGCGCCAACAGATGGGAAGAAGTTTTGCGACTTCAGGCCGTGAACAACATCATCTAGGCGCTTTCCGTTGCGTGTGAAGAAAATGGTTCCTGTCCTGGGCCGATAACCGACGCCGATAACGTCGCCTTGAACATAAGGAGGTCCGTAAGGGCTAGGGGTGAAAGGCTGGTTATATCGTCGGGGGCCCTTTGATGTATAAGCGACGGAATACCTGTGATATCCTGAAACAAGTGGTCAGCTGTATGTCACATGGTTACCCTAGAATGAACCTATATACCTGGAAGCCTGAACAAGGGGTACGGCTTCGTGCTCATGCCGATGCTCAACATTGTGGTTTCGGGCTTGTCGTAAATTTTGGCCTCCCAATAGTACACTTCGTTCTGTTTTGGTACGGGTAGATTACTCATAACGGTGCATTCGGAATCGTAGAATTCGATTTCTGTTCTCGCCTCAACAAAGCAGTTGGCGATTTCTAACTCAGGTTCAAATTCCCACGCCGAAACTCCTTTCTCTTGTATAGCCAAGTATTGCGATAAAGAAATGTCTGTTTGGAGTGATTCGGGCGGGTTCGCTTGGATAAATGCTACGAACTTTGTTAATGCATCATTCTTGGCGATAAGGAAAACGGCGAACGCCATCGACGTGCGAAAAATGTATTTTACCTTTTGCTCTTAAATACTCCGTCCTCTGTAATTCATCCATCAACTCCAAGGCTTCCGCCTCTTCTCTGGCGAATGCTTGTTCGTCGTCATATTCGCCGGGCCGACCGATCCGATCGAGAAAAATCCGGCCGGAGGTTGTGTATCTGAAGAAATAGACGACAAGGAAAATCAAGGCTATTAGTATAGCGGAACCGAAGGAGGATAAAATTCCGATTAGAATGCCGTCGAGGCTCGCCATGATGGGAAGGGCGGGATTTCCGATCGGTGCAGCGCTGCGAGGGGGGATGGATATATATTTAGACCCGGGAGACGTCACCGTCACCGTGAGATATCAAGCATTCGGAGGGGGGTTGGTCGAGGATGAAGTACCTCGATTATCGAATGTTAAAAATACAAAAAAGATAGGAGAGCCCAAAATTTAACGAATGATAATTTCGAATTCACAAGGTAAGAGACTTTAAATAACGGAGGGTTCTCGATCGCGATGGAAATCGGTCGATAATGGAAAAAGGGTTAGGATCGATTGGAGAGGGATATTGGTTGAGTAAGTGTGTCGTGTGTCGTCGTACTACTGATACACCTTTCGCTCCGGTGCACTGCGCACACGCAGTTGTTGGTCGCAGGTCGCAAGATGTAGGTACCTAGTTCGGTCGGACTGTCTGTCGTGGTTGATACGGGGAGAAGACGCACGGCGGGAGTCGGTATGGCATGTACTATTTTGCGTTGTAGTACAATCTCGACTCGACCGATTTATTGTCTGATTGAGTTATGTATTGATTCGATTTGTTAGGTCGATTGAAAAAGGAGAATGAAAGCTAAATGGAATAAGAAGAAAGAAGAATAGAAATGGCCTGCCTTGCAGGTGCCGCGTAGTGTATCACAAGATGGGGGAAATGGAGAGAAGAATGGTAGGTGGAGTGGAAAAGGAACATGAATGAGCGAATTCAGCTCTGGTTGGGTACAGTAGGTACATACATTGCGCATGCATATCTTGGTTATGCTGCCACGCCAGGTAACAACATTTGACCTTAACTAAATGCGACTAAGTCACTTGTAAGCTACGCTAGGTACCTTCTTTACTTTTCACCGCCCTACGTTAAGGTGTGCTAGGTACTTATGATAGTGGGTACCTATACATCTGTAGCCTGTGACATTCGCATGGCATATTGGGCATATCTTACCCAAAAGAGTACAAGTGTCACGGGGTATGAAGTTAGGTATCGATCTGGAACCTCCGGATTTGTATGGACCAATTCCCAGAAGAATTGGAATTGGTGGTGGTGGCTAGGATTGGTTAGTTCGGTTAGGGGAGGCAGGGAAGTTGATAAGGATTATGTCACAGTTTCTCCTGTTAGTATTCCTGACGCAATTTGGCCCTACGACACTAACATTCAATCCGAGCGCAGGTGGCGGGAGTACTTCAGCTTGTTTCCACTAGCTCAACAATCAATTATGTACTGTAACTACTTTGTCTCTTGAAGATCCCACCGCCCGGAAACCCCTAGGACCATTCTCCCTTGTATCATCGTCACCTGGTTCTATAAATTATGCTAATAATTGATTTCACAATTACTAGTTTACTCAGCCCTCCAGCCCTCGACACTTCTGAATACAAAACTTGGCATGCGCATCTACGAATTCAGGATACAGAAAAATGCGAATTACTTATACAATAATGTTCCGACAATTATGTGGGAACAAGGTACCTAGGTATGGAACCGCATTCCATAAAAATATCATCCAATCGTGGCGATGCTGTAGCCTTTTTCCATCCTACCTGGCCTACGTAAGCGCGGATACGCCAGGGGCCTGTCTCAGCAAGCGCATTTTTCGTCTCAAAAAGGTCACTTTAAGCGCTATTCCGGTCTCGAATTATTATGCGAACATGTCAGAACCTTGCCAGCGTTGCGGTGAGTTTATGGCACAGCAAAGTATTGTTTAGGGTGTGATGGCTTGGATCCGATTCATTACCAACTACAATCTCGACAGGTCTATCGCAGCATTATTTTCGAGATCGGGAGCGTCTTGTCATGCACATTCTACGATTTCACAAGGGTCATAACAAAGCCATGATTCCCACCTGGTATCTTTTCGTGGAAGAGGGCCTTCCGATAATCTGACCTAATTTCTATGTCGTAGTAAAGATCATAGCCGAAGGAACCATCGCGGCACCCGTGTACGACAGGGCTGTCATTCCCCATAAGTCTCATTGAGCTCCCAAGAACTCGAGAATCTTGCCAACTGCCTGCTCATCACCTTGCAGAGATTCCATCAACTCCTCGTCGACCCAATTACGTGTATAACCACCCCCAAAATCAACCACCCATGCATCATCCGTTTCCTGGTGTATGAGCACGTTGTGCGGCTTTCCATCTCCCCATATAACCCCGATTTCATGAAGTGAATCAACCGTCTCCCGGACTTGAGCCCCCCACTTCTTCCTTCTTTCCGTCGAAGCCTCTATTTCCTTATCCTCCATTCCCTCATCCTCTGCCCCATCCTGTGACCCCTCTTTGTCCTCCAGATGTCCTAGGGTATATGGATTCCCCGTAGGAATGTATTCTTCCAGAATACCAATAATCTCCTCCGTCTCCGCCAACGTGACTAGACCAAGAAGTTTGGGTACTCGAATCGAATCAGCGAGGTGCGATCTCGCTACCGTACGAAGACAGTCGAATTCGCGTTCAATGCCCTTGAAGAAAGCCTCCTCGCCGCTCTTGCAACACATCTCTGTTCCTCCTACCCAGACTTTGGTGATATCCCCCTGCCCAGTGATGATTTCGAGTACACGGATGTCTTTGGAAGAATATTGAGGTAATCCTATATCGTCAACAATTCTTTTACCGGAAGGATGGTGGTGGTCGGGTTCTCCTTCTATTTGGTCCGGTATCAATTCCGCTTTCCCATCCTTAGTAACGAAGCGGAAGGCGAAGGTCTCCGGGTACAGATGAGAGTGCAAATCCGAAGGCTCTGGCTCGTTGGGAGTGGGAGGAGCTAGTCGAGTCCAGATCGGTCCTCCAGCTTCATAGACAAGTAACTCGATTTCGCGTTGAATGGCGAAAGATCGTTCTTCATCTTCATGTGGGATCGAATCGAATCTTGGTATGAGAGGCCCTTCAATGGTATCGGGGGAGGAAGGGGGGAGTAGAGATACGCGAAAACGTTTGCCGTGTAGCATGATGGTTATAAAGATGCCATCCCCGCATCCGCTGGCCCATTGCACGGCTCGCTAGTCCAGAGGGAGCATCTTCGTTTGGACCGTTGACCTAGGGTTCCAAAACAAAACAATGGAGGACGTGATACGTCGTCGAAAAAATAGATGGAGATGGGGGTTTGAAAAGGCTGAATGGCAATCGATACGCGTTGAGGTTTGAGGCTCAGGGCTTATTCATCATGTAACGCAAGATCGCCTGAGTCGCGGAATGCGGACAGACGCACGGCGTTGCACGAGCCAGATTACGGCATTTTTACTATTATATAGAATGCGTACGATGGAATGAAAAAGAAATGAAAGGAATGGCTGGAAGAGGGGAAGGCGGATTGAGCGATCAGGGCATGAAGTATATATCAAGAAGAGTTGATGTCGAGATTAAGGCAGCCTATATACCGCTTCTGACTGGAGGGGAAGGGTGGGTCACGCGGGTCGTATGGGGGCCAAATGGAGGAATCAGAAATCGGAACTTCTAACATCGACACGGAAATTACAGCAGCTACGTAGGTAATATCCCCTATTATTGGAGAGTAAAGCTGGTTAGATACTACCAATGAAGTTTGTCGCCTCCAAATTTTGACCACCTCCTATGCCTATTTCGTAAACAATAACCCCCCAAACGCCTAGCATGACCTAAGGGTATAGCTTTTGCGATCCTCGACGACGTAACGGAACAACTGGCTGCTGCTCTGGTGTCCCAGGCCAGGTCGACCACCAGTGCTTTTGTCCGTAGTTCATTTTCGAGTTGTACACATCATTTAACTCATGGTGATATCGGAAAGTATTTCGTAGCAATACAAGACGATGCATAGAAGTAACCTTACTACCCCTCGACTAACGGGGACTCCGTGTGCGTCTATGACTACGGCTTCGGCTTCGATTGTTTCTTCCTCGGCTTGAACTTCGACCATATCTATCTCTCTTAGATGGCGGACTTCGTTCTCTCTTCGGTGCAGTGCTTCCGCCTCGTGCATCTCCCCGGGGTACAGGACTGCGGGGTGCAGGGCTTCGGCCCTTTCGCTCTCGGTCCCGATCCCGTCGTGACTCGGATTCAGTACCTTTGTCGGTACGAGTTCTCTTATCCTTGTCCCCGTCGCGATCCTTGTCACGACCATGCTCCCGATCACGATCCTTTCCACGGTCCCGGTCATGGTCACGATCACGGCCGCGGTCGTCTCGGTCTCTGTCACGAGCCGCCTCCCCACGATAACGATCACGGGAGCGCCGACGCTCACGATCTCGACTCCTATCTCTCTCACGACTTCGGTCGCGATCGCGGTCTCGACGTCTGCTCGGAGACCTACTTCGACTACGACGGCGAACCCTTCTATCGTCCTTCTCCTTTTCTCTCTCCTTGTCCTTTCCCTTGTCTCGATCGTAGTCCCGCTCTCTATACTTATCGCTAGTTCCAGCTCGATCACGGTCACTAGGCCTGTACCTATCAATTTCCTCAGGGGCACGTGATCTTTTGACTTCGGGTGAACGCTCTCCCGTGCTCCTTTTGTCATCAACGCCTGGAACAGGTAGACCCTTCTCACGGGCTTCACGCTGCGCAGCTAAGTAAGCCTTAGCTTCTTGTTCTCGCTTCTTAATCTCTCCTTGCTTCCAAGCTTCAGCATCCGTAACCTCATGCTTGTTGGAAGTAGCCGGCCGAGAACGGGATCGGCTTCGAGATACACGTGAGCGAACCCTTTCAGTTCGGGGTCTAGTTGAGCGAGACCTCTCTCGACGATCATCCTTGCGACTGGGGCGAACAGCTGAACGGCTTCGATCACGCCTGTCTCGGCCTTCTCTACGCCTAGATCGGCTTCGCTCCCTATGATCAGGCTTATACCTATCCCCTGAACGACTCCTTTCAGGCCTATCACGACGAGATCGTACATGAGAGCGACTTCTGTCTCGCTGTCCGGGTCGGTAAAAGTCCCTATCTCTTTCCGGGTTCCGGTCACGATCCCTAGACCGACTGCGATCCCGACGATCTGATCGATGTCGCGACTTACTTCGTTCCCTTCTATCATCCCTTCTGTCGTGCCTAGGTGGGGAACGGCTTCGTTCGCGGGCACGATCACGATCACGGTCGCGGGTTTTACGATCGTCCTCCGTGGCTCGCGATCGATCACGACGATGTCGAGAAGACGCTCGGTTGGATGACCCCTCGGCCTTGTCATCTTTAGGTTCCTTACTATCTTTAGCCTCTTTAGATTCGTTGATATCCTTAGATTCTTTGGGCTCCTTAACCTCCTTAACCTCTTTAGGCTCTTTAGTTGCCTTTGCGTCCTTCGTTTCTTTCGCGTCGTTTACGTCCTTAGAATCTTTCGTATCCTTCACTGGATCCTTAGATTTAGGTTTCGAGGACTCAGGGATCTTCTTTGAGTCTGAGCTCTTCAAAGAATCACGACGTATAGGTTGTATGGCAGATGCCGGCTTCGTTCTTCGAGGGGGTGGTATAAGGGCCGCATCGATCTCAGGTTCGGGCTTTTTCGAGGTTGACTTCTTACTCTCCGCTAGGATATCCTCGAGTGCTTTCTTTTCAAGTCGCTCGTGATCCTCCTTGGTGAGGTGCTTGTTAAGCACTTCAGGCCGGTCTCTAGCTCGATCTCGGCGTCGCCTCTCTCTACTATCAGGGCGGCGGCTACGGTCGCGATTTCGATCGCGCTCCCTATCATGATCCCGGTCACGGTGTCTTGAATTATCTCGAGATCTGTGTCTCGTTCTCGATCTGGATCGTGAACGACGGTCTGAGTCGTGGGCTTTATCCCTAGCCTGCTCTCGTGCTCGCCGTCGTTCCTCTCTTTCCTTCTCCCTTTCGCGATCACGTTCTGCTTCTTTCTTCTCACGCTCACGTCTTCGGGCATCTCGCTCTTCTTTGCGCTTGGTCTCGGCTATTTCTAGCTCACGTTCTCTTTCGCGCTCCCGTTTCTTTCGTTCTTCTCGCTCGATCTTGCGTTTCTCTTCCAAGATCTGCTCCTCTTTTTGCCTTAGCTCTCGTCGAATTCGGTCGCGCTCTTCTAGGCTACGAGCTGACTCGGAAGCATATTCCTCATCAGTTTTAGAGCCGCGTAGTTTCTCTTCCAAAGCCGCCTCGGTACCGATTTCAGCCTCACGCAATTGACGCATGCGCGTTTCGATACCCTCGACATCAATGAGTTGATCAAGAACTTCGTTAGCTTTCTGGTAAACTCCAGATCGGTCGAGGGCACCGTCGATAAGAGTGGCGGCCTTTCGACGGTCTAAGGTAAGGAGTTGGGATGGGTTGCGCTCGAGTTCCTGTTCGGCGACTTGGAGAATCGATTTGGTAACCTGTGCTTCACAGTCCTATTCATCAAATGCGAATAAGTAAATGCGGTCGCATAGGCAAATTATCGCGCTCTAGAATATTTGATTGCGACTACTCACACTTTGTTCAAATTTCTCCCAGACCTGCTTGCGGATCGCATCGTAACCACCTTTCTTCTTAAAACTATGTGCTAGCCCTTCAATAGCGGATCGCGTAGCAGATGGAAGAGGTAAGTCGGAAGCCTTGAACTTTCGGGGCGCCAGAGTTGTTGCGCTGGTCGCTGGAGCGGGCGCTTGATCTCCAGAGGCCATGGCGGTCGTGACCGAGGCCATCCAGGCCTATAAGAGGGTTAAACAAGAGGCGCGATCATGTAACGATAGATTAAAATAGACCATCCAATATGGCAAATTCAATTTTTTAAGGAGTGAATTTGTATGAAGGAATGAATGGCGTTGGTGAATGAGTAGATTGGGTTCAGGCGTGAATGAAAGTTGAAGAAGATTAGAAGCTCGGAAAGTTGATCAGATCTTAGAGAGATTAACGTAGCAATAGGAAATCTAAGGGACCATTGGTACCTATCGATAAGGAGAGACGTGCACCTTCGCGTTTGCGTTGATGGTCTGTGCGAGGAGCCGTGGTACTGTACCCGCCAATCGTGCTTACCTAAGTTCCCCGAGTGGAGCCTGCCTACTATGTACTTGGAAAGTACCCATCTCGTTTGATTGGTGGCTTAAAATCACAACCAACGAACTTCAACTTTAGAACTGTAGAGGTCCAGTTCTTACCAGCACCTACTATCTCAACCGCCTACCACCCACGAAAGCCGACCACCACCTACGGCCGGCCGAGTACCTGAAATATACGAAGGGAAACGATCAGAACGGCCCATTGAGGCAACACTCCTCTCCGAACATCCACAATGGTAGCCAGAGTTCTTTTCTGGACAGGCTTCGGTACGACCGCAAGAGGGGAAACCACTCGATACCTATCCAACGATCGATTACCGATTAACTAACCTCACAATACAGGCGTCGCCGTTCGCTTCTGGCAACTCGGCCTCGAGATGCGACCGTTCTTCAACAAAGGTTCCCTATGGGCCTACCCAGTCTTCGGCGGTGTTGGTGCGAGTTTCGGATATTGGCTACAAGGGGTCGACGAGAGGCAATCGGCAATCCTAGAAGAGCGCAAGAGGACTATTCTAGAGAAGAGGGCAAGAAAAGCCGCACGCGACGCGGAGAATGCGGCTGCTACTGCGTGAAGGATAGGTGTATGTCACAAGAATTCGCTCAACAGACTCGGTCAATGTGTATATAAAACGAAGGGCTACGGAACAAAAGGTCAACAATTCAAGAGGATTGAAATTAACATACTCACTTACAAATACAACAGAGCACGATGATGGTCAACGAGGTTGTATTTACTGCCGCGATGGGGTATTATTAAGTCTCGACAAACTACAGGACCCTTTCGAGCAAGCCGAAAAAAGCTCACGCCTCAATCTATATACCTCAACACCTAGTTACCACTGCTTCTCTTGAGCCCCCCTTCTAGTTGGACTCCTCGAGCTTTCGTAGTAAATCCGGTACCGATGTCGGTTGCACGGTGCCTAACTCCGATATGACAAGCGACAAGTATTTATCCGGAGTGGTGTCGTATAGCAATCTGAACGATAGGCCTGAACTTCGCTCGGGGTCGATCTCGTTGTACGTAAGGGAATCTGTAGATACCCTCTCCGTAATGTTGATAGTCTCACAAAGGACGACAACCGGTATACTCAGCTGCATCGCAGCGATGGCAATGTCGCAAGTTCCCGATCGCGCATACAGCGACCCATTGTTGAACATGGACTCAGCAGAGACAAGAACTTTAGTGACTTTCTGCAAATACCATTTCAATCCACCAAAATCTCCACAATACGATACCGTAATATTCGCAGCAGCTAGTTTCTTTGCTAGTGTCTGGCCCTTCTTCTCGTATGGGTCATCAATAATGACAACTGAAAAATCCCTTTGGGCAATGGAACTAGCTTGCAGAAGAGTACGTTCGATGATAGTACTCCACCCAAAAGTGAGAATAGTATCGCCGGGGCGTATCTTCTCCGCGGCCTTCTCGGTAATAACAAGATCAGCTATGCTGATTCTCTCCTGGATGAAAGTGTCTATGCTATCACACAGCTGCCTCTTCGCTTCCAGCTCAGGCACATCCGGGTCGATCTTGCTAACTTGCAACTTGAGCCAACGAATCGCATTCCCCATAGAAAAGCACATCGGACGGCATGCAGTGAGATACTCAATCTGGGGGTTCAGGACGTGAGGTGTTAAATGTCTTGCGAGTGTGTTGCCAGGAGGAGTGGTGTAAGAGTCGATGACCTGGTTTATTATTAGCATGAACATATGTTGATAAATTCAGATCTATCAGATTTAAATACCTTTTTGAAAGCCAATAAGGTCGCTTTAAGTCGCATGATACTCTCATCAATAGTGAAGGTAGCCATTTGCTGGCCTAGCGCTAAGACAGTCGGATGAACGTCCTTATCTGCTTGTGTGGTGGGCATCCTCTTAGCCATGGATAGGTGAGTAAAACATTCAGGTATTGTGAATTTGGGCTCAGCGGGGACAGGCGCAGGCCCCTTAGATGCCACTGGCCTTCCTGCGGCTCCTTGTGCTGTTGCCGCACCACCATCTTGTTTGCCTTTCACTTTACCCCCTTTCACTTCACCCGCAGAAGGACCTAGTTGGTTAGGGGAAGATGATACAGCAGCTTCTCCTTTAGCAACTTCTTTTGAAGCCTTAGCTTGCGCTCGCCTTTGTGCTTTCTCAGCTTTTGCTTTTGCTTTTAATTCTGCGCCTGAGGGCTTGGCCGGTTTCGATGCTTCAACCGTGTCAATTTTTGCGGGTTTTTGGTTGCTGGCAGATGCCTTGGTTTTATCAGGCTCCGCGGGTTGTTGGGTTTGTTGAGTTTGCTGAGATGTAGCCTCAGGAATAGGCTCATTTTGTGTTGTTGACATGATGAAGCGTCCGAAACTCTGAGTCCATAAATAAAATAACCACGATGACACCGTGCTGCAGAAAAATTGTGGAAGCAGCTTGGAAAAAACCATGAAAGTTGTGTGGCGAATGAGAAGTAAAGCTCTAGGCTTAGATGGGAAGGATTTATAGGGGAAATAAAAATCCAAAGTCGCTTTTGAAGAAGCTCTTTTCCGTCTTGAGATAAATCTACATAAGGTAGAGACGCACGCAAATACAAACTTGACTCACAACTTTGGCGGGGTGTGTGCAAGGAATAATTCTTAAGTTGCCAGATCCACTTATCCATTTGAGATAGAGGGGTGAAACTAACCAATTTAGGCATGTCAGCCACGGAACGCCTCGACTGCAGCTCGAGCCATTTTAATGTACCTAAGTACTTAAAAGTATCGGAGATCGCCACTCCAATCCGAATCTTACCAAGTATTAAGTCAATCAAAATTAAGGTCGATATAGTCATTGGTAAAACTATTCTGAATGTGAGTGTCGAAGTAGACAGCGGCGATAAGTTTCTGAGAATATTAACGTGAATTCCTCCAGAGACTTGTTGTTGCTGCTAACTGTGATGTTGGTGAATGTTCGGGGTTCAATATGACATGGTCCTAAGAGAAGATATAAACACACGGTGAGTTTCTTTTGGTATGCTCTTTCTGTTTGAGTAGAATTAACGAACTAATAAACTTGGGGGAAATTATATACATATCACCACTTCCTGTTATAATGGTATTTAAGGGGGTGGTGCATCAATCGTATACTATTTAATTGTTAGGTCAAGAGGGATATTATCACATATTTTCAAACTTTGCCCATTTGATACTATTCCTATCCTAACTCTAGGCCATGCCTTCAGTACTTCAGCAGGTTCAAAGTTTGGCCGGTTACACGGCTTTGGGAATGACTTCCGTACGTACCACCTTAGCGCTTGAGAGTATACCAAGATGGCTAACGTCATTTGGTACCTGCCTAAGTACACATCCATATCGAATCAGAGTGCACATGCTCAATATCAGTAGCCGTGACGATATCCGACGCTATAGAAGGCAACTACCTACGTAACTAACTTGGAATCCTCTTTCCGGTCTATTTTCTAGGAAACCCCAAAGGAAGATCGGAAAGATGCCGTCTAGACGCCCGACTAGTACCTTAGTACTAGCGATTGACCTGCACAGGAAAAACCCCGCGATACGACCCCGCGTTCCTACGATTTGCTTTTCCGATCAGACGGTACCGCTACCCTCTGACTTTTTTCCACGCACTTTACTTTGTCATGCATGGATGTTCAAAGCCGAGCAAGTCATCATCCTGACCTAATACCAAGCCGACTGGTGTTCGGGCCACTCAGGTCGAAGACGGCACCTCTTCTTGTTTGCTTGCTTGCTCATTTTCTGTATCTCCAATAATCTATATATACTAGCCCGAGTCCATTGAAACTATTTTCAATTCTTCACATGTTCCACGTTCGCATCAAGTGAAATTCACGCAGCGCCCATTCTACAAGATGTCGGCAAAGCACTTCATCAACGACCCCACCCTCTTAGTGAACTTGGCCCTCCAGAGCCTTACCTTTACTAACCCTTCCGTGGCCTTGGACGCTGAGAATAAAATTGTCTATAGAAGACCTAGCGATGAAACCTCTCAGGTTTCTATTATTAGCGGTGGTGGAAGTGGCCACGAGCCTAGTTTCGGTGCCTTTGTTGGAAAGGGCCTCCTCTCCGCAGCTGTTGCGGGGACTATCTTCGCATCGCCTAGCGCAGAGCAGATTCGCAAGGCTATAACTTCAAGAGTCGACACGGATAAAGGCATCCTAGTCACTGTCATGAACTACACAGGCGATGTCCTTAACTTCGGTATGGGGGTTGAGAAGGCCAAAGCCGCCGGTCTCAACGTCGAGATGCTTGTAGTCGGTGACGACGTCGGCGTCGGAAGGGAAAAGGGGGGCAAGGTGGGTCGTAGAGGAATTGCAGGAACGGTACTAGTACACAAGATCGCCGGCGCTCTCGCAGCTCAGGGGCGCAGTCTCGAAGAAGTCTACAAAGTTGCGAAACTCACTGCCGCCAATCTGGTGAGCGTTGGTGCTAGTCTCGAGCATGTTCACGTACCTGGGAGAGCAGCACCGGATCCGAACTCCGCTGAAAGCCTTCAAGCTGATGAAGTGGAGATCGGCATGGGTATCCACAACGAGGCCGGCTCGGGGCGAGCGAAAGTTGAGCTTCCGGAGTTGGTGAGCACGATGCTATCGCAATTATTGGACCAAAACGACAAGGATAGAGCTTTCCTCAACGTGAACTCCAATGAAGTGGTCCTACTTGTGAACAATCTCGGTGGCGTTAGTGTCCTCGAACTGGGCGGTATCACTGCAGAAGTTGTGAAACAGCTAGGTTCTTGGGGTATCCAGCCAGTCAGGATCTTGAGTGGGACATACAGTGAGTACATTTCTAGAAGCAACAGTCTTCTCCAGTTGTGGGTTGCTGACCCCAAAAACTATAGTGACGAGTTTGAATGGATTGGGATTTAGCATTTCACTACTAAATGTGGTTAACACGGATATCGGCGGACCGAGCATGATCGAGCTCTTGGACTATCCGTGCGAAGCGACCGGTTGGGCAGCACCGATACAGAAGACTACTTGGGAAGCGAAGAACACCGCTGCCAGGGAAGGCGCCACGGGATCTGACCAGAGCATTAAGCCAAGTGGCCTCAAGGCTGATGCAAGTGCAATTAGCAAATCTCTAACTGCTGGTCTACAAGCGCTTGTTGCGGTTGAGCCAGAAGTAACGAGGTATGATACTGTGGTTGGAGATGGCGATTGTGGAATCGGCCTAAAGCGTGGTGCCGAGGGTGAGTTAACCATGGAAATATCCGGCTATAATCGAATAATGCTGACCTGCTACAGCGGTTCTCAAACACTTAAAGGAGACTACCCTAACGGGTGATGTCGTCATCGATGTCGCTCGTATTGTCTCGGTTGTCGAAATGGAAATGGACGGCACTTCGGGTGCACTCTTTGCTATTTTTCTTAATGCTCTCGTACACTCGCTCCGAGTACTCTCGCCAGGCGATGCTTCTCCACAGGTATGGGCTGGTGCCCTTAAGCAGAGCTGCGACGCACTATCAAGATATACACCTGCTAGACCAGGTGACCGAACTTTGGTAGATGCCTTATATCCATTCGTCGATGCTCTGGGAAAGACTGGCGATCTTAAGAAGGCAGCTGAGGCCTCGAAGAAGGGTGCAGAGGACACTAAGGGCATGGTTCCTAGCTTAGGCCGAGCAGTTTATGTTGGAGGCACTGGATTTGAACAAGTACCCGACCCTGGTGCTTGGGGACTGGCAAGTTTCTTCTTAGGCTTGGCTGGGATAAAATCTGATGAAGAGGGTTGGGAAGCTATATAATCAGTATTCACTCGCAATCGTTTGTAATGATAATCGGGGGCAACTAGGGATCGAGAAAATATAATCAGATTTAATAGTATCTTTTTTTGGTTCATCTCATCAAAACAACTTGCTGTGTTCTTCGGTATATTCCTCCTAAATGGCCTTAGGCAGCCATCGTCGCTAAAAGGGCACTCCTGCAAGGCAAATCATTGCATTCGGATACTGTCCTGGTCTTCGCAACCTATCACCCCCACTTTGGCGTTCTTGTGATGAACAATATGTCGTATAAAACGGCTCGGATTATTACTATTTCCTGTACCCCTCTTTCGCCCATCTAACTTAGCAAAACTAGAATGACCGAATCTCCTCTTAGGAACCTGTGGAAGATACCATGTTAGTGTCATTATATCATAACATTATTGATTCCGTATGACATACATCTTGCTAATGAAGCGGTCCTTGTTGACCGGCCTCCCCTTCTTTCCGTTCGAAAGCTTCGGCGTCTCTGTCCACATCTCCTTGACGTTCTCTAGCACCATATTACAATGTCGGTCGAACGCCTTTACACGTGCTAGGAGCTTGCGATTGTTGCGGCAGGAAATGAGGACTTGGGTGTGACTTCGGACTGCGGTTTGGAGGATGGAGAGAGGGCCGGCGCTGAATTCGTGCTCTTCGAGAAGTGAGATCTCGTATTCCCTGTATTCGCGCGTTAGAGATGAAGAGGAATCGCGGTGCGTGGGGTGGGTTGCCTACGTCAATTCGTTGCGCGGCTTCGTTAGAAGCTCCCTAATCAAAAGTCATTAGCTTTGTATACTTAAGTCAGCGTGATATGCGATCTCAAGCTTACTGGATCTTTGTGTCCGCCATGTTGACTGTGGTTGGATTATTGAATGGAATGGCAGCAAGTTGATTAAGGCTGGCGCAAGGCTGAAATGTTCGGTCAAGAAATATCCAAGTCTTTGGTGCATTGTATAATATGGAGAGGAAGGATTTGATTGGTCCTATTCAAGCTAGAGTCGCGTTAAGAGGTCCCCACTTAGATGCAGATTTAAGTACCTGGGTACTTATGCTATCAGTACGTACCTTGACTTGATAAAACTCCGGCAAAGAGCTCGGAGTAATAAAATTTGGGACCGAGCATACCCGCTCCGACTGCATTGAAAACCCGCGGCTTGTCATTCAACTCTCTACCCTATTAAACCTGCCTGTCAACTCGGGTCTCTCGATGCGCATATAGCTTCGGGGTCGCGCATCGAGAAGAAGAAAAATATTTAGATGTCTTTCCGTGTTTTAATAAGGAGGGCTGGGTCAGCAGCTACCACTGCTACCTCTCCTTGTTGGAGAACTAGCTCTACAATGCCATTAAGAGCAAAGATATTAAACCAAGGAGTTGCAGGACGAGCACAAGTATGATGCATAGAATATCCTCACCAAAAACAAACGAATACATCACTAATTTTTCGATATAGATGTCCACAAGTCCTATTAGCGCAGTCCCTAAGGAGCTAGATACGGACGAACCCCGCGATGTCCTCTTCAACAATTTATATGGTCTACGGACCGTCGAGCTTAACCGACCTGATAAGCTTAATGCCCTCAACGCCTCAATGATCCGAAAGATATTCCCCCGACTAGTCGAGTGGGAAAAGTCGGATATGGCAAATGTAATTGTTGTGAAGGGTGCTGGCGAAAAGGCGTTTTGTGCGGGGGGCGATGTGACAGCATTGGCAATACAGAACAGAGAAGGACCAGAAGGCCAACGCAAATCAATGGACTACTTTGCTCTGGAATATCAATTGGACCACTATATCGCAACCTACCAAAAACCATATGTCGCATTTATGGACGGTATTACTATGGGTGGTGGTGTAGGACTTAGCATTCACGCCCCATTCCGAATTGCGACCGAGAGGACCGTATTCGCCATGCCGGAAACCACGATAGGATTTTTCCCTGACGTTGGTGCTTCATTCTTCCTGCCAAGAATGGCGGGGTCTGTGGGCACATACTTGGCCCTTACAAGCGATCGATTAACAGGGGCAAATGTGTTCTATTCTGGGGTTGCGACGCACTACTTACACTCGACGAGTTTGCCGGGCTTGGAGTCGCGGTTGGCTGAATTGCGTTTTAGTGATCTTGCCGACATACATGAACGTCTGTCGATTATCGAGATGACCATCGAGGAATATGCGACGGGTTTACCGCATGGAGACCCAATCCTACTGGGAGGCGAACTTCGGAAAGCTATTGATCGATGTTTCCGCCACAATAAGGTCGAGGACATAATAGCCTCCCTCAAGAAAGAAGAAGGTTCCACGAAAGAATGGGCTGAGAAGACGCTAAACACTCTACATCAGCGATCGCCAACATCTGTTCACGTGGCCCTTAGGCAGATGCGGGTAGGGCGCGAATGGTCTATTGCCGAGACATTTGATAGGGAATACCAAATCGCGTCCAAATTCATGGCTCATCCTGATTTTACAGAGGGGGTTACATCACTACTAATTTCAAAAGATAAACCGAAACCGAAACCGAAGTGGCAGCCCGCTAGCTTAGAGGATATTCAACCAGGTAGCAACGTTGCCGAATCGTTCTTCCCGCTGTCTGGCTCGCCTCCAAAGTTGAAATTGGTGACCGATAGGGATTTCAACGAATACCCTTACGAGACGTTTGGTGTACCTACAGAGGCAGAGGTCAAAGCTCTTGTGGACGAGGGCCGGTACAAGCGTCGTGAAATCCTTGAGGCATTAGTGCAGAGACGGAGGGGTCGACAAGGCATTAGCAAGATTGTGGGTGAGATCCTAGCTAGGAAGACCGCCATCAACGAAGATGGCTTGGCGGAATGGATATATGAATAAAGAAACACCATTCGATGGTATACCAAATCTTCATGTATAATATGGGCCATCGTTGCCTAGGAGCAATCAGCATGCCCCCAATGATGAATGAACTTGTACGAAAGTCAACCAATATAGGTAGGATTGGGTTGGTCTATTATGCATTATGTGGATGGATGCATGGGTACAGGTGTATGTCTGAGATGGATAAATGCCATGGTATTTACCAACCTATTCAATTGTGTTGGAGTACGTAAAGGCATTCGTGGAATGATTGACAAGACTTTTTTAGGTGTATGGTGTATAACCCCCCTTATCGTCTGACTCATTTGTAAATTGTAAAAAATTGTGGGGGGTTTCACGGGAATTTCGGCAAGTATAAAAAGTACCTCGGTTTCCCCTCTTCCAAAAATGCCAAAAATCCAACAACATATTTCTATTTTATTTGAAGAGGAATTCGGGCTGCCGACGGTGGTGTCTTCCCTCCTTAAAAGTTATGTTGGATCTGATAGGCTCTAGCTTCCTTTGCAATCGGTAAAAGGTGGGCCGTGCACCAACGGCCCCACATGAATCGGCTATTATCCAGTGTGGCCCAAGCTTTCTGCCCAGCCACCCGGATGTGACGTCTTGTGCGTCTTGTGTATCCGCGACGTATGCACGTTTCCTCAACGCGTGCATTAAAACTTACATACACTAGCGCGAATCTCCACGTCCCGCCGTACACCAAAACGCGTTGCCCGGTGGTACTTTGGCGTCCTAATAAATTGTTCCACCTAACTTGTACCTCGTACCTTTAAACCAGCCAATCCACAACTTCTTATCCCCCCTTCAACCTTTCTACCTTTTCAACTATCTACATCCCTTGTTGTAGAATTGTCCGATATCTACGACTGCAATTGGGAGTAGATACATCTCGTTTCTCGATCAATTCTGATCGAAGAATCGAGTTCCTATCCTATTAATTAATCATCTCCAATTCACTATTCGATTCATTCCTATCTTTCTCAAGCTTGTCGGCGCCGCTTGTTAGAAGAAACTTGCGATTAAAGACACACTTTCTCCAGCCCGTGACGATGAAACGCCTCTGACAAGTTCGATATTTTATTTCGAGTCAAATATCCTTCACTATTTGGTAGTTTCACTTCCCAATTACAGGTTCTCAATTGAACCAATTTGCACATACTTGATTTCGGCGAAACCAGAAGGCCTTTTACAGCCAACATGGCCAGTCACAACTCTCCATGGGGAAACAATACCCCGGCAGCTGATGATTATGGTCTACAAATTAGACCTATGGGCTGTAAGTACTGTAGTGAATTTTGAAGCGCTCCCAATACTCATCAATACTTTTTAGTGAAAGTCCAATACACATTCGATAAAGGCTCCCAAGAACGCTGCTTGGCGCGGTGGCCTCATACTCTTCACGTTCAAGCGATTCCCTTAGACGAACAGAATTCAATTGGAGTGGTCGACCTGAAAACATGCCTACAGGCCGTTGCTCAATGCAGCCCCGAACTGGTTGGTGATAGTGAAAAGGATTATACAGTTTACGCCTACGATTATTCCGAACCCGATACTCCTTTGGTTGGACAGGGCATGCTTAGTTGGGGTCTCGACCAACCATGTAACCCGTCGGATCAAGCACAATTGGTGACAGGGCGTATCACGAAAAATGTACTTGCTATTTTTGGAAAAGGTGCTAGGGAGACTCTTGAGGTTCGACTGAAGTTAACTGCGGTTGCGAGAATCGCCCGGAATAATAGCCAGGCACCGCCCCCGAGAGCCAATGATGAACCGACTATGAGCCAACGAACATCCACGCCGACTCCTTCGGAGAGTAGCGAATGGAATTCCTTCCGCCAATCCAACCTCAACATGAACCAGCCCGTAGGACCACCTACCAACATGGTAACAGCGATTCCTACGCCGTTTCAATCTTTTCAGCCTATCCAACCTCTACCACCTGCACATTCGAACTATCAGGCTAGGAATGATGTCGTTAGACCAAACAGCCAAGGTCCAGCACCCGCTTTTGGAAGCCGCCCGGGTTCGGCGGGATCAAGTACGAGAGAACCTCAAGCATTAATGCCTACACCACCTACTGGCATTCCTGAGATGCAGCAGGGTATGGTCACTGAGGAATTGGCCGTGGCACCAGCTCCCCCTAAACCGGCTAAGACCCAATCGCGGCCTGCTTCTAGAGCATCGAGTCGCCCTCCCTCAGGAAGACCTCGAGGACGTCCCCGTAAAAAGCCTCTTCCAGCTGAAGGTAGTACATCCGGGTATGAAGACGGCACTGATGCGGACGACGGACCCCCGCGAACTAAGAAGAGAGCTACGACGACTAAAGTACAGCGTAGCAATACGGCTACCTTTGGATCAGCAGCGGAATCACTTCGAGTAGCTGCTAGCACCTCAGGATCTCTTCGGAATTTCCGCCCTATAGCCATAGCAGGGGAAGCATCCGCAAGCAATCCTATCCAAGAAATCCCACGAGCTCCGACGCCAGTTCCTGACCAACGTATGCCAGGCTTCCCTCAAGCCCGGCCCATGGCTTCAAGCGGTTTAAGACGCGAATCGCTTTCTGGCCCAGGAATGGATCGTTCATTCACATCTTCGTATCTTGACCCCAACCGATCTGGGTCTTACGGCCCCGATGCTCGATCTCCTGCAGAATCTGCTGGCGTTTCACCCTCTCAGATGTATTCTGACGAAGCTAGTCCCGCCGATATAGGATCATCGCCTCCAGTTCCCCGGTCTGCACGGTATAGTGTACGCTCCAGCCCGGCCCCTTCGAGTCCCATCTTACCCCCAATGCCTTCAGCCGCAATACAGCCTGATTCAGGTTATATGAGCGGCGGAATAGAGGACAGCCGACTTGAGGACGATCGGATTAGCATAATACCCGTAAATCCTGCGCCTCAAGCTCCTATTGTGGCCAAACCAAAGCCACGTAAGAGTCGCGCGAAAAAAGCGCCACCCAAGGTTCAAACTGATCTCATTATTCATACCGAGACGCCCGGACCTCCTGAACTACTACCTCAAACCTCGATATATAACCCTCCTCATCTTAGCCGAAAAAACAGTGAGCACGCTAGGACGCCGGTAGTGTCTGAGCCTCCTAGTCAGGCGCCCTTTCGTGAAGCTCCATTAGAAAGGCTAGAGTCGGAAGTGGTTGAGGAACGACAGGCAGAAAAGGCAATGACGCCAGAAGAAGCTACGCAAGGGGAGAGTGTGAAGTTGGAGATGATGTCAATAAACGATCTTGGGGAGGATCCGTCTCAAGAACATACTGAGTCGCAAAGCCTCGACGACCAATTGTTTGCTCCACCTGCTGAAGACCTACCCAACCCTGATGATGCGCAACCAACCGTGGAGACAACTGAAAGCCGAATGGAACCACCCGCACTCCCTCAGCCTAGTCAGGATCTACCTACAGAGCCGGAACTTCCAGCGGTGCCTGCTAGTGACCCAGTTTTTGCCCAATTGACGTTCCCGGAACCACGATCAGAGCCAGCTCATCCTCAGACTGATATGATCGGACCTGCGGATGGGAAATCTAATAAGAACTTCGTGAAAAGGCAATCGATCAAGCAAAAGTTAGAGGAAGCTATCTCTCGGGGCCAGCTTCCTTCTTTCTGCCAAAACTGTGGTGCCATACAGACACCGACCTGGCGAAAGATATGGAAGCAAATTCATGCGGGAGTACCTGAGCAATACGAATTCTCAGGGGAGGCTGGCCACGTTACTGCAATCAATATTCTTAAGCGAGATGATGAAGGCAACGCGACCTCGTATGAAATGATAAAGAAATCATTGGCGGCAAACGAGAATAAGAACGAGTGGACTGAAATACTACTCTGCAATCGTAAGTGCTAGTTAGTAAAGGTGCCACGTTATCCCGGTATACTGACAATTCGTAGCTTGTGGCATTTGGTTTAGCAAATTTAAGGGTCACAGACCGGCGGAAAAGTGGGAAAAGGACGAGCAGAGGCTATCACAAACGCGGAAGAAGAGGGCCAATGGCTCTGGACCTTCGCGTTCAAAGAAGGCCCGCACTAAGAGCGATTCTCAACCGAACCTGACTTCCGAGGCATGTCTGCCAACGGATCCTATCGAACCACCGAATGGCCCCACATCTTTACAGGACTTGATAACGAAAGCCCCAAATCACGAAAAGAATTCAACTAGGGGATGTGAGGGGGCAGACTTGGAAGTGATCTGTCGAGGCTCGACGCATTCTCGGGGAAGTGGTACTCCGGGAAGCCCTATTACTCTTGATAACGATCTAGGAGGTACTCGTCGGCTGCTATTCCCATCTCCACGAAAAGATGGAGAGCAGAGAATCTTGGGTGAAGTTGCCGTCAATATCGTGCAAACTTCCTCTGGTTTCAATGCCAAAGGCGAACGCCCACTAGACAAAGAAAACAACCCAGCAACCAATGAAGAGTTGCCAACAGATTATGACATGTCCGATATATTCGGCACCCCACTTCGACCATCTACACCACCTCCTAAGGTCCACAGCAGTGGTCCTTTTAAGACTCCCACACGTCCGACCCCGAGCCATCGACCAATCACTAGAAGCGTTACTAGGTCTAGACGCTCGGTGAGGTCCGTTGTCTCCCCAAGTCATTTCCTAACAATGGAGCAAAGCCCGAGTCGAAGCCCCGGTTCCCATGTTAGACGTGATTTGTCGAACGACTTAATGCCGTCTCACCTATTTGATGGCCAGGTCTTCGATTCGCCGTTATCGAGATCTATCAATGAGCTAATATCTGAAGCTAACAACTTCGTTATGCCTCATTCATCGTCCCCTCACTTTGAGATGGATTACAACAATTTACTGCCAATTGATGGCAACGATATCCAGCCTCATGACTTCGGTAGTCTACTTAACGTGAGTCTATTCGGGTCACAGACGCCTGGGAAAAATCGATATGAAAACAATACAAATTTAGGTGGCGATATGAGTTATCAAAACGACAACCAGCCGACTAGCGGCATGAATATGCTAGACTGGGATGTCGAGCAACAAGATAGCCATTGATTCTTGCATTTACGCATTATGACAGCCTTGTGTTAATACATACATACGACTTTTCAGGGCAGGCGTTAGGACGAGATTTATTGGCATCACAACAATGACCCCGGTTTGGGGTCTTTTTCCTTTCTTGATATGCATCGTTCTCAGCATCATTGTTTTTCCTGCGATCCTCTTGAGTTGGAGACGGTACCTCCTTAGGAGTGAGGGAAGGAGAGACGTAGAGTCTACGAGATACCCCGGTATATGAATTCAGGCGCTTTTGAGACGGCGTTTTTCTGCGAACGCACTGCTTTGGTGATAAGACAGGAGAAAGGAACAGGCATACAGTGCAGTACGATGATTGGCTTGTTAAGCCCAAAAGAGGGAGAGGACGGGAGAAGGAAAAAGTTGCTCACGCAACTAAAGGAAAATACGTATGGATATAAATACATTACATTGCTACTATCTTGAATGTGTCTGTATAAGTGAATTGTACTGCTTCTTGTTGTGAATGCTAAGGGATTGACGGGTATGATGTGAATAGTATCGGTGTGGGTACAGTGCAGAGCGTACAGTTAATGTTAGTTAGCACACGGTCGGATGCTATATAGAACAAAACTGCGAGTAACCACACTCAATCAAGCAGTATATCTTAACAAGACCTACCTTAAAATCAGCCAAATTTACGGCATGTAACTCACTACAATACGCCGGTGATGAAGTCAAGCGACCGTATAATTAATCACATTCGCCGATTCCAGGTATGTCTTAAGGTTCATTTTTTTTATTACCGAAAACCCTCACTTGACAACCCAACCCAGAGAAAAAGAGAAAGGGCCAATCTACGTATGTCCATATATCTATCAGTCACGGTTTTCATAGGGTTCCACCTCTGGAGAATCCTGTCTTATGATACGCCAGCGACCAACCTCATCCATGCTAAAGGCAATGACATCATATAACCCATTGTAACCACCAAAGTCCTCGAGTATCATGTCTAGTAATTCATCAGCATGAAGTTCTATTTTCTTACGCCGACGGATTTCTGCTGCAGTCGCCAAGTTACCAGATTTGGTGCGAAAGAGGCGTCCACGTGGTCGTACAGGCCGAGGCGGGGGAGAGGGCCATATTAATGAGGGGTATTCGGATGATTCTGGTGACACGGGAGCGGGTGGACGAATTGGAGATGGGGATGAAGATAGAGATCTTTGGGGGCTGCTAGTGCTGCTGCCTTTCTCAAGATACGGCCCTGACATCATATAATCCTGATAGGGTTGACGTGGACTGCGGTTTTTATTCTGCAGTCGTTGGTGTGAAGAAGTTGCTTCTTCTTCTATCGTGTAATGGGTATATTGTGTATCTTGCTTTTCTTGCGCATGTGGAGACCATTGTGTATTGTGAAGAATTGACGGCTGGGCGGTGGACTGGGGGGATTGCGACGTCCCTTGTATAGACAGCTCAGAAAGCTCATTAATTGGCGGGGTTATCACTCGAGAGGGTTGGGAGTATTCAGAGCTAAGTGAGGTAGAAGCAGAACGACTAACAACGACAGAAGCAGAACTGGTAGTAATTTCAGCAACGGGAACTGTTTCTTTTTGTTTTTCTTGAGGTCGGGCTACAGATTCAGGCTGAGGTTGCAACTGCTGAGACAATGATTGTCGTTGCTGGTGCTGCTGGGAGCCAGTCGGCCACCCCAAAGACACGCGTCCGCGCGCAAATCGTCAGTTCATACCACCTCGGTCGGAATACGCAAAAATATCCTTGAATTGATGTGTAACATCAACGACATTTTGGCAGATTTGGTAGTCTACAATATTAGCTATTGGATACTAAAATACCTGGGTATTTGGTGGGGGATCATTCTTGTAAAGGGAAATGATACATGGCATATGTAATCAAGATAAGCGAGAACTAAGAATAGATTCGATTGGTGAGATTGAGTGAGATAGATATGAAACTAGGTGGTCGGGGTATGATGGTCGGTCAAGCGAGATGAAAAATCTTGACCGGTGAGACGGCAGCTGGGATACATACCAACATTGTTTCCGAGATCCATGGCGTTCAGTACCTTAATAGTCAGGTCTGGATTTACTTTTCCAATGATCTGAGCGCCATTACCAACCATAAGATGGCAGTCCTAGATGAAATGTTAGCCTAGATCACCCATCACGTGCGCCGATATTGTGGTTGGGGAGGCGTGAAATGCAATCTAGGCAGCCTAGGTAGGTAGTCGGTGTCTCTTGTAAGAACCCCCGACCCTAATATGCAAGGAGAGAAGGCGAAAGCATTGGAACCGAATCGACCTACTCTGTTCAGGTTGGCTTGAATTTGCCCGTCGGCTTCGAGGAACGCTGTGTCACCCCGAAGCTGTTGTACCTTGCCCACGATGATAACGTTCTGGCCAACATACGAATCCATGAGCGCCGCGGAAATGCGGGGTGTTGAAGTCGACTCCATGACGGCTCGCAGTCAAGGTTCCCGCAGATTCAGGTATGATCTTAAGCCAGGAATCGCATTGAAAAGTCTAGAATTCTTTTCAATGAATCGTAGATGATCTTTGTCTTCCCTAACGCCCGAGATTGTGTTAAAAGATTAAGTTATAAAGTTGTTTTAGGTCAAAAAGGCGCGACGCGTCGAAAGAGGGACAGTTTGTTAGTTACGATGTAACTGGAAAGCTGAAAACTAAAAAGCGGGAGAAGAAGCTGACGGGCGAAACTTAATGTACTTAGGTAAGCCAATCATCAAGCACGATACTGTCTGCTTGTGGATCCACTAGCAAAAAGCAAAATGGGAGGAGATCTTGCCAAGAAGATAAATAGATACAGGTTTATGTATGTATGTATGTATCTAACTACTTAGGTACATCATTACCATACAAGTACAGAAGTACTTGTGTACGTACTTGGAGAAACGCACGGTCTTCACGGATCTACCACGGACCGGATCCGCTTCCATGTTCGGAGGCGTCTCCGTCGTTACATGGTTACACAGCAGCACCGCCTGACTCAAACCCGGTTGGGGCTGAACTTATTTACTTTGTTCTATCAACCAATCAGAAGCTCCGGAGAGATTCTATCGTCGTCCGGCGCCATCAATTGGTGTACTGGAAGATGAACCGACAAAATCGAAATTTTCAAACTTAAGGGATCCGTTGTATTTGCGGCACACTCTGCATGTAAAATGACAGATCCTTACCTCCTCAATTTAGATATGCAAAGTATGGCAAAAAAGAAAACCAAGATCAACCATGGTAGAGCGGTGCCAACGAGTCGGAGCCGAATGCACCAAGTAGAGTATCCAACTCGAAGCAAATCTTCAACGATACAATTCGAATTGAATTTTACGGGACATCCCGCCATTCACAGCATAAGGAGAATCAGGTAATAAATGAGCGTGATCTTCCTAGTCTTGCAGCTCGTAATATCCGAATATGACGCCCCGAGGACTCCAAGGTATAAACGTTTCCTCCTAGCCTAGAGTCATTTCCATGCTTCATCTCAATATTCCCCAATAAATAGAACACGTTCCTAGGACTTAGGTATGCTAGGAACCTATATGAGGTAGGATTAGGCGCATAACGCTGTCTCTTAAACAGCGATGTGAATCGCAAACTAGAACTCATCAGCACAATTCCATAGTATTCAAACACTCGTACCAGAATAAAGCCACAAAAACTGAATACCTGCCCAAGTGGATATTTATGGAATAAAACTCTATTCTTCGATTGAGACTTAAATCACGCGAGAAGTATGGATCGAATCCGTTTTCTGGTAAGGACTGAAGCTTAAAAGACGGATTTGCATGTTTCTCACCTAGCACTCCCGTAAGTAAACAACCCGATCCGAATATACGAGGAGAATTAGCTCTATCAAAGTGCTAATTAGACTATTTGCCTAAGCGTTAGTCAACTTTAAATCATTCCACGTTCAAATTTCATCTCCATCGACCTCGAATTCGTAGAACGTCCCCGTTCCCTATGTATGCCTAGGTAGTAAATAGATATCCCGGTTCACATGTCAACTCCGGACCACTATGTCCGGTTGGAATATGCACCCGATCTTTCGGTGAAGATGGGTATTACTTCAAACTCGAAAATCTCGTACAGGCATTTAGATTTCATCTCTATCGGCTTCCAGTAGGATGCTGCGGTTCCGTGTTTCTCTGCATTACTAGTTAAATCTTGCAGTCCCAATTCCGGGCTTAGAACAGGCTAGGTAGCCAATAGAATCTTCCCGTTGCCATGAAGGTTTAAATTCCGTTCGGGTCTTTCCTGACATACTTGTCGTTTGAACTCAATTCACTTCAATTTTTTTTGTACGGTCCGGAAAGAGGCTAGCTGTTCTAGACTCGCAGGGGTGGAAATCCAAACTAAATGGGATACTTCAGGTACTTCGGCAAATATCTATACGTTTTTAGTAGTGATATGATGTAACTCCTCGAGTTTTGATGTGTACTTTGCTAGACGGGCTGCAAAGACAATTATATGTTAGAGAATCCTGTTCACCCGTGCTGATACTTGGCTTGGCTACATGCAAGTACCAGCTATTTCCCTTTTCTCTCTTACCAAAATAACAACTGGGCAAGGCCGAAAAACGAAGGACAATTGCTGCTGAATCGACGATTAAACCTCGGCCTGCGGCTCAATATTAGTATCTACCCCTTAGCACAACTTCCAAGCGCCGTTGAACCCACATGGAACGTCGTGCAAATGTGCCCCTGCTACACTACCCTAGGTACCCCAACCTAAAACAAGGCGTACAGATAGCATAAGCCTGTATTGATAAGCAGTCATTTTCTGGTGTGAAGGGAGAGAGAAATTTTCAATAATGGAGGGGAAGAAAAGAAAGTTTTGTCTAAGAGATACAATGTAAGCTTGTGCAAAGAAATAAAAGTTGACTAGACTGGTGGTAATTGCTACCCATGTTCATATTTCGCTGCAAGGAAAGGAGGGTTGGGTTTAGAAGCTTCGACGGGTATTGATGGCTAATAAATTACCTCTATTACGTACCTAGGTAGTGAGCTTAAAGACCCACGACACCGCCCCTACCTACCTCCATACAGGTTCCATACAGGTACCTAAACCTTCGATCTACCTGCCTACCTGCCTGCCACCTGCCTCCTTCCCACCAACTTTGCCTTTGTTTCCTATCTTTCCGCCCTCCATATCTGCAGCTGCTTCCTTGGTCTCCTTTTTTTTTTTTTTTTTTCTTCTTAGTCTCCATTGGATTTCTTTTTCGATGCCTGTCTAAATTTTAGCATGTTACTTCGCGAGTCTTACTTTTGGACATCAACACTCGCAACCCTCGGAGCCCATCCCATCATAGTAGGCCTCGATGGGGCCCAATAACAAGCCACACTCGTTTGTAGTACCTGGGTGGGGTGGAGCGCCGGCTGTTAACTTTCCAAGCCATTAAATATTGAGGGATGCCCATCTTCTCCTCAACGCTTCGATGCTCACTTCTCGAATGGGTAGCCTGCGTTTGGGGAATCTCTCGGCTACTCGCAGCTGAGGCCAAACACCTATACCCCGTCCCACATAATAAATGTCTTGCATATCCCACCCGCTAACTGCGTCTTTAATCGCCCCGTTAAGGCCAAGGGCGGTGCACAGCGCTACGATAGGTATGGATAGGCCGCCCGAATTCTTCGGTGAAAACATACAGGACGACGAAGACGACAAATACGATCTATTTTCCAGTCAGCGTATGCAGGATCGAGATTATGCCTACCAAGATACATCGCCTAGTGTTGACCCGGACGATCCCTCTATTGACGCACTACCCTTAAAGTCTCGTTCGCCAGACCCTTTCCCGATGGACTCAACGCGCACCCATACCCCGAGGAGGCTTCCGAGTAGCCGTGCCAGAAACAAAACATCACAATCCAACCTGGCCGAAACCGAATCCTCGGGAGTAACCAATACATCGTCGAAAACGTCGGGAACTCGTTCATCCAAGAAAACCCTCACTCCCGAAAAGGCGTCGAGCTCATCGGGGGAAAATTCGTCTATAACCAACGGTTTTCCACCGCCTAAATCTTCGCCCGCCAACAAGAAGAGACAACGAAAACAGCACATTAACGAATATTTAACCCAGGGCCTTGAGACGGTCAAGCGACACAGATTCCTGGAGAGGAATCGGGTTGCGGCGACCAAATGTCGCCAAAAGAAAAAGGAATGGGTGTCAGATTTGGAAGAGGCGAGATTTGGGTTGGAAAGCCAAAACAACCATCTTCAGATGGAATATACCAGCTTGAGAGACGAAATTACCCATATTAAATCGCAACTTATGGAGCATGCCAGCTGTAACGACCCCAATATCGACAAATGGATCGAAAATGAGGCAAAGAAATTTGTTCTGGGGACGAGTGAGCGGTACGACCGGATGCTGGCTGATTTGGGTACTACACCCGGATTGGCCGGTCATCGAGGAAGCATATCTTCCCCTACTGGATACCCAGATATTCCAGAGCCGGAGCTTATTAGTCCAGTAACATCGTCCCATCGTGGCAGTGTATCTTTTCCTCCCGGAAATTTCATGCCAAACTCGCCAGTCTTTTATCGTCCGGATCTAACACCGAATATTCCACAAGTTACGCCATCGATCCCGGTCGAAGAGCCATACCCAGGGAATCAAATACCCAACTCAATACCGGAAAATGTATCCGGATTTAATAGCGTACCAATGGCGAATGACGTGTTCCAAGATCCGACGGTCCCCGAAGGCTAAGGGCGAAATACTCGATGGTTGGAGAAATAGATTTCCGGATGCGTACGACATATGCTGGGCTTTATATCATGACATGTAAAATCATGCACTGCTTCTCGTGTCATTAGCCCTGGATGATACACCGTTTTATGCGTCTGGCGCACATAGCGTCCGAGCATCTTCGCCCACAATGTATCGGGCAGAATTCCCGATAAAATACATCTGTTGATATTCAGTGTGCTTTTCTTGTTGTAAGGACTGGGGATGGGGAAAAGGCGAATATATGTGGATTTTCGTGGAGTTAAAACGGAATTTTAACGAGTGATGTTCCCAAATTCTCATTCTTCTAGTTCTTCTCATCTTTTTTTTTTCCTTTGAGGAGGGGGCCCGGGAGACAAAGTTTTGAAGAAGGGAGGGAATTTGGGAAGTGAGCTCTTCCGCTAGTACGGTACGTGGGATAGGATTGGCTGGGATGGCAATGACTAAACGAGGATATGATTGACCACGGAGCGTCCTCCGAGACCGTAATTACGGAACACTGTCTTGCTGTGGGTATTCCAGCGTCGGCTGCGGCCCTTGTCTGGGCAAGATGCTATGCTAAGTCAGTCTTGCCATACCGGAGAAAGCAATAAGTACTCCGGAATATCGGTCAGCTTCAAATTTGGATGCAATGGTTCGATTGTGTGTTTTTTCAACATGATGTTTACCAAAACTCTTCTTTCCAATGTAAAGACCGAGTACGCCGAAATATTTCGATTGACGGTGGTTGCTTCATGATGTCGTGTCTTATACGAACCGTACGATCGTGAACTTGAATATATATGTGTGCCTTCAAACATATCGCCGCGTAAATCGAGCTGACTGGGCCCTGGGTGATGTAAATATGCAGTCGTGGACATTAGAGCTATACATTCGTAAACGCTTTTGTGACGGCGACATTGAACGAAGATCTTTTGAAAACAAATTGCTCGCTCGTCTGCCTTGTAGCAACATAGATACTGCTCTCTACGGCGCCTGAGTGCTGAAGGTATTATCTGGAGTACCTCTCATAGGCATTATCGATCTAGTTATAGACGTGTATAGGCGCCTGAGATGTATCCTAGGTAAAATCCAAGAATTTGCAAATATTGTTGTAAAGAGCCGTTTACTGAATGAATGAATGTAGATAGCAAGATGATTTTGAAAGTGAGAGGAGGGGTGATGCTAGGAGTCATAAGTTCCTTGACACTGGGTACCTAGGTAGATATATATAAAATCGAGATCAATCACATCCAAGTCGATCATTTTATTTATTTTATATCACAATTAATTTGTTCAACATCCACATCGTATACTCCATCATAACGTCACAAGGCTAGAACGAGTATCATTGATGACTTCACATTCCCCAGCCTGTTGATTACCCACAGCCATTCATTTGGTAATAAGGGCCCGTTTCCTGATTTCTATATCGGGGTTGGGGCCGTCCCGCTCTACACTATCGCCCCCGCCAACTTTGGGATGGGAATCTCTACCGGCATAATAGGGCCCCCGGGGATCAACAATAGAAAATAGCGATTCGGGAGATGGGAGATGGGAGATGAGAAAAGTTGGGGCGCCCTTAATTTTTTTTCGGTCCGGATACGGTTAGGATGTCGGCCACGCTGGTCCGCGTAAGTGGTACCTAAGATCGACGTCATGTCTGTTAAGGGTGGCGAGATTTTTCCCCATAGGATGCATACAGGCTTTTGCTCTTGAGGATATGGGATTTACAAATCCCGTGTCTATTAATTGTATTACTGGTTAAATAAAGGATTGATTATCGGAATCTGGGTTGGTGTTATGTTTGCATGTTAATCTCGATGATGCCCCTATTTTGCCTCCTTTTTTTTCTCGATTCTGGATGCAAGAGCTGGAGAACACGGAAAAATGTAGTAGAAACTCACCTATCTTGAATTGTAAAATTGAAGGGATTCTTTTAACGTTTTTGATATGCAGTATGTACCGATCTCACTAGGAGATCTGTAGTTACAGAGGTCATCGAAAGATCTCGTATAATATATAACCAAATATATTGATATCGTAGATTACATTCCGCCTGTCTTCGTGAAATAGATCATGTATGCATCTATTTAAGCCACCACCACTTGACCATCTACTTCCTTCGCAGCCGATAATTCCGCCGTTCCAAGCTTCTTATTCACGAAAACCCTCGCAACAAGATCACTCTGGTGTTCCTGGAGCAACTGCCTCAGCGCCTCCCTCTCAACAATTAATCGACCGGACTCAAGTAAATTCTTTACATCCACATCCTCAACCTCCAACGCGCGTCCATAATTCGGCTCCTCATCCAACGCAGTCGATAGATTATCCCGCGCGCTAGTCGTGATAAACGTACTCCTTCCATCTCTCCGTCCCCAACCATGGTAATCCATAATCTGCTTGACATGATGCGCCTTAAGCGAGCGTTGCAATTCCGTCGGGAACTCAGCTTCTTGCGCTGTATACCACTCCGGCAACGGTAATTCCATACCATCCTCCGCGACGATCAACTCGCCTCGACGGTACCGGTACGAAAGTGCCGTTCGCCAGGCTAAGTCGTATACTTTCCGAGGCAACTCGGTGCCGAAATCGCGGGGGTGCGGTCCGAATACTTTTCCACCACCCCGAAGCATCGGGGATTGCTTGCTGCCTATTCGTGACCGGCCCGTGCCTTTTTGCGGCCGCATCTTGCGGTGCGAACCGGCGACTTCCCAGCGCGTTTTCGTGGATGCTGTGCCTTGCCGCGTGTTGTCGCCTTCGTAGACTACGGCTAGGTGTAGAATGTCTCGACGGAGCGGGAGGTGCAGGTGTTTTGCTGACCAGTCTTCGAGGCGGAGAGGTTCCATGGTGGGGAAGTTGAAGATTGTTACTGGGATCGTGGTTGCTGGATACAGATTGTGTTAGTATTGTTGCGTGGTGAAGGAGGTGGGTAGGAGGGATGTATGTACGCACGTGGTCGCCAATGTTCGTATTGTGTTGTCGCTGTGTCAGGGAAAGGGCTTTCGGTAGCCATTGACCTCGTGAATGTCGTTGGTATTCGATGCTATATTTTATTAGGAACCGTTCTGCTTAATTGTCAAGTAAGACTGAACATACTGTGGCGGCTTCTCTGCATGTTTGTGATGATAGACTCAGGCTTTTCAAGGCCTCATTGAGACCTCTTACGCCCTTGCTCGCCATCTCTCCGATAACTCCCAGGGACACAATTGGGCTCTATCGGATAATGGATTGGGATGATGGTGATTTAGATTGAAGACTTGGAACTCAATTAAAGGCCCGGAAAAATTGAAGGTGGAACTAAAAGATCGTGGCGCTTATCGATAAGAATATATAGAGGGGACTGTCCAATTGACATGTCGCATCTCTTAGTTTTTAGTGGGTCTTTGTGGAAGCTTCAAAAGATTTAGTCTTGGAATTTATTTTCAAGATATAACACTCAAAATATCACACCACGACGTCTCGACATATTAAAGTCATGTCGAGTTGTCAGAGGGTCGCGAGACCCCTCATACAGTCTCTCCGACAAGAGAGACTATTTATACAAACTACAACACAATTTTCACGGTCTTTTTCGAGGAGTGCACCGCGGCAAGATGAGGGTCCTACGTCTACACCACCACCTCCTCCACCGACATCGTCGACGACTTCGATAAACCAACTAGAGGCCGCTGCAAAAGCCAATGCCGATGCAAAGGAGAAGGAAGCCGAGAAGATCCGCATGCAGGAACGATTGATGGATCGAGAGACTACAACAGCGCATTGGGCCGAGCGAAAGCTTCTCCGTATGGGTACGCCGCCCGTCGGATCGCGACGTCGTCGAGCCGCTCTACGTACCTCCGAGAATGTTCCTTTCGAACAGTTACCCTACCAGTGTTTCCAGGAGGCGCGCAAGATTCTGCAGGAGGACCGAAAGCAAAAGCTCGAGGCCATTGCGAAGGAAGTAGCCAAGATTAAGAAGCTGGAAGAGACACCTGCAGATCAGGTTCCCGGCGGCGAGCATAAGAAAAATATGCGATTGACGAGTTTGAGGAATTATTTGGAGAAATTGAAGATTTTGGCGGATGCCAATGATCCTATGGTGAAGAGAAAATTCGAAGATGGTCAAGGTACGTTTTGCAATTTTTTTTTATTCATACGCAGCAATTGAAGCCTACATGGCTGCATGGTTGTGGTGCATTTTTTGGTTATCGATTTTGCTTCATTCTATGGGGCGAAGGATATTTTTGGGGTCGGGAAAATCCCGAGCGTGGAGTGGAAGTGAAGTGCAGATGGGAATATAAGCAAGAATAATTGTTCTGTCTTTCACATACGACCATAGGATCTGGAAAACTCGGGATCCCGTCCGCTCTCCCATAGATAAGCCAGATACCGCCGGATCAGTAGTTGGGTCGGTGACGACCAGCGAATCCCCGGTGTTGTATGTTTTTTTTTTGTTTCTTGGGGCATTATTTTTTGGTTTTATCTTTTTGCATATTTGGGTTTAAACGCATATTTCTTTTGAGCTATGAGCACTAATAATTTCATAGGTGATATGGATAAGCCGATCTATCGTTTCTATGTTGAACGTAAGTGGCGTGGCTTGCCCTATCGGATGATCATGCAACGTATTCAGCAGTTACACATTGTACCCGATGTGCTGCCGAAATTTGAGCCTGTTGCAGATGTCGAACTTTACTTCCGACGAATCAAGGTCACCCCTGGTGATATTTTGGATTCTCGAATTACGGAAGTACCACCACGTCTAAGAGTTCAAGTATTTAACCCTGGAGAGCGTCTCGTCTCAGTCGTAGTTATGGACTCGGATGTCCCTAACCCCGAAACGGATTCTTTTGATAGGCGGTGCCATTACCTTGCGGCAAACATTCCTATTTCTCCTAATCAGACTTCCTTGCCTCTCGGTCAGGCTGACAAGGATTCTCAGTTGGCCGTGCGATGGCTTCCGGCTTTCTCTCAGAAGGGCGCACCGTACCATCGATTATCGGTGTTTGTATTGGAGCAAAAGCCTGGGGAGAAACTAGATATTGCTAAGCTACGTGAGCTGTATTCCAGCCGAGACGGATTCAGTCTTAAGAGCTACCGGGATAAGTTCGGCCTCACCCCGGTCGGCTTCAACATCTTCCGAACGGTCTGGGATGAGGGTACGGCCGGTGTTATGGAGAGGGCTGGCGTGCCGGGTGCTGATATTGAGTTCAAGCACAAGAGAGTCTACTCGCTCAAGGAAGACAAGAAGCCCAGAGGTTGGGAAGCCAAGAGGCAGAAGCCCAAGTACAGAGGCTTATGGAAGTACAGCAAGAGGATCCATGGTATGAAGATGGGTCGCAGGTAAATACCTTGCTGATATTAATGTATCATATATACATGTACAAAATAAGACCAATTGTAGATGGACCAAAGTCTTTTTGGACTTTTACTGTGACTTAGAATATGACAAAAATTTTGGTATCATCATATGGGCAAGTTGTACTATACTCTATAGCTGGCTCTTAGCCAACATGCTACTCTATCTTCACTAAGTCTTTGTCTTTATCATCGTGCTAATTTGAACTTTTACGGACTTTGGCAAGTTACAAATACTAAAGCCCGATAGTTCAAATCAAGGATCTCACTACTCCAATCGCAACGATCCTACTACAGACAAGCTCGCTACGAACTATCCGGTGCGGCGCACTCGACCCCACAACGATCACGATATCTCCAGGGGTCGAAGACGACATCACACCCCATTGACCTAGAACGATATACACTGTAACCAACTTCGGCATTTATTAAGTACCGCTAGGGATAATTAATTGGCATACATTCATACTATCGTTATCTAACATGGCAACATTGAGAATTAGAATGATAGAATCGCGGCTTGCTTTCCGAATCAGACGATTCGCCCCCCTATTAACAACTAAGCTATTAGGACCTGGCCCTGGCTAGCTGGGGTAACGTCGAATCCCACGCCCATGAGACTATCTATTCACATGTCGGTTCCGTTGCATCGGGTGTTCCCTGCCGCTAGATTCGGGGTCTTTATTATCGAGCCGCGTGTTTCCACTGTGCTGGGTCTGTCGCGAACCGTAGACCAAATTTCAACTTCATTCTATATTGTTAAGATATTTGTCGCGAGATAATTCGTAGTAATATGTTATTCGTAGGATACTTCTAAATGGCATCTCAAGTCACCGAATCCCTTGCGGTCGCGGCTACTGCTGCGGCACCAGCGAAAACTGCGGCGCACCTAATTACTCAGACTGGTGTCAATGCTAAGGAAGAAGGTCCGTCGGACGGCGAGTCCGGAAATACGGGAGATGATGATCTGTATTTCCACCAACGTATTGAGAAGAACGGCCAACAAGTCCTGGTGAGCTGGACCAAGGAAGAGGAAAAGCGCGTTGTTCGCAAAGCGGATTGGCTGTTTCTACCTATATTCGCTGTATGAATTCGCACTCATTGTTTCGGCTTCCTTTGTGGCCTCTAACTTTTTGTAGTTGATGTTTACATGGATGGCCATCGACCGCACCAATGTCTCGGGAGTCCTGACTTCGACATTCATAAAAGACACGCATATGACGCGAGACCAGGCGAACACCGGGGTCTCGCTGCTATGGTTCGGGATTGTGCTTCTCGAAATTCCGTCAAATGTGAGAAATTCCTTTCTACCGCCTATCTCAATAGCGAGTAAACGGCAACTAAACTGAATAGATCGTTCTTCATCGCGTAGGACCGCATTACTGGATTCCGCTACAAGTAGTCGTCTGGGGCATCCTCGAAGTATGTCAGATGTTCGTGAAGAATGCTAGCGGTTGGTACGCAGCGCGCTTGTTTCTAGGATTGGCCGAGAGCGGGTTTATCCCTGGTAGTTTATACGTACTCTCGCGGTGGTACACGCAAGACGAGCTTGCAAGTCGGACGACGTTGTTCTTTTTCGGGCCGTCGATTTCGGCGTCGTTCGGATCTCTTATTAGTGCAGGAGCCTTGCGTATTGAAGGCAAGGGCGGGCTTTTTGGGTGGCAATGGTGAGTCAAGTCGATTTTGAAGGTCATGGTGTTATAACTGACGAAATCTTGTAGGATTTTCCTCATTTGCGGTGTTTCTACGATAGGTAGGGAGGGCTAACTCACCATTTTCTTGGCTTCATTGCTGACAATTGGGCCTTATTCTAGCTGTTGGTCTTATTGCCTTTACGCTCGTCCCTAAGTCTCCTCACCATACGAACCGTCTTCTTGGCGGCCTTGTTCCGTGGAGTGGGTGGCTCTCCGAGCGCGAGGCGGATGTATTTGTAGCCAGAATCATTAGGGCAGACCCCAAAAAGGGACAGGCATCTACTATGAGCATTGGACTTAAAGATGTGTAAGTTTAAATTTTCAGGATGCGAACTGAATCTAGGACATTCCTGGCTGATATGCCTATCTAGTACCGATGTCCTCTTCAACTGGACCACTTGGCCATATCTAATTATCTGCCTAAGCGGACTGCAATCCGCCGGTGGCCTACAAACTTGGGGAGCAACGATCATTCAATCCTTAGGTTTTACGAGCGTTCGCGCGAATTTACTCAACGCTCCCGCGCCCGTCTTATCATCCATACTCGGAGTTTTCTTATCGCAATTCGTGGACCGATACAAGCGATTTGGTTACACCATTGGGTTCGCTGCCGTATGGACTATGGCCGGGCTAATAGCTCTCTATGTAAGTCTTCCCACCGCTATGGATTATCTTAGATCTAACAGAATGAAGAAACTTCCGGTTACCACGCAAGCTTCGTGGTCCTTCTACGCTGCCTATGTTGTAACACAAGCCGCCCCGTAAGTGAAAACCTCTCATTTCATGCTGGGGTCTGCTAACCGCATCATACAACCTAGGAGTTGGCAACCCCTGAACGTCACATGGCTATCCTTGAACCAGAAGACGCCGCAAAAGAGAGCTATCGCATACGCCGTATATAGTATGCTTACCCCTATCCTGGTACCCTTAGAAACAAACTAATAGCATGTCTAGTTGGCTGCTCAAACCTAGGTGGAACATACGGAAACCAGGTCTTCAGAGGAGTAAATTGTCCCCCGTGCCTTCATTACCATTGTATACCAAACTAACTGTGGAACTCATTTAGTCCGATGCCCCTCTATACCGTAGAGCATGGGCAGCCTGCTTGGCCCTCGGGGCAGTGTGGCTTGCCACGCTCATCATCCAGACGTTACTGTTTAAGTGGACGAACCGACGATTTGCTAAGAAGGTATACGAGGACCCGTCGCTGGAAGCTGAGGCGTTGTATACGGATCGGAAGGGTCGTAAATATAGATATTACTGGTAGACATAGACCCAGCGCTCATTAATCCGGAGGGTTGAATTGCTGTGTAACGCTGTTGTCTAAGGATTTATATAGATCTCAATCAGTGCTCAAAAAATTAGTGATACCAATTGAACAAGTAAATCCGGTATAAATTCCTCATAGAATTTCCTCTTCTCTCGAAGGATTAAGCTCAAGTAAACCTCACATTTAAATACGACATCCCCGGCTCCACTACATCCTCACCCAATGGTTCAACCTCCGCATCGCCCACCGCCCCAGCCGCCACGAGGATTGGCGTGAAATGCTCAATCGTAGGATGCGAGCGACGGAACTCTGGTAGCTTCTCTAGCTCCAACAGCGCCTTTTTCCTTTCCACGGCACCGCGCTTTGTGACTGCTACTCGTAAATGCGTATCAAAGGACCGCGACTCCGCGAGGACTTTCTGCCGTGCGAGTTCCCGCGCTTCATCGGATGGCGCACTGCGGATCTCGGCAAGGGATGAGAAGGAGTGTACGGCCATGCCGGAGCCTATTATGAGGTATCCCTCATTCCTAAGTCGCAAGGGTTATTTAGTAAGAAATTACAAGGGAGAAATGAGAGGTGCGCATACCGGAGCGATGCAACGGCCTCACCAAGCCGGATTTGACTTTCTAGATCATAGTCGTAGAAAGTGGATACTTGCACAACCGGTACATCAAGGGGGTTCTCGGGTGGGAACATGAGTTTGAAGGGAACCCAGACACCATGATCGACGCCTCGTTCGACGCGCTTCGCTTTGATGCCGGATTTCGTAAGGTGTTTCCACACATCAGTCGCCAATCCCGGTGCATCTTCGTGTGGCCATTCATAATCGTAGACAAAGGGTGCTGAATCATGGAAATCGTTGACGAAGTCGTGCTATTTAATGATTAGGAATTATTTGGTGGTTTTCACCAACTTTGATGGTGAATAAATAGTGACCCCTTACCATAATATAAGTCCCTTTCTTCACATTAACTATAAATACAAAATAATTAAACACATTAGTTATGACTTCGTCCAAGATGAAAAAGAGGAACAGGTAAAGATAATTCAATCTCACCTTCAATTACCCCTGGTCCATGTATCTCTCCCGCCTCAAAGTGACCACTAAAAGTAATAATAGCCTTCGGCCGGGGTGATATCGCACGGATCTCCGCCCCGATGGCGCGGAGATTATCCTGAACAATCCGATTCTTCGGCGACTCGTCGAACAGCAAACTCACCCCAGCATGGCCGATAAAATAAACCGGAAGCGGTCGGGAGGGTTCAATGACGGACGGCATATCGGTGGTAGCTTAGTAAAATGTATATATAATCCCTTACGTTATACCGAGTCCCGGAAATAGCAGTGCAGGAAGCAATAAGATAGGGTATCCATTATTTTCCTGCGAACGGCCAGGGATATCTATCGCTTTATGAACCCTCCTCCATCCCCTCGCTGTTGTGGAACATATCGGAAAGCCTGCCGAAACTAAGAACCGGGACGAGAATCGGAGAACTGTGTGTGGCCGTACTGTAGACATGTTACGTGCGGATAGTATAATATGACGTGATCGCCGCACCCCACGATCCCTAGCTTCGAAGTGTGAGGGCCTACCACTAATGATTGGATGCTGCCAGAGACCACACAAATCTTACCTAGGATTATTTTGAATGATCAAAAACTTCTAGGAACCGAGGGTTCACTAATATAAACTCCCAATAACCAAGCTGCCGATGTTTCGTCTCGATATTTAAATGCAATGACCAGCGAAGACACGTACGGTTCTAATAGGACATGGAGAGGAGTAGGTAGCAGCAAGAGGTCCTCCACAACGCTTGTAATCCCTACTGTACCACCCGAAGTTGTTATCTCTTTGGCGTGATCGAGGCATGTGTCACGCAATGCAGCACCCTAATCGGTGAGCAAGCTCTCCTCAAAAGGACAGCTTAAATCTGGTGGCTGTGGGTAGCTATATAAAAGCCGGTTGTTGCCGGATGCGAATTTGCCTATCTTCTTGGTAGGTTCAAGTCCTATGATCGCGTAGATAAGTCCGTAGACATAGCCCGTCGGAGGATTGGGAATTGGTACATCACTATCTTATAACTTATCTGGCCTTTCTTGTAAAACGCAATGGCAGTCAAGGCGCGACGTGTAGCCGTCATCGGGGCTGGTCCCTCGGGCGCAATAGCCACGGATGCGCTAGTGAAGGAACAAGCGTTCGACACAATCCGAGTGTTCGACCGACGAGCCGGAATCGGTGGAACATGGATCTACACACCTCATCTGCCGACCGCGATCCCGTCTCTAGAAGATGTGATAGCCGGCAAGGCAGACGTCGCGGTTCCTCTACCTCCGCAGCTTCCGACTGTGACACCAGTGTCCGAAGAAATTAATGGACACCAGCGGCGGTTCTCCGATACGGCGCTGCATGAGAACCTGCACAGCAATATCACACCCTCTATCATGAGCTACACGCAAGAGCCTTTCCCGAACAAGCTTTCCCCACGTACACTGGCCGAACATGGCCCCGGGGCGCCTTTCCGACACCACACCGTGATCCGCGAATGGATCGAAGGCATATTCTCGCGCGGCGGTCACGAAAAACTCCTTGAACTCAACACCACAGTAGAGCGAGCTGAGAAAATCGGCAGCGAGTGGGTACTTACTCTTCGGAAGGAATCCTCGGGCAGGAATTACTGGTGGAGAGAGACCTTCGACGCCCTAGTCGTGGCGACAGGGCATTACAACGTCCCCTGGTTTCCGAACATACCGGGTCTGCTGGAATACGACGAGAAATTCCCCGGGAGGATACAACACAGCAAACACTTCCGTAACTCATCGAAATTTAAGGGAAAGGTAATCACCCCATCGATTCTTCAAATTTGTGCGACCCTGCTAACACGCACAATAGCGGATAGTCGTAGTAGGCGGCTCCATATCGGCGCACGAAGTCGTCCACGAGGTCCTCGACGTCGCGCAAACTCCTGTTTACGCATCTCTACGCGGAGGCCCGATCCCGGCATTCGGATGGGAGCCTTTCCTGCATCCGGACATCGCGATCAAGAAGGAAATTAAAAAGTTCGATGCAGACACCGGTCGTATCCATTTCGCCGACGGGTCATTCCTTGACGATGTAGATTACATCTTCTTCGGAACCGGATACACATTTAGCGTCCCCTTCATCACGCAAGTGCAAGATCGCATCAGGAATGCCTACCGTAGGCTTCCCGGAGTTTACCAACACACGTTTAATATCGAGGATCCGACATTGACTTTTGTCGGCATGGTGAGTCTTCCCTAACCTGACCCGCAGTAGTAATTTCCATTCTAGCTAACCACTTGGCGACAGCTTGGAGGCGGCTTTACCTTCCGAGTTTACGAATGGCAAGCTGTAGCGGTAGCGCGACACCTAGCAGGACGAGCCGCAAAATCGCTACCATCGGTGCCAGAGCAACTCGAATGGGAACGTGCGCGCGTGGCCGAAAAAGGCGGCGGTAAGGATTACTATTCGATTGCCCCTGATTACGCCGCATTCTTCGAATTCTTACAAGCAATTGCTGGCGAGCCCGCCCCAGGAACCACGGGCCGGGTGTTGCCACCTTTCGATCCGAAATGGCTCGAACTGTGGACTGGCATGGTCGCCAATAAGATCGAAGGCTTCCAGCGTAAGCGGAAGAGAGCAGAGGAAGCGAGAGGGGCAGTAAAGGCGAAGTTGTGAGGCAGTGCTACCTGGATTTATATGTTAATAAGATATTAAAGTGCTTATTCCGCTATTCCTTTTCGGAATACTTGTGCGGGTATTCATGTTTGGATCAGTGAGAATATAGTAATGTTTATGTCTTCTTTTAGCGCAAATGCATAGAATAAGGCTAACCTACGAAGGTGGTATGTTCTTTAAGCCTGCACCGCCGGTACTTGGCCTCATTCCTCCCTTCTAATCCACCAATTGTCGGTCTTCTCGTGTATCCATGTTAGCCAAGCACTTGACGGATGGTCCACTATCCTAATAGTCTCGGTAGTGGGCGACTGCGCCTCAAAAAATAGCCCTCCCCTGAAATAGGCGATAGTCAGTAGTGCTGATAGGACCAAGGATGCTACAAGGAGCCATGGTTTCCTATTTCCAAAGCGCGAATATTCCGTTATTCGCCTCACGCTGGATTTCAGGATTTCGCCTGTTCCCTCCCAGCCTGACTGGTAGAGAATCAACCCGATCAGCGCCAAACTATAGCCAATTAGCTGGATAAAGGCTATTGGCGTGCCCCATATCGCCACGGCTGTAACTACGAGGAGAATATTCTTGAGAACACCAGTAAGTACTAGAATAAGGCCGGAGGTTTTCCCAATCTATAGCCAGTTAGTAATTGGCTCTTATTTCATCCTGGTGATATTATCCTCGTGTAACCTACCAAGAGTACACTTGAAACATTCAATAAGAATGCGACAATTGCATTCAGCAATAACATAAAGAAGCCAGCCTCAGCAGCATGTACCCATACGGTTGAGTCCCACCCAGTAGCAATGGCCAGGACGAAATTGGTGACGGCGCAGACCGGAGCGTAATAATAAAGACTAACGAGAGGGTCCATGCTCAAGCCCGTATTCGACATAAGAGACTGTATCATGATGACACGAATAGACTCGAATATGATACCGGCGATCTGGAAGACGAACCCGAGCCAGGAAAACTGCACTTCACCGGCGCTCGCTAAAGCGACACCTACGACGATGAGCATGATGTAACTAAATGTCGTCCAAGTTGGGTGCTCAACGCCCCAGAACCAGCCAACAATAAGGGTGATAGCTGGTGCGATGGCCTATACGTATTGTCACATAATACTTAGCATCTCATTTAAAAGGAAGGGAGTGTACAACGTATATAGCGTTTTTCACCAACCTTTAACATCTGTATGAACGAAACACTCAGGTACAGAAAGGTCGAAGTGCTACACGCCATACTTCCACTATACAGAAGACCGATAGGAACAACGGTCTTCATATATAGCTCGGTATTCATGTGAGTTTTATGACGGCCATCGAGAATGTTGGTAGTCCTGGCGAGCACTTGAGTCGCCAAAGTGGCAAAGACCATATGCCATAATGTCAGTATCACGGCTATTCATCGCAATTAGAACTACACAGCATATCAAGCCCGGAGTATAACTTGCGATAGCCTGGTCAAGGTTAGTTTTGCCGATTTACCGGAAATATCTCATATTCGGAGATAGCGACTTACGGAAACCGGCATCATCGATCAACCATTTATTGAATATGATAGTCGAGTTTGAGAAGAATATCCAAGCTCTGAAATGCGTGTTAGTTTGAAATCAGTTTTGTAAGAGTTAGTGGGATGTATGAAGCCTTACGATATGTACACAGCGGGATGCAGTGATAAGGCTGCACCCGCGTTATAAGTAGGCATCGTGAAGAAAAGACGTGATGAGTGACGTCTTTCAGAAATCGCGCTAGGAACGGTAGATATATTTTTCAAGGTGTAGATAGATATCGCGACTTATTATGAAGGATATCGTATGTATGTGTAATAGGCATGCTTATGGGTAATACGTGGCATACAGTTACAATTGAGAAAGCTGTGAAAACATTGGAGAGAAAAGAGTCTTGAGAATGGCTTGTACCACAAGGGATCACGTTCCCATGTTATTGGAGAATGCCTAGATGACATACAGGAAACAAGGCGCATGTTGATTGGTTGAAGTTGGCCATACGAAGTTTGGAGATGAGGTGAGAAGCTGAATTGAATTACTATGACAATGCGATACGAAGTATTGGGGTACTTAGGTACATACATACCTCGGGGAATGGGGTAATAAACAACCGCCACCAAAAACTTAAACCTACTGCTGACTTGGAGAATGGAATCCCAATCCCTGGGCAACCCCGACCCCATTACTTTAAAAGGTTAGTTCAAAGATGAGGACCCATGTCCCACATGGCGTACCCACTCCCATTCATGCACGGGCCATGGTACTGGCATCATATTACTCGATCTGGTGAATGCTCTATGGGACCCCTGGGCTAGGTGGACCTAAAATTGGACCATGTTAGACTGACTATAGCCTAGCTTGATGCAAACCCTGGCTATCATCCCCATCCATTTCATCCCGTCTGAGCCGGAGCCTTACCTCGATAGTTATCTCCTTTCTTTTCTTCACGGCAGGCTTATTTTTGCGGCACAAACCAATCCTATCTATTGTCATGATACTATAACAGAAGGTTTAGCCGTATATAGACAGTCTAGCCTTAAGTTGGTGGAGTTAGTTCTTAAGTCTTTAAATGGACAGTAAGCTCCTATGTTGTACAAGGCTCGGATTATATGACAATTGTTGTCGGTATTACATAGAAGAAGGCAATAGAATCAGGAACGAATTATCATCGTACGTTTTGCCAGGTAGATAAGATAAAAATAGGCTCTAGGTTAAGGCTTTTTGTATGGCTGGTTCCATGGTCGTATTGGATGTGTAGGCATGGCTATCTCGAAGCCATGGCTTTGAAAAAAAGCATATCGACGTGGTTGATATTGATTCACTTACAATGGGGCGGTCCTATAGCTGATATTACACGAGAAACACTACAGCTTAGCGGGACCAATGAATTTTGGGATCGGCGAATACAAACTCCGTAGGAACTATGAGCATCATTAATATTTAAAAGTCGAGTCAAAGGTTGTATTTTCTCTTGTTATGTAGCAACAATAATATTAAGACGTTGTTAGACGACACCGCTGTTACGGCCGACTTCATCCTTATTGGTTCTGCATTTCGAGCTACGTGAATGGCTACTTATGCGGTGTAACTGATCCGACAGTCTCGGAATGATTCAATTTTAGTTCCGACAGCAAACCCGACTCAATATTTCGGTTTCGCTGCTGATCATACACACCGGTAGCCGTAAGGCTTTCGTACGAGAATGTTTTCCAGCGGGGGTATAAGTACCACGAGAACACAAAATGTCCCCATTCACTGCGGTCAAGGTGAAGTTGGAAACTCGTTGCATATGCAAGCCTCCAATATTTCGGGTCGATAGACAAATAAAGTGTCGAGCAAAGGGAGATGTCACACCGCAACAAAAAGGATATCATTGATTCAGAATATGTATATAAATGGGTAATGGATATTTTCATGATGCCCAAGGGTATCACTATTCTTCGAAATAAACGACAAATTTTCTCTCATCTAAAAATAAAATCAAATAAATACTTGGATATCAATCAGAAGATTTGAGTCTCTCGCAGCTCAGCAAATTCGTGACAGTTTCGTCGTTCGGTAATTTCTCTCAAAAGAAAAAAAGATTTCGTCTCGTACTGTATTCCAATCCATAAAATCCGCTGAACACTCCAAATATGCATGGGACTGTCATGCTCCATAAGTCGGATATCATAGTGCCGTCGTTGTTGGCACGTGCGCGCGATCGTCATGACGGGTCGTAAAAAAAACACAAGCAAAAACTTCGTGGTATCAAAAATACAGAGGGGACCGGACTTCCGTGTGATGACATCGCTGGTCTTAGGAATCGAATACGCAACAACACACACGGGCGTCTGCTTCATAGGAAGCCACCTTCGTTGGCACCGAATACACCAACACTACCTCTCCACCGACAACGTTCCTCTCGTTCGCTCGGGGACAACGCTCCGGCACCCCTCGGACTCAACGTACCTCTTGGTGGTGTCGTCTGTTGAGCTCCGTCGATTTCGCTACTTCCTCGGCTACTGCTCGCGCTTTGATTTGTTTGGACAAGCAACAAACTGCTAGTGCCGCTTAATCGTTTAGTGAATTCGTTAAAACTAAGTCGTTTAACATCAGACGTCGAATGTCGTTTTTCATGATTTCGTCGAGTTACCGACTCTTCCGCCACTCGAGCAGGGATCGCTGACATATCCAAGGTAGATGTAGGAATATGCGGCTGACTGCTCGTCCGTTGGGCCGCAGGCCTTAATCTGGAATGTGCCGTGTGCGGGCGGAGGATGGATGGCCCCGACTCGTGATAATTTGGGGCCATCCTAGGATTTTGTGGTCGACCGGAGCTATGACGGTTAGCGATGAATTGGAGGGCCTTTTGCGCAGATGGCCCGATCTCGTCATGACCAAGATCCTGCTCGAACCCATCCTCATCGCTGTCATCTTCATCATCCTCGTCCACTTCCTCTTCTTCCTCGCTTTCGTCCTCTTCCCAAGTACTCTTTAACGGTTGGTTCATGGGCGCCTTCTCCTTCTCATAAGTTTTCTGACGTTCCTCCGCTTCACGCATCAATGCTTCAAATCTAGCAAGAGAACTGAGCTTTTCTTCTCCGGGAACTTCACGGTCCGAGCCAGGAATGCACCGTAGCTGGAAGGCTCTGTCTAAAATGGTTTCCCGCGGTCCTGGCGGCGAGCTAGAATGGACACTGGGTAAAATTTGACCTGGCGAAGAGCAAACACTTCCCCTTGCCCTGATAGGAGAACTCAAGGTGGACGACCGCCCCTGTGCCGAAGTCCATCCTTCGATGAATTGATCGTGGTATTCCCCAACCGTGGTGGCAGGCGAGGGGAGGTCGAAAGGATGTACTGACGTATAATGCTGTGCTGCGTAACTCGTGTTAACGGGAACCATCGAACTAGCATGGGACGAGGAAATATCGCTACGCTGGGAACGTATGCTAGGTGATCCTGAAATATACGATATATTGGCATCTCGACTCGATGCATGGGCATGACCAGATGATTTAGCCACAGGCCTGGTTCGCGTCTTAGAGGAACTTCCACTCGATGTGCCGGCATAAAAGTCGCTCGTATCTCGAGCAACAGATGGAGAGAATGGATTAATGAAAGTTGGCGATGTCGGGCTAATCGGACTTATTGGATGCCTACCAGGAACTTCGGGTTGTATTAATGATTGAATGTAGCGGGCCCAGTCCTCCAGCGTATACGTGCGATCATCGCCGAGACGAAGCCACAAAGTTGTTGGACCCGATTCCTTAGTAGTAGTCAGTCCTGCCGTTCGACTCGATCGACGCTTTCGCAGTTTGTCAGTAGCGGGATCTGGAGATATCTGGATAGCAAGAGTTGGAAGCACGGGTCCTTGCTTGCGGTGGGTGACCATTTGCACCTGGCATTCTGTAACGGACGCTATCGAATGTTGTTGGATCGGTTCCCAATCGTCCTATTACGTGATCAGTATTTCTGGTGTTGATTCTGGAGCACCGCCAGTATTTAATACCTTTGTTTTATAAATTGAAAGAAATATAGCATCGGGTTGCGCTCTCGGAATAGGTTTCGACGACCGACCACTTGAGTCCTTCAGGCGAGCGGCAGATAGGACTTGGGAAAATCCGGTATTAGGTTGGTAGGCGTCTCGCTGTGGACCGACGACAAGATATCGAGGCTAGATGTAAGTTTAGTATGTAAGCCATGTAAATTGAATGCGCATGTTGACGCCAGCGGGTCATCTACCTTCCAAGCAGCTCTTCCGATTCCGATAATGGCACCCCGATCTGGGGGAATAAGTAGGAAACCTTCCATATTCGATGGTGTCGTTTATCGTCGTTGCGGCGCCGTTTGCGCGATGCGTCGATATTCTGCCGTAATTCGGTCCGTTCGATCGCGCAGAGAGAGCGACAGATCGGATATGAAAGCGACTGGGTACATTAAGGATTAAGGCAGCATACTGGTAAAAAAGGATGCGCAAGAAGGAAAGACTCTGTCTTTCTTGCTTGTAGAGAAAATGAATAATCGAGAAGCTAAGAAAATGTAACAAGGAGATTAGAGAAAAAAAGAATAGGAAAGGAGACTCTAGTCTTTCCAACGAGACTTGAAGGTCCTTTTTCCGGAATCGCACACAATCAATTGGCCGTTACAGCGAGAGTAGTAGAAGAGATAAAGCCAACTGGATGGAAGGGGTGGCAAGTTAAAGGTGTGGAAGTGTGGAAGGGAGTGTGGTGAGCAGCATTGCTGACAAGACAGGACTGGACAAGAGACGAGACGAGGCTTGTAATGCTAATGCTAATGCTAGTAGGTACAGTAGGTACTGTAGAAAGAGAACTGCGCTGCTGCTGCTGCTACTATGAAATTAATAATTATTTTTAATGCATGTCATTTAGGTGCGCATGCCTACTAGAGTCTAGTGAGGTTTAGCGCAGTAACACCGTGGTACGAAATGCTGGTAGGGGGTTACGACAAAGTTTCTACGTACAGGTACCATTTCGCTGTATGTATCTCTACGTAGTTACCGACGTAGGGGGTGCTAGTCTGCTAGGCTGCTAGGCTGCTAGGGTAGGGTGTAGGGTGTAGGGGTACGGTACCCACGGTAACCTTCGACCCAGGATACATCTTTGCACATACCAAGATCTACATATTAGTGATACAAATCTAGATGTCTACGTAATTGCAGCTTTTTGTCTCTTTGGGTCATCTAAGGGGGGATAATATGTGATGATGTGCAATATAATATAGACTTACAGATGAACTCACATATATGTAAGTGCATACCTAGACCATGCATATACTTTATGGAAAATGGAAATGGAAAAATAGTATACGTCGAATAAATTGAATCTAACGCCTTTAGGCTACAGATTGTATAACCATCTATAATTTAGTACGGCGTAGCCCCCTATAAGTCAATGCCAGTAGAGACTTTCTTAGCACCGCTGTGAGCCGAGGCCGACGAACAGGGGCAATTAGTAGAGGAATTAATTCCGGAACCGACGGATAGAAGTCCAACTCTTTTTTTTTTTTCTTTGCTAGACTATTTGACGGTTTGCGAAAAGTTGGAAACTATCTAGATCTAGGTAACTAGGGCTGTTGTACTAGACCTAAATCGAATCCATTCTGTGTTCGGGTTCGTTTTGTATACACATTCTGGGTCACAGTAACAATAACGGTTTCCATCGTCCAATCACCGCTGTTTGTTAGGACCCTTGGTTATGAACCGGTCGGTTTCAGAAACGGGCAGGATGCAGGCACAAGGGACCTCCTCCACGGATATTTGTAGAAAGTTTCGTCTAATCCTGTGTAGTAAACAGTTGCTATTAAATAAGGTTCGTTACAGGATTATAAGGTTTGTATTTGTTAGTTGTGCCTGCTATAAGTTTACGATTGATGATACGATGCCCTTATTTGGGTACATGGATATGTATCTACCTAGGTAGGTATTCCCAATGTCAATTCCACATGTTATTCTATAACAAAACTCTAACTGTTACCGGATCACTATCTCCGTCTCGTCCTATCTTCAACTAACCTACATACTACATCTACAAACTCCTGTGGGATCGCAGTCATTTCGGGAAACTCCACCAACCTGCCATTGAATCTATCTTGGCTAAACTCCAAGACTCTCTTAAAAATTCAATATGCTTTTAGTATACGAGGACGAATGTGGAGGCATTCCTAATTGAAGCCGAAAAAAGTGCATTCGAGCAAATTATCAACAACAATCAAAATCTCAAGAAAAAGGGGCATCTTCCGTCCATCCACCGCTAGTTTTGATCACCTACCACAATAATGAAAAATGATGATGGCCGCATGGACTGCGGCCTTCGCACTAGAGTCAACAAATAGTACATTCTCCCCAATGAGGAACAGGAGGAACAAGCTCAATTCTGCTGCGAACGACTTCAGGGTCTTTACCCTTCGCCGTTCGTTTACGGAATATTTTGACCCTATTAGAATTACTAGTCGTCTGCACGCTTTGACCCCGACATTTTGCCAGCACAGGGGAGACTTGCTTCTATTGGCCCGTTCGCCGAATCAGCTCTCTGCAACTAGTTGGATGCCCATGTGTTTTGCATGTTTTTGCATGTACATGTTGGTAGGCCAAGGTGGATCGCCTCGACATTTTACCAGCTGTATGCGTATGCAGTCAGTGTTATACTAATGCACCAGAATCCGGACAGAATGTGTCTTCCCACTGATTTCACTGGAACACGCTGGCCCGCGGATGTACGTTAAAGTATGGTAAACTTGGTTGAAAAAACCCACTGCTGCAGCTTTCTTCTATTTGTTCTAGAAGCCCACAAGAATTATTCGGAAGACCCCAATTCTACGACCATTACTAATAGCCCCTCAGGTATACTCCACGTTGGTTAAGATCTAAAGATTTTAGACTGACGCCTTACATCGACGGATGTAATAAGACGGACGTTATATAAGAAAGAAAAGAAAAAGCAAGAGAAAAATGATAGTTTATTTTAGTCATCTGACAGCCACATTGACAAGGGGAGATAACCGACGTCTTAGAGCCTTAGAGGTCGATCCCAGGCAAAGATCAGGGGGGGAAAACCACATCGCGAACAGTTTGAATCATCGGGGATAATAGTCCCCGCACTCTCTTTTCGAAAAGGGGAATAACCCCACTACCTAGGTACATGTACCCGTTGACAGAACAACCTTGAAAGCTTCGCAGACCCGGCAGGCCTCGTAGGCTTCGTCAACCTTTTTTGTGGTGGCTTGAAACACCACAACGAATGAGACAAATGCCAGGTTCGGTCACATCACCTATTCCGAACAGCGTTAACTGCCACGTCTCCAGGGACCCGGTTAGCAAAACGGCTCATGGCTTCTTGCGGCATATGACATCTAGGAAAATGTATCGACTTGCTTTTTAGAGTCGCAGAGGAGAATCATAAGTGCATCCGGCCTGTAGCTACTGGTATTTCGCTCATGGCGAGTGGCTGCTTAGAATGAAAAGCTTGTGGTGAGTTCGCGTTCCTACTGGACCCTTTTCCAAATGTGTTAGGTCCAGTTAAGCCGGCGGGGCCGCGGCCATGCATCACTTTCTATCAATTAGATGGCGTGTGGTTCGTGAGTTTCTGTTAGGTCGTATGTACGAATACGACCCAATAGTGATGGCAATGTAGCAATCGGTCGGCCGATTGCAACGTCGACACCTTGCTTGAAGACTACACTACACTACGATTTCCTACCTGCCTACTCTACGAGTAAATCAAGACCAACTGTCGCACTGAATATTATCTCACCTCACTCGAAATCCCGAGTGAGCCTCCTACTCTTTTTACTCAATATCTATCTCTAGGTATTACTCCTCCTCTTCCGCCTTTGACCGGCGAATAATATTCATCTCTTCACCGATATAGTGGCAACTTCGCGAAAACTTCGACTCCTTGCATAAGTCCTATGCACATCAGCACCGAAACCATCCCGATACTTGACTAACCAATTTCTAACTACCAGACGACATGACTCCGCAAAATATAGTCAAATATCTACTCCTTTAACGAATATTTCGTTCGATCGCCGTCTTGCCATGCTACCGAAGTATTATCTTATTCTATTTCAGCCTGCGTCAATTTCGGTCTCAGACAAAATCATGAATAGCCGTCCGATCAATGCCTTATAGGCATCCGCATTCGGCAGGTTGGTGTACATAAAATGAGCTCTTCCTTCATCCGAAATCCTATCTACTTCCTTCATGCAGTCATATTGAGATGCATGATGTGAATCTATATACACTGACATGGTCTACTACTACCAGATTACGTACGTACGCAATTTTGAGGTAGTCCGTGAGACATAGCATGATGCAAGAAACATGGGCGTCTAGACTATTGCGGTAAGTTCCGCAACTAATACCTAATACTGTCACCCCTTAAAAGATGTGTGAAAACCCAATAGCTACCGTGACACGCATCATTAAGCCCAGTTCCCTCTATATGGGACGTATGGTATGGAAATGACTGCACAACGGGCCGGCCCTTGGTTAGGTACCCAAGCCCAAGCGGTCGTAGGTAGGGTTTTGTTAAGAATCGGTCAGAGAGTGGCGAACGAAACCACGACAATTCGAAGCGCACTCCACCGCGGACCACTCCCGCAACTCCATTTTCTGCCATTTTCTGGAGACGGTCAAAAGAACCCTATCCACTCCTTCGCATCACCCCCATATTAAACAATTCCGTGGGGATATGTAGTCAACAACCAGACGGGGGAAAATATAGACCAAATTAACAGCGGCGTGACGATGAGACACTATTCGCAATTCATGAGATCTTACGCAGCCGAAGTCCCAATGAAGAAACAACAATTGACTTATACGGGATGGATAGATGCTGTGCTGATCGATATCACATTAGACTCCTTTTTTACTAGCTGCAACTCCAATGCGAAATGCGTAATGGCCGAGGTAAATCATGCCTCTTTAACGGTGCCAAGTTCCGCCTACCGATGCACATTTTCAAGTTAGCGTCGCCAATATCTACACGGCAAACCAGGATTAACATCAATTAACACTAGTAATTAACTCGCGTGGGATAGCTTCGCAGGCAAAATATTGGATCGTCTTTCTTAGTGACGGGTAGCAATGCTTCTTCGACACATCACGCAAGAAAAAGGAAAACCCCTAATCTGAGATCGGTTGCGGTACGGCAGCGAGCGGGTGTCACCCTTGCTTTGTGGCTGCCGATGTGACTATGGCCCACAGCGTCCCAAGAAAATGCTCAACGAACGAGAAACCCAAGGGAGTACCTCGCTATCCATGCAGGTTATTTCCCAGGTATGTATGGATTCAGAAACGAAGACAAAGTTGCTACGGCCCTCTTACGATGAGCGGTGTCAAAAACATTCTCTAAAATTTGAGACAAGTCTCACAACTTACCTAGGTGTACTTGAGATGCCGGACCGGACTCGGAGAAGATCAACTAGCTTCGTAAGTTGGGCTTCTTGGCCCCCACGAGACGGACGGCTCACAGACAATTCAGGAACACCGAGCCATACATACATCAAGCGTGTCAACGAATCCACCCCAGCCCATCCACATGGCAGATGTATGTGCTACATACATACGTAGGCCGTCAGTACCTACTCTAATGACTAAGAGAACCCCATATACCGTTCAACTAAGGACCAGGCTCTCTAATTATGGGATATATCAGAAACGGGATAAGAACAAGCAACAGCATAACGACTTAATGATCCGACAACAATGGCTTGACTTCGATCATTTCATCTAGACTACGTAAGTTGTACATACAGACATACCGATCAGCGTCCACATAACTCCATGTGATGATTGGGGCCGATATCGTAATGAAAAATATGACAAGCTGAGCAAGGGCACAACATCTTTTTATCTTACACATAAGGTACCAGGTATCCATCTAAAATACTCGCCAAATTGTTTTATTACAGCCGATTCTCTGGGGCTGGCGCAAGCATATTTCGTTCGTTCATTTTCTACTTGAATTTTAAATCTTGACCGCTTTTTCACGCTTCCATGCCCGCATCCGCGGGTAATCCAAGTACGTGGCTGGGGAAATTATCGTGGAAAAAAAAAAGAACACATATCAAATGAAACTGAGGCGTAGGACGAACGAGTGAGGGTTAGGGTCATTTAAATGGGGCGCACAAATTTTTCTTAATGAATAGGATACTGGAAGAAGAAATAAAAAACATAAAACAGAATCGAACAGCAAAGTGGACATCGTGCTCCGCTTTCAGCCATGGCGATGGAGCTCAAGACTGCACGTTTCAAGCAACTCGATCGTAAACATCAATTGGATTACACGATGATCAGCAGGGGATCAAGAAAAAAAATATGTAAGTCACGTAGGCATCCATTTGGATATACTACCTTACTGGTTAGGTCGTAGCAAGTTCAATGCTGTCAGCAACATGCAAGTCAGACATAGCCCTTGCATCGAACCCAAGGACGAACCGTAAGATGTACAGTTCTTTATCATTTTCAGCGGCATATCATGCCTATCTAGATACCTAGGTAGTAGTAGGTATTATCTTCGTTACTCGTAAACTACCAATCTCAACTCCACTAGCACCGCATCCCGCGGTCAAGGTAACAAGCCGGCCGTCTCATCTAGGGCCTTGTTCAACAACTCCGTCGCAATGGGGTCTTGGGGATGAATCGCAAGCGCCTCATGCAGGACCTCAACCGCAAGGTCAAACTTACCACCCTGCTCCATATAAATCAACCCCTTCGCCGCGAATATAGCAGCGTCCTTCCCGCCCTGGCGCAGCACCTCATCGAACTGATCCAGCGCCTCATCGTACCTCTTCATACGACGATACGCATGCGCCAAATTCGTCCTCGCCGACAACCAAGCGCCCGGCTCAGCATCAATCTCCTCCGCGACCTCCAGCGCCTTCAAAAACAGGGTAGCCGCATCCTGCGGTCTATCCTGATGGTAATACACCACTCCCATCTCATTCAAAAGCAGGGGATCGGTTTTACATAACCCATACGCAGTTTTCAGAAACTCATCTGCTAGCGTCATGTTATTGAGTGCATGATTCTGCATCCCGAGGAATACTTGGGGGAGGTGCGTGCCCATGAATAACCGCGCGGCGGTCGAATACGCGGATATAGCTTGGTCGTGCTCGCCTTCGGCCGCGAAGGTATGCGCGAATCCGATCCAGGCTGGGCCGAAGTGCGGGTCCATCATGCTCGCTTTACTAAAGTAGCGACGGGCTTCCGCGATCTTCTCGATGGCGAAGTAGTATATCCCGACCGCGAGCCAGGTGCACGGCTCCTCGGGGTGGGTGTCGGCTAGGTCGTGGGATACGAGGAAGAGTACGTTTTTCTTTTTAAGCTCGTAGAGACAGGCTAGGTGCACGGGGTAGATGCTGAAGTTGTATTTGTCTTCTTGCAGGACGGACTCGGTGATGGCTAGGGCGTCTTTGTACCGGCATTGGGTGTAGAGTAGGTCCGCTCGGGCAAGTAGTAAGTCGGGATTAGTGGCAAGATTGTAGTGTGTAGATAATGTCTCGTAAGCAGTCGTAAAGGTTGTAGGGTTTCGGTATTTGGAGAGTCGTGTGGTGTAAATCATTTTGGTAAATTCGGCCGCCTCTTGTGATGAAGAGGGGTCTGAGGAGACATGAATAGCATCAAAATCTAGTGATTCCAAAAATTGCCATTCTTCGTCTGGCGACATGAGAGAGTTCTTCATCAATTGCTGGAAGGCCTCAAAACATTGTACGTCTATGCGCACGGCGTCTTTATAGCACTCCTTCGCCCGGTCGAATGCATTCTGTTTCGCATAGCAGATACCCCTTAGAAAACACATAGCGGCCTCAAAACGTCGGTTCGCCGCCTCATCCTCGGAGAGTTCATCTCTCTGTTGTTGTGCTCTGGATGCAGCCGCTCCGCGGTGTGTAACGGAGCGTCCGCTCGTGTGTTGCGTCTTCCGCTTATTTGCTGGGTTATGAATCAAGTGCGTGGGGTTGCGCTCACCCAGCACTTGCAGTGCTTCCTCAAACCGGGACTGCTTGATAAAGCAATGGCCAGCAAGATAACGACAAGATGGATTGCGGGTAATTAAATCTTGCTTAGCGAGGAAAGCCTGTGCACGAGTGTAGTTTCCTGTAGCAAAATGAACTTGTGCGAGCCAGAAGGCATCATTATCGTCATCTGCGATGATACTTAGTATGAGGTATACAGCAGAAAAATATTTCAGATACCCAACTCACGCGTTAATGCCAAGAGCTTATCGCCGATGAAAATAGCCGAGTCATACTGAGCCTTATTCCAGGCGTCTTGCCTCCATTCACGGAGGAAGTTTTCCATGCTCATTTTGCCCAATTAACAAGTTCATATGCGTGGTAGTCGAAATAGTATAGATGAAGTCTTATGAGTGTTTGTTGTGGTGAGACGCGTCTGTGCGCAGCTATCGCGAGGCACAGGTATAAATAAGTGCTAAGCAATATAAAAGCATACCTCAAGTAGGTGAATTACCTTGATAATCAAGGATATCGCAACAGAGTCATTTCGATCGTTTGAATGAAGCGGTTTCCTCCCTGACTATATTGTTTGCAGCATCTTTTTCTGTTAAAATACATTGCTTGTTGGTATTTTGTAGTTGGATAAGTTCAATTGATCCATGCTGTCACGCGCAGCGGGGCTGAACAGTCCACTGAAAGTTAGGCTAGTCTCAGCCCTAAATCCGCTAATTTAGTTCACCATATCGCCGTAGATGTCCAGTACCAGTTACCAGGTTGGAATTATAGTTTGGAATAACTGCTAGGATAACTTACATGCAGAAGCCAAATAGAATAATAAATTGGAATAATAAGAGGCACCGAAATCTAATTTGAGTTTTCGAAGAGTATATAAAGTTCGTAGAATGCTACACTGTTCTAGAAAAATCATACTCTTCTCTATCCTCATCCTCATCCTCTTCTTCATCTTCATCTTCATCTTCATCTTCAATCACGGTATCAAAACGACGGCCAGATCCGTTTCAATGTGAGCACCCGGGCTTATCCGAAAGTTAGGAAAAATCCTATCTCATCCCGGGGTCTGGTGGTATCAACACCAGGTCTTAGATCAGTTCCCTGCTATAAATGGCCTTCCCGTAACATATTTGAACAAATCGTTTTAGCACCGGAATGATAAGTAGAGAGGCGAGGATCCATTCATAAGACTGCCTGCACCATTACGTTTCCCGCTGCCTTCTCCTAGTCAATAGCGACCGACAAGATGAACATCAACATCACGGCTCATCGTTTTAGTATAGACGGATGGCATGCGACATTGCGGCCTAGAGCTTAGTCACATTCGATCGGCATACCATTGATTTAGGTAGCCGGTACTGTTCTCTTCCCGACACCACAACATCCGAGTTCGCCCGGGACGGTTCAGAATAAGATACGGAAAAGTTAGGGCGGGTCCGGGCTGGGGTCTCCGAGTTATCCATTGGTAATGGGAAGGCCGGAGACCCTAGCAAAGACTACAACTTAATGACAAAGTCAGAGAAGATGTCATATTCTATGAGTGGTACGTTCCTTTAGCGGAACGCTATGAGAGACCATCTTCCCGAGCTCCCCCATGATGTATCGGAGCCACCTAACAAGAGAGATTCGATTGACTAACATAATCATCCAAATACCAGGCCCAATCAGGGTAGCCATGCTGCACCTCCCCCGACCGATGAGCACAAGCCATAGGGGTCGAAGTTGGTAGGGCTTGCGGGCAAGTGATGTAGGTGTTCGGTGGACCGTAGGGGGCTGGCTTGCAGGTACTATGTAAACAGGAACCCTTTCGTATGTTAGCAGTTACTAGAAGCCTTCCATATTTGGGGATTCAGAGAACAATATGCGAAAATTCTACTCGAGCTCCATTACCACTAAATGATCTGTCTCTGACCTTCCCCCATGCGTATGGATTGCTTTTCAGATTACCTAGGTAATTGTTAACAGGCTTAAGCTCACCAAATCTGGTCAAGAGATGAATGCTATTGGTATTCCCTAGTTATCTTATGACTCACGCTGAATAGATCTCGGGATTCAATCCCGGACTTGTCATACGCACCCCTCAACGACGCCACTCAGCTTCTTAGTTGTCGCAGGTACAGCGCCATCGGGGGTCGTAATTCACGCAATTTCACCAATCTCTATACCACTGGAGGAGGTACAAGCCAAAGAGACGGGGGGGCTTTAGCTGGCTATGAACTTCCGAAACAGCAAATGGGTCTAGACTCAGGCCAGATTTGTATCGGCATCGTGCACTTTTCTGCCAAATGGCGACTAGTTTATGATTGCCACCGCGCGGAGGTCAACGATAGTATCGAATATGATATCCTCGACCTACTACTCGGCTTGGGCCTTGTTGAAGAGGCTAATGCCATTTAGTATTGTCTTGAGACGAGCAACCACATTGTTGAGATCTTTAGATCTTCTCGCTGATGATTCTTGGTGTACAGTACGGTAGCCATTCGCACATGGTGATCTATCTAGCTTCGTAAGCCACGTATTACATTCTTGGTCACAGCCGGATTCGGGGTTCGGGCGCAATATGGAATTCCGACGAGGGCTCGCACAAATGTTGACGCCACAAACTATTAGCGTCTCAGATTTAAGAGTAAGAAAAAAAGGATGAGATAGGGTTTATGTAGAGCTGAGATAGGCGCATGAAAGTCGGCTTATTTAAATCAAGGAATTATCTATAAGCGGCGAAGAGCCAACGAATAGGATAAGAGTTACCCGAAAAAAGTGCAAGGTTTCCCCAGAATAATCGACTCTTAACTTTGGCACCGGCAGCTTGGCTACATAGATAAAATAGCGATAAACCATCAACTCTATTCCCTCGTATGAGTCCACGAATCGTGATGTGATATTTGCGCGTTATGGGACGGGACTATGCTGATAAAGGTAACAACCTTTACGACATTCCCTGATCGGTAAATTAGGGATGTTAGCAATAGGATTGGGAGGTAGCTCCGCGCCGCATGCAAGCCACGCAAGACATTGTCCGTAATTGGAGAGGTTTCGGAGTCGCTTTTTCACTTCTAACATAGGCACGTAGCGTATAATGGGAGGCGTCTCGCCAAGTCTACAGGGTGGTGTTTGTTTGGTGCGTGACGTAGTACAATCTTGCAAGGCTCGTGCCGTCTTTGCCGACCTGGTTTCTTGGTATTTTTTTATCAAAGGGGGGGATGCACAAACAATAGGCAAAAATAGGTTCTTTCAAAGATAATGAGAAGCAAAAATTCCATCGAAAATTTTCTGAAGTTTGTTGAAATTTGGCCATGGTCTGAATAGTGGTGGCGAATAACTCATACGGACGTTGAGTGAATCTCGCAACACATGATCGCCGTCGCCAGCCGATTATCATGCCCAATATTTATAAAATAGGTGGCATCTCTATAGCCGCATTAGTATTGATAGGTAGGTAGGCTTCCTAGGCGCAGAGAGGTGTCGCATTCATAGGAGGTAAACTGATATCCGAACCTCCCATATAGTCATATTCTTCACCCACACAGTCGACGTCGATTACCAATGGAATAAATTCAGAAACAAGAACCCCCATGGGGGGGCTATAGCTGGCGGTGTTCCTCTCCGTATTATGTTCCTAGGAGCCTCAGTCACACGCGGTGAAGTTTCGACCGGCGACAGAGGATACAGGAAACACATTCGAGACAAGCTCACGTCCCTGGGTAATCCAGTCAACTGCGTCGGCTTCAACCGCTTTGGCGACTTTCCCGATAACGACGTCGAAGGCTATGGTGCCAATCGAATCAGACAAATCCGCGACCACGCGGGACAGGCCGTATCCTACCTCCAGCCGAACCTCGTCCTCATTCAGGTTGGCACTAGCGACTGCTTCCAAAAGGACGATCCTACAAACATCCTCGCGAGGATGCGAGATCTTGTCGACTACCTGCTAGAAGCCTCGCCACGAGTCACTGTCATCTTGTCGACCCTCGCGACTACGCCGGACCCTGAGGTGGAGCCCTGCATGAAGAGCGCAAACGCGCAGATCCGACAAGTGGCAACCGACTTGATCCGAGAGAAAAAGCCAGTCACGTTAGCAGAAATGCATTACGATCAAGGGCTCCCCTACCGGCCGCGACCTGAAGACATCGGAGGCGATCGTATCCACCCAACAGACGAGGGTTATATTATGATGGGAGATATTTTCTTAGAGAAGATCCGCGAGGCCGAAGAGAAGGGTTTCTTGAGACACCCTGCGAATAATGGTATCCCTTTTGATGGTGAAGAGAGCAGGGAAGTTGAAGACCAACTGCATGAAAAGGCGGATAAGGAACACCCCCTGAAGTAATAGAGTCAAAGAGCGGAGGCGTTAGATCCGAATAGAGGGCAACATCTGATATTTTCAAGATCGGTAGTTTTAGTTGGACCGAATTTGGAGTAAGGACATATATCTGGGTATTTCAAATGAGGTTTCAATATCTTTCCGGCTATGTTTGTATGTATTAAGGGTGCCGAGGTAGGGAAAACGTGCCAGTTAGACAACGCGTAATAGGTAACAAAGGAAAGTGGATATGATGAAGATCTGTTCCTGAATTCCCGAGATCTCGGATCTTCGGGTTTCTAATTAATGGTACATATGTATGTTGGTGTTTGATAATTCGATACTTGTCAACTTCTAACGGTGAATGCTTTTTTGTTGAGCAAGATTAAGTACCTGGTAATCAAATGATATGAAAACATTTTAGCTTGAAGGGAACGGTTAGACCAAGAAGATCTCGGGATCCAACCGTTTGGAGATTAGCTGCCGAGCTAGACAAAAGCTTCTTCGAATGCGATGAGAAATCGAGAAGTCGAGAACCTTAAAAATTCTCAAAATGGGGTAGCTTAGCTAATTTGTAGTTTATTTAGTCGGAATACTTCCCTATCTCGGTGTTACCAACACGTGGTTGAGTATTACTACGGCCGAAGCTCGATCGTGTAGCTCCGATTCGCGATTCGGTAGTATCGATGCAACCATCTAAACTTCTAGATGTCCTACGGAATAGGAAATATTCGATTTGCTTCATACGTGAAAAATCAGTTGGTCACTTTGCGATTTTAATTATGTAATGGATGTTTGAAAGAGAAGGCCACATTATCATTATCGAAGATGAAGATTACAGTTAATTAGTACAGTACTAATGTTGGTAAATTTAGGGGACTGTGCCCTCTAATTGCACCTAATTGCACCTATCTATAGTTTGCTGAATTAAGATCGAGTTTGAGATTGTACCTGCAGCACGCCAAGCCGGCTTATCCCGACCGCTAATTCATCTTTATACTATTCCCATAAATCCCTGTCAGGTACAATGTAACAAGCCATTAACAAGGACTTCTACTACAAGGATGTAGCTGAGTTAAGCTGAAGCCCTATCCAGGTACCAACTTCTTTGACGTCTTTGAAGGATTCAGGTCCCTCTTCCGGGTATTCAACATCAACGAGAGGGGAAAATCAGCTTACACCGACTTGAAAGAAAAATGCCAAAAAGCCACGTGAGTGATTTTTGTTCGGGTCAGGGCCACGTTCACCGACACGTGGTGAGGGGGCAGAGGTGCAAAATACTATGTATGTCTTGGTATCGTGCTGTATGCTCTCTAGATTGTCAATGATATCTGAAACTTGGCAGGATCCTGCGAATATTCCAACGGCCCGATGCTAATCAAACCAGGTATCTTTGCGGTTAAGACGATGTTTCTTCGAAATGAATGAGCTCCCACATTGACCTTCAACAACGAGCACCAACAGCGGAACAAATGTATAGATGTAACAAACTTCTTTGATTGATACTGATAAAGCTCTTGAGTTGGTTATTTGTTACGAGGGTAACATGCAGACAATGCCGATAAGAAACCCCCCCTATGCGGCTTACATGTGAATCTACAGGCTTCACGATGGGGGCCGGCTAAGGCACCCCGGCTACGATCCTTCATGTACCACCTTCCTTTGTTTTCTTAACAAAACTACAAAGATTTCTAAAAACAGGGTCTATACTCGGAGAGACAACCTCTTAGCAATCCCTTTCGAGGCAAAGAGGTTGCACCCCTTGAGGGAGCCGCCTCAAAAATAGTATAGCCTATACCCTTGCTTCTCATAGGTCGCCTCTTTGAAGGGCTCCTACTCAACTTTGGTTCTATATAAGGGAGCCCTGTCATCCCACGATGGAGTGAAGAGAATAGGTAGGATAGAGAAGCTCACCGTTGTCCATCTCTGTATCATCCCACAGCCAGTCGGCCAGTCATTCCTTCCCATAAAAAAACAGCATTCCTTTTTGCAAATACAATCACAATGCTCTTCAGCACATTGTCCTTCCTTACCTCTGCCGCGACGCTAGCGTCCGCCGCAGTCCTTCCCTCATCTTCTCTCACCAAGCGTGATAACGGCATCTCCGTGACGCCACACGACCGATACTCCTCCTCGATCGGAGTACTAGGTTGCAAGATCAACACCAACCGTGTCGCATACTGGCCCTCATCACCCGACTGCAACAACATCTGCGTCAAGGTCAGCGCAAACGGGCGATCGGTCCACCTCCTCAAGATTGATCAGTCAGGCGGTGCCCACGATATCAGTTACGATGCGTGGAACTACCTCTCCACGGGCCAATCCGCCAAAGACGACCCGACTCAGGGCGGCGGTATCGACGCGACCTGGGAAGACGCGCCGATGTCCGACTGCGCGGATCTCTTGTCGGCAGGCGGTGGTAAACTCGCCTTCGCTGCTGCGAACAGCATGAACTTCATCACTTCCTGCTCGGCGGATACCTGGGTCGGCAAGAACTACGCGTTGTACAACATCGTCAACACGCAGTGCACTTGGGGCTACAATGAGACGTGCACGATGCCGGACCCGAGCCAGGGTAACCAGCCCACGTGCGCGCACCAACTCGGCACTACTGTGGCGTTGACGTCGCAGCCTGTCTGGAACATTGATTACGGCACTGGTCAACTATCTCTTGCGCAGTAGATAGCTCCCTCTACGTCGGCCTTTGGCCCGACTGTAGTGTGTGATGGATAGTTAGCGGGGTTGTTGGTTGTACCGGCCTCCCTCTTTTTGGAGATACGATACTTGCCTAGAAGCAGGTGTGCTCGAAGCACGTTCGCTTCTTGTTCATTCTTTGTCCTATTGGGTGGATAGAAAAAAGGGTATCATTCTTTGTAGATATTCAACACCATAGACCAAAGAGAAAGAGGGATGAAAAGCTTTCTTCGGGATATATTTGAACGTGGTTGTATGTCAGGACTCAAAAATCTACATTAAAGGTACCACATTGGACAGTGCTTCGGTTACTGTGAGGGGTATATGAGAATAGTACCTAGATACCTTAGACAGCCAATACAGTCTCTTAAAGCTCAATTCTTCCTATTACAACAATGAATCTCTCGCTCCCACGTTTTCAGCAAGTTGTAAATGTTTAAACATAACTTGGTCCATACCCCGTCCCGTCACCTCGTTGAACATCCGCTTGCTTGACTGGTCCGTACGGGTACCCAGTCAAAAAGGTGCCTGTTTGCTGTGGCAGCGGGGTGTCCTTCAAGACCCCTTGAATGCGTCTAGCGGAGTCTAAAAACCGATCTTGAACGTCCTCGTACCCTTCTATGACGAGTTTCTTGTCGCGCTTCACAAACTGCCCGTCTACTAAGACGTGCTCGATGTCGCCTACGCTTGCATGTAGTATTACCGCTGCGATAGGGTCGGTCCATCCTAACATTGCGGGCGAGCGCCCATCCCAGACCACGAGATCTGCTTTCGCGCTCGGCGCTATGATGCCAATGTCGTTTCTACCGAGAGCTAGCCCGCCCTTTCGGGTTGCGAGAAGAAATGCCTTTACAGTGAAATGTCAGTATTTACCTAGGCATCTTAAACAGTGTGTGTTGAATGATTGAAGAATTTAGATCTGGCACGGAAACCAAAAGCCTTGCAAATGATGCGATGCTCTTCAAACTAGAATTAGACGTAATAAACCTCTGTTGCTCACCTGATTGACAGACATGGGATTGTTAGCAGGAACTTCCCACAGATCGACTACTGTGTAGCTATAAAAACGTTCGCGGACTCGTTGCAACCAAATACGTGCCTGGGTAAGAATATCTGTCGAAAATGTGAAATGCGTATCGATACCCAGTGAGGCCTGATCTAAAATCAGATGGCTTGAGGGGTGCACATGCCCATAGTGCATTTCAGACTCTGCTGTGATAGAGATGTGCTGGTTTGTATTTCGCAATAATTGAGCTCCCCGCGCGGTTAGAAACGAAGTATGGGAAATCACAACAGGTACGCTAGAATTCAGAATGCCAACGCGATTTAGATCTTCGGGGGTATTTCCAACTATTACGGTGAGCTGGAGTCAAGAAGATGTGTTGGATTGACACTTACGTAGCCAAGGCCCTTCGACTTGGTGAGTGGTGAGTACTGCGACGTTATCGTCCCTAATACATTCGTCAATAGAAGATCTTGGATTTATTTGGGCCCAGGAAATTTTACTTACTTGGCAAGATTGACTACCGCTTGAGTAATGTTCTCGGGGTTACCCGTGAAGTCGTCATAGGATATGCAAAGTGTCGCAAGGCCAGGGACCGCTGACGCAGCAAGTTCGCGCCAATGGGCCATCTGTTGCGGAACTTGAAAGTCTGTCGAGGTATTCTGGAATGTATATGCGAAGAATATCCTAGCGCTACTGTCTACAGAGGCCTGCCAACCTGCCGCAGCATGATCGCGCGTCCATGTATGATGCGCATGATCAAGAATTGTCGTCACTCCAGCAGCAAGGGCCTCGTGAATACCTGCTAACTGGCTGATGTATATATCGCTGGGAGTAAAGAGATTGAGTCCTACGAGGGCACTGTATCGATTCGCGTATTCGCCCAGCGTCGTGTTGGACCCCAAGGTTTTAAAGACTGTCTGCCACCCATGACGATGTGTATCGATGAAGCCGGGAGTAATGATTTTGTTAGTACAATTCACAATCTCGGTGTTTTCGGGAATACCGTTTGGCGATGTTGTATTGAAGATGGTGGTGATACGGTCGTCGGTAACAAGCAATGATCCGTCACGTACAATATTAAATAATCCAGTATCGTGATCGAATGCGACAATGGTGCCGCCGCTCAAGAGCTTTGAGCCAGCACCGGCTGCTGTTCTGTAGTACAACGCATTGAGCACTAGCTTCCCGAAACTGGGCAACTGCATGGTGTTAAACTGGTATCAAGCTACCTCCTACCTGGGTGGGTAGGCTACATCAAGTAGAGAATGGAAATAATTTATATTGAGTATCTCACTGGAAAGAAAAGTAGCGTAGCTGGGCAATCCCTCTACATAACACCTCCTTAGGTAGCTGTATGTACGAAGTATGGTAATCCAGAAATATCCCTTACATACCTAAATTACAATGATCTCACTTCTATCTTTGGACTTAAATATGTTGGTTATCTAGATTTCTTTGGTAAATGACACGGCAGTGAGATGAAATTGTTAGGTCCAAAAGAATTCACTGTCTACCACGCAAGGGTGCTATCTAGGTATTTATGTGGCATTTGTGTAACCCGAGTCATTTCCGTCAAACAGCAGTCGGGCTCGGACTTGGGCGCTTTTCAATTACCTAGGTACCGTTCCAACAGCGTAGTGGCCCAGTAGAGACACTATCGTCCGCTGTCGCCCATCCAGTGCAAGCCCACTACGTGAACTTCGATGCGTAATGCGAAAGAAGGCTCCTAGTTATGGATCTTCGGGAACCATATCGAAACCACTCCCCAGATTCTTTAAATCCACTTTTGCGATCATTGCCCCTAGCGAGAACGCACAGCCCCCCCCCAGAAACGATGTAATATTGGGTCGAGGCTCCAGTAAGCTGACCACAGACTGTTAAAAGGCCAATGAGACAGCTAAGGAGAACCCAGAGAAGCGGTTTCGCACGCGTACGAGCAACCAACGGCTCAATTTTAGTAGATCCACGGACCGAAGCCCTTCACTGTCTAATACGGGCCGTCGATGGCTAAGCTAGATTCAGCACGGTATACTCTTAACGCCAAAGATACATGTTGAATATGCGTTTTGAACTTGATTGCTTGTACTAAATAGTATTCGGGGTTCGGGGTTAAAACCCGGGGCAACCTATCAGAAATCCAACAACTACGGAAATCGTCAATCGCCCTTCCATTCAACAACTAATATCCATAGGTTTGAACCAGAAGGATGGACTGACTGCTGAAATTCAAATCGAGGGTCAGCCGCCTTGAAAAGAGCCACCCAATCAGTTAGCTCACGATCATGAGAGTTCTGAATCTCAGTCATGCACAGATCCATGGACCTTCAAAGCTTATTAGCCTTGCTATCACAACAAAAAGGTTCATAGGAATACATACCTGAGGCGGGTTTCTTGCCTCTGTGGCAATATCCCCGGTTCGGGCAAGACATTGTCGTTGACAATTATCTTTGCCCCATGTTTTAGTGCAGGGATAAGATTCTGTAAGATCTTGATGCAATACTTATCAGACCAATTATGAAAAATCCATCGGAAGAAATAAACCTCGGCACCTCGACAGGGTTGGTTGCCGGAGAGGAAGTCGTAATTCATGAATCTCACCCGATTAGCAAGGTCGGATGGTACATCGTTCTGCGAGGCGGCAATGACTGGTTCGAGGTCCTGGACTACACAAGACAATAAGGGGAACTTTCGGGCTAGTTCAAGGCAGACAAATCCTCGAGAACCGCCAACCTATGGCTACTTGTCAGCACGAAGTAGATCAACAGCAACACCCTTGGCGAACTCACATCGATTACAGTGCCGTTGCCAAGGTCACCCCAAGGAAAGTTGTCCGTGATGTGACTAAGCTCAAAGCCGGGCCCTTCGGTAAAGCATCTCATCGCGTTTCCGAATCTACGTGCTCTCTCCGGATGCTCGGACAGGAACTCGTACATCGATTTTATCGTTTGGTTTGCTAATGCGAAACCCTTCGATCTTTTAGCTTACTTATAACACCACAATTATAGAAAAATCTTACCGTTTCGTTAGGCTCTTGAGAGCCTGGGAAACTCGCCAGTGCGTTACACGTTTGGGCGGCTGCCTGCCACATGTCATCGGTATTGGCTCCAACCCAGTCATGCACGACTTGGTCCTCCGCGAGTAAACGCGAGACAGCATTATGACGGATGATTCCTGGCCTTGGTTCCGCGAAAATGTTGTTCATAATCGCGTGACGAAGAATTTGTCTGACAATTTGCTCATTTAGGTTGGAAGCCTTCGCAATGTCGGCAAAAGTCGCTTCACTTCCAATGGGGAAGGCATGGGCCAAGCCGAAGCGTGTTATAGCTTGCTGGCTGATAAGCTCGTTGTGCTAATACACGGTCAGCCTAAGTATTCAGAACATATATACAAAAAAGAAGGGCAAAGGGAACTGGTTACCGTGTAGCTCATTAGATGTTCTCGGGGCCCAAGAGCCAAACGACGAAGTTCCAAAGTATCATCGATTATAGAGACGCGGGCCGATTCAATGTCAACCGCATCCTTGGGTATAATACTGCTTGAGGGGGCATTGATATCGAAAGACAGCGTGGGAAGGCCATGAGTTACTAGATAATCGTGTATTTTGGCAGAGTTTGCAGCGATGTTAGTAGAGAGCTCAATGATACGAGAGGTAGACATAGTGCTAATCAGTAAAGCACTTTACTACACCACTTTATTAAAAAGTCGAGAATGTGTACCCATTAGTGCTGGACGTGGGAATGGGATTTAAGTAAGAGAGCCGAAGAACAAGAGCAATAGAGGGAAAATACGTAAAAGCTGTGCCGCCAACGGTAAAATTTAGTAATACCCCAGTAAGAAGGTGACAAGGGTATAGATTTGGGGGCCGCATCTTTATATTAGAGTATCAACAGCGTAGAGCAAAAAATATATATGGTACTAACCGATATAAAAGGGAAACTTACAATCTGCTCCCCTATATTCTGTCCTTGAAATTACGCCCATATCCAATTATCCAAGTTCCCAAGAATGGATTAACGGCTTGCGCAGGTCACTTGAATGTAGTCCGCAAAGCTGTGTTCTCCTGTGTAACCTGAGCCCATTGTAGTGTTTGTTTCCATAAACTCTCTTGCTTTACCTCGTTATTACTTTCCGGTGAGCTCTCGTCTTTCTGCAGAAGCGTGAAGAAGCCCTGTTGGCCGGCATACGTCGGGCTAATAGCTAGTTCGATGACGTCGACTCCCGCCGGGGCTGCAGAACGTAGGGTGGGGGTCATGAGTTGAAGTAAGGGAAGTAAGGGCTTGTAAACCCATGTCTGCATCCTATGCATGCTAATTGGAGTATTGCTGCGAAGAGCACGCGAGTCGACCATGTTCCCAGGGTTGATAGCTACAGTAGTTACTTTGTTGAGGTTTGGGTCCTGACAAAATCTGTTAGAATAATATGCGTAAAGGGGGGATACGTAAAAGGGGGATAGTAAGCGAATGCTTTTTGATGCACATACCTTTTGAAGATATCGGTTGAGCGCGTACATCCATGTTACTATCGCCAATTTCGACGTAGCATACCTCTGATAACCACGACCTTGCTTGTCATCGTCGACGTCGGGTCTCACAAGAAGACTCAAATCGTCTGGGATAGACGGCGGATACTTTTCCATTGGGTTCTTCCCGGGCCAGCGAGAGTCACTGGATAGTAGTATTATGCGACCGTCGATTCCAAAACTGCCTAGGAGTTGAAGGACAAGAGAAGCATGGGAAATATGGTTGACCTGCATGGTTTTATCGAAGCCGTCCGCAGTCAGTTCTGGATCACCGACCAAATTCCAGTAGTACGCATTACAGATGATGGCTGACAAGCGGGGATACCTTCCGTTTGTAATCTCAGATGCAATTTCACGGGTAAAGGCGTGGGTAGCAGAGAGACTAGAAAGATCGAGAGCATAGATGTATGCCTTGGCACGTGGATATTGAGAAATAACCTGACGAAGTCGATTTGTGTTGACATCGGCATCGGAGGCATCTCTCACTGTCAGGATGGCTGTATAGTCGCCATAGTTTTGGATGAGATGTTCTACAGCAGGAGTTCCCAGGGAGCTATTAGCTCCAGTGAGGATGATGGTTCCCGCCATGGTCGAATAACTATGTTAAATTCAGGAAAAGAAAAGGAAGAAAGGAAGAAGATCGAGGAGTGTGAAAGATCGAAGGTCAACTGCCTTTCATCAGGTAATTCTGTCCGTCTACGGACTCTTTTTGCTTGTTTCTCCCTTCCCTTGCCTCTTTTGACATTATCTATGGGTACTTCTCTACCGAGGTAAGTAGGTACCTACCCCTAAAGTACTATACCGGGAAAGCTAAGGTGGAAACAGCCACTACTTACAACTGATAACTATTACATGGATGAGAACTGAATATAGGACCTAAACTGTTGTCTAAGTTGTTGTTATTGAAGTTAGTTTGCGTCACTGTTCCTAAATCTCATTATTTTCTTCTTCTAGTAGGAGGAGCTCTGGGGTCTTACCTGGTGCTCTTATGATACTCCTATGGCTACGGTTCTACGACTACAATCTTATCAATACGATTTCGTGTAGAAGTAGTAATTGGGTAGGAGAATTGGTTGGAGGAAAATTGAGAGGAGGGAATAAATATAAAATAAAAATCTTAAGTAAATATAGATATTATATTACCATAGTAGAAAAGTAGGTTTAATCTGGCAATAGCTTTAGTGATAATAACCCATTCAATAATAGCGACCCTTCTAGTAGTAATTACTATTAAATATGTGATATAGGTAATTATTATTTGCACAACTATTGCTCTTCCCTGGAGTTTCTCGCCATAGCATTCGGAAATGATGCGCTACGACCAAGATGTTATTGTACGGTATGGCGAAGAAAATGTGAACAAACTGAAAGGTATCTAGGCCAAGTACGATCCAAATTTCATATTTTAAGAGTTGGTACTCGGTTGCGTTACATATACCTGGAAGTTTGTAGAGTAGAGTGGGATCGTCAAAGAAAAGCAATCTGAATTAGAAAGTGACGTATTCACATACATACATGTATGTATAGTCAACTAAAAAACTTTAAGCATGCGGACTTATATTTGCACTGTGCCTCTGCGTTGACTTAAGAATTATAGATCGGCATTTTGAGTACCTAAGTGACTATCTATCCATCACAGTATGAGAATCTTCCTATTTACCGTTTACAAATGCTGTACAAAGAGCACACACAAACACCTTTTGCAATGCAGCTACCTAGTGGGCGTGAAAGAGGATCCAAATGCGGAAAAGATCGTGACTCGTGTCGGATCTCGGATCTATCTCGCCCCGGCGATGGCAAATGCATTGAAGACCGAAAAAGCAATAACCACCAAAACTCCGTGACCCCCCTCTTCCCCCCCCTTATCCTTCATTATTAGTGGTGGCAAAGGAATCCCTTGCGCCATTTTTACCGCCCCGTCCAATTATATCCTTAGGGCAATGCAAGAAAAGCCCCTCATATTCCTACACCACCTTCATTTGAGACATTCTCCATGTTGGGAACCCCAAAACTATACATTGGGCCAACGCAAGCGCAAGCCATCTACCCATCGACCATATAGGACATCGGAAAGTTGCTTACAATGCTCCATACCAGGCTGAGCTTCGTGACCGGGGTATTTTGCTTGTAAGGCAGCTTTTTCCGGATCTCGCTCGCGACTAGAGATCTTCTCGGGACTGCCACCACCGTTCACTGCTACACTCTCCTGACGTCTCTTATGGCTCTTTAGATGGGGGTTGTTAGATGCGAGAACGAGCTTCGTTGGGCTCTGATTCTGATTTGGTGTTGTACTCTTAATGATCACCGTACCCTGTGGAGTTATGTTGTCAAATCCCTTTATAGAATCTCCCGTATCTTGTAAGAAAGCTCTTGAAAGCTTTGTGTCTTGGGAAATAGCTGAGTTGAGGTTACGAAGGAGATGGTACGCTCCTTCGGGGTCAACTGAGTCTAATAGCGCGAGTGCGTCTGACAACTTGCCAAGCGCCTCTCGTTTGACCATGCTCGAAGTTTGCGCATGTAATTCTGCTAGGGTAGGTTCGACGGCCTTAGAATATAGACGTCGTCCTAGAACCGCCTCCTTGCTGGTTGCCTCAGCTGCGTTAGGGTGCTTGTTCTCATCTGTAGGCATATCGGTCGAATTGAGAGAAGCGACCTGGCCGGATGTGGAACTGTCAGAGGGCACTCTTCTAAAGAGACGTTGCGAGGAGCCTGAGTTGCCGAATGACATATCTGGCTGAAGGGGGCGTCTCATTGCAGGGCCGGGCGGACCACGCACTGAACCAGAGTTCGACATCTGTGCTAATGAGGGCTGTCTTCGCATTGTAGCCTTGCGCATAGTGACCGGGGCAGGTGCAGGTGAAGATGGCTGCAATGGAGCGTCCTTGAGATCCATTCTACGCAATGCTTCTTCAGTAGAGAAGATTGAGGATGGCTTTCGGGATTTGACAGTTGCTCTCTTAGGGACAACGGATCGGACTGTATCGAAAACCCACTCATCTCGCTCGTCCTTGGGGGAAAGATCTTGCAAAGTCTCCTGATAGAATGCTCTGCTCTTCTTCTTGGTTTTTGTTGCATCGTATTTGCGTCGTCGCTCGATTAATTCCTGCAACGCCTCCACTTTTCCTGAGGACCTCACGAAGCGGTGTTTTAACAAATCCTTCGCTGAGGGTCTTCGGTCAGGATCCTTCATGAGGCATTGCGATACGAAATCCTTGAAATCCTTTGAGAAGTTGCCCTCTAGTTTCGCGGGAGGGTTTTTAGGGATGTGAAATAGGGCTTTCATGGGATGGAGATTGGCATGGGGTGGCTCTCCGTTTGCCATCTCCAGAGCAGTGATTCCCAAGGACCAAATGTCAGCCTTGAAGTCATATCCAGCTTGCTGAATGACTTCGGGTGCCATCCAAAATGGTGTTCCAACGAATGTGTTACGTTGCGACTTGATGTTAGTAAGCTGAGCTGCTACACCGAAGTCGGCTAACTTAACCTTGCCCGTCTCTGAGAGAAGGATGTTTGCTGCTTTGATATCTCTGTGGATTTTGCCTTCAGCGTGAAGGTACTCCAGGCCACGAAGTAGTTCGCGACATATGATAGCGATGTGCGTCTCGCTAAAGGTAGATGGCTCGGGTTTAAGCTGTGAAGAGCGACCTGTCAGATTTTGGCACTTTCCAGTACTAATTATGATACCTTACCAGATCAAGACAGGACCCTCCTCCTAAGTATTCCATGACAATCCATAGCTTACTCCCTCGAAGAAAACTAGCTTTATACTGCGTTACGTATGAACTGGCGCATGTGCTCAGAACCGAGATCTCGGCTTGGATGTCTTGGATATCATCTTCGGTGGACTCGAGATCGATCTGTGCCGAGACATGTCAGCGATTTACATCATTGTCGCGATCGGCGCATAACCCACATGTTTAATAGCAACAACTTCGCCTGTCGCTTTTTCGATACCCTTGTATACTACTCCGAAACTGCCACCTATAGACAGGTCACAACGTTAGCAAATGTTAACATTATGGTAAATGACTGGATGGTGGAATAGGGAAGATACGTACGGCCGAGCTCCTCGAGGACCTGGTAGTGACTTGCGATCGCCTCGGTCCCCATTTTGCCAGCAAAGCTGCCTCGCTTGCACTCCAATTCCTATGTCCCAAGAAAACAGCAAAGATGGAAAGGTTCAGCGACACAGTGATATGGTAGTCAAGTAGCCAGGAGCTAAGCAAACAAAGCAACACCAGAATTGTAAGATGCAAGGAGAATTCTTCTGCGTTCACTAGAAGGTGAATTGGTTTTTAGATAGGAGTGCGAAAAGGAGTTTGCGACGACTTGTAATAATAAAACTCGCCGTTAGGAAAAGAAGATCAATGGTAGGTAATCTGCGATAGCCTAGGTAATTGCTAGAGGTGCCGGTGCGCCCGTTGTCCGGGGCGCAAGCTCCAAAGAGCTATGACCAACAACAGACTGCCGTTCTGGGGGTAGTGTGGGACTTATCAGAAGGGATTATCCTCGGTCTCGAGCTAGGTAGGGATGTATTATTATATCCTAGGTATTAAATATTCCGTTTGCTCGTCTTTTCTTCTTAAGAGACATGGAAAAAGTCAATGATTTTTCCTGTTGTAACTTGGAGATGCTTCTCATGATGGATGTCGGGGAATGAGTGTATAGGTAAGAAAGAGAGAAAGAAAGTTCAAGGTAGCGCACGCTGGATTGCCTTTTTCTGATAAAGCATACAATAGACGCACATTTCTCAGTGTCTTGCATGCCAGCGGCTACCCAGGTACATTAGTGGCATCGGTGCATGCACAGTAAATCTTGAATTCTGATTTGTGAATGGTCAGAAAGTAAACACCCATGCTGTCATACATCGGTTACATAATAACCTAGCTGTAGTGTTAAACTCAATTAAGATTGGAACAGACCTTATTTCTCAACTGTTAGGCTACCGTTTGTGGGTCCACAGCTAGACCGTTACCGGGCAACGGCCACACAGGACCCCTCTGTTTTCCTATGATGGTTATGCCAAGCTAATGGAACTGTAACCTGCTCCAATACCGCCCCAAGCTTTCAATATTGAACCACAGTTCTGCTTAGAATATCCCAATCACGATCAAGAGATCTCAACTGATGTGCTGGCAATCCCCATACCACGCCCATACTACGCCCGTACGCACTTTACACCTGCAAGTACTCACATACAGTATTCCCACTGCCATCTCTTGCTTGCATAGGTGCTTGGGGTGCTTAACGGCCACAATAATCATAATAATACCACATATTATTGCACCGTGTTGTTGATCCATCCACAACCCTCCCGAGTACCTTACCTCGAGTAACGAATATTACACCGCCTCAGATGCTATCGACTTCTCTTGCTGCGTATTTACTCCATCGCCTTGCAGCAAACACCGAAAACGCTGCTGCGAACTCAGAATAGGCTCGAAATCCTTTAGTTTTTGTCCGATTTACACCAACGCCCGCATATACAACCTGGCGAATAATCGATTACTTACACTACGAATATCGGCATAATGGGGTCAGCACCGCCGCTACCCACGCGGTTCCCGTGCTGGTGCAGAGCCGTATATTCTTGGGGAGGAGAAGTATGCATTTTGCTTCTTGCGCTTTCGTGATGGTTTTGTTTACTTTCTTGCTGACCATCATTATTAGTCGCAACACGATCTAGGATTCATCGAAGGAGATTTAATAGAATGTCTAAACGCAGGAGATGGGTCATGGTGGACGGGCAGACTACGGCGCAACAAGACTGTCGGCGTCTTCCCTTCTAACTTCGTCGAGGTATTACCCGAAGATTTTCGACCAGTTACGAGGTCGGCGAGTCCACTGACTTCGAGTCATTCCCCGAGTCCAACCAACACACCGCAGAAATCCAAGTCGCGAAATTTCCGCAAACCATTCGAGGCCTATGCGAAAGCACCTCACTACACAACGGCAAAACAGCCCGAAATAATAAGAAACGTTTCCAACACACCACCAAGGCAGAATTCAAATGGATCATTTAGAAACAATGCGCGTCAGGATTCTGGTCGCGGCCCATCGCCGTCCGAGATTCGGTTACACGGGTCAAGAGCTCCGTCTCCCGCGCCTCCTCCGCCGCCGGCACCGGTAACTTCATATGCTCCCCGAGCCGTGTCGCCCGCACCTCCGATGCATACATATAGTTCTAGAGCCCCTTCCCCAAGAACTCATTCTCCCATTCCTCCGCAAGCATACGACTATCACCGAGCACCATCACCTGCTCCACCCCCCGTACAACATTACGGTTCAAGGGTACCATCACCGGCTCCATCATTTAGCTTTAAGCCATATCGACCAGGGGCAGAGCGCGATTCACCTCCGCCACCAGCTCCACCACCACATCGTCACGTTATTACAAGAGGCAACTCGAATGCCTCACACGCGTCTTACGATAGTCGAAGACCGCAAGAAGGATATCATACACCAAGAGTACCTTCGCCAAACCCGCAATCTCCAGCTAATGATGGCTTTACTCCCTCCCCATTACGAGAGGCGATGGATGGTGTTATTGAGCAATTAGATGCTCTAGGCATGGCGCGCGAAACCGATTCCCCAGAGCCGCCTTTGGATCCATGGTCGCCGGAATCTTTCGATTTGGTACATCATCGATCCCGGAGAAAGGCCAAAACGAGGCCGTTAACATCGATGGGTGTACCCCTTCAGGATTCAGGATATGGTTCCTTGAACGGTGGTTCATCGCAAGAGAATACATATCACAATGACATCCCACAAGAACAACCACTTCCCAAATTAAGCAACTATGTGGAGAGAATGGAAAATCGCTTCCGAAAAATGCACCAGCATAGCTCAAGCATGGGAGTCATTGATGACCAAGACATGGGCCCTCCACCGCCACCACCACCTAAGAATCCTTTATATAGTAGGCCGAAATCATCAATAGGTAACAGAGGCCATGAAGAACGCAAGTTTCTACGTAAACAAAAGTCATCCTACGAAGTCGGTCTTTTGGATAGAACAGGCACTACAAAAACAACTTCGACGGATTCTTCGTCCGGCAATCGAAGCACCGCAACGAATAGCACGCAAAGAAGTCTAATGAGTGGTATTTCTGCGGGTGGAATCAGCGCTACGAGCGCTGGTAGCCTGGCCAGAAAAAACCAACGAGCGCGCAGTGCTCTAGGCTTCCGAGATGGTGATGATGATTGGGATGCCAACCGGCCGACTACACCATTCAGCGGCGTATCCTATCATCCAAGTCATTCTACATCAGCTATGCGACCTCAATCGCAAATTGGCTTCACCGACGATGGAATTGCGGCTGTTGGAGGTCTCGTGCAACCGGGCACCACGAAGCCCAAAAAGCAGAATTTCATTAAGAGAATTCTAGAGGCGACGAAGACAGGTGTTGCTAGTGGTCGTAATAGTATTACGACCGGGGGAGGATCTGGACAAACTTCGCCATCGAAACGCTCGGGACCTAACGGGATTACAGCGATCGCAGGCGGAGCTAGTAGCACCAGCCTAGTGAGAGATGCGGCTACTGATATGGGGCTTACGAAAGGAGTGGACTGGGTCCAGGTACGAAGGGATGTTAACCGATCAAATACTCTGAGCAAAAACGAACGCAGCGAGCGACGAGACCGATGCATGATGTTGGATTACCCAGCAATAGATCCTGTCGACGAGCTTTATGAGAGCGTTGAGGGGGATGAGGGTGCCGACGGCTTACCAGTTCGCAACCCAATCAACTATCAAGTCATAAACTTGAGTCAAGTGGACAAGAACTCTCGTTTTATCAGTGGTCTACCGTCTATGACGACTGCTGTTACTCTCGCCACGACTTACGTGTGCAGACCATACAAAAGCGAGGTTCAGCGTCTCCGAGCGATATTCACTTGGGTCGCAGAGAAAATCAACTGGGAAGAGGATTACGAAGGCGAGGTAGACACACGACATGTTATCCAGACAAAACGAGGATGTTCAGAAGAATACGCAGTTTTAGTTCATGAGATGTGTGCCGCGATCGGTATACATTCTGAAGTCGTCCGCGGTTATCTCAAATCTCCAGGCGAGATTCCCGAGACGGGCCTAATGCCTCGATCAAATCACTGGTGGAATGCCGTTGTGATCGATAATGAATGGCGAATGATGGATTGCTGTCTTGCAAGTCCATCCAACCCTCGTCGTGGGCAATACTCAGGCGCTAGCAGTACGACAGCAGAGTTTTGGTGGTTTCTCACACGGCCTACGGAGCTTTGCTGGACTCACATTCCCGAACATCATAGCCAACAACACATCTGCCCGCCAGTGGCCCACGAAACGCTACTGAACCTACCAGGTGCTTGTCCGCCGTTCTTCAAGCAATCCATCGCTATGGTTGATTACAATACATCGTTGACTCGAATTGAAGATCTCGAAATGGTACATATCAAGTTCAACGTACCACCCGATATCGAGATAGCAGCTGAGGTCGAAGTACGAGGATTCACGCGAGACTCAGATGGTGACATTTTTGAAAATGGCGAGGTAGTCAGGAAGCGTGCACTCGCACAAGCAGATTGGTACGGCGGTGCAAAGCGATACACAATAAAGGCACTCCTACCAGGCGACGAGGGTAATGGCGTTTTGAAAGTGTACGCAGGGAAGCGTGGACTCATGCATAGCATTAAGGATATCCCGCATCCCCTTGCGTTTGCATTGCCCATTATCCACACCGGCGAAAACCCACCTTACGAGTTTGTTACCCGACATCCTACGCCACATGCCCAACGGCATGATATCTACGTCGTGCAACCCCAGTGCCAAAAACTGGCGCTAAATAATACCTTCGTATTTGCGATCCGGCAACATCCCTCTAGCCCTGCGGGTGCGCCAAGCAGTAACCCTGGGGGCACAAGCCCTGTGCCGTTTGCTAGACCTGGTAGTGCTATGAGCATGATGAGTAGTAGTCAAGCAGGCTCTAACCCCAGCTCCGCTACAGGAAGTATTGCGGGCAAGAAACCAGCCAAACTTGCGATCCAGACCCCTGGCGGCAAAATCCTTCGTCTCATGCGCAAGGAGGAGCGTGGGAGCGGACGGTCGGGGATTGGCGTCGGCGGGCGTAGCGCCGAGGATGAGACGAGTGATGGTGGAACGTGGGAAACGATTATCAAGTGCTCTGAACGTGGCGTCTGGCGCGGCCTGGTGCTGGCTGATCGGACTGCTAGGTGGTGCGTATTCGCGGAGTGGGTATGCATCTAATAAAACGGGATGGAAAGTGGAAAAAAGGAAAATGAGATGGATGATGGAGCCCGATTCGCCGATTTTCGCCCAGATCGAGATTCATGACCCCCCAAAACTAAACTCTAATCTATTTGGGGATAGACGCACGTGGCGTCGCGTGGCGGCGCCATCGTTCGACTCAGGACTTTGAAGAAAGTCCCCACGGAGCTTCTAACTCTCCGGGGAGATTTACGAAGGGGACCTAATACGGTATCTATCAAATGCTTGTTCATGACGGGCGGTATATACTATGTATTCCACGTGTGCATTTGCTTGGCGTTTTTAGGGAGTTGGCGACGATTTTTCAAGATGAGAAACGTTCGGATTGATAACAAATTTTGCGTTGGTGTTTTTTTTTTCTTCTCATGGCCGGAATGGAATTATGATTTTTGATCAACTTTTTTTCAGCACCGAATGGCGTTTTTAAGTGGAAGGGTGGTGCGGCATTGGCGCCTCATTGCAGATACTGTAGACGTGCCGAGTTGGTTTGTTTCTCCGGCTTCGTCAATCCAAAGAAAATCTTTTGCATGGTTTTTGGGGGACTTTGAAAAAATAGGTATCATACCTAATGTTCCCGAAGATTTTGCAATGTACTCTATAATGCGGATTGGAAAGCTACGTGTGTGTGGCGCCTATTCGAGAGAAGAGAAGAGAAACCAGTTAAACTACCAAATTATTTGTTCTTTGTCTTGCTAGTGATTGTGATGTGTTGTGCTGTGCCTACATAAAATTAAGCAATGTGGCGTAAGTATTATAGAAAAACCTCGGCGTAAGAGCTAGACGGCTTCGTAGATGGCGTATAGGCTTAATAAATATATAGCTAGTAGTAAAGACCCTTAATTTCCGATGAAGATGAGCAGAATTTTGCAATTGGTATGGATCGATCTCGAAGAGATGCGCTAGGTCTAGTTTCGGTACGAGATGTCCCAAAGTAGACATCCGCATCATCCACCGCGGCGGCGCCGCTAGTATTGCTTTTCGGTACGACCGAGAAAGATCCAGAAACCCCTACCTAGTCTTGTTTACTTAGGTCGTAATAGTAGTGAAATATGATGGAGAATGACAGACCTGTCAACGATCTTCTTATATGACGTACTTAGCTAAGCAGAATCAGAAACATTGGTAGTCAATTGTCACGTTTGAATTTGAATCTTGGAGATATATTGATGCAACATTAGGATCTTATCAGGAAAGATACAGTAGATTAATTGGGATTAGAAACATCTGTTTCGACAGCGAATCCCTGAACTATTGATACAATATGTACACCCTCGTCGTCGTTATCGATAATCTTGCAGATCATTTAGACCAATCAGTAAAGGCGTAGTATAGTTGATCTTATGAGGTTAATGGACCGAATCGGACCGTCTTCGCTACCAGTACGTCAATAATCGACTTGTTAAGGTAGGGGCCGGGAAAAGTCCATTAGAGCACGGTTGAAAGAGAGAAAGAAACAAATAGGTAGTTAGTAAATAGAGCTAATTACTAGAAGTGTTCTAATTGCAATTGGCACCGAGGAACGGGAAGCAAATTCCGCTCCCAGGATTTGCGTGCATAATTTTTTTTCCCTTCAACCCCTGGTCCGCCATCATGATATAATCAACTCAGCTCTTCAACACGCACTTCTGGAACGGGATCGTTGGTAACAATCATCAGCTAAAAAATTAATCAAAGATCTAACTAACCATCTAGCCAAGCCCTAACTAACCAATTACCGCGCATCGAACCAGCGCTACCAGCGGAGCCGCATCTCCTGGCAATTGAGTTAAGTAGGTACAGCTAGGGGTAATAGGACCTACCATAGTGAAAAAGAACCAGGCCAAGTTCGAACCAACGACAAAACGGCCGACGCTATCGCCGCGGATCCACAATGAAGCCGAGTATACCGAGTCAAGACCACACCACAGCATACGCACACGAGCTGGTACTCTTTTTTTTCTTGGTTTCGAGAATATCGAATCGGCCGTTTTCCTTTCCTGTCTTCTTTTACGTTGTAACCTAAAGGCCCTTTTCCAGAACGTATCGTTTCCCTTTTTTCTTCCTTCCCCGCTTCTGGCACACACTACACCGGTCCGACCGCTGGGGTAAGGAAGAAGAAAAAGTTGGAGAGGCACCGATGGTTCTCCATATTGTCGGTCTGTCAACCAATACGCGGTGGAGATCTCCGCCATGGAGTCTCGACGATGGGGAAATAGAACGGTATGGGGTTGGGGAGGCGAAAAAAGAAAGAAAGAATCTTCCCACATGTTCCTTCGTTTCGGGGTTCTACACCATTTCTAGTACGGGAACGGGGTTCTAGTGTTCCTCTCTCCGGATTTTCAATCCATACGATGCCTTATTAGACCGAAAACGTCTTGCTTGTTGGAATGATTGACGTGATGTAGAGGACGTGGCCTCTCTACGCACATTAGCCATTAGTCGTTGCAGGATCATCTCGCCGAATTCACCGTGAGGTGTAATCTATTAGGCCGAGAAGAATACATGTCAAGCGAGCGACTTACGCGAATTCTTGAGTATGGATTCCACGTCACCTGTTAGTCAGGAGTTTGGCTCAATTTTTCAGGTTGTCAAGCATGACTGTAGAAAATTTCACGATAGCTTCACAAGCAAAAAACAAAATCCCGACTATAATTTCGAAACACTTTCAACAATAGCGCGGGCTGATGATTGTGGGGGTGAAATCAGGGGAATTGTCCCAGAGCATATGCGTTGCTGCGTGCTGCATAGTATTCGGACGTGGGATGCATGACGCGTGTAATACCATGTACCTCGGGACGAATGTAACCTACCAAACTAGCTCCAAAAAATCATCAATCTGTGTTCCAGAAACGTAAGGTTCCTAGTAACGATCCCTACCTAGGTTAACTAAGGTCGGAGCGATTGAGCTGATGGTAACCAGCTTAAACCAGCTGTAGGTGTTGACCCCGAGGGGATGGCGTGCCCCTGGGGCCCTCCTGGGGGGCCTGGAGTGCTCTGGGCACGTTGCGGGTTGACCTCGTGCCTATCCGTGGAGACCAAGATGGAGACACGCTTGCTGCATACTAATTGTATTTCAATTATATTGTCTGGGGCGTGGAGAGGTGAGGTGGGTCAACAGGGGGAAGTGGAAAGAGAAGATTAAGTGCTTGTACTAGGCTACTTGCTTGTATACACCTAATTAAATGAGCCGCAACGTTATAATGGGTGACACACATACGCATTTAAATACGTTGTCTCTTCCCCCTTGGCTGATTCACACCTCTTTTTAATACTTCGTCGTCATTCTCTCACTCACTTTCTTTCCCTTCTTCATAACGACCCCTCCGGACCCCTGTCAACCTTCCAGGATATAAGGGCAAGCAGTGCTTCAACAATAATTTCTGTCGTCTTGTTAACATCACTCGCGACGGATAATTAATACAGCACTAGCACCTCGACGACTAGATCATCTTCTACCTCACGCGTTACAATTCTAATAAGTCGACCGGAAAGCCTCATCCAAGAGAGAAAAGAAAAAATGGCTGGAGGTACTGTTGTTCAGGGGTCTGCCGACCCTAGCAGGGTCGAAGCCCCTGTTACTATCAAGGCATATCTCATGTGTGCCTTTGCGGCTTTCGGTGGTATTTTCTTCGGATACGACAGTGGTTATATCAACGGTGTGATGGGAATGTCTTACTTCATTCACCAAATCGACGGTCAAGATGCCACTGCCCTCAGTGGTGACCACAAATCTCTCATCACTTCGATTCTATCCGCTGGTACTTTCTTCGGTATGTGAAAATTCACGTTATTCCCTATCATATTGCTTTCCTCTTCAAGACATATCTTACTGACTGTAAAAATAGGTGCTCTTATGGCCGGTGATATTGCCGACTGGACCGGTCGACGAACCACTATTATTGGTGGCTGTGTCGTCTTTCTCGTCGGTGTTGCCCTCCAAACTGCTTCAGCCGGTCTAGCTCTTATTGTAGCGGGTCGTCTAGTTGCTGGTTTCGGTGTGGGTGCCGTTTCCGCTATTCTAATTCTTTACATGTCCGAAATCGCTCCCCGCAAAGTCCGTGGTGCATTGGTGTCCGGATACCAATTCTGCGTAACGGTCGGTCTGCTCTTAGCGTCAGCTATTGACTACGGCACTCAAGATCGAAACGATAGCGGCTCTTACCGAATCCCGATCGCCATTCAGATGCTCTGGGCTCTCATCCTCGGAACCGGTCTCTTCGTCCTCCCCGAATCCCCTCGATACTTCGTCAAGAAGGGCAAGCTAGACGCAGCTGCCAAGGTGTTGGCTCGTCTACGTGGTCAGGCCGTTGAGTCCGATTTCATTCAGGATGAGTTGGCTGAGATTATCGCGAACCACGAATACGAGATGTCCGTCGTTCCGCAGGGTGGTTACTGGAGCTCCTGGGGAAGCTGCTTTAGCGGATCTATTTTCAAGAGCAGCAGCAACCTCCGACGAACGATTCTCGGTACTTCTCTTCAGATGATGCAACAGTGGACTGGTGTCAACTTCGTCTTCTACTTTGGTACAACTTTCTTCAAGCAGCTCGGAACTATCCAGAACCCCTTCTTGATCTCGCTGATCACCACCCTCGTCAACGTGTGCTCGACCCCGATCTCATTCTGGAGTATGGAAAAGATTGGACGTCGACCTCTGCTCCTCTGGGGTGCTCTTGGTATGGTCATTTGCCAGTTCATCGTCGCCATCACGGGTACAGTTACTAGCGCCGATAGCGCAGTTAAGGCTATGATTGCTTTCATCTGCATCTACATCTTCTTCTTTGCCAGCACCTGGGGCCCGTAAGTTTATCCATTCTTACAAAATCTCTCATAGCACATGCTAACATACTCACGCAGTGGCGCCTGGGTTGTCATCGGAGAGATCTACCCCCTACCAATGCGAGCTCGCGGTGTCGCCCTCTCAACCGCCAGCAACTGGCTCTGGAACTGCATTATCGCCGTCATCACGCCCTACATGGTAGACGAGGACAAGGGCAACCTAGGTGCCAAGGTCTTCTACATCTGGGGCGGTCTCTGCACTGTCTGCTTCATCTACGCCTACTTCCTAGTTCCCGAGACCAAGGGACTAACCCTCGAACAAGTCGACCGCATGTTGGAGGAGACTACACCCCGAACATCCGCCAAATGGGTACCTCACTCTACCTACGCCGCCGACATGGGCTTCACCGATAAGGTCGCTGTGGCCAACGTCGAGAACGCTTCCAAGGAAGAGGTGTAAGCGATTAACAACGATGACGAAGCAAGCATAAAGGGGGTTTACGGGGGGTTTTGGTAGGCATATGTACTCGGCATTTTCGAATTTGGCGTAGGCGTTGGCATAACCATAATCATTATGGTCAGGACGGATTTTGGATACTTCGAACGAACAGATGAACAGATATGTTTTGCTCTATGCGATCAATTGATCAATCAATCATCTTGAGTGGAACGGTAATCCGTGCGAGATATGTAATGATTAGCTTGTGTTGTGCCCACCGACAGCCATTATTATTTTGTTAAACTAGGAGTAGCAAGACGATCAGATCATGATCGCCTTACCTTCTACTTATAAATTTCCACAATAGAAAGCCATGCGCTTCTTTCGAACGTCTCGCTCTTCTGTGATCCTCTAACCATTTTGCTGAAGAGTGAAACTACTAATTCTTATGACGTTGTTGGCGCGAACGTTTTAGATGCATAACGGGAGGATAGGCTTAAGCTTGATGGTCTATTTCGACTAAAACTGCTCTCTATACCTGATTCTATAGGTCTACCATGTAGCCGGGAGTCCAAGACGATGGTTTGAATATCTAGAGTTCACCTGGCCTCGGCGACTGGAACACCTACTTACCTGGGTACTCAAGCACATGGCTCGTATTGTGATATGAACAAAGGCGACACCTTGAAGATATTCCAAGCCCATCTCTTACTCAGCCATAGGCACCCCAAGTAGCAGCAAAGATCACGACGACCTCCCAACAACTCCAGAGCATCCCCAAAACCCCAAGCCCGCGACAACAAGCAGCGACCCACCACATGACCCTCTCCCTAAGGCTCCAATCGCTTGACCATCGTACCAGAAACAATCCTATTCCGTCGCAACACCCTTAGCCTCGCATAACAGCGAGCCCAGGGAGATGGGAACGCATGAAGGTGCCCGTATCGTCGCACCGGTGGGAGGCGAAGGCGAGGATCATCGGTATTCCACCGGCCTAGGAGTCGCCTTACAAGCAGCTGGGTAGCCAGCTCTTGACGTGGCTCCGCTTGTTTCTTTGTTTTTAGTTGAGATTTTAGTTCATGCGAAGACTAGTCCCGATGCAATGCGATGACAATGATGAAGAGGGGTGATAGGGGTGAAATTGGCCCGCTTTATGATCGCCTGTGTAGACTATTTCGATTAGCAAGTAGAAGGCCACATGGTTAAAGGGAGCTTGTCCTCATATACTATGTCTTAAACCCTACGTCGACTTAAGGTGTCGCGACAGGAAGGTTGACTATAGTCAAACCTCGCCCTCAATGGGGCCAGTCGAGGGGTCTACCGAGCCGAGTAGACAACCGCGGATCCCGACTGCTCGCGACATCTTGCCAGCAGACACTTCGACTCCCATCTTAACCGATTGATCCATTGTCAAGGATGATGTCCATTGGCTCTAACTAAATTCCGAGACCCATGCATACTACATGTGTTATGAAGGGTTTAAAAATAGAAGAGTGGAAAACACACGATAGGGAAAGGAATTCGAAGATCTACTCATACAGTGATGGATCATACCCTCGTCGATACTTTCTACCAGATGGTTTAGAATCCCTACGAACCACCAGTCGACTTGCCGAAGGGTGCTACCGAATTCGATATAGCTCTGGAGAGTAAGACTTACCGCATATCGTTCTGTTACTGTACAGCGTATAGTAACGCCAAAACCCCGAATGTCAGAGATGCTGGCGCCTGAAAGCAGAATGCGACGCAACGCCCACACACTTGACACCTTAGGCCGGAAAGAGGTCGACCGAGAATAAGGGAAGTACATCCCATATCTTACTGCTATTGACTGAAAAATCCTAGAGTATAGGCTAACATTGAGCGTCAATTGTTGAAGACCACCTACCCAGGTACTCGATGCAACTATTGACGTTGAAAATTCGATTGACTTTTTGTCCAGCATCTACAGTGACACTGGCTCGATTCCCAAAAGGGGAAATAACTGTAGCTTCACCTCTAACCGAGTGATAGTGTAGATATGGTAAGTTGTAGCAAGTATCAAGGTTGAAGGGTTTGTGGTCGTTGCATTACCACCTCATGACAAAGATGGCATTGAAGCGCCCGGGGGTAAGACCTTGGCAACGACATCAAGGCTAGTAACAAGTTTTCTAGAACGTGGGGGCCGTTTGGGAGAAGCATCGGTCCTTCTATCAGTACCAAGGTTGCAATCCTGGTGTGCTTGGGAGCTTCTCGTCCCCGCGCAGCTGTATGGCCCCATTGCGCGCTTAGCGAGAGCAGTCAGATACACCTACCGACAGGCGCGTCTGGAAAAGCCAACCCAGATATTCCCGGGATAGTAATGTGTCGCATCCACACGTCCGTAGGCTGTCAAAGAACGGGCGAGCTAGTCCCGCAAAGGTCAGAGGTTCGTGAAGCTACTTCCGCGGGCGAATAGGTACTGCTGTGGGATGCGGACCAATGGGAGCGAAGGATGCCCAAGGATCCAAGGCCGCGTAGGGAATTGAGGATCGCACAGAGTTTCCTGGCGGCATCATATCATAGGGCTTCACGCTCCAGTGGTTACGCCTTTCCCTTTGGAGCAAGACCCGTATTAGCCGGTGGTAGGCTCTTGATCGAACCTTGTCCGGTATTTCCCAATGCGGTTGGAGCTAACGGGACAAGTACCGTCGGTAGCGAATAAAGCAGCTCGTGGCTTTAACCATCCTGGCGTTAAAACTGTACACCGAATACCGTAGAACGTAGGAGATATCGAGAACCCATCATCAAGGTATTCATCAGTAACCCTTGGCGTTGAAAAAAACAGGTACAGCATAGTAACAAGCTTTTCTTTTTTGGCTTGGATGCACGCCAGCATTCCTTTCGTCGATCAAATTAGGTCAAAGAAACATCATCTACCACAGGGTACGGAGAAAACATTTATATGTCGTCTTTACTCCTAGAGCGTCCTTCATGGGTATGGGAATAAATCGATATATAATACTACGGAGAACCCTCACTTGACTTCCGAGACTAGGATACTAGGTCCAATGTGCCCTGTGGGTAAATTTGACTATAACACTTGTTATAGCTCATGGGTCATGAAATAGATCATTGTAGGAGTTAGGACGGACAAGGTTAGATAGAGTTGAAGCGTATAGCTTTATCGTGATTAAGAGCCACCCCATTTAGTTCATTCAGGGTAGAAATTACCTTAATCGCCCACGTGCCGCAAAGTTATGCAACGACACAGCTTTGGTTCATGCAAGAAGCGGGTGAGACGATATAATGGGCCGCAATGGATTGCTCCTGCATAAATTGATGAATCGTGCAGCCTAGGGTAACGGAGAAGGGGAAATTGAGGAAACCCGTGTACTGTAGGTTACGGGTTGAGATCCTGGTATTGGGAGGTTTCTGGCCTCCCGCTTCCGTACCTAGGCAATAAGGGGATCATTCAAACCCAATAGCATACTTAGATGGCCGTTTTTCTTAGCGGCAGATGAATAATAGTCTAGAGTTCTCCCGATGCGCCCCTGGCGGCCAATCCAATATGGCATCTGCACGGGCAGCGAAGAGCTCGTCGATTGTGTTGCCGCGAATGTAGCCGTAAGTAGATGTACGAGAGTTCCTTGGCAGCTCTTGGACCCGAATTGTATACAAGCTCCACCATTGAGCTCTATGAGGCATATTGACTTTGCCGGAGATAATCGTCGACCGGCTACTGGGACGTCAATAACTCCAAGTACGATATGACGTAAACAAGCATATACAAAGACGGCTTGACATAAGAGATAATGTCATTGGAGTTACTCAAAACATCATTCTTGGATGATAGTCGTCGGGAAGGGAACTCTGCTAACGGCACTTCGCCTATGGATCAGTGTCGTCGGCTAATCAAGCATGCTTACTCAGGTGTTAGCGGCAGTAGCAGGCTTGAGGGGCACCCAATAATGAATTCTGCGAAAGGCCATAAGTTGTACCTAGAAGCCGTTAGCCCATCATATTCTAGGGAAAATGCGAAATCCCTAGATAGCTAGAGTTTTCGTCACCAACGCGGTGAATTTCATAGGTTAGAGTCGTAATGTGGCTTGAACAATTCCCGCTCGGCCGTTGGGATCTTGGGGATGCTTCACTTATCCCGCTGATTGGGGTAGGATGCAGATCTCTTGTCTATTACTGCGAGAGCTGTCTATGCGCGTTGGTCAAGACAAGGGGACCGAAAAGCCCCCCGGCAGCCGGAATCTAGATTTTACCTGTAGCGTAACTGGCATTAGTGTCATATGGGCTGATTTTAAGCCTACCCAATCGGTAGGTTCCATGAGGCGTTTCGTATCCGCGGATTTAATACTCATATGCGGTGGAAACGGCCACGGGGCCAAGGGTTTGCCCTGTAGACTCGCGTTGATATCAGCCTAGAGCTTCACCGACGAAGTATGCAACAGGTTATGATCTTTTTCGCTCTAACCCAAAACATTTCCAGGCGAGAAAATTTTCGCTCAATTGGTGGTCTCGAACGTTTATGATAGAATTAGAGGAGAGATCCGGGACATTAAAGTGATAGATAGTCCACCTCTTAGATATTGACATGTACGTCGGAAACACGATGAAGGGTGACGGGACCGCAAATACAGTGGGTCAACGCAGGCAACTTGGGGTTTCTCGGACAGCCATCGTGTTGCTCTTCACCTAGGTAATTGCGCGTCTCCCGCTCTCAATGGTAGGCGCACAGCGATAAAGCCTCCAGCAAGGCGTGAGGTCGGTTCCCGTCACCCACATCTCATTTCTTGGGATCTCGGGGTACCGGCCACAACCTAGCTTGAACTCCGGGACGGCTTCCTACATAGTTCTACCCACAATTTTCGAGACCCAGTATTGTAGTCTCAGAATGGGTAAATGCTAGCCTGGTATAGGCCGGGCGGAAAATGAGTGGCTGTTTTTGTACAACGGAGTACCTTGACCGCGATGGGGGGCAGCTTGGCATCAAAGAGACACGCAAAACATAGAATTCGTATTCCTCGTTAACATGTTACAAGAAACGGAGATGTAATTACCGGGGAATCGTCCGTTCGCTCATGAGTGAGTTAGCTTAGTAGGTAGGAGGAACGGGGAGGAAGAGGGACGAAAGGGATCCCATTCCAACTTTAGCGGCGTGGGTGCGCGGGTGAGGATTGAGAAGGAAAAGAAAAGAAAAAGAAACCAAATAAAATAAAAGGTTGCACGTTACGTACGAAAACAGTGCATTAGCTGTGTAGGAAGGGGGAAGCTTATTTTGTGGACAGACATCATAAACGGTGATTACATCCCGATTAGTGTAAGTTATGTTAGATTTATGATGCATATAGATGTATAAGAAGTTAGGTACCCTTGACATAAAGATGTAGGTATAAAATTGGCTTATCGATAGGACACGTTAACAATAAACCCCTTTTTTCGTTTTTTCGCTTCTTTTTTTT